TAGTTGCAGCCGTCGACGACTCGACAGGGGTGACCCTCAATACTCGAGTGGAAGCAGCTGCCTTGGAAACGTCTGAGCGCCCTGCTGGGGGAGATGAGTCGTCGGGAACCGGCTTGGACGAACCTACGGAGTCAAAGAGTGCTGAGGATGAAGTCCCGACGACTCAATCCTGCTCGAACTCGGATATCGAGGCCGGTTTGACACGACTCGAGCAGGCGTTCATGTGTGTCTTGCGGGTCTTGAGCACAGAAGGTACAGAGACCGCGAATGATGACGCCGCTGACTCGTTCGAGCATCTCGCGGCTGGTATCGGGTTGGAAGACTACGCGCACGAGCTGGCGTTCCTTCTTGACTTGTCCGAAGCAGCTACGACCACTCTGGACTACGACGCAGACAATGTGCGGAATCCCGAGTTGTCGGCGACACGATAGGACGATCTAATCAAGGTGCTCAAGAACCATGAGCCAATTATGATCGCAAGCGGTAATGCGTTACCACCACCAGCATATGGGGTGGTCTGTGGCATAGACGTGCAAGGTCACGCGCCGATCAAGCAACGAGCCCGGCGGATACCACTATGGCATCTCAAGAAGCTGTATGAGCTGCTGAGGGGGCTGCTCAAGGCTGGACTCGTGTCTTTCTCTGACAGCCCGTGGGCATCGCCGATCGTCATTGTCATGAAAAAGAACGGGATCGACATTCGGCTGTGCATCGACTACAAGCTGGTCAATGCCATCACAGCGATCATGGAATACGCCATGCCACTCGTCGATGACTTGTTGACCGACCTAGAAGCATACCTCTGGTTCTGCTCACTCGACGCTGCGAGTGGATTCTGGGCCATCATGATGACGCTACGAGCGCGCAAGATCTCGGCCTTCGTCTGCCCGCTGGGACACTTCGAGTGGCTTCGCATGCCTTTCGGCCTCAAGAACGCGCCGATGATCTACCAGCGCATGATCGACAACGCGTTGTGGGGTCATGTCCAGCCGAAGGGAGGTTGGAAGGCGTTTGCGGAACGGATGGGAGTTGCCGAAGCCGAATCAGCACGTCTCCGACGACTCGAGTCGTCGGGATACCTGCAGAACCCTTCCGCAGCGTCCCGCACGAAGTTTGCAGCCGCCCACGATGACTCGCAGGCACTAGATCCTGTCTTGCTGCTGATCAACAGCCCGGATGCGGACATGTTTGCGACCAACGAGCCCGACGACTCGTCACTGGTTCCGGTGTTTGATCGCCGATCGTTTGTGGATGCCATATGCTTCGGAGGCGAGAGCTTCGAAGACTGTCTTGCCACGCTGGACCGGCTCTTGAGCCGATTTGAGGAGTGCCGGACCAGCGTCAGCTTCACCAAGAGCATCTTCGTGCAAGGACGCGTCGATTTCCTGTCTCACGAGATCTCGCGAGATGGGATGCACGCAGACCCCAAGAAACTGGACGCAATCACGAAGCTGTCGTTCCCTCGGACAAAAAAGGGAATGCAGTCCTTCCTCGGAGCGCTGAATTACTACCGCCGGTTTATCCAAGACTTCGCAGTCTATGGAGCCGCGCTGTACCAGCTCAAGGACGACGACTTTGCGCCCGGGAGTGACCTCGCTGTAGCCCGCCGCAGCCTCCAAGCACTTCAGCAGAAGGTGGCGGCGGCGCCGATCCTTCGGCACTTCGATAAGAAGAAGGACGTGCACGTGATGCTTTACGCGAACGAATGGGCACTCAGCTCGACATTGCTCCAGATGCACGACGACAAACTGCACCCCGTGCGCTTCTGTGGTCGCGTCTTGAAGGACGCAGAAATGAATTACCATCCTGCAGAAAAGGAGGTGTTGGCTCTACTCCAGCTCCTGAAGGCCTGCTATACGCAGCTAGCGGGACGGACCATCCGCGTGTACACGCGGTTCTCTACGTTGGAATGGATCACCAACTCCAAGTCACTCTTCGGGAGAGCGGTGCAATTCGCCGTGTTGCTTTCCCCGTGACACTTGATCGTCCAGCGCGTGAAGGAGAAGGGCTGCGTATTTTCACAACTGCTCCAGTCGACGGTAACCAACTTTGTGGACCTCGATGACTCGCTGGACCTGGTTGCTCCACCAACGAAAGGCTCACCGACGACTCGTATGGACCCAAACCTCCTGTACGCATGTCTCCCGAAGACTCACACGGGGTTTGTGGTCTCCTTTGACGGCTCCGCGAAGACCGAGAAGTATGGTGGATATGGCAGTTGTTCGTGCATCGTGTGGTGCCTACCAGAGTGGACAATAGTGATTGCGGCGAGCGCTTACCTCGAGAAGACGACTGTTAATCTCGCCGAGTTCACTGGCATGACCAACGGAGTGCTTGCAGCTTTGGACCATGGCGCCGAAGACTTGGTCATCGTCGGGGACTCGATGCTCGCGATCCAGCAATCCCTAGGGGTGATCGCATGCCGGAAGGAGGCGCTGATGACTCAGCTGAGTCGCCACAAGGAAATCACGGCACGACTGCGGTCAGTCAAGTACCTGCACGTGGTTCGAGAATTCAATGCGGCCGCAGACTCATTGGCGTCGGAAACACTTGAATCCAAGACGTCGAAGGTGGTCCTGAGTGAAACTCGGAAGGCAGAGCTCTGCGAACGGAACCGCATCCAGGAAGTGATCTATGAGTCGACGCCAGATGAAGCAACAGTGCAAAACCATGTTCCTGGAGGCTCTATTCACATTGCGGACGGATACGAGGTCACCAACCCAGGACATTCGCTGATTTCGTGCGCAAAGAACATTTCAGGATCATGGCGATGACTCGTTCACAGGCTAGATCGAAGACGAAGCGAGTCCGATTTGCGGACGACAGTACGAACGAGACGCCACCCAAGCCGATGACTCAAACCGACAAAGAGCACACTGATGAACGACCACCGAAAGCAGCTCAAGCACCGCCCGCAGCGCCAAAGGCAGAAGACATTGACCCCGTCGAAGTCCAAGCGGAGAGGCGACGGCGCATAGCAGCCGCTCAGGACGAGGAACTACGGTGGGAAAACCAGAAAACAGTCCTCCGAGGCGAGGTCGAGAAGCTCGGGTACAGGGCTGCACGAGATGCCTGGAAAATTGCGGACAAGTTCGTTCTGTCCGACGACGGAGTACTCTACAATGTGAATTCGAGTCGTCGAGACACGTCTGGAGACCAAGAGGGGATCAAGCTGCGTCTCGTGGTACCCACCACGATGATTCAAGAAGTGTTGCAGAACTGCCATGACTCGCTAGAAGGCGGGCACCAGGGGGTAGTGCGGACCTACCAGCGAGTCAAGCGGGATTACTATTGGTTCGGCCTCTACACAGACGTCGAGAAGCATGTGAAGTCGTGCCCGGACTGCAGCACCAGCAAAAGCCGACCACAGTTGCGAGGGTATTCTCCCGGCAACGTGTTGGCAGAGCGACCACTCCAGATTGTGTCCATGGACTTCGTAATACCGCTCCCGATGACTCGGAGAGGCAACACTGCCCTCCTCCTGTTCCAATGTGCTTTCACGGGATTTGTGATCGCCAAGGCAATGTCGGACACGACAGCGCTCAAGGTAGCCCAAGCTTTCGAAGAGTGTATATACCGACGATTCGGAGCACATTCGTTGGTTAGACACGACCGGGATCCTCGCTTTATGAGCGAGGTGTTCCAGGCCTTTGCCGAAATGATGCACTCAAGGTCGCGGGCTACGCTGAGTTATCGGCCCCAAGTCAACGGGCAGCAAGAGAGGTCGGTGAAGACGGTGATTCAATCCGTGAGAGTGTACGCCGAAGACCCGCTTCAGCAGGACTGGGACGAGATCGTGGAACGGTTGGTCTTCGCGATCAACAACTCACAAGACATGACACGGAAGGAAACTCCATTCTTCCTCGTCCATGGATGGGACGCTCTGTCGACGTTGAAAGCGATGTCGTCATCGCTCCGCAGAGCCAGTAGCAGACAATCCGACGCGCTGGCGTGGCGCCGGGACGTCAACCGACAACACCAGATTGCACTCGAGATGGCCAAGGAATACCAAGCGACTGAAAAAGCCCGCCGAGCACGCGAACATAACGAAGCACTGAGCCGGAAGGAGAGAGCAACCATCCCGACGACTGGCAGGAACAAGTCGTAGACAGCAACGCCAACCAATCAGGACGCGGACTCAGACCCCTCAAGCAACGCGCCGATGTCTCTATTCGAGCCGGGTAGTCGCGTATGGCTGTACATGGAACGTGTCAAGCCGGGGCTGACCAAGAAGCTGGCCCACCGCTGGCACGGCCCGTTCCGGATCAAGAAGAAGGTCGAATAGTACGCCTACGAGCTCGAGTTGCCGAACCGGAGCGGCTATCGGATTTACCCGGTCTCGCGGTTGAAGCCGGTGAGTGAATTCAAAGACCGCCCGAAGACTCGACTGGCGCCTGACATCACCGAAGACTCACGGTTGGACTTCGACGAGGAATTACTCCCCGAAGATAGCTGGGAACCTGATTGTCTGGCCGGTGAGAGCGAAGTGTTGGAGATTCTGGATGATCGGATGCCCATGTCAACAAGAACGGTAAGCTCAGTGCGTGAATTCAAGAGCAAGGGGGCAGATCAGGACGAGACCACGTGGGAACCAGTCACCCACCTCTCCTGTGGGGGTCTTCTCTACGACTACCTGAGGCGCAAGCGAAGCGAGTAACGCCTTCAGATGGTACAGGTCACGGACGAAGATTAGAGCTCGCTCGCGACGACTCAAAGATGATGAACTACGCCTGGGGCAGCGCAGCCCAGGAGGGTAGACGAAAATGACTGCTGCGGAAGATGGTGACCTGTACCTGGGGCAATGCAGCCCAGAAACGCAGACGAAGACGATTACTGCAGAAGACTTGCATGATTTTTATTTTTTTAAAACTGGACATGACGATCTGGAAGAAGAATCAAGAAAACCTAAATACCCCAAGCTGAACGCGCCTAAGACTACAACCGTGAAAACTCAAACAGCTTGGGTGGAAGAAACACCTGCACCCGAAGACTCACCGTTCCTAGTCGTCACGATCCTCGCGAGCGTCACCCTGCAACTCAGCAGAAGCTGCAGCCTGCGCCAGCACCCGGAGGTGGTCCGAGTTGTCGAGAGCCACGTGAGAAGTAGCTGCAGACGCCGGAGGCTCGCTTGGCTCAGGACCCGAAGACTCGTCGGAAGCTTGGGCAAGTTCACAGAAACCATCATCCGAATCAGCCGCGATCTCGTTTGGCGTGAGGTCGGGACAAACGACGATCTGGCGCCCGACTTCCTCGCGCGTGGTGTTTGCAGGGACGAACAGCGGAAACCTTGGATTGCAGGGGAAGAACGTCGTGTTGTACGGATGCTGGGCAGGAACATCCACCCAGCCATTACGCCACGGCTCAGCCGCGTCCAACGCTGAAATCTCGCTGACCCAGTCGGTCGTCTTGGGCAGCCACGTGAGGTTGTCGAAAGGGCAACCCAGCATAGAAGGCTCAAACAAAGACTCGGTGTGGAGAGCAGCGAACCTCGGTTCCTTGCTGACAAACCACCTCCAGACCTGGTAGATGATCTTGGCTCGGAACCGATCCCAGCGCTTGTTCCGTTCGGCAGCATACGCCAACCACTCAGCCTTGGCCTCGTCCAGCTCAGCTCGAACTTTGGCCTTCGCCTCAGGGGCCCATTATTCCCTTCCAGCTCCTTGTTAGCGATCCGGAAGCAATTCACCACGGCCGGAGCCGGAATCCAGTGGTAACGCTCCCAATCCGAGAACCCAAGATCAATATCGTCAGGATCCCCGTACCCTCGAAAGTTGCTCCAATACTCGTTAACTCGAGTCGTCGGGGGCGCTCGCTGGGAGACCTTGATAGAAGGATCAAATCCATGGGTGTCGAACAAATATGCGTACGCCGGCGAAGCTGCTGCCAAGGGTGGTACGGGTTCTTGAAGTCTTTAAACGCCTTGATACCAGCAGTCGTGGCAGCAATCCGAGCATCCCCGGGAATAGAAGTCGGCAACTTGCAATCTGGATCCAGCACTTAGAAGCGCCAGGAAACCGGAATTCAGGAGCCAAGTATAGAGTAGCCCAGTTCAACACGTGTTTGGAGTAACGAGCAGTGGGCAGCACATCTCGGGCTGCATGCGAGGCAGACAGAGAGCGCGCAGAACTTGAACTTGGTCCTGGGGCCGATAACTGCGTAGTGACAACTTGACACGATGACAACTTATGGCGAGACTTAGCCGGTTTCTTACCTCGGGAACGAGTCGTCGGAACCTTCTGAGATGCCGCATTTGCAGGCCGGTGAGCCAATGAAACAGCGACCGAGGTGTCCGCCGGCTCAGCAGAAGCTGCAGGAACAAGCGGAAGAGAAGCCGATGACTCAGCGCTGGCAGGAGGCAGAGCTGGTGCAGGTGACGAGAGATCAGTGGAATCCGATGACGACAGACCGTCAGCAACCAGAGGTGACGAAGCTGGAACTACAGTAACCACCTCAACGCGCTCTCCCTACCACTCGTCGAGTTCCTCCTCATCAGCAGAAGCAGCACCGCCACCAACCACTGAGTCGTCAACCAGACCCTCCGTCAATCCAGCATCCGAGTCATCTCCGAACCACTGAGGTACCTCCGGAGACTGCTCGACTGAAGCTAACTGCTCGTCCGTCCATCCGCGATCAGCCCGATGACTCAAGCCACCAACTTGTGGATCATCACCGGAACCAGAGACTGGGACAACAGCTTGGCAGGAGTTTCCGCAGAAACAGCAGACGGCGCAGAACCAGGAACAGAGGGCGCAGTAGCCTTCGCGACTGGAGCAGGACTCGTGGGGGGAGAGACACTGGAACCGATGAAGCGCGTAGACCGGAGAGCCGCGAGGCATCGACGCAGAACGACTTCGTGTCCAGCGAGACTCCTTCCGCTTCTTGGGCAACTTCTTGAGCTTCTCCGACGACTTCCTCACGGGAGACGATGACGCCGATGACCCAGCCGATGACTCGGCAGAAGTCTTGCGAGCCTTCGACCCTGAGCGACTCGGCCGAGCTGGGGAAGCAGCAGCACTGACGTAGCCCGAGTCTTCGCGAGACCTCTTGCGGGGCGAGAACCGTGGAGACGACGATGACCGACGCGACGCGCGAGCTTTCTTGACTGCAGTGGCAGACGGCCCCAGAGTGGTCTTGTTTGCACCAGCGGGAGTGTCCTTGCGCAAGGGATCCCCGATGGAGTCATTCAGTGAGAAGGCAGTCCGAGCCAAGTCTTCGGCGATATCTCTGTCCGGCTTGGAGCGGTCTGCTGTACGGTGCTGCTTCTGCAAAATCGCGAGAGACTCGGGAGTAAGATCCGGCAAGCTCCAATTGAGTTCACCAGTCGAGATACCTGCAAGCAAGATGAGTCATCGGGACAAAGTCAGCAAACATAAACCAAATGACGACCAAATAGTGACTACGAACCTTCTACGGCGAGGACCAGGACGTCGGGGTCCATTTCCTCCAGCTGCACGTGAGCGCGAAGCGTCTTGTTGGCACGGGTCAGCCGCTTCACTTGCTCTTCGAGGTCCTCATTGCGGCGGCGAAGGCGAGCTGGTGCGGTGTCGTCGGCGGCGTCCGAGCGAGCCAGCAGATCGTGCAAGCGCCTGCTTTGAGCAGTTGACGAAGCAACGGCCGCCTTGTAGACCTCCTGCTCACGTTTCAACTGAGCTAGAGCCCGAGCTTGCGAGTCTTCGGCCACCCTGACACGATTCTCCTGTCGATCGGAACACTCTCTGAGGCCATCCACGGCGGCGTTCGACGACTCGAGCTCGACGATGTAATGAGCCTCCAGCTGACGAAGATGCGCGACATCCTTCTTCAGTTGTGCGATCTCGTCGTACGCGTTCTTCAAGAATACCTTCTGGTTCTCCAAAGAGTACGTCTGCGACCGCAACCGATTCTCTGCAGCAGCCTGCGCTGACTCAGCAGAGTGCAGCCGGGCGCGCAAAGTTGCCATGTCCAGCGTCGAGCCTTCGCCAACATCCATGTTCGGCTCCGCAGCAGTAACCACTTCATCGAGGTTCCGGGCCGACGCCAGGCGAGAACCCACGCGGCGATCACCTCGGATGCTCGGTCCCAGCTGCAGGTTCACCGAGAGACGGCCGAGAGACTCCAGCTTCGAGCCCAGCACCGCCAAGATGCGCTCCGACGACTCATCACGTACATCATGGACCAGCTGCTCAAGGGCGTCGCGACGCATAACTTGACCACGACCGCGCGAGTTGTCAGGAGCAGGCTGAGAAGAACCAGGAGACCCAGGGCGAGATGCTGCCGGGGTTACCGAAGACTCGCGGCCACGCATAGCCTCGATAAGTGGTTGCGGAGGCACGCCACCAGCCGACTGCAGATATAAGCAGACGCATCAACGAGAACAACGTCAGCACGAGTGAAAAGAAGGGAGACGCATGCAGAGACAGGGTACGCACCTGTGCGTCATCGCCTGGACGCGGAGTACCGGCAGCCGTCGACCCAGCGCGAGCAGAAGACGACGACCGAGCAGGCGAAGACGCAGCAGAAGCCTGGCCGGAGAGGCCGCCACCAGAACTCGACACAGCGGGGGCGCATGGGAGATGGAGGGATTTGTCTCGCGACCACTTTGACCACATTTGACCACATTCGACCACATTTGACCACAATGTTGTCTCGATGGTATGTCTCGATCCTGGTGGAAAAACAGATGTGCTATGAAAGTTAGATTTTATTGCTATACGCTAAAGAACTCTGTTATCGTACGAGTAGTATTCTTCTTCGCTAGCAAACACGCAGGATTTTGAGACCCTTCACCGCACTGTAAGTTCTTCTGGCGGCAGCTCGAACACGAAGTCGCCTTGCTAGCTGGAGCGAGAGGTGGAGCAATGCTGTCAGATATCTCGTTGCCGCTACTCGCTGGCTTGGGACAATTTGTTTCTGCTGTTCGACGTCGTTTAAGGCGGCAGCGTAGTTGATTATCCGTGAGGTTCGCGTCAGGGTAATATTTCTTCAGCTCCTGCTGCAGCAATATATATTTTCCACGAGTATACACCAGCGAATCAGACAGTTTACACAACTCAGCCAAGTGCTCTGGTGCGATAGTAGATGGCCGAGGCCGTTTTGTTGGAACACTTGATTGTCCTGCATCTTCACCAATCCCAACAGTGTCACGACAAATAACCTGCGGTTGTAGTCTTGCTGGAGGTGTGTCGTCTGCATTTGCACTAGTTGTAGTGGTCGCAGCATCGATGTCATCGTTCGCTGCAGTTTCTTGATCTGTAAGCAGAGTACTTAATGGCTCGGCTCGTTTTTCTTCTTCATTGGGGGCTGGACAAGATAATGGAGCGTCTGTGGGGTTCGTGATCATAGCTAGTCTCCTCTTCTTTCGATTTTGGGCCGCCTTCAGCGCTTCTCAGCGCTTCTCCCGCACCGATTCATCAAGTTGACCAATTCCAGCGCAGACACAACTTGCAAAGTCGTAGATACGGTGGAATAATCGTTTACGAGCTGTGCCGGCCTTGAACTTTCGCAGAATCTTGAAGACATCGCGCATCAAATCAGCCTCGCAGTCTATCGGTGAACGCAAAGCCAGGGAAACAGCTTCTTGAGGAGCAAAATGGAATATTTTTGTTTGTTTTTGAGCGGAGCTTGTACTTTCAGGATCAGCACCAAGTGATTTAATTTTTGAGACCATCGTAGCATAGCTCCGCTGTTGTAGCCGTATTTTAGGGTTCGTGTTGTTGCAAACACCAATATTGAACATCAACGTTGTTATCATTTCACACGTGCACCATTCACGCTTACTAGCAGCCTGCTCGTTACGCAGCTGCCTGAGCAGCTCGTGCTCCTCCGTAGAGAAGCCCTGGTCGCCTTCACACTCGGTACTTCCCAGTCGAATAGAGTTAAAAAAAACTCGTCACGCTTCAGCTTGGCCGATTGGAGGGTAACGGCACTTTTTAACAGCAGTTCCGCTACTGTTGAGCGGTGTTGCCGGGAGCGATTAAGATTCCCTTCGAGACATGTTGTGTTCACTCTTGCACTTTGAAATACCTGTGCCCAGGAGTCGATCTAAGTCCCGCTCGGTCTCCGTTCTATACTGCGGGGGTACAAGCGGCGAAGAGAAAGCTGCATCACATACTCCATCTGAGGCGAAGTAGGGACCATCGTTCCACAGAGTAATGCAGTATGGCTCGCCGAAATCAAATCAACGCCATTCATGGGCGGATTGCGCCCGAACTTAGCACCGATAGACAAATTATGCTTGACGATAAACCAATCTAAGATCCGCAAGCCAACATCAATCGATACATTTCTGGTAAGAAGTTTTTTTAAGGAAGAGTGAAAGCCCTCAAGTTGGCTAGTAGATACCACGCGAACTCGATGACCGCCTTCCCTGTAAGTGTTTGAGCCCACGTACAACTCGCACGCTGAATCTGCTCCAAATTACTCTGACACAACCCTTACCACTCTTTCAGGCTGCACGATACACTTGAGCGCAAAACACCGCTGACTACACTTTGAAATTGAAGAGCCATTTCAGCAGTAGGGCGCAATTCACGATCCACATTGTAGATCGCACGGGAGAGTTCCTTTGAAATTCGTTTGCTGGTGACGGGTGCCTTTATTTTTTTCAGTGATGCGAGTTATCACGTGAAAGGGGTCCTGTTTTGTGACCACCTCGCTACCAAACACTTCTGTGACCATTTTCTTGACAGCCGACGCGTTATCCGACACAACTACATGATCCAGGTCACCCCCAGAAGGCGCACGAAACTGCGACTTCACATGTTGAAGCAAGGCTCGTGTTTCTTCCTTGTTTTCAGACCTGGTCAGCCGCCGCCCAATAATCTGCCCAATTTCATTCTGGAACAGCAAAAGCATTTTCGCATCTTTGAGAGATTTACGTTGCCCCTTGGCCTTCCACAGCTTTAGCCGCTTGCAGAACTTGACAGAGTGATCCATTCTCATGGCCCTCTTTACAACACAGTCTTTCATCACTTTTTCACACAGCGACCCGTACAGCTCTGTAGCGTGTAGCCATGCCGTCGTAAGCGTGTGATTGTCAACAACTTTGTTTTGATCTGCATACTGATCCTCTGATATTGGAGTGAGGGCCAGATAGGTGAAGCAACGCTCGTGGTTTCGCTTGATGCCACTGGAAAACAGACCCAAAAGCTTGTAGTAGCGCTGTTTGCGCCTACGCTCCATATTTTCCATGGTACGTTGCAACCCATTCTGCGCGGTAATACCGTCATGAACCGTCTCCATGAGTGAGTTCGAGAACACTAGCTTTTGGCTCAGAACAAATGGAAAGTGAAAAATCATATCGGGCCATTGTGCAAAGTAATCCGAGCTCACAGTGGAAAATATGATCCTGTTACAGCGCACCTATACTTCACAAATACCAGGTCGCACTTGCACTCCACAGATTCCACCACACGACGGCAATAGTCTTTCACCTTCGGATTGCAGTTGCAGTCTCGGCTGATGCACGACGGCAGACCTTTGCCTCTTCGATACGCCGGGGTCCACACGAACAACGGACGTGAAAACAGCCGCGACAACTGCATGTCATCCACCTTTTCCTCAGGATAAACTAGACGGGGAGGGAATGAGCGCCGTCCAACCGCCTCGACCACTGCTGCCTTGTTATCATTGCGCGCTGCTAACAAGGCCATGCTTACTGTGAACTCCTCAGCTACAATTTCTCGGTAAATAAAGGGAAAACGGCTGCGCCCCTCCGGGGCTGCGGCCGGAGTTCGGAGATCTCACCTAAATTTAACGGAGTTCGGGGGCCTGTCGGCCCCCGAATCTCCCATAAACCGCAGCGGGAGCCTGCCGCCAGCAGAACAAGCGCACACGCGTGAGGGTGAGCAGTCGACGGCACGAGCAGGAGACCGAACGCAGCACGTACCATGTCAGCGGGATCGACGCAGAGCGCCCGGAACGCGCGGGCCAGCGCAGCCTTCGCGGCGCGAGACGACCCAGCCGTGGTAGCGCGAAGACACCGGGAGCACCCTGACACTCACCAAGTGCTGTGGCTCGCGATACGGTGTGGGCAGCTGTGGTGTCGAGAAAGTTGAGTGAAGCTTACGGCAAGCCCCGCGGCATTCGGCGTCGACTAAACTGGCGGATCGAGGCACATCGCCATTCGTTCGATGGTGTTCGACGGCCGCGGATTGGCCAGTTTGGACCAATGAGGATGACTCGTCAACACTCAAGCTCAAGCCGTGGTGTGTCCACACAACACCGGAACTTCAAGTACGATCCGAACCTACAGCGAACTTTGACCCGAGATCCGCACTTAAGACGACCGTTCGAGCCCCGGTGACTGCTCCAAGTCAGGGAACCCCTTCATCGTCCAATAGAGTCATCGAGAGGCCTCTTGGGGCGTCGAGGAGGCTCTGAAGGGTCGGTGGTTACTTGGGAAGATCCACAACGGACACGTCTAGACTAGATATTTGTATTGAACCATAGGAAAGAGAAGATAGAATAGATAAGCCCTTTGGGCAACAATGACAGGACAGCTTTTCCTCCCAACCTCTCAAGGAAGACGTCCGGGCTATCGGTGAGTTCCCGTAGCAATTGGATAAACCTGTTGGTAGGATTATGACTGCGCCTGCTAGTATCGTAGCGTGCGTTTACCCGTGGTCAGGCCAAGAGTAGTGAAGAAGTGGCCGTGTATACGAAGGGCGAGTCATCGCCGTGTAGTGGAGGAGCGAGAGCGCACTCCATTTATCCTTCCCGTCGGAGTATAGCTCCGGAACCCTCGTATCAAGCCGTGACTGGCTGGGACCCTTCCTTCCTGAGGGCCTGCGAGGTTTATATTGTGTGTGAGAGCGTGTCAGCCTTTGCTCGTGGCTGGTGACGCTAGGTTTCCGTCAGTTGACAAAGCGGAAACACGGTGCACAGAGGAAACATCAACAAGGTGCAATGGAACGTTCCTGGGCCTTCAGGTTCTAACCCTTACAAGCCCATTGAGTCATTGGGACTTGGTGGGTGTTGTTGGTGGGGAAAGTGTGCTATCATATAACTTAGTGCGTGTTCCTACACGACACTAGGACCCCACCGACGTTCGGATCTTTCAGCTGCAAGCATGAAGGTGATCCCGAGTGTCATGGCCCTCGGCACCTTCGTCACCGCCCTCGTCTTCAGCCCCGAGGCTGCCCGCGCTGACGTCGAGGAGGCCGAGCCCGGCACTGAGCTCTTCAACCAGTTCCGCCCGGTTTACCACTTCTTGGCTCGCGAGAAGTGGATGAGCGACCCGTGCGCACCGTACTACAACGAGGCCACCGGTCTGTATCACATGTTCTACCAGTCCAACCCGAACTCGACGATCTGGGGCAACATGACCTGGGGCCACGCCGTGTCCAAGGACCAAGTGACCTGGAAGGACTACTCGGATGCCCTGCTACCGTTCCAGGACAAGTGGGACAACCTCGGTGTGTTCTCGGGTTTCTCCATGGACAACGCTATCGATGGCAAGCACACGGTGTTTTACACTGGTGTCACCGCTCTCCCCATTTCGTGGAAGAACGAGTACCTCTTTGGTGAGCACGTGCTGTACGCCACCACCAGCAACGGCGGCTCTACCTGGCAGAAGGGTGCCAAGGCCCTCATCAAGCTGCCGCCCAAGGGCATGAACGTCACGGGCTGGCGCGACCCCATGTCGTTCCACTCGCAGTCGCTGGACTAGCACTTTGGCTACGACGCCACCGCCGGCAGCAACTACATGCTCTTGGCCGGTGGCATCCACGAGGAGGGCCCGCGTATCTTCCTCTACCACGCTGAGGACTACGTGAACTGGGAGTACAAGGGCTTCCTGCTCGCTCCGGAGAAGAACACGTCCTTCTCCGAGTACAGCGCCAACTGGGGCTTCAACTTCGAGACGACCATCTACCGTGAGATGAAGGATGAGGACGGTGAGATGCACAACGTGATGCTCTTCGCCGCTGAGGGCGACCCGAACCGCTGCCCGATGTGGGCCACCGGCACCTTCGGTGCTGCCGACAGTGACAGCGCGAGCGCGGACTCGGACGCCGGTCTCTTCACCCCTCTGATGGTCGGCGTAGCGACTGGTACGCCAACAGCATCTACACCGACAAGCACGGCAAGGACGTCCTGATCGGTTGGATCACCGAGGACAACAACTTCGCCAAGGGCCAGCCCCAGGGCTGGGACGGCATCCTGTCGCTGCCGCGTGAGGTCGGCATCTCCTTTGTGCGTGACATCCACGACGTTGACGACCACCTGGTCGGCAAGGGCGACTGGATCCTGTCGAGCACGCAGAACGTAACGGTGGCCGGCGGCAAGACGCTGCCGAGCAAGACAATCAAGACGCTCAAGGTGCGCCCGCCCAGCGACCTGCGTCTTCTGCGCAACACCGAGTCGGGCGAGGTGGTGCCCAGCGTGACGCTGAACGGCACGTCCAAGGCGCTCAAGTCGACCGGCAAGTCGTTCGAACTCATCGCGCAGGTGTCCGACTTCGAGCGCGGCACCCAGGTGGGCTTCGAGGTGCGCCCCAGCAAGGACGCCAAAAAGACGACGACCATCCTGTACGACGACAAGGACAAGAAGATCATCATCGACCGCTCCAGCAGCTCCAACGCCGAGTGCCCCGTGTTCGTAGACAACGAGGTGACCCCCGTCTCGGACGACATCTGGGGCCACTTCTACCTGTACGACGTCTTCCAGCCCGTGGAGAACGACGACGACGCCTCGGATCGCTCAAGTGGGATCTCGACTCGGACTCGGACTCGGTGGCCGGCGAGGCGGACTTGCTGGCTGATGACTCGGACTCGGCTTCGCTTGACGTTGACTCGGACTTGGACTCGCAGGCGGACGACTCGGAGTCTGGAGAGGGCGATGTGTACAAGGTGACGCGTGAGAACCTCAACTTCCACGTGTTCGTGGATGTGTCGACGGTCGAGGTGTTCGTGAACGACCGCTTCGCTCTCTCGGCCCGCATCTACCCGTGCGGTGAGGCGTCGGACGGCATCTCGCTCACTGCGTCGGGCGACGCCACTTTCGAGAAGGTGCAGGTGTGGACGAACCCGAAGCACGCGTGGTCGGCCAAGCGCTCGGTGCCTACCAAGCAGATCCACAAGAAGACTGGAAAGGTCGTGAAAACGGCATAAGTCGAATGAGCGCGTGCGAGGTGCCCAGAGTACCAACCCCCTCGCACACGCAAAACAGCAGTCACACAACAAATCAACGTAGCGTCCTACCATTCTACATGTGGTTGAAGCACTTCGTATTACATTTATGTATCTCGTTTTTTTAAAAGCTTTTAAGCTTTTTTAAAAAGCGTAAACCAGTAGCATCATCCATCAAAAAGGCTTTCAAAATCTTCGGTAACACTGTTACCACAACAGGCATAGCCAATTTCAGCAATGGTTCGCGTGCGTCGGCGTCGTGACAACATACCACATAGATAACGCAAGGAGGGTGTCGGTCCACTTTACCACTTCGTTCGAAGCCCGTCAATTCATGTCGAAGTTCCAAATCTTGTTGGCCGATTCGTCAGAAAATGGAGTGACCTCAGGCAGATACAGAATGAAGAGTAGCCGAAGTGGATCGAATGGTAATACACAAGATAACGCTACGTGTTTTTGACTTATGTATGCGCAAAGAGCATTGCAACCGGAGTTGTTTCGACTACCACTTCAACAAGCTTAGAAGCTGGGCACGGTGCGCTTGTCAGCCCAGGCGTGCTTGGGCTCCGTCCACACCTGCACGTTCTCGAACGTCGCGTCGCCCGAAGCGGTCAGAGCAATGCCGTCCGACTTGGTCTGGCTCGCGCACGGGTAGATGCGGGCCGACAGCGAGAAGCGGTCGTTCACGAACACCTCGACGCTCGACACGTCCACGAACACGTGGAAGCTCAGCTTCTCGCGCTTCGACTCGCACACGTCGCTCTTGGACGCACCCGTGAAGATGTCGTACAGGTAGAAGTGGCCCCAGACCGACTCCGAGATCGGCTTCACGTCGTTGTCGGCGAACACGGCGCACGTGGCCGTCGAACTCTTCGAGCGGTCAATGATGATCTTCTTCTCCGCGTCGTCGTACACGATGGTCGTGACCTCATCACCGGCGCTGCTGCGACGCACCTCGAAACCGACCTTGCTGCCACGCTCGAACTCCGACACCTCGGCGATCAGCTCGAACGACGCACCGGTCGAGTTGAGCACCTGCGACGAGCCCTTCATCGACACGCTGGCCACCTGCTCGTGCGCGTTCTCGTTGCGCAGCAGCTGCAAGTCGCTCAGCGCCTTCACACTCAGCGTCTTGATGGTCTTGCTCTGCTTGGCCAAGCCGTCGGCGCACGACACGTCCTTGGAGTCGGACACGATCCAGTCGCCCTTGCCCACGAGGTGGCTGTCGACATCGTTGATGTCGCGCAGGATAGTGATACCGACCTCACGCGGCACCGACAGCATACCGTCCCAGCCCTGCGGCTGACCAGTAGTGAAGTTGTTGTCCTCGGTGATCCAGCCGATCAGGACATTCTTGCCGTCCTTGTCGGTGTAGATGCTGTTGGCGTACCAGTCGCTGCGGTCCGACACTCCGACCATCAGAGGGGTGAACAGACCCGCCTCAGCGTCGGTCTCAACACCGCAGCCACCGCCGGAGATCGTGCCGGTGGCCCACATCGGGTAGCGGTTCGGGTCGCCCTCAGCAGCGAACAGCATCACGTTGTGCATCTCTCCGTCCTCGTCCGTCATCTCGCGGTAGATGGAGGTCTCGAAGTTGAAGCCCCAGCTGCCGCTGTACTGCGAGAACGTGGTGTTCTTCTCCTGAGCGATGAGGTAGCCCTTGTACTCCCAGTTCTTGTAGTCCACCGAGTGGTAGAGGAAGTGGCGGGGGCCAACCTCCTTAATGCCACCGGCCACGAGCAGGTAGTTAGAGGCGTTGGCAGCGTCGTAGCCAAAGTGAGCGTCGAGCGACTTCGAGTGGAACGGCATCGGGTCACGCCAGCCCGTGACGTTGAGGCCCTCAGGCGGCAGCTCAATCAGAGGCTCGCTGCCCTTCTGCCAGGTCTTACCTCCGTCTTCCGTAGTAGCGTACACGACGTGCTCGCCGAACAGGTAGGGCTTCTTCCACGAAATGGGGAGGGCAGTCACACCAGTGTAGAACACCGTGTGCTTGCCTTCGATGGCGTTGTCCATGGCGAAACCTGAGAACACACCGAGGTTGTCCCACTTGTCCTCAAACGGACGGAGCGCGTCCGGGTAGTCCTCCCACGTGACCTGGTCCTTGGACACGGCGTGGCCCCAGGTCATGTTGCCCCAGATCGTCGAGTTCGGGTTGAGCTGGTAGAACATGTGATACAGACCGGTGGCCTCGTCGTAGTACGGCGCGCACGGGTCGTTCATCCACTTCTCGCGAGGCGTGAAGTGATACACGGGGCGGAACTGGTTGAAGAGCTCAGTGCCAGGCTCGGCCTCCACGACGTCAGCGCGGACAGCCCCGGGGCTGAAGACGAGAGCGGCAACGAAGGCGCCGAGGGCCTTGACGCTCGGGATCACCTTCATGGTTGGTTGGGGAAGTCTCCGAAGATCGGTCGGTCTTGGAACTTGAGAAGTAGCTTCGGCGGGGCGAAGTGAATTGAGGAATGGCGACCAATTCGACTGGGCCGGAGACGTCCAGGAATCGATCCGGCTCGTGGTCCGCTGTGAAGGTCTCGTCCATTTTGACAGCCCCGCCTCGGGTCCGCTTGAAGTTTGGGAAGTCCACAACGGGGGAGGGCGGAGTTAACACTGCAGTGGCTGCGAGTCCCTTGACGAGGGCAGTTTTTGCACGCGTTTGCGACGTCTCGAACTTGATTTACTTCAGTTTGTTCACGTGGGACGCAGGTTTTCGAACGTCTCACAAGGGACGTGAGACGTTCGAAAACCTGCGATCTTGAACACTGAAGCGACGTGATTTGCATATGCCACACAAACACACTTCCAAAACCTGTGTGATTTTGCTGAACCTCCAATACACAATGTGCCCATACAGGTTCCATTGACGCACATCAGCGCGGATAAGTTCAAGCAGCGTGACTGCCCAAGCAGCCAACCTCCGCCAGCTGTGCTGGCAGAGGCACCGCAAAACTCGCCGAAATCTCGCGCCAAGCCCCCGGTTAACACCGTCACCGCACGTGGTTGCCAGGCACTCATTTGTTTGCAGCCGACGCTCCCAAGTGCGGTCTTACGTGCAGCTCACGCAGCAAAAGTTAGTTGGCAAGGAACGAGGTCTCCGCAGCAGCCAGCGCGCCGCGCGCGGCTTCAAAGACACCCCGCGCCATGCAAAGCAGCGAGATCAAGAGCCGGCATGGAGCTCGATCATACGAATTGATCCTGCCGCTGCGCAGAAACCCGGAGCGCAGATTATTTGTGCCGGGGCTCTGTAGCTGAAGTTGCGCTGCAACGCAGGAAGAGGAAGAAACGCTCCGCGCAGCATGTGTCGGGCTCTCTTCTGCCTCTGCGGACGGGCTCGGACTCGACACTCCGGCACTGGATTGATTCATCGATTGGTGCCAGGCCGTCAAACGCGAAGCGCACCTAGAAACGCAAAATTGTGGTTTGTCAAGGCTCACGTAGGCCACGCGTGAGCAGCTACTGTACGTGTTTCCCTCGATCATCAATCACCAAAAAGGTGTTGGAATTGGTTCGACGCTGTGGCCTCCACAGCAACGCATGGCAGGATTCCAGTTTCCCTGCAGATCATGCTGGCTGAGATGGGAGGCCAATCCTGACTGAACTCGCGTGGATTGATTATCCTTCGCCATGTTGAAGTCTTCAACACAACTTAAGCAAGCTGCTCTAATCGCAGCTCTCAAAACCGGCTGCAACAGAATTCTCAGCAGCATACGCTTGAGGAATTATCGCGGGGCGACAAAGAGAATGCAGTCGGGGCCACCCAACGATCGAGTGCATTGTACGTGTATTAGATACCGCATTTCGCATGTAGAGCGCTACAGCGGTTTAAGAGATGCACCTTTATTTAGACCAATCAGACATGCGAGAGAAAAGTCCGTGGGATCGCATGTAGAGAGATACATCCCTAATTTGGATATTTTGCGCATTTTTGCATTCCCATTGAGCCACCAGCTCCAAGCGCGCGAATGCAGAGGGGAAGAGCTGCGCACCGCTCGCCAACGTCGCGCTGCCCCCTCCCCGCGCGCTTGGAGGCATACGCCTCGTCGGAGTAATAGTTAGTAGCCACGCCTGGTGTGGGCCCAGTTGAGGCGCGCCTGAGTGCGCGATATGGGGAGCACGAGGTTAAACCACAGCGCGCAAGCTCGAGAGAGCGCACAACACGGCTGCTGCAGCGATGGTAGTAGAAGAAGCAACGCTGTAGATGCTTGGTTAAGTGGTGTGGTTCCTGTGCAACATAGTTGTAGATGGCGCCTAGACTTGTTGCTAGCTTAAGCGCCATCCTAGAGGAGATCGCTCCGCGCCATCCGCATGACTGGGCCAACCATCTCGTCAATTTTGTGTACGAAATGATCGCGTGACCCAGTTTTTGGGTTTTACGTTGTTTTTAGGCTCGAGTGCAGTAATTAACCTAAACCTATGACATGGGTGTGTTGCTACATGCGAAATGCGGTACAGTAAAGTGCGTCGATAAGAAACGCCTGATATACATTAAAAGAAAAAGGTATATTGATAATTAAAGGTTTGACTCGTCACATACAGACAGCAAATGCACTGATTTACTGCAATGTGTAGTTCATGTCGGACTTCGCGACCAGAGTCTCGCCTTGAGCCCACGCAGCCAGCCCAGCATAGGTAGCACCCCGTAGTCACGACGGTGATGACAGATTAGCAGCGACTGAAGCTTGGTCAGACGTAGCCGCGTCTGGAACGGTCTGGAAGTGGCGGTCACCATGGGAGTTGTGAGCAGCAGAGCGACATTTGGTTAATGAGACATGCTTACAGCGATCCTCATGATTCCCTCTCGCGACCTTTAGATTCCTCTTGAGGCTTGGTTTCGGAACTGTGATTGGCGGAATGTTAAACGGGACCGAATGATTGGTAGAATCATATAACTAATTCAGTACATTTGGCACTCAATGGGTACAAGCGAGGATTCATGTCTTGTCATAGAATATAAAATGTCGCCCGTTCCTTATCGACGCACTTTACTGTACATGTAAACCCGTGCCGATGTTGCTGCGGTGTCGAGTTCAAGATACATGTAGTTTGCAATGCTCGCCAGTTTACCAACACACTTCGTCTTAAATGTCCGCTTCAGATGCTGCAGCTTCCGCAGCATGATTGTAGGGCCACAATCCTCCGTCGTCGTTGTGGTTAAGCTTAAAACGATGAACACCTTCAAGAAATCCCAGACAAACGCTATCCAAAGTTTGTGTCGACAGGAGCCACATGCAGTACTGGTACAGTCACAAAACCGCACCCAGCATAGAGCCCAATAATACACGACTCGATCGAAGTAGAGAATCACTGGGAGGACTCGGACAAAGTTGATTCAGAGCGGTGTGTTATCAAGTTCTACATAAGAGACAGGCAGTCTGTCCATGATCCCACCTTCAGCCGCCCTCTCAAATGGTTTAGAAGGTAGGCACAGTGCGCTTGTCAGCCCAGGCGTGCTTGGGCTCCGTCCACACCTGCACGTTCTCGAACGTCGCGTCGCCCGAAGCGGTCAGAGCAATGCCGTCCGACTTGGTCTGGCTCGCGCACGGGTAGATGCGGGCCGACAGCGAGAAGCGGTCGTTCACGAACACCTCGACGCTCGACACGTCCACGAACACGTGGAAGCTCAGCTTCTCGCGCTTCGACTCGCACACGTCGCTCTTAGACGCACCCGTGAAGATGTCGTACAGGTAGAAGTGGCCCCAGACCGACTCCGAGATCGGCTTCACGTCGTTGTCGGCGAACACGGCGCACGTGGCCGTCGAACTCTTCGAGCGGTCAATGATGATCTTCTTCTCCGCGTCGTCGTACACGATGGTCGTGACCTCATCGCCGGCGCTGCTGCGACGCACCTCGAAACCGACCTTGCTGCCACGCTCGAACTCCGACACCTCGGCGATCAGCTCGAACGACGCACCGGTCGAGTTGAGCACCTGCGACGAGCCCTTCATCGACACGCTGGCCACCTGCTCGTGCGCGTTCTCGTTGCGCAGCAGCTGCAAGTCGCTCAGCGCCTTCACACTCAGCGTCTTGATGGTCTTGCTCTGCTTGGCCAAGCCGTCGGCGCACGACACGTCCTTGGAGTCGGACACGATCCAGTCGCCCTTGCCCACGAGGTGGCTGTCGACATCGTTGATGTCGCGCAGGATAGTGATACCGACCTCACGCGGCACCGACAGCATACCGTCCCAGCCCTGCGGCTGACCAGTAGTGAAGTTGTTGTCCTCGGTGATCCAGCCGATCAGGACGTTCTTGCCGTCCTTGTCGGTGTAGATGCTGTTGGCGTACCAGTCGCTGCGGTCCGACACTCCGACCATCAGAGGGGTGAACAGACCCGCCTCAGCGTCGGTCTCAACACCGCAGCCACCACCGGAGATCGTGCCGGTGGCCCACATCGGGTAGCGGTTCGGGTCACCTTCAGCGGCGAATAGCATCACGTTGTGCATCTCTCCGTCCTCGTCCTTCATCTCGCGGTAGATGGAGGTCTCGAAGTTGTAGCCCCAGTTGGCGCTGTACTCGGAGAAGGACGTGTTCTTCTCCTGAGAGAGCAGGTAGCCCTTGTACTCCCAGTTCACGTAGTCCTCGGCATGGTAGAGGAAGATACGCGGACCCACATCGTGAATGCCGCCGGCAACCAGGATGTAGTTGCTGCCCTTGGTGGCGTCGTAGCCGAAGTGAGCGTCGAGCGACTGCGAGTGGAACGGCATCGGGTCACGCCAGCCCGTGACGTTGAGGCCCTCAGGCGGCAGCTCAATCAGCGGCTCACTGCCCTTCTGCCAGGTCTTACCTCCATCATCCGTGGTAGCGTACACAACGTGCTCTCCAAACAGGTAGGGCTTCCTCCAGGAGATCGGGAGGGCGGTGACACCAGTGTAGAACACGGTCTGCTTGCCGTCGATAGCGTTGTTCATAGCGAAACCTGAGAACACACCGAGGTTGTCCCACTTGTCCTCGAACGGGTGGAGGGCGTCCGGGTAGTCCTCCCACGTGACCTGGTCCTTGGACACGGCGTGGCCCCAGGTCATGTTGCCCCAGATCGTCGAGTTCGGGTTGGACTGGTAGAACATGTGATACAGACCAGTGGCCTCGTCGTAGTACGGCGCGCACGGGTCGTTCATCCACTTCTCGCGAGGCGTGAAGTGATACACGGGGCGGAACTGGTTGAAGAGGTCGGTGCCGGGCTCGGCCTCCACGACGTCTTGAGCACGCGCAGTCTGCGGGCTGTAGACGAGGGCGGTCACGAAGGCCCCGAGGGCAATGACGCTCGGGATCACCTTCATGGTTGGAGTGGCTCGGTCAGTTGGGGGGTCTTCGGTGGGACGAAGGGAATTGGAGAGTGGCAAACGGATTGACAAAGCCGACGGGTGAGCAAACGAGAGCTCCTCCTCCTCCTTGTCCGCTGCTGTTGCTGCAGCTGTGGACAAGCCAGCGTTTGTCTCCCGGATGCAACCCAACTCGCGCCATGCCGCGCCTTGAGGTTTGAGTATAGGAGGGGGGTGATCAACCTTCATCGCGGATAACCACTGGGGCGCTTTGGCCATGCGACGCCACGAACTTGATACTTTTGCCCGTGTGCTGTTCGACTCGCTTCGACTTGGATCGCGTCGATTAATCTCGCGATTAACGCGTCTAGCCTCTGTACCATTTCGCCCCAAACTTCAACGGAGACCAAGCAGCACCCGGCATTTTTTCGGCGTTGCAGCCCTGTTACAAGCTGCATCGCAGCGCGCGAGTGCCTTGGAGGCAGCAGTCGCCACGTTCACTGCCAAGCTGCATGAAAGGATTACATGTATATGGTCGAGCCAGTTGCTTGCTTGCTAGCTACTGCTGTACGCAGAAGCAAAGCGGAGGATCAATCAGTCTGCATCTATTATAGGAGACGAGAATCTCCCCGAGGATGACGGGAGATGTCCACTAACCGTCGTCCGGATGCATACATTCATCTGCATGAAAGCTTTGTCAGTATTGTATCTCAACTTCCGTACGCAAATTGAATTTTGGCATCTTGCGTTGCAACTGTTGTGGGCGTATCCTGCTGGTTAATCCTGCTGAGTAGGAAGCTTCCGCTCGGACGTGTGCTTTGAGATACACAAACCAGAATGTTCACTTTCAAGTTGTTTTTTGTATTATTTCTGGTGCTTGTGAATCCTCTGTTTTTTCTGCTTCATTTTCTCTTTTTTGTTCTCCTTCTTGGCTCGCCTTGGTCGATGTCTGGGCCCGTAAAGTGGTGCCATCGCGCACAAGACTGGACGAATTGTCCTCACGGCTCTCGCTGATCAGAAATGCCCGGGTGTGCGCGGGCACATTCGAGACGACGTCCGCCTGCCGCCACTCGGCACTCCTCGTTGCCACGCTTTCGTCTCTCGCACGGCCTCGGCTGCCGCTTCGTAGTCACACTTGGACAACAACTTGGTCTACAATCTAACAACTAAACGCTCATCTCGTAGCGCTTAAATACGCATGCACGTACGTCACCGGCGAGTCTTCTACCCCCGTGACGTGATAAATTGCTTGCTCTCCATCAGAAGAACGAGCTCACCCTCTCTTCGTTCACCCAGCCTGAGTGCCTGGATAGGACCGCGGCGCGTTGCGGAAATCTCGCCGCTGCTTGCGCTGGCCTCCCGCGTACTTACGCGGGCCTCCGCTGCGCCACTTGCCGTTGCGGTTGTAGCTGTTGACGTAGTACGGCGGGCGGAAGGTGGGCGTGTTGCTCTGCGAGAAGCCCATCTTCTCCAGGTCGTCTGTGTACTTGGCACGCTCCAAATCGGCGTTGCTGCGTCCTAACCGGAAGACAAACTCGGGCAGTTCTTCCCAGCTTAATACCTTGGCGTCAGCAGTCATATCTGGCTGCTTGTCCTCCATCTGCTGCAAGTCCGTGGCCAAGAAGAAGCGGATGGCCTGCTCCAGCGTCTTCTTCACCTCCGGGTCGTCCTTCGGCTGGATGGTCTGATGACGTCGGTAGTGGAACTCGATACCAATAAACATGCACGAGCCCGGCCCACGGCGCTCAGCATCGCACGTGTGAGGGAAATAACGCGGGAACGCGTGCACCCGCGAGACCGGTGACATGTGGTGCAGGTTGTCCACGAGCTTGCGGAGTCGCGACTGAACAAACTTTCCCCACTTGTGCATCGCACTCTCCGAGGCCGCCTGGAAGTTGAACACCATGTACGAGCTGTACCGAATGAAGAAATTCGACGGCTGGAAGAGCTTGTCCCACGCGCTTCCTTCGCCGAAGCCCTGCGTGGTTTGCACTACTCCTTCCGTCGAGTCAACAGCATTCAGCGGCTGGTCGAAAGAGGGCATCGACGTAGCCATACACACAACTGCTGCCTTCAAGTCCGCTTCAGAACTTTCAGGCGACGGCGCAGCCGTGGGGAACGGCTTGGAAATGCCAACGGCAATTTCAGCCAAATACCTCGCGCGCCACAGTTCCTCGTAGATCACAGAGAACGTGGGCTGCGAAACCTGGACGGACGAGTTCATGTGGGGGTACGCCGGCGTGATAATCGGCATGATATGCGAGCGGTCGAACACGCTTTGGCGAGGATCCCACATGTCGAACCCCAGTCCGGCGTCGTAAATCATGTTCAGCATGACAGGCTGCGGCCACTGCCACTCCGAAAGCACCTGGAAGAATCGAACAAAGATTTTGGCAGGCTCCGCGTTCGGGTACAATTGGCACACGAACGCAACGAGGATAGCCCAACTGATACCACCCAAGTAGCCTAGCTTGGCTGAGTAGATCCCGCGACGGCGGGCCCATGCACGCACGGCTCGCAATACGATCCTGTACTCGCGACGTCTTGGCACCAGGCACAGCAGCATGGAGCTCACTCGTGGGGCGTTCAGAGCCTTCATCGACGTCTCATGAACGCCAACCAGCATGTGATCCGAATCAATGTTCTGGTTGGGCTCCACGCTCGACACAGGCAAGCGCGCGAACAACAGGTCCATCCGCACTCCCAAGAACGACAGCGAAATAAGCGGTACGTACGCGTTGGGCACAGGCGCAAGGTGGGATACCCCCGGCGTCTGCTCCAGCAAATGGCAGAACGAACTGAAAAAGTCGTCGTGGGTCACGTGCCAAGGCGCGACGCACACTGCATCAATATCCGAGTTGGGGTCGTCTAGTCCTAGACGGTACGAGCCAGCCAGGAACAGAGATCCCTTCGTCAACGCAATGTGCTCCTCGCTCAGCTCACGCTCGCGTCCGACCATCTTGACCCACTTGGTAAGCAGATCCGACAACTGCTTCAGCACCTGCAACTTGTGCATGCGCGCCTCAGGCACGTCCATAGGCGAGATGTCGTCGACATAGTCCACAAACGACTGCAGCGCAGTCGGATCCATGATCGGCTGCATCGGGCTCTCCACAACGCTACCAACGGCTGGAACCAGGTGACATTTGTGATACAGCACGTCCCGGGCCTCGTCAAGATACCCCTCGCAGATATTCGTGAACAGGTTCTGCTGCAGCTGCGTCGAGATCACTCCTTGCTGCGCTGCATGCTGCACCGACCACGACAGCGCGTTCGACTCTTCGTACTCGCGGTTGGCCACGAACTCGGCCGACAAGTTGTTGATCCGGTCCAGCAGCATGTACGCCTCCTCGTCCTCCTCGTAGCAGTTGGACAGCATCGACGAAAGCTCATCGTGCTCGTAGCACGCCTCCATCTCGCGGCGGTGCGCGCCAAAGTGCGACAGCGGGCTGTGTCGAGGACTTGGGCACGAGGACTCGGCGGTAGACTCGCTGTTGGTGTCGTCGCAGTCCAAAAAGTCGTCGTCACTCTCCAGAGCCTTCCGCGCGTGGTGTCTGCTGCTATTGCTACTGCTGCTGCCAACTGCCAGGTCGTGTGACAACAACTCGCTCTCGTCCGAGTCCAGCCCGGTAGACGAGGTGCTGGACGGAGGAGGGGAGACTGCCACAACGGGACTACGCGGCTGGGAGGAGACCGACAACCTGGCAACGGCCTTGACGGGGCTGCTCTCGCACGACGAACTGGATAGAGATTCCTGCGTATCAGAGTCCGAGGGAGCTCCCAACGGCAACGAGGCTCGACGCAACAGCACGCGGTCGTTCGACACGGTGCGGACGCGCGGACTGCCACTGCCACTTTCCTGGTTAACACCATCGTCTTTCTCCGACAGCGAATGCGCTTTACGCAGTGCAGAGGAGCAGGTGGAGGAGGAGGAGGAGGAAGCTGAACAGGCGGAAGCGGAGCGGGAGGCGCGTTTGCGCCCCTTAAAGCTCTCGCCCGAACCGTGCAACAACTTTTCCCTCTCGCAGAGTTCCTCCAACGGCGTCAACTTTTTAGGTGTGTCTTCCTTCGCCCTGGGGGAGGTGCAGGGGCTGCGGTTAGCACTTGCACTTGCACCATTGGCGCTGCTGTCACTCTTTTTGTCGTGGTGCTTGCGTCCCTGGTGCGACTTCAGCGCCTCGCACCGCTTCTTGAAGCTCGGACTCTCCACGATCTTGGTGATGCTGCGCGAGCGGATGGTGCGCGGGCCGGGCGTCTTCTTGTCGTGGCTGTTGCCTCTGTTGCGCGGAGACGGCTGCACTTGCACTTGCACGGGCTGCGGCTGCTCCTTCACCGAGAGGGACGGCGCGGACGCGGGCGGCGCGCGCACCACCGCGTCCTTGAAGGAGAAGACGCGCTTCGGGGGCGTGCGCGCGACTGTGGGGGCGGGCTCCTGCCGCAGCACGGCGCTGTGGCTGTCGCGGCGCATCACCATCTCTGCTTCTTTTTCCCCTTATTAAACTCGGTTAGCACTGGCTTAAACCTGCGCTCAGTGCTGTGCTGTGCTGCTGGAAAAGTTGCCGACTGGCCTTGCGCCTTGCTTTCAGCGGTCGAGCCTAAAGGCGGATCCGCAACTGTCGCCGTTACTGCCGTTCCTGCCTCTAAACACACACCTCTCGCTTGCTCCGTCGCACACGGGAGTCTCTAACCTGTTGGCAACAAGTGCAAATGCAAATGCAAGAGGCAAGGTCTCAGTTTTCTTTTTCCAACATTTGGCAACCCTAACGCGCGATGCGTTTAGACGCAAAGTGATGTCGGTCGCACCTGCACTGGAACAAACGTGCTGACTCGCTTGCTTCTTGCACGTGCCGAGGCGGATGGAGGTAGAGAGGCGAGTCGAGTGCCTGCGTCCGCCGAGGGTTTGAGCGGGCGGGGGACGCCGAGGGGGAGCGCGGGGGGGGGGGGCGACAACCAAACGCTGCCGCTCGCTGCCTGCCGCCGCCTGACGCTGCGAACCTGTGGACGACGTGGAGGAATGCGAAAATGGCTGAGCGGCCCACCCACAAACGCCAGAAAAGAGGCGGTCCCATACAAAATCCAAGTGTAACTTTTGCCCGGCAAAGTTGTAGTTCGGAGGGGCCACTGTTCGGGACAACCACGGTTCAACTCGCGTCAAGCAGCCTCTTGCTTTCAGTATGAGGACGAGGAGGCCTTCCCCTACGACCTGATGCTGTCCTGCTGATCTGCGGCGATGGCAACAAACCGGCGTCACGCGGCGGGCCGCAGTCGCAACGCACGGACGCCGTGTTCGTGTTGGGCATCGAGTTCGGCTCGGGACAATTCCTTGCGCCCGCGGGATGATCAGAGGAGGGGGGGGGCGGCTGCACGCCTGATCAGTGTATCTGCAGACACCTCATACAAACCGCCAGTGCGCCGCCGGCGAGCAATCTGCGGCCAAGTGGCGTCACCAATGGAACGCAGTGTCAAAGCCTGTAGAATCGCGTTCTTTGCAATACCTTATGCTTATCAAAATGCCATATGTCTAATTTCCTGCTTAAAGCGCCATGAGAACAATTTCATTGTAGGAATAGATTAATACGTGATTTCTCGAAAATGGGAATCAATACTGTACGATTTCCAGGTATGAAGTTGCGCAGGTCTGAGACACGGACCCACCCCTTGATCAAAGTATGCTGGCGCAAGCGTGCTGAACATCCGACCCTCTCGGAATGCGCTTGGAGAGGTCCGTGCGGACACAGCCGCGGGCGGCCGTCATCCAAACGGCGGCATCACTTCAACTGTGCATCACATCGGCGCGCCACGGTCTCCGCTGTCGTCGTGGACACTCGCCTTCGGCATGGAGGCGATAGGCGCGCGGGCGTGTTGTCACGGCGGTTGCAACGCTGCTGTTGGAAGCGAGTTTGGCCGGCGTGCGCAGTACCTGGACCTGAATCTTGTGTGGACAGTGCCTGGGCTGCAATGCGAGCGTTGAAGCTTGACACCCGTCGAGGTGGACCACGACGCCGCGTTGGAGCCGTTCGTACTGCATGCTTCAACATGGCTACCTACAGTGCAGTAGACTGTGGTCACCACAGTGTGGTGCCTGCCTTGTCCGGCCGAAAACGGAACAGATGCAGTCGCCGATCGAGTGCAACGGTGGGGGCCGGCACGACGGCCCGTCAGGCACTGCCTGCCGTCCGTCACTGAACGGGCCCCCCGTCGGGGGGTAGTACCGAGTTACCGTTGCTCGTGTAGCTACATGTAGGTGTGTATCGCCCCCGACTTGAATTCGCCCTTCTTTTAGTTACAGTCTTCAGCATAGGTCGCATGGCGACAAAGTCGCTTGTTCATTCGCCTGACACCACCCGAGAGGAAATGCTTTTGAGTGGTATACGAGTTTTTTATTTGGGACGAAGTCCCCACTTATAATCATCTATCACTCCTCTTTATTCTATTGTGCTTTGCACGAACTTTGGCATGCGATTAAGGGCTCTAAACCAACGAGCAAATCCTTCCCGGTGATCATATCTCGCAGCCTAACTCTTAAGTTAAAGTTAAGCTAATCAACCGCCAGTACCAAGCACAACGCAGAGCAAGAACGGAGCAGTTGCCACTGCAAGAATAAATCAGTTGTCGCTGGAAGAAAACAAACTGATAAGGTCCCCGATAGAATGGTGCCAACTCCTTGCATAAAAGTAAGCACCGATTTCGGCGGGGACGTTTTCTTCTTCGCTCTCTTCGTCGTGGCCTCGCGTTAAACCAAGCTCGAATTTCAGAGCACGGCATATAGTAGCAGTAGAAAATTTCTACTAGAAATGTTTGGATGTGCAGGAAACGCTGACTTTAAAGCTGCTTGCAGCTCCTCGATATAAAAGCAGGGATGTTCTTCAATATTGTAGACGTATAATAGTTTAGTACGATAGATCGCCACGACTAGAAAGCAATCAGACAAAGCGAGCGAGTTAGAATTAGAATGTCAGGGCCGTAGTATTGTCGGATTTACTCCAGCCATTCAACGAAAGTGAGCTTAACTCAACGTTAACTCGTTGTCTTAGCAGCTATTCTATCTTAAATCGACGAGTTAGCCTCCTAACTCAATGATGGGCTAATCACCGTGATTTGCTAAAACAACGAATTACGTCGTTGTTTAGACAGAAATCATGCAAGGCACAATATTTCTTACCTCTATTACTTACCTCTCCTAATCTGAGACACGAATGGTTAGGGTTTACAGTACAACTGGAATCGCTTCCCCAGGGTCAAAAATCCTCGGTTCAACAACCCTCTCTTGATCCATAGAAAGGCTTCACTGCGTAAAACCTGGAATGACCCCTCCTGAGAAGGGTCGATGCCATTAAAGTGGGGGGCACGATTGAGCCTCGACGATAAACGCTAATCAAACAGGCAGCGGGAAGCGAATCTTGATTTTAGATAAATTACTACACTTTAGATCGCACCGAGCGCAAAAAAGCGCCACCTAGTCTTCGGCTTCACTCCGATTTAGAGCGCCAAGTCAGCGCTTGCATCCATTACTACGAGTGAGTTAGCGCTTGCAAGGCTAGAATTGCTAAAAGAGATTGTGGATACGTGCTACGCAGAGCTCACCATGACCAATACTCTGTGAAGCTACAGCCTGTAGCCTACAGATAGCTCCTGGCAGTGGCGCAGGTGGTCTCCTTATACCTTGGGAGCCCACACCCCGCACCACGCAACTAGCTCCAAGCCGCAACAACGGGTTCGTTTGCTGTCCTGCTGGGCGCTGGGCGCTCCTACGCGGACATGCTTCACGGGCACCCCGCGCGATTTTGCTTTGGCTATGCTCCTCGCAAGTTGCTGCCGATAGAATAGAGAATCTCGCGATAGTATTAGCTGATAATGAAGACTTCATCATCAGTGTTGTTAATTGCTTACTGGTTCGATGATCTGCATGGGTTACCATGCACTGAGACTCAAAGTTTGCTTCACTACACTACAAAAGATGGTCATGGTGATTGATAGAGTTACTGGATCAATTAGAGGGTAGGGACGTCGGCCTGAAGTGGAGACTCCACTGCAGGATGTCGGCCCCCTAAGCAACTCGACGGAGCAACGCGACTGAGGTGCTCCATTACTAGTTGGGGACGAAGTCCCCCCTATAATCATGCGACTCTGATTTAGTGAGTCTTTACGTCTCTTTTATACACTCCTCTTTAGTTTTTACATCAATTCTGCGAATGGGTTAGGGTCACAATTTAGTGTCACTCACACGGGACCAAAACCTGAAAAAAATACCTCGGTTAAGCAACATTTTGACGTCTATTGGAAGGTGGTATCGGCTAACTTTATCCCAAACTAATCTGACGTCACTACATGACGATGCCATAAAACCCGAGGGTCGAAGTTATGAAACAGCAAATTCGGCCGTTAGTATGGAGGATATCAGAAATAGCCTTAAACGCGCTATTTTACCTTTATTTGGTCCGCTGTAGGACCCCTTATTAGGCCTTTTTGCCTGTCATACCTTATGCCATCGTAAAAAGGGTCGCTCTGCGGCGGCCTGGTAAGAAGTCTGCGCCCCTTCGGATCGCCGCGAGACTCCCAAGAGTTAAAGGAGAGCGCAGGCAGGTTAGCGTGCTGATGACCGGGTATCGGTGACGTGCCGTCGGGTAGCAACTACAAGGACGCAACAGGTACAGTATCTTCTCCTGCTTATTTTGAAGACTATGCGCAGATGACGAGCTGGCCAATCAGTTGGAGCAGCTCGAGCAGTACGAGCCGCAGCTGTGTCGGTGCCTCTCGGTAGCAGTAATGGCTCTATGTATGGCGGCGTCCATGTGCCATACCGCTGTGCCAAGCTGCAGTGATGCCACCATGGTCTGGATGAAGGCATTGAGGCTGATTATGCTATTTTTCCCAGCAGAACGAGCAGCGCAAGATGAACTTCTTGACTGAGCGTGAGAGCATCTACAAACACCCGGTCTGCAGCTGTGCGTTGCAGTCAAGGAAGTCCTCGTCCAGCTCAACCTGCGGTATGAATTGGCGAAAGAGCGTGGAGCACGCCCACCTCAAGCGCAAGCAACGTAAGGGGCGGCACAAGATGACATTGCGGTCAAGCTGCAGCAACTCCACGCCAGCTACACCATGAAGAACCAGGAGCTGTTGATGAGGTTAACTACCTACGCGTGTAGACGGGTACTTTTGAAAAACCGTGCATGTCAGAGTCGCGGCAACGACATCGGCCGTAGCGGCTGGGTGCAGATGACACCTGGAGATACCATTTCACTATGGATCGCGAAAGCTTAAGTACTAACACCTTCGTATTTTCACACTGAAAAATGAACACACCACGAAATTTAAACATGTCGTTAATCCCTCATTCACTTCTCGTTGTGCCAGTGTGCACTGCAACTATGTAGTGCACATTCTGCCATTACATTGTACACTATAGTCGAATATACATGTACGTGTGCCCGCATTCGAACCCCAGGACAGATATATGTAGTGGAGGGTTTCACGGAAGCAAGCCCAGCCCACTCAACGGGCGACGTCTATGGATTGACGCCATCAAGCTGGCAGTAGAATAGCGAGAACAGTAAAACCAATGCGATCGACAGAGAAGTCGGTTTGGTAGAAGACGCTGGCAGAAGGTATAGCAGGATTCGTCGGCAGGAAGCAGCCGACAACTAGCAGCAGAGACGCAGACAGAGATCACTTTGCGATTTACCTCTAAACCAAAAACAGAGCTTTGGTTTGCCCGGGAACACCAGCTTCCCTCGTAGTCCCGAAACCTACTACAGTGTGCTGGTCTACCGTCAACAAGATCTAATGGTATGTTGTTTGCAAAATAGCCAAGCGGATGGAGAAGCAACAAATTTCTCGAGTGGGGACGTCGTCCAAAACTCTGTGACCAACATAGTTTTGGATGTCGGCCCCTGAAGCAACATGAGCACAGCGAACGTGATGCTCCGCTAGTTGTAAGTTATTGTGACGCCTTACGCGAGCCGTCACTTTTACCACTCTTACCACCGTGGTGGGGTATCAGTATACATGTACTGGGTCTTATAAGCTTACCGGTAGCATTAGCACTGGGACAACGACACTGCCCTGCACAGTGCTAAACTAACACGTTTTGTACATGTACTGGGTATTGTAAGCACAGACGCTAAGTGCAAGTTTACATGGTAGGCTGCACATGTACATTTATCTGATTTCAGTTCCCAGATATTCATTTCGCGTTACGTTTGCTTAGTCGAAAGTCCAATTACCGGTACGTATCGGAGCACTCGTCTATCGAGAGCAACAACCATAATGGGATGAACTGGAGCAACCTGTTGTAGTTTGCGAGTATTTTCTGTAGAGGTTTGAGCCAAGCTGAGTTTACGAGTATTTCCTGAAGAAAGGTGACCCATGAGGACCGCTCAGCGAAACTACGCATCAAAGCATTGGGGTGTGACGATGTGAACCACCCCAGTACACGCTTACATGTATCCATGATTCAGCGTACGAACATTTCCTCAAGGGCCTTGTGACATGCTGCTTTAGCGGTTGTGTTCGAGTTTACGGCGGCAACTCCGTTCGCGTCAACGCGGTGGGGCTCGACAGGTGAATCAATCCAGTGTACGAGAAGCGTCCATCCGCTGCAGGCTGCGCTTGTCTGTTGCCCCCGACCAGGCCTTCCGAATATAAGATTGTACGGCAAATATACGGAAATATTAGTACGGAATAAGTTATTTTACGCGACCGTGGAAAAAGTGGAATAACTTACGGCTTGACTTTTTACAAAGTATTTTTCAGTCGTTAAAAGCATTTTTCAAAAAAGTACGTTTTTCCTAGGTAATTACTTTTTTTTGCGTTTCTGGGTCTCCGCTGCATTTCTAGACGCCACAAAGCACTGGTTAGAACACCCTTACCATAGTTAACATGCTAGCATCCCCAAGTTTGTCTCTTTCCTAGTGTCGTCCTCATTTTCGAATCAAGATGGCAACCAACAACCCGTTCAGCACCCGCCAAGTCTGCAGGGAGCCGCTACGGTGTCGAAGGTTGTGAACGCTTAGGTTAGTATAACCTTAACTACGTAATACAGGTTGTCATCTTGTGTTGGAATTGTTGCAATATACTGAATAATTTATTTCTCTGACCTCGGTATGTCCGCGGAATAACTTATTAGTGATGCAGCTTCAAAAGCTGCGGCGACTGTATTTTCGGAAGGCCTGCCCCCGACACATCCGTGATTGAGCGTGTCGATCTGTCCGCAGTACGCAAGCCCACAAAACCACCACCAGGTGGCGAAAAACATTGAACAACATTAATCGAGTTTTGTATTCGCGCGTGTCCTTGATGTGAGTAGCGCTCAAAAGCGTCAAGGCAGCGTTGATTGCACCCGACCATCAGGTCGCTTGCGTCGTGGCGGGGCAACCTCGACGTCTCCTTCATTCCTCATTTCTCCTTTTCCCACTTCTTGGACGCATCGAGCAGCAACTTTCTCAACCAAGTTCCCGGATATCTTCGTCCACCATGCTCCAGTTTCTCGGATCCGCTGCAACCTTCGTGCTTGCCGCATCAATCGTGACCGGTCTTCCCGTGCCCGATGGAACGTGGCCTGCCAGTCAGGCAATGTCAGCTTCTCCGAAGTCTACGTCGTCAAGTCTGGAGAGGTGTTTGACGGCGGCATGAAGACCTACGACCGCTCGGACATCACGTGCCTGGGCCAAACTGAGAGCAATGGAACGTCCAAGGCCGTGTTCGAGGTTCAACCCGGCGCCACGCTGAAGAACGTCATCCATCATTGGAACGAACCAAATGGAGGGAGTTCACTGCGAGATGTCGGACTGCACGATCGAGAACGTGTGGTGGGAGGACGTGTGCGAGGATGCCTTGAGCATCAATGGCGGCGACGCCTCCAGCGTCTCCCGAGTTCTCGGCGGTGGAGCGCGTTACGCGGACGACAAGGTGATCCAACACAATGGCTTTGGCACTGTGGTCGTTGACGGCTTTTTCGTGCAGGACTTCGGTAAGCTGTACCGCTCGTGTGGCAATTGCAAGAGCAACCCCCGTCAGCGTTTCCTGAACGTGAGCAACACTTACGTTGACCTGGAGATCATCAAGACCAAACGCGGGATGAGCCAAACGTGAGCATTGTCATGATGAACGGAAACTTCGGCGGTCAGGCTCTCCTGAAAAACGTCTACGTGAAGCCGGGTAAGGAGAACTACACGGAGTGCGCGTCCTCCTTTGGTGTGAACAAAACCTGTGATTTTGAGCAATGGCCCAAAGAACCCGGTGTGCCAGTACTCTTACGACGATGTTCACATTGTCGAGAGTTAGAACAACGCCGAGCAGCAGCAGCAACAACAACAACAGTCGCTATAACTACAAGTGCTGCTATGGCACCAGTGTCCGTCGTCGAACAAAAAAAAGCTTCTTGCTCGAATCGTAGCTAAGGGGAAGTAAACGTGAATGTTCGAGCTTTTGACTTAACTGCGAAAACAAGAGGATCGCTGGGCGCTCCATTCTCTGCCCGTACAGCCATCGGCTGAGCGAATAAAGTGACAGTAGTTCTGATGCGTACGTCTCCATTTTCAACACCAAAACGCTAGTCATGCCAGGCTGCTACTACTTCCCACGCGACTGCTAATGAGAGGACTTTGGGCAGCTCAAATCTTGTACTACTACAGTAGAAGTTTACCAGCGTAGCGGAAGTATCCTACTATACATGGAAATTGGTCTTATCGTGAGCGTGAATGTAATCGTTTTTAGGCTGGTCTAGACGCTAGGCAGCAAGTACTGAAGTACATTTGACACCTTCTCACATGCCAGCCAACTCACGCCAGGTTGGCGCACTCTTTATGCGTATCAAGCCGCTTTACCAGCAGTGCTGTCGTCTCAAGCGAAGGGATTCGTCTTAAACCGAATTGACCAAGGTTTAGTCTTGCACCGATCTCGCAGCCGCTGTAGGACAGATTAGCCCATCGAATCTTCGAGGCTACAGTACCAACAATGCCGCGCAAATGCTGCGCGTTCCAATTATGCTGAAAACCGCCAAATTGTTGCTTTAGCGTGGCGCGTTGCTTTAACTAACATGCCGACGTCATTGCTTTGACGCGGAGGGTAGTCTCGACCATGGCACGCATGCAAGCAACCGATCTCGAAGATTAAATCCAGGGAGTTTACGCACTTCTGAAGCTGCTACCGCCTCTTTGCAGCGTGCAACGTTAAACCACTTCATGAACAAGTTGTGGATTCCGTCGACCCGTAGCCAAGAAACTGTTCTTGTTAATTTGTATGAACTTGTGACGTTCGAGGACGTCATCGTGTCGTTAGCCCATGTCCTTGCGTTAATCTCACCTCCAACACGCAGCCATACTTCCAGCTCATTTCCAATTTCACCGCGCTCCAAGCACCCCCCCTCCGAGCCACTATCAATGCTACAAATGCTCGCTTCAGGTACGTCCTTCGTGCTTGCCGCATCAATCGTGACCGGTCTTCCCGTGCCCGATGGAACGTGGCCTGCCAGTCAGGCAATGTCAGCTTCTCCGAAGTCTACGTCGTCAAGTCTGGAGAGGTGTTTGACGGCGGCATGAAGACCTACGACCGCTCGGACATCACGTGCCTGGGCCAAACTGAGAGCAATGGAACGTCCAAGGCCGTGTTCGAGGTTCAACCCGGCGCCACGCTGAAGAACGTCATCCATCATTGGAACGAACCAAATGGAGGGAGTTCACTGCGAGATGTCGGACTGCACGATCGAGAACGTGTGGTGGGAGGACGTGTGCGAGGATGCCTTGAGCATCAATGGCGGCGACGCCTCCAGCGTCTCCCGAGTTCTCGGCGGTGGAGCGCGTTACGCGGACGACAAGGTGATCCAACACAATGGCTTTGGCACTGTGGTCGTTGACTGCTTTTTCGTGCAGGACTTCGGCAAGTTGTATCGCTCGTGTGGCAACTGCGTGTGCAACCCCCGTCCGCGTTTCCTCAACGTCAGCAACACTTACGTTGACCTGGAGATCATCAAGACCAAACGCGGGATGAGCCAAACGTGAGCATTGTCATGATGAACGGAAACTTCGGCGACCAAGCTGTATTCAGAAACTTTTACGTCAAGCCGAGCACGTACAACTACACGGAGTATGCCTCCTCCTTAGGCCTGAATACGAAAGGCGTGAAACCGGTGATCCTGAGAAGTATCCGGTGTGCCAGTACTCTTATGATGATGTTCACGTTGTCGAGAGCGAGCAAAACACTGAGAACAACAACAACAGCAGCAGCTAGCTCAAGCACCAATGGTCGTCGTTGGAAAACAAACTTCCTCTTACCCGAATCGTAGCTAAAGGGATCTAAACGTGAATGTTCAAGCTTTTGACTTATTGCCAGAAGGTGGGGATTGCTCGGTACGCAATACGGTGTACGTGCAGCCGCCGGGTGGCCGAATTCAGAAGCAGTGGCTTTGAAGCAAAAGTCCGCATTTTCAATACCGTGCATGTATTAATAATAGTAGTAACATGCTGACGTAGGCTCCCGGCGAATGTTCATAAGAGGACGTTGGGGTAGCCCGACTGATGTCGAAAGCTTACCAGTACCCTGCATTGAAGTACTATCTAATCGTACGCGTGAATGTTCAATGGTCCATTCGCTGGCTTAGACACCAGACCGGCAAAAAATTGAACAGCCTTCTCGCATGTGCCAACTCACAGATTGGCACACTCTGCGTCGCTTCAGGAAGAGCTTTGATCCCCAACTCTAGGACAAGGAAAAAGATTGCAGACTCCACACCCCAGCTGCAGAAACAACAACAACACTCAAAGACGGTCGGCATATAGGCACGTCTCACTACATATCAAGGCTTCTATAGGTCAGTTAATTATGCTCAAATAGAAGGCCACTTAAACTGCACACTCTGCGTCGCTTTGTCGCAGTCCTTTTGACTGAAGGGGGTCGTCTTAATAAATCCGAATCGACCCAGGTTTAGTCTTGCACCGATCTCGGAGCCGCTAGCACTACACTTGCCGCAATAGCAGCCGCTGTAGGATGTTTTAGCCCATCGAATCTTCGAACTAAGCAAAAATAGATGTACACTCGGCACGATGCCAGCCAGAAGCGTGGTAGATCCCCAGATTGGATCTTCAAGATTTAGTGCGCATGCTGGCGGCATGATGCCGCACTAAAGGGATGGCGTTACATGTATTAATACTGCACAGCTCTACAGCTTTCAAGCTAATTAAAATTGGCACTTGTTGCTGCACCCGACTGGGAATCATGCGATGATGCAGCTGCACCCGACTCGGGTGCAATGACACCCGACTAGACCGACTCAACCCGACTGAAAATAGAGCCGGGTTTAGAGACGGTGTGCAGGGGTATACATGGTATGTATACCTGTGCGGATGAAGGCAATACAACAACACGAAAATGATTGAAAGGGTGGGGTGTGCCAGTCGGGTGCAGCAAACACTCTCATTAAAATTAACGCTGCATGCACAGTAGGTATTACAGTATTACAGTATTTGTATGCTCGTACGTATTCATGTTACTTACACTACGCTGGTACTGTACAGTTCAATACAAATGTCTTGACATTTGTTTGCGCCAAACATCATGCAGCATCTATCGAGACAGGGATGCATGCACTGGTACCATCGAAGATTCGATACCACTGTCTCGCGGCTGCTATTCTAGCACTTGCCTTGCTAGCGGCTGAAGTGCTTTACAACATCACGGTTGATATCATGTAACTTGGTAAACCTTTGTCGATTCGGATTAAAATGAATCCCATTGATTTGATACGATATTGATTAAAATCCATCCGGGATGCGCCGTAGCGGATACTTTACGGCGTAGCCCAGGGTGCACTGCAATCTGGAGTACACGTACAATACCTACCTGCTTTGACCTCGATTCGGTTCCAATGTCTCTGACGCTCTGCTTTCTCAAAACAGCGTGCTGTTAAGCTTAATACAGCCGTCCTCTGGAGATGTAGGTGACGATGTCGTTGTCGTACGCCATCCCATCAACACGATCGGTCGTTAATCCACATGCCCGCTTGCGTTACGAGAACTCGCCGACTCTCCGCCCCATTCAACTTCATTTCCAAATTTCCAGCGATCGGACTAACCGCACCTTCCAACCTTCGCCATCCGTGATGCTTCAATCGCTTACTTCGGTGGTGACCCTCCTTCTTTCGGCCACTATGGTACCCGGTCTTCCGGTGCCCGACGGTACGTGGCCTGTCAGCACAGGTAGTGTCACCTTCGACAAGGTCTACACCGTCAAGACCGGTGAGGTTTTCGACGGAAAGATGCAGACGTTCGACCGCTTCAACCTCACGTGCCAGGGTCAGCAGGAGAGCGGCAACTCCACTGCCGTGTTTCAACTCGAGGCTGGTGCGACGCTAAAGAACGTCATCATCGGTGTGAACCAAATGGAGGGCGTGCACTGCGACTTCGGCGACTGCACGATCGAGAACGTGTGGTGGGATGACGTGTGTGAGGACGGCCTGAGTATTAAGGGCGGCAACGCTTCCAGCGTGACGCGCGTTCTTGGCGGCGGCGCCCGCTACGCGAAGGACAAGATCATCCAGCACAACGGATTCGGCACCGTCGTCGTCGACGGATTCTACGCGCAAGACTTCGGTAAGCTGTACCGCTCATGCGGCAACTGCAAGACCAACCCTCGCCAGCGTTCCCTCAACGTCAGCAACACGTTCGTCGACCTGGAGATCATCCAGAGCGGGAGGGGAATGGAACCCAACGGAACGAACGTGAGCATTGTCATGATGAACGAAAACTTTGGCGACCAGGCTGTCCTCAAGAACTTCTACGTCAAGCCGAGCTGGTACAACTACACGGAGTGCGCCTCGTCCTTTGGCGTCAACGTTAAGGGTGCGAAGCCCGCGATCCTGCACAATGGTCCAAAGTATCCGGTGTGTCAGTACTCGTACGACGACGTCCACATTGTCGAGACCGAGGAAAACGCTGAGCAGCAGCAGCAGCAACAGCAACAACAGGAGCAGCAGCAACAGGAGGAGCAGCAGCAGCAACAGCAGCAACAGGAGCAGCAGCAACAGGAGGAGCAGCAGCTTCAAGTCCAAGTGCAGCTATAAGTCAGCAAGGACGACAGCACGCGCAAGCGTACATACCCTCGAAGAAAATTGTAGATGTTGCGTCAAATCGTTGGTTTAATCTGAACTGACTAAAGCTTACTACTGCATTAGTATGAGACCACTTTTTGGTCTCACCAACAATTCTCCGGGATTAACTTTTACGCGCGACCATTGGTGAGGGTTTTGGAAGGCGCCCAACGCAGGGGTATGCAGCAGCCGTCACACTACGGTAGTGATGCGAATGCTCCCCCGTAGCAATATGTATTTTCAGTTCACGATGCCTTTCGTGGAGCACGCTCGTCGATCGACTGCAAACACATCTGAGTGATTAGCATATTGATCTGCTCCTGTGGGCACGCAACGCATTATAATCAAAGTGAGTTCGTGGATCCGTATAAAGTACGGTAATGAATCGCACCAAACCGTCATGTAAAATCGATGGCCTCTACGATCGCTCCGTAGACGCATGCCTTCTACCCTATCGGTTCACGCATTCTGCGCTGGCATGGCCACCCCAACGTTTAGTTCATTTGCAAATTTCCAGCGCCCCCAACAACCGCGTCCTCAAACCTTTGTGGTGTAGTGATTTGGCGGTAAACGAGAATCGAGCTGACGACCAAGCTTCAGTGGCGACCCGAGTCGTCGGGACATGTTCAGCAATGTTCGGCGGATGCTGATTGGCCATTCTGGACCGGTGCCGAAGACTCGTCGACACCCAAGTTCGAGATCCAGGACTTCAAGTACGATCCGAACCTACAGCGAACTTTGACCCGAGATCCGCACTTAAGACGACCATTCGAGCCCCGGCGACTGCTCCAAGTCAGGGAACCCCTTCATCGTCCAATAGAGTCATCGAGAGGCCTCTTGGGGCGTCGAGGAGGCTCTGAAGGGTCGGTGGTTACTTGGGAAGATCCAAAACGGACACGTCTAGACTAGATATTTGTATTGAACCATAGGAAAGAGAAGATAGAACCGATAAGCCCATTGGGCAACAAGAACAGAACAGCTTTTCCTCCCAACAACTCAAGGAAGACATCCGGGCTATCGGTGAGTTCCCGTAGCAATTGGATAAACCTGTTGGTAGGATTATGACTGTCGGTGGACGCGCCTGCTAGAATCGTAGCATGCGTTTACCGTGGTCAGGCCAAGAGTAGTGAAGAAGTGGCCGTGTATACGAAGGGCGAGTCATCGCCGAGTAGTGGAGGAGCGAGAGCGCACTCCATTTATCCTTCCCGCCGGAGTATAGCTCCGGAACCCTCGTATCAAGCCGTGACTGGCTGGGACCCTTCCTTCCTGAGGGCCTGCGAGGTTTATATTGCGTGTGAGAGCGTGCCAGCCTTTGATCGTGGCTGGTGACGCTGGGTTTCCGTCAGTTGACAAAGCGGAAACACGGTGCACAGAGGAAACATCAACAAGGTGCAAGGGAAAGTTCCTGGGCCTTCAGGTTCTAACCCTAACAAGCCCATTGATTCATCGAGACTTGGTGGGTGTTGTTGGTGGGGAAAGTGTGCTATTATATAATTTAGTGCGTGTTCCTACACGACAACTGGTGCGGCGACCCGGGATTGGTGTGACCTTCTGTGTCACGTGTTACAGCAGGTCAACTGAGTTTACGAGCAACAACCAAGAAGAAAAGGAAGAAGAAGCTGATGAAGAAGAACATGGCGACAGGATCTCAATCCGCGGTACCAGCAACTCCGATGAAGTCCGGCGGAACGCGCGGCGACGACTCGACGGCGGTCTTGATCACACCGCAGCCCGACCCGATTGCTGAGCGCAACGTCAGCTTCGACGAGCCGATGACTGGATCCGACGCCAAGGATGAAGAGATGGATGAGAAGGCGCCTGCGCCAGCGGTGGTGACACCCGAGACTCCGGAAGATGCAGTGATGTTCGCCGTGCGCAGCGGAGGCTCGCGCTCTCTGGCACGAAGTCTTGCGAGCGAGGTGGAAGACGATGCGCCTCCCATAACGCGCAACCTCGCGAACGAACTGGATGATGCGAACAGCCCCAAACGTGCCGACTATGGCCCGGGTGCATTTGAAGACAGCGGCAAGGAGGCATTACATGCACGTGCCCTGAAGACCCCACGTGACGGTGGCACCGATGACTCAGCGGATCCGGGGACGACGAGTGACGGTTCTAACGGGTTGCAAGTGGGCAATGATCCGGAACCGAGCTCCTTGGGACTGGGCAGAAGCAGTCAAGTCGCTCCCGACGACTCGCCAGCCGATCCACAAGTGGCCGAAATTGCCTCCGATCAACCCTCGATAACTCAGTTTCCGACTGTGGCGACAAACGGTGACACTCCGGATTTGAAACCGCATTGTGACCTGACCAATGAAGCACCGACAACTCATCTGGTCCCCCGTTACGACGCACACACTCCCCTCGCTATGCCGGAGCATACCTTTATGTCGGTGATGGGCGTACTGGACATGGACGAGGATGATGTGACAAATGACAGCGCGTGGCTACCGACTGGAAGTTTCCCGACGACTCCTACTGCGCAAAGCCTCTCACAGACACGGCTCCCGAAGAGTCATACGGGGTGCGTGGTATCTTTCGCGGGCTTGACACAGCCTGGACAGTATGGTGCAGATGGAAGCTGTGCATGGATTGTGTGGCGCCTACCGGAGTGGAAATTGATGATTGCCGCGAACGCTTACCTCGCCGACACGACGAGCCACCTTGCCCAGAGCGCCGGTATGACATACGGCGTGCTGGCGGCTTTGAAACTCGGTGCCGACGACTTGGTCGTTGTTAGCAATTCAAGGCTGGCGTTGTTGCACTCGCTAGGGGCAGCTGATTCCGGGGCGATGACTCAACCAAGTTACCACGAGGAGGTCACGACCCGACTGCGATCTGTGAGATACATTCACGTCGCACAGGAATGCAATGCTGCCGCTGACTCGCTAGCTTCTGAAGCGTTGGAATCTCAGACGTCAAAGGTGGTTTTGAGTGGCGATAGGATGGCCGCGCTCTGCGAGCTCAACCAACTCCAAGCTGTGATCTACAAAACCGATCCGGACGGGATATTTCCGCAGAACGTGCTTCCCGGTGATTCTTTTCGGTTCCAAGATCTCCCCAGCAGTAATTCGAGGAGCATTGAGCCTACCATGGCTGCGCCGATGACTCGTTCACAAACCACGCCCAAGATGAAGCTGCTGATACGGACCGACAAGTCAATGACACCAATCCCGACGACTGGTGAATCCGGATTCTGCGCAGATGGAACGGGGCAAACCGACTGATGAAAACAAGCTCGCTACGTGCAAGGCTCTGCTGTCTACAAGCGCCAAGGTTGCTACACGTGGACTGTGCCGAAATAGTGTTGAGGCTGTGTGCAACGCCTAGCACCTGCTCGCGACAACTCAACCTCACGGTGAACTGCGCCTGGGGCAATGCAGCCCAGGGGTGCAGACGAAAATGGCTACTGCAGCTTTGCATGCTACATGGATATTGAACGCGAATGATACGGATGGAGAATCCCGATTGGAACGAACTACAACGGGCCCCGACAACTCAAGGGCAGTGCTGGCGAAGACTTGGTGTGCTTGGAGCTCGGACGGAGGTGCGCTGACAACTGCCGATGACTCGAAGCGCCTGAAGCAGGATCTACGCTGGGTCAGACGCGCTACGGCAAGATGGTGGCTGAGAAGTTTTTGTGAGGACCGGATCGGCCGCAGGAACTTGCTGAAGCCTATGCGCAAGGAGCTACCGCAGTCTACGGCCTCACCAAGCTCGTCCAGGTCATCACGCATCACGATGCTGATCATCGTATGGTTCCCGAGAACCGGGTGGTTGTACAGAATCAAGCCGAGCGGTCATGGAGTGTCGTGCCGTTGTCTACGAAGCAGAGTCTGACGAAAGCGAGGATGCCACCTCACCAAAGGTCGTCGAACGACGGCGAAGGCGGACAAGATGTTGGCACTGTACCGGACGAGGTCGGAGACACTATGCGGCTGCGCCAACCCGGCCCCGACGACTCGGTGCGAACCCGATTTATGGAACCAGGTAAGCCTACAGCAGCGAGCCACCGGCGGGACATTACGACGGCGCAGACGCCTACCATGCACACAACCGGGGTGTGGTATTGGAAAGTGGCAGTTTCCAACGCTGTTGACCCACCAGCCCGACAATCAAGTTCAATCAAGGGGCGATCAGGCGAGGTCAAGCGAGAGACGGAGATGGCTGCTTCTGATTGGATGATGACATTATCCTCGGTAGAGTGACAGGCAGTGGCCGAAGCCTCGTCGGGTCCTAATAGAACCCCGAACGAGGCTTCATGGTACCCACTTTTAGGTACAGATGCATTTAGTTACGTACTTCGGCCGCACTTATTAGTGTAGCCGTGGTCGTCATTTGATGTGTCCGGAATCGCCTTATTGCGATCGTTCACACTAGATATTTGTATAGGGACATAGGACTCATCATAGGATGGCCAAAACGAGGCCCCCATGGCCTCAGAAAACTCAGTAATATAAGAAAGTCTTCCCCCAAAGCCAACAAGGGTCAAGTCCGACTTCGGTAAGTGTAGCTAGCTTATTGTAGTGCCTGGACACGCTCGGCTGCGTGTGAATGCCTGTCGGGGAGCTTATCGTGCATTGACCGAGAGTTTCCTTGGCAGCGCCAAGAGTTGGCGTGGCCGGAGAGGCAGGAACGGTATTAGAGTATCGTTCAGTATATATTTGTGGGATTAGAGTGTCCCTGAGTGCATTAGTCTACCTACCGAGGTTTTACCTTGGTCCCCCTGTATAAGGCCTAACACGCCGGTACCCTTCCTTTCTGAGGGACTGCAATGGGGTTGCGCGAAAGCGCTACATAGTATCCTAGCCTTAGCTCGTGGCTAGCGGTACAAGTTTTTGGGTTGACCGAAGACAACCTAAGGTGCACAGAGGCGCTTGCAACCGACCCGGTGTAAGGGATCGTTCCTGGTCTTCAGGTTTTGATCCAATAAGCGCTTACCTTTGCGGGTTAGCGTGTTGTTGGTGCCTCTAATACCTTTTGGTAGAGGAGGATTTTAGTGGAATTACCACACCACAACTGGTGCCGCGACCCGGGATTGGTGTGACCTTCTGTGTGTCTTGGTTGTTGTAGGTCTTTACCCCAACGAGCGAAGAGGAGAAGAAGAAGAAGAAGAGAGAAGATGACGAAGGGAGTGAAGTCAGCGGTACCAGTAACGCCGGCCAAGTCGAGTGGAACGCGCAACGAGACTTCGGTGCGCTCCGGAAGCTCATTCTCGACCCCAACGACGGATCGGATGGAGTCGATTGACGAGCGTTCGGTGAGCTACGACACGGCGATTGATTCCTCGGACGCCAAAGAAGATGACGAAGATGATGACTGGGATGTCCGGACACCGATGTCCGAGACTTCGGAAGCTGCGGTTGTGTCGGCAGGTCGCAGTGGAGGATCAAGGTCGATTACCCGCGACCTCTCCGACACGTTCAAGGACATGCCGGGCCCCGAGCCCGCCTACGACGCGGATGACGGCGCCACCGAGGGCTTCAAACCCTCGGTGACGGTAGGAGGGGCAACCTCCAAGCCGGTTGGCACTCGTCCTCCCCTCAACGGGGATACTCCGGCGGCCAACAAGGTCCTAGGCCGGTGCCTAGACCTGATGAAGACCAAGAGCGAATGGATGCAGTTGTTCTCCCCGAAGCAAGTCCGCCAGGCCATCTGGATGGACCTCGGAGGGGCGTTAGCTACGCCGATCAACTCAACGAGCACTCGGTACGTTGCGCAGAATACTGTGGACCTCCTGCGAGCTATGGGGTGCGAACCCCAGATCCTCCCCACGGAGGCTGCGCTCGCGAGTTGGACGCCGACCGCCGCTGCCACGGCGTTAACCAAGTGGAGGAAGAAGCTGCGTAATGCCTTTGGAGTGGCGGACGTCAGTTCGCGAGGCCCAACGATGCTTCGTTCGACCTCGGAGGCAGTAGACCCGTCGACGGTTCCGCTACCAGCGACCCTTCGGAAGGGAGCCACTGATGACGGTGTCTTTGCAACCAAGGGCGAAGCCTCGCCGCACATGCAAGACTCGCACATGGTAACTCCACGATCTACGGACCGTTGTGAACGTCTGGCTAGGGAGAATGAGGCTTCATTCGCCACGCCTGGCACGCGCGGAGCGACCGGTCGTCGGTCCGGCCGACGTTACGACCTCCAAGATGATTCGTCGGACAGCGACGACGACCTCGGGCCCGACTACTACGAAGGGGACCTACCGAGCGAATGGACACGTCAGGTGCGCGAGCTAAGCGCGACCGACAACCAGAGCTCAACCCCAAAGCTCGAGATCGCCACGCATTTGCCTCTCGCCAACATCAAGCCGTTCTACGGAACGCGCGACAAGAGCGAGCACTCCATGCAGTGGCTCCGAACGTTCATCTATGAGATGAAGGGAACGCATGCACCACCCAACGAGTGGTGTATCCCGTTCGAACTTAAGCTCAGGGATGGAGCTCTGCACTGGTGTCGCCAGCTCCCACGCAAGACAAGACGCACGTGGAAGTTGCTGAGCGAGGCGTTCATCAAGTACTATTGCTCGAAGTTTTCCCAGTCTGCGAAGGCTCGGTACTACTCGGCCAAGCGGGAAGACAAGGAACACGTTTGTGACTACCTCAACCGGCTCAACGGCTACGCTCGCAACGCCGGTGTGCAATTTGAAAACGGTGATCGTGACGCGAAGGACCACGTCGAACACTTCGTAGTTACGTGTGACGACCAAAACTTAGAAGACCGTCTGTGCCACGTTCGGGTCAAGAGCATTCATGACCTCGAAGACATGATCAACGACATTCTGCGTCACCGTGACCGAAAGTCGACCCGCGAATCATCGTTCCGCCGCTCCCGCAGTCAAGATGACAGTCGCCGTCGCGACGCGCAGTCGAACGAGGATTCTCGAAGTGGTTATCGCTGTGAACGACGTTACCGCGACGAGGATCGCCGCGAACGACGTTACCGTGGCGACGACCGCCGCCGTGGCCGACGTGACGGGTCACCGCACCGGTCGAGGGTTACTTTGGTCGACGCCCTTCCCGATGGGATGGCAGAATGGAACATCGGAGGCTCGGTCGGTGCACGCAACGAGGCTTCGTACGGCCCCCGACGTGATGCTGCGGCGAACGAGGATTACTTCGATGATGATCGCCAGTACTCGGACGACCAACGCTCGGACGAGGATTCAGACGCCGATTACGACTCGGACGAGTCTACTCGGCATGTCGCTGCCGCTAACGACGCTGAGCGCAGGGTCACAGCCGATGGAACGTTCGCCCGGTCTGACAACCGACGCTACAGGAACGGAGGAGGCCCATCCAACCGCAAACGAGATGGCCGTCGCCAGTTTGGGCCGTGTGCCGCGTGCGGAAGCCCGTCCCACTCCGTGCACTTCTGCTACCGGCGGTGCAAACTGTGCAAACAGGTGCACGACGCTGGAAAGTGCGAAGCGCTCCACGAACTCACCAAGCTCCTGATGTCCAAGGTCGACAAGAAGGATCTGTCGCCAGAGCTGCACCACACCACAGGGGCAAACAACACCAGACGTCGTTAACAGCGAGAGGAAGCAGAAGCAGAACGCCCCACGACGCTCGCCATCATGTGGTTCGCATAGTGGTGGGGGCAGCTGTGGTGTAGTGATTTGGCGGTAAACGAGAATCGAGCTGACGACCAAGCTTCTGTGGCGACCCGAGTCGTCGGGACATGTTCAGCAATGTTCGGCGGATGCTGATTGGCCATTCTGGACCGGTGCCGAAGACTCGTCGACACCCAAGTTCGAGATCCAGGACTTCAAGTACGATCCGAACCTACAGCGAACTTTGACCCGAGATCCGCACTTAAGACGACCGTTCGAGCCCCGGTGACTGCTCCAAGTCAGGGAACCCCTTCATCGTCCAATAGAGTCATCGAGAGGCCTCTTGGGGCGTCGAGGAGGCTCTGAAGCGTCGGTGGTTACTTGGGAAGATCCAAAACGGACACGTCTAGACTAGATATTTGTATTGAACCATAGGAAAGAGAAGATAGAACCGATAAGCCCATTGGGCAACAAGAACAGAACAGCTTTTCCTCCCAACCACTCAAGGAAGGCCGTGTATACGAAGGGCGAGTCATCGCCGAGTAGTGGAGGAGCGAGAGCGCACTCCATTTATCCTTCCCGCCGGAGTATAGCTCCGGAACCCTCGTATCAAGCCGTGACTGGCTGGGACCCTTCCTTCCTGAGGGCCTGCGAGGTTTATATTGCGTGTGAGAGCGTGCCAGCCTTTGATCGTGGCTGGTGACGCTGGGTTTCCGTCAGTTGACAAAGCGGAAACACGGTGCACAGAGGAAACATCAACCCGGTGCAAGGGAAAGTTCCTGGGCCTTCAGATTCTATGTGGTGTAGTAGCACGCACAAAATCGTCAGATGTGGCACCCTAGCTACAAACACAACAACAGCCGAGCTAGTCGGCCCTTGTTGGCCTGCGCTGAGATGTCCCCCAGCGGTTCGGCCCTTCCGGGACAGTGATGGCTCGTCCTCGCCGAGACCAAGAACCCCAAGCCAGTCAGTCACGGAAGCCATCTGAGTTACCTGACTCCGGAATTAGAAATCCCGTGCCCTCCGCCAAAGGACGGACGACGGCCCCCGCGGGCTTTTACGGGTCGCCGAGAGCAAGGGCTTCTCGACTCAGCAATCAGTGCCCGGGACGTACGGGAACACCGGCTCGCAGCGGTGGCGAGACTTTTCCTTCGCGCTTGGCGAGACACGCGCCCAACCCGGGCCGACCTTAATCTCTTGGTGCTACCAGTCAACACCCTACAAGCTATGCCTCTCGGGTGCTGACAGCAGACATAATCCGGCCCGTGCAGGGGCTTACTGGAAGTGCGTGCACGTGTTGTGGACCTAGAAATTTTTGCTCTGTTGTTTGTTGTCTCTGTCGGGCGCCCTGAAGGGGCGCCTCCACTATTCCTAAGCTCCAATACAAATACCAAATGAAAGTGGGCGGTTTTGGATCTCGGCCGACTCTTCACCGAGCTCGGCGACGCTTGAGCTCGGCTAAGCCGGATAACCTGTCCGGATAACCCCTTGAACTCGGCTGAGCCGGATACAGCGTGTCCGGATAACCTGGCGAACTCGGCTGAGCCGGATAAGGTGCCGGATAACCCAGTGAACTCGGCGGAGCGACCCGCGAACTCGGCGGGGCGACTCGTGAACTCGGCAGAGCGACCCGTGAACTCGACTGCGCAACTCCCGGACTCAATTGAGCCTGGTTACCGTATCGGACGGTACATGGTACCGTTTAGCCTGAGCTCGGCGGCTTGAACCCCCCATGATCTCTGCTGAGCGTGTCCAGTGCCTTCCTGAACTCGGCTGGGTCTTCATCACTGGGTCTGCTACGTGTCACCAGGTCGGAGCCGATGTGCCTTGAGTTTCTGACACCATCAGCCGAGTTCAGCGGTCCATCAGCGCACTCTTGCCCACTGAGCTCGGCGGACGGTCATCCCGCCGAGTAGAACTTGGCTCCTGGTACGTTGTTCCACTGCGGCCTTGGAGTGTGACACAAAACTTGATGTTCCCTACACCACATCTAACCCTAACAAGCCCATTGAGTCATCGGGACTTGGTGGGTGTTGTTGGTGGGGAAAGTATGCTATTATATAATTTAGTGCGTGTTCCTACACGACACCTTCACCGCTCGTGATGCTAACTTCAGTGGCCGCCCTCGTTCTATCGGCCACGATGGTTTCTGCCCTTCCCGTCCCTGACGGCACTTGGCCCGTGAGCAAAGGCAACGTCAGCTTCGACAAGGCGCACACGATCAAGGCTGGCGAAGTATTCGACGGCAAAATGCAGACGTTTGACCGCTCCAACCTCATGTGCCACGGGCAGGAGGAGAGCGGCAACTCTACCGCCGTCTTCCTCCTCGAAACGGGCGCTACTCTGAAGAACGCCATCATCGGCGCGAACCAAATGGAGGGTGTGCACTGTGACCACGATCGAGAACGTCTGGTGGGACGATGTGTGCGAGGACGCCTTGAGTATTAAGGGCGGCGACGCCTCCAGTGTGTCGCGCGTTCTTGGCGGCGGTGCTCGCTACGCGGACGACAAGATCATCCAGCACAACGGTCTCGGTACGGTCATCGTCGACGGCTTCTTCGCGCAAGACTTCGGCAAGCTGTTCCGCTCCTGCGGCTCGTGCAAGAACAACCCGGCGCAGCGCTTCCTCAACATGCGCAACGTGTACGCAGATCTCGAGGTCATCAAGACGCAGCGCGTGGACCCGAACGTGAGTATCGTCATGATGAACGAGAACTACAACGACGAGGCCGTTCTGCACAACATCTTCGTCAAGCCGGGCGCCGAGAACTACACCGAGTGCGGCTGGTCTCGCGGTGTGCAGAAGGGCGAAAAGCCTCTCATCCTGGGCAACGGACCGAAGAAACCCGTGTGCCAGTACGCGATGAGCGACATTCACCTTGTGGACGGCAAGGACAACCAGCAACAGCAAGAAGAGCAAGCGCCGGGGACGGTGGTTCCTGCCAAGGGGCTCAACTAGGCTGCTACTTCGGAATCTATCGATAAGGTAACTAGAAGCAATAGCTGCCTTTTGTGTTGCGTACAAGTCAAGTTTAACAAAAATCTCACTTCAACTTGAACAGTCAAAATTGATATGGCTACATTGTATCTTGAAAGGGCACACTAGCACGATGGACAAGTTGGTGCAGTTGCAGGCGGCGCTACGAGCCATCGAGTCTGGGCAGCGTCTCGAGTCAGTGGACGGCGTGCTCGTCCGCCAGGTGCTGCTGCAGCCTCGAGTGCAGCCGCAGCAGGCGGCACCTGAACCGGACGCGAAGGACCTTTATCGAGACCTGCTGGCGCTTCGGAAAGCGAAGGCAAAAACGAATGCGAAGCAGGCGGCAGACCCTGCTAGCACCGACAAAAAGAGTGGCGATGGAGGCACCACGAGGTCGCTATCGCCCAAGAAAGCTGCGAGTTCGATTCGTTCTGTGGCGGTGGTGGACGCGCGACTGGAATCTGCTGCTCCGTCGTCGCCCGAACGCAGTAACATCGCCGTCGCCAACAACAACGACAAAGATATGGCCGAGGAGTTTGCTGTCAGTATAGCGGAGACAGGTGCGCTGATGCAGACAGCGCTGGCAGCTCGAGAGAAGGAGTTGAGAAGGTCCGAGAAGGCTGTAGCTCAAGCTGATGCTGAGCTACGAGAGGAGCTGAACCGCGCCGAGAGGATCCTGCCGTCCAAGTTCCTCTTCGAGCGGAACCTCGCTAGCGATCGAGTGCTTGAAGCTGCGCGCAACGTGCTGATCCGCTTTCAACATCGTTTCTACAAGCTCTACTTCCGCCACTGGCGGGTGGCCACTCTACAGCTTCGATTGCAAGCCCAGCGCCGAGCTGTGGCTCAAATCGTGCGCGTGTATCGCGGCCATCGAGGGCGCCGAGAAGCGCGGCGACTGCGTAGAGAGCTCAACGCTATGCAAGCCCAGAAGCGCCAGCTCTTGGCCTTCCGGATCAAGTATCGCTCGAGTCAGGCAGTAAGGCTGCAGATGGCGTGGCGCCGCTTTCTCCGGCATCGAGCTGTTAAGCATCGCCAAGCGCGACAAGCTGCTGCTAGGCTCCTCCAGCGAGCCTTTCGCACGCGGCAATGGCGCGGTCAGTCACTCGTGACGGCGCTAGCGAACGCACGACGATTGTTTGCTGCTGTGAGTCTGCAAAAGTTGTATCGAGGACATCGGACTCGGCGCAAATTGCTGGAAGAGCAGCGTCGTCAACGCCAAGACGAGCGCGTACAGCTTGCTCTGCTCCGCAGTATGTCCAAACGAGCACGCGCAGCTTGGATGATCGAAAGACGGGGAGCAGGATACGTGATCGCCCACCACGCGATACTCCCCTACGTCATGCGGAGGCGGTGGCACCGCTTGCATGACCAGCTACGACGTCAACGCGCTGCCAAGTGTATTGCGCGAGCTGTCTGCAACTGGTTTGGCGTGGAGGCTCGACGTGAGGTCGCTCGAGCCAAGCAGGTCAGTCAATGGCTCGCACTAGTACAGCGCGAGCACAAACGCTCGCAAGCTGCAGCCATTCTCATTCAAAAGCACCTACAGCGGTGGGTGCAACAGCGCAAGTTCCTTATGGCTGAAGCGAGACGCAAGAAACAAGCGAGACGGACTCGTCTTGCAGAGAAACAAACGCGTCGACTAAATTCTGCTCAGCCGATCAAAGGCGCCGATGAAACCGGGACGGACCGCAAGTCGCCTACTGCCGCTCAACGCACCGGTAAAGCACCGAACCTCGGATTAAATCCTCAACCTGCTCGACTGATGGCGCTACTGAAGCCCATGCAACTGAAGAGTAAAAACACCCGAGCCTCTCAAAACCCTCGAGTCGAAGCTGCAAAGCTGGTACAACGTTGTTACCGACGCTATCGGGCTCGAAAGCGAGCTCAGATCCGAACATGGAAGACTGAGGCGCAGAAAGTGGAGATCAGAGTGCTACGGAGACGTAGAGCAGCCACGGCGATCCAGCAACGCGTCCGAGGCATCCAAGGCAGACAATTGGCTCGGGTTCGCCGCGCTCAGCGTCTTCTGCTGCGCTTCATCCTGCGGTGGAAATGGAGACGCATCCAGAAGCGTCAACGCGCTGCACGCAAAATTGCTCGATGGTTTAACCACAAGCGAATGCAAGCCCTCGCAAAACTCTGGAGCGTGGAAAAGCAGAAGCGGGTGGCAGCTTCAGTCCGCGTGCAGCGGTGGTACCGCCTTTGCTGCTTGTTGCCGTCACGAATGGCGAAACTCCTGCGAGTTGCTCGGAAGCGGGAGGAAACTTTGGCGTTGTGTGACCAGAGCCTCCTGCTCTGCAGTCAGCACTTGGCCGACGGGTTCGCGGTGCAGTCGTTCGCCGCCAGTCTTGAAGACGCGTTGCGCCCGCTTGTATCCGACTCGACGGCAGCTTCGCGGTCTCCCTCGAAGACCAGACCATCACCGACGAAGCAAAAGGCGGGGGCTGCTGCCAGTGGCAAACATCACGCTGGTGTCGTATCGTTCCCGGTTCTCCAAATGGCGTTCTTGGTGGTAAGTGGCTGGAAAATGCCCTTTGTATGGCGCGAACTGGATGGTAAGGCACTTTTCCAGACCAAACTTGAGCGCGGTAAAGCTGTCTCATTCTTTCGGTCGCTCCCCAAACGAGGCAAACCGGTAGCGCATCAGATCCAGCACACCTCAGTATTCGAAGCAGGGACAATGACATCGTCGTCACCTACTCGGAAAAACCAGAAACCTGCTCCAAAGGGAGCTAAAGGGGTGGCCGCTGTCGAAACATTTTCGTCGGTTGATGTGGACGTGGCGGTGGCTAGAGCTACGGGGGGAGCGAAGGGAGCGCTGGATTTCGCGGCATTTGTACGAGTGCTCGGGTTACTGGGCGAGATTTCGCTAACGCAGCATTCTCAGACGGCAACTCCATACTGGGGTCGTTATGACGGTGCTGAAGCGCGTGTGCTGGCGTTACTGTGGGTTTCGCTCCTCCCTCACCCGACAATACAGCCACTGGCAAGTCAATTCAGAGCGTTCGTATCAGACGAACTCTCTCGCCAAGCTGCGCACCTCCAAAGACTTTTCACTCGACAGCACAACAAGCTGCGAGGTACGGCGATTCTGGTGGAAATTCGACTCAATCTGCGGACCCAAGAGCTTTCTCGTGCTGCGGTTGTGCTGCAAACACAAGCTCGACGATTGCTGGCACGACGAGAACTGCGGCGTCGAATGCAAGCGACGTACGAGAAGTTCCTGGATCCGACGTGGGGGCTGCCGTACTGGATGAACCCGCGGTCGGGCTACTCGACATGGCAGAAGCCGCGCAGACTAGGAGCTGAAGACGTTCACTGTGAACCGATCCCGTTCCCTGCCCCGGAGCGGATGCTAAAGGCCCCGTGCAATGGACGGAAGGACTGCGATCGCTGTGCCGAGTGGGTGTGCTACGATTGCGACGAGTTTTTCTGTGTTGGATGCTTTGGGGAGTACCACAAGTCCAAGACCATCATTGATACCAATGCAAAGGGCGAAGAGGAGCTCAATGACTCCTCGCATGCTGCTCAAGAGCTTGAAAGGGACGATAATGAAGGAGAAGAAGACAAGGAACAACTCGTCAAACGAGAGCACGAGCTTGAGCGACTCTTGCTGTGCGGATTATGTAAATTCCAGCTCGCATCGCGCCGTTGCCTCGACTGTATCCCCAAACCTGCTCCAAAGCCCAAGCCTCACCCCAAAACAAATCCGCTCAAGCCGAAAAATCACGAAAAGAAGAACCTCGACAATGATGAGGACGAAGAACGCGACAACCGTGAGTCGTTGTTCTGCGACGTATGCTTCGGGTTCCTGCATCGTCGCGGCGGTCTGAAGACCCACCGAACGGAACCTTTGTTGGAACTCTGTACGTCGTGCATCCCGGATGACAATGACGATGAAAACGCCATCTCCCGTCAGCATTCATCCACATTCTTCGCCATCGCCGGAGCCGCCGATGCCGTTCAATGGGAATGTGAAGCTTGCGGGGACCCTCCTCGCCGAGTTTGTGGGCGTTGCGCTCTTCAGTCTCATCCGAAGGAAAGCTGCGGCGAACTGCGTCCCGTTCCTTTTCAAACGTTGGGCAGACGAGAACGCACCAAACGTCTACAAGAAGAACAGGAGGCTCGAGACCGTCGAGATCTGGATAAAATGCGTGCCAGAGCGCTGCGAGCTCGTCAGGAGCGGTGCGCTCGCAAGATGCAGACATTCTGGCGGTCCCGGGCCCCGATTCTTCGGGCCAAACGGGCAGCGGATGCTCGACGCAAGGAGAAGAGTGATCTGTGGCTGCGGCGTCAAGAGGACGCGCGGTTAGCGAAGCGAATGGCGTACCGAGCGAAAAATGCGCTGGGAATGGCGCCGCCGCTAAGCACTGACACGCCCGTACAGCGCAGACTTCGTAGCTTGCACGCCCTGGCACGTCGTCAAGTATCTATTCGTGCTAGATTCTTTGGTCTGCTTATCGACGAGTACGTGAGAGTGGGGATTCCGCTACCGGGTCTTGGGTTGCTCCATCCTGGGTCGAATGAAATCTGGACGAGCGAAGACCTTCGCGGGTGGATCCGCAACCGACAGACTATTCGATTCAAGAAGCTGACTCCGGAAGAAGCTCAACCAGCGGAGCGAGCGTTGTGTGCGTGGCGGCAGCTTGAGCGATCGAGCAAAAATGAGGATGATCCGGGCAATGAGGCGGTGGAAACTGGAGCCCCATCGGACTCCTCGACGCAGCCCAAGGCGTCAGATACGACGTGGCTGGCAGACGTGCATCCGAAACAATTGGTCACCGAAAGTATGGTGCCCCTGGCACAGCCGTACGGCCCACCACTGCCCAAGAAGAAGCACCGCAGAGCTGCTGAGGAAGAGGAGGAGGACGTCGTGGAGGACGTTCCAGTCGCGATGTTCCTCGTCGAGTTTTCGCTGGATCCGAAGCGAACCGTGTGGATCAACCACTCCCTGTAGGTGACGTTAGATGTACTGTGCTCAAGGGGTTGTTGACACTGACTATTGCTATTGCCTGAACAGGGCTGAGAGGTTCTGGGAGTGGAAGCGACTCAAGATGTTGGCACGAAGCGAGCGAGCGGCGCAGCGTCAGCGGGCCAAGGACTACGTGAAGCAACGGAAAGAGATCGAAGAGAAGAAAAAGCGGGAGGAGGAGCTAAACCGTCAAGACAACCCTGCCACTGCAGTTGAGACCCAAGGCCCTCCACTGGGTGATGCTGAAGTTCCAGCCACGACTGATGCAGTACCAAACACCGCTACAGAGCAGCCATGGCCGGTGCCAAATTCAGCGTGGCCAGTGAGCGAAGCAGCCCCGGACCCGTACTACAACTACAACTACTACCCTTCGGACCCGGTTAACACTACTGAGAGCTGGTACGATGGGTATTCAGCAGACTATGGCTACGGATATAACCCAACTCCACTGGAAGTGTCCCCTGCAATGGCAGGAGGGACCGCTGGTCTTGTTGACAGCAGTAGCTACTACGGAAGTGGGGGCTACGCTGGCGGCTGTGGCAGCAACGATTCTGACGCGTCAAACTGGTATGGGACTGAGTACAGCGCGTACGACATGTCGGGGTACAGCTCAGCAGCTACGGACTACGGGAGCAATGCTGCTGCTAGCAACAGTGGCGGATGGGGCTACGGCGGTGCTGTCAACTACGCCGAGCCGCAGCCATCAGTTGACCCCAACGCTGCATCGTTCGTCCATGGTGCAGACTACAGCTACGCATACAGCGGTGCAGATCAATGGCAGCATCAAGGAGTCTACTATCAAGACCAAGGTCAAGGCTCCTATGGCTATACCAATGACGCTGATGCCTCCAGCTATTACCCGCCGTCGGCTACAGACGGATACTTCTACCCGAGCGAGGCGTACACAGCGCAGCAGCCCGCCACTGCATCAGATCAATGGGAGGAAGTGTTCGACCCGGCCACGCAGCAGACGTACTACGTGAACCGCGTCACGAACGAGACGGCCTGGCAGATCCCATAATGACGGCAAGTTGAAGTGGTCAGATGGCTACAGTCACTCTTTCAGTCATTCCAACGAGGTATTCTGTGTATATTTTGTGTATGCCACACCGACGTCAAGGCCAACCAATTCTGGGCCATTGCTCAAAACGACGTAGCTCTTGGCGACCGAGTCGAGCGAGTGAGTGTCCACTTCCAGCAGAAGCAGCGCAGTCAGCCAGCAGCAGCAATGGCCCGTAAGAGCAGTGGAGCGCGCAAGAGCCGCGCCGTGAGCGCGCTGGTGCGCGCCGAGGACGCGGCCGAGGAGGAGATCCTGGCGACGCCGGCGCTGAGCTCCGCGGCCGCCAACGCCAGCGACGTGGAGAGCGACAACGAGGAGGACGCGGACGCCGAGGCCGAGATCGAGCGCCGCCTGGTGGCCGAGGCGCAGGCCGAAGCGGACGCCGCCAAGCGCGAGAGCAAGGGCGTGTACAACAAGGAGGCGCTGCTGGCGCTCGTGGCCGACTGGGACGCCAATCCGCTGCCGTGGGTCGAGACGCTGGACACGTGCGCCGTGCCCCTGGAGCTCGAGAGCGTGCACGACGACCTGAAGCGCGAGGTGGCCTTCTACAACAACACGCTGGCGGGCGTGCGCCTGGCCAAGGACCGGCTCAAGAAGGAGGGCGTGGCCTACAAGCGCCCCAACGACTACTTCGCCGAGATGCTCAAGAGCGACGCGCACATGGCCAAGGTCAAGGACAAACTCATCTACGAACAGAAGAAGATCACGGCCGTGGAGGAGCGCAAGAAGTCGCAGGCCCACCGCAAGGTGGCCAAGGAGATCCAGGCCGAGAAGGTCAAGGAGCGCAACCAGCAGAAGAAGGACACGCTCGAGGCCGTCAAGCAGTGGAAGAAGCGGAAGGGCAGCGACAAGGGCGGCGCGCTCAAGGACGACGACGACGGAGAGCTCGACACGATCATCGGCGGGGGCAAGCGCAAGCATGCGGGCGGCGACCGCGACGGAGCCAACAAGAAGCCGCGCGCCAACAAGGCGCGCGAGGCCAAGAACGCCAAGTTCGGCTTCGGCGGCAAGCGCCGTCACGCCAAGAGCAACACCAAGGAGAGCACGAACGACATGTCGAGCCACCCCGGTGCGCGCAAGGCAAAGGCAAAGTCGCAGGCGTTGGCCAAGGGCGGCAAGCGCGCCGGCAAGGCTCAGCGCGCGAACCAGCGCAACAAGAGTCGGCGGTAAATACTAGTAGCTGGATAGGCGGTTAGGAAGCTGCGCCGAAGCGTATTAGCCCACCAAGGCAGTAGAGGCCTTACGATGCGTGTCGGGCTGCGGCTTGCTGCGCCGCTTTAGATGATAAAGAGCTCCGTATTTTTTTGTTTCAATGCGTTTTGCCTTGCGTTGTGGCCTGCAGCCCTGCGGTCCTGACAAATTAGCCCAAAGCTTCTCACGCCAGTCAGCTGTTCCTAGTGTTGAGGATTTCAGCATCATGTGCGACAACTCGGACAATTTGGGTCGGGGCTTCCCTGTCTGTCCACAAGCCCATGCGTCTCTCTTCACACTGGAAATGGAGGACAAGAGCTCCTCATTGCTCCTCATTCTTGCTGAAGACTTTGGCACGACACCCGGCCGATCCATCTGCACGCTCCTTGCTTGCTTCTACATGGACGCGCCCGGCGCTTGATGACTGGTATGTCGAATCACCGGAGGCGCAGCTCATTGACCAATGAAGTTGAAGTTGAAGTGCAGTTTCCTCTTGGTGAACATGGTGGCGACTGCCTATTTCAGTTCCCCCCCCCCCCCCCCCCCCCATGCCGCGATCGGCGTCACCAAGCTCCTGGCCAAGCAACAATGCGTTGGTGCGGCGGCGCGTGCGAAAGAGCTCCCGGGGTGCTGGTGTCGGCCGGAGGCTTGGCAGCCTTCTAGGTCACCTGAAAGGCGGCGGCTGTTGCCATCATTTCAAAACAGCAGAGCTGTATGGGGCTGTTTGGCGGCATGCGGGCGGAGCACATGCAGCCACCCAGCCCCGGCTAACGGCAACACCGTCCCTAGTCCGAGCCCAACTTCGCTGGGAGCCGAAGACCAAGGAAGAGTGCACGTAGTTTCATGCAGTGAACCGCTAAGAATTAATTGAATCGAAACTGTAGGTAACTCAGCCACGAACAGCGCGCGAGGATACTAACTATCGATGGACACGTCTCACCTAACTGCACACTCGCTTAAAACGGAATGTTGTTCTGCTGCATGAAGGCCAGCAGCATTTGTCGCTCGTTAGGCGGCAGCATGTCCAGCTTCTGCGGGGTCATGTCGCGCGCGAGTTCGGCGATGGCGTCGAACTGTCCGCCAGGCGCAGCGTCCGCACCAAAACCGCTCGGCTTGGACCGCTTGGACGGGTCATTGTCTCCTGTCGGCGGTGCCAGCCCTTGCTCGCCGGGATACGGTCTCTTTGCCAAACGAGGGTCTCGGCCTGCACGTCGAGGGTCACGGCTGGCGTGCGCCAAGTTGCTGCTCGGAGGCCCGCTACTCTGCGGCGGACCAGTCGGAGTTGGCATCAAGCCCGGTTGAGGCTGAGCGTGCATCGGGCTAGACGCCGGAATGCCTACTGCTGGTCGGCCGCCCATAGCGGAGCTCGTGGCTTGAGCAGCCAGAGGTCCAGGCCGCGCACTCCAGCGCGTACCACCAGACTTTGCCGGAGCTGGTGCGGGTGCAGGATTCATCATTCCCGGCTGAACTCCAGGAGGCGCCATGCCGAGGATGCCTGGCCCAGGACCCATATGCCCTCCCATCAGCGGGCGTGGCGGAGGCGGCATCATCCGTCCCGCCATCAGCGGAGGCTGGTGCATCATTGGAGGAGGGGCCAGCAGCACCGGTTGCGTCTCCGTCGACGACGGAATGGGGATCTGCAGCGTTTTGAAGCTCTGAACGATCGCGTGGGTGAGTGCCGGGTTGGCCATCAGGATGCTCTTGGTGACCTCCGGTTTCTGTCTCGCGTGCTCCTTGAGCTGCACCAGCATGTCGTAGAGTTTGACCGGACCCAGCCGAGCAATGGCCGACTCGATGGCGTGGATCGCCATCTCGCCCGTCACCATCGTTGGAGGTCCTCCATCGGACCCGCCGTTCCTAAAGTTGCTGCCGCTGGTCCCTCCATGGCGGGCGTGACTGCCATTGTCGTGGCGTTTCCTGTCCGCTCCTCCAGACTTGTCGCCGCCGTCCGCAAAGTCCACGCGGAGGTTGCGGCCGTTGATCTCGTATCCGTTGAGGTTGCGCATGGCGCTAAGCGCCGTCGCTCCGTCCGCATACTCACAGAAGCCGTAGCCCTTGGGCTTGCCGGTCTCTCGGTCCGTCACGAGGCTGCACGAAAGACAGCAGCAAACTCAGTTAAACCTCGTCTTCACTGCCATGTTTGAGGGCCTTAGAGGGCCCCAACGCACCGGAAATTCACGACGGAGCCCGCCTCCGAGAAGATTTCCTTGAGCATGTCCTCTGTCACATCGTACGGGATGTTTCCGACTGGTAAAATTTAAATTACAGCACGAAAATCAAAGAGAGCAGTGGACAAGACGAGAAACGTGGCGTTAGTGGCGATGGGGCGGGCGGTGAGAGGCCGGAAAACGTGCAAACGGTAGCGCAGACAAATAGAAAGAAGACGGCGCAGGTTTCGCCGCGCGTGGAGACATACCGAAAACGCTGCGCTCCTTGGCGGAGCTCGCGCGCGACTTATTGCTCATGGCGCGAGTTTTGAGGCACTGGCACGAGAACCCGATAAACAAGCTCTTATATCGAGATTACGTTTAAATGACATATATGTTTTAAACGTTAGATTGGTGCAATCGTTTCATAGCAAACTCACAGGATTTCAGTATGTGTCTTGTTGAAGTTCGCGAGCAAATTGATCCCGCAAGTAAATCATAGAACACAGAGCTTTTCCATGGTGTGAAGCGACGGAGAATGCTTCGAGACTGCTTGCGAAGATTTCTAGGATGTAAGCAGCAGACCGACGGGGTCGCACACATTGCCCCAGTCCGGCGTCGCCACGCGGCCGATCCTGCTGCCTGCAGTGATCCACAAACGGTGTAAACATTTGCTAGTGTCTCCTCCTCCCGTCTTGGTTTTCGCGGGCACCACGCAGCCTTCGCCGGCGGTGGCTCTTTTGCTGTCCCGACTCTCAAGAGGTACACCGCCGCTCTTATCCATTTATCCTCCAGCGGCTGTGCACTCTATTGTTTTTAAACAGCTTAACAGTCCGCAACGAGCGTCGGAAGTGGTGTGTAGATGCCTTCACTAAACCGCTTCGTACACCTCAACCAGGCCAGGCCATGCTACCAGGATATCCGATTTGGTATGGATCCGTCGTGCTTCCTCTAAATCGTTTCTGCTTGAGAGTTTGGGCCCCTCGCATTGATGCAGCAACTTACACGTACTGGTTTGTTGATGTAGCACAGAGAGGGACTAAGCAAGCAGTCCAAAGGATGAGGCAACCAGCTCTTCCGTCTCTATCGACAGTCTGAATTTGGTCGCCGATTGAGATCTGTACCGCGCGGCTTGCTTACGTTGATCGACGATCCGATGCTCCATCGTGTTCATGCGTCTCCAGTACCGGCGAGATTTAAGCAAGAATGTACGGTGAGATGCTTTTTCACGCTTCTCTCTTTTCACTCGCGTGGATCTGCCCACGGATGGCTCCGGCGTTCACGGTGTGCCAGGGACGCTCTAGCAGTCTGGATTCTGCTAGCGGCGCTTGCTATGTTTCAACACGTTTGAAATCTCAACCACGTAAGAACGAACATGGTCTTGGCGGAGCAGTATTTTTCGATTTGGCGCTGGCGGGGAGTCATGTGTACAGTAGACTACCGGGGGCTTTAACGAGAACAACACATGTATAATACGTCGTCGGTTGGCAGTGAGTGAATTGATGACCGCCTGGTCAGCCCAGATCTACAGTACAGCGAGAAAATGTCCGTGAAATCACGGCGTGGAGTTGTGCTGGCATCAGGATGTCGGGCTCGCACGCCAAGGGTGACCAGCACGTAGCGCGCAGGTGGGTGCGACAAGAAGCAAGGTCGACATGCAGCTACAGGTACTCTACGGCGAATCCAGCGTGACTCCATGCGGTGGTCGACCGTCGGCGGGTCGGAATCGTGGCTAGCCTACACAAGCAGAGACCTCGCGCTCCAACGAGGTTCGCATCGGTGGCGTGAGTAATTCGCCTGCCTGCTCGAGGTGTCGAGCACCGCGAGCAGTGCCCGTTACTTCACGTCCATTTCATCCAAGCCGGCGGCTGTAGTCAATCCCTTGAACAGTCAATCGTTGAACCGGAGGCAGGATATCTCGCTCCGACGCCGACCACACCAACCGTGCTTTTTTCGGTGTGAATGAAAAGCTCGGAGCGGTTCGCGTGACTCCAGCTACAGTTATGGGGATAGCCCCCATGACGTGCAGGAAGACGCACGTGGAGAGCGAGCGACGGATGCGAGGCGCTGTGCCTGCATTTCGGCCGCCGGAGAGGGCTTTGGGTGATGCGGTCTTGATCCGCGCGGCATCGGCGCCGCCGATTCGGCGGACAAAAGCAGATCGTGGATCGTATCCCTGCAACGTATCTCGACACGCTAGCCAGTTCAAATTATAACACAGTTTATTGAAGTACTGTGTATCTTAGCATAATGTAACCTAACTAAGTGTACAGTATTGGAAATCGACCAATAAATCTACAATAAATTTTGAATAAATACATGATCTACTTACTTAGATGATTTAGAGTACTGAGACCGCGTGCTGAACTCTTTGCGCATCTCCGTTGTCAACTCGCGCGCTTTTGATAGGCGTTTGTCAAGGGCAACTTGTCCTCCTCGTGCTGCGTCCGCTCGGGCTCCACCGGAGTAGGAGTCCATGCGTCACTTGCCTGCATCCTCGTTGCAGTCGACGCGCGGCCTTTTTGCAGTTGGTCCGCCGTCCGGGCTCTCCTCGCCGCCAAAAAAGCGCCCACGCAGCTCTCGCTCTCTTGATCTCCCGGGGGACAGGCCTGCCCCCGCCCTCGGCTCATTCCCGGACTGTCACGCTCGCCTGCACCCGCGTTGCTGCGTCGAGGTGGAGGAGTGGTGACTACTTGTCAGCGCGTACAAGCTGTTTCGCCCGACACTTACCACTACTAGCAGCGCGATGTCGCTCGCGTGGCTCCGCAGCCACGCTCGCAATCGCGACCGCGGCAACTCGCGGAGCCGATCCAACAGCCAGCGTCTCGCGGCGCAGCGCGCGCACCGCCAGTTCGCTGGCGCCGAGGCGTACGCGCCCCGCGTGACGTACGATAACTCGTTCGTGGTGGACAGCAGCGTCACGTCCCGAGACGCCAACTGGCTCACCGACGAGCAGTACAAGCGCCAGTATATGCGGCTCGGCTGGGAGGTGGCGCCGATCCGCAAGGACGGCAACTGCCTCTTCCGAGCGCTCAGCGACCAGCTCTACGGACACGAGCGGCGCCACCTGGAGCTGCGCCGCCGTCTCGTGGACTTTATCGACCTCGAGCGCGCCTTCTTCGAGCCGTTCGTGGCCGGCGAGGGGGTCGTCGAGTACTGCGCGAGACTTCGGGAGGCCGGCGCGTGGGGCGGCCACCCGGAGCTCGTAGCGGCCTCGAGACTGCTGGGTGTCAACATCATCGTGCACACAGGCCCCGTCAAGCGACTGCGTATCGACACGGACAAGTACGCGCGCACCAAGGAAGGCAAGGGCAAGACCATCAACCTGTTGCTCAAGCACGACCACTACAGCAGTCTCCGCAAGAGGGAGAAGCCCATCGAGCAGCAGCACGGATGCTCCGACATGTGTCTGTGCCGGCGAGTCGTGGCTCCTTCCCGGGCCTCGCTCGACTCCCGCGCGTCGCTGGGCGCTCGTCCGTCGGACCTGGGATCGAGTTTCGTGGAGCTGGATCGACGTAGCTCGCTCGGCTCGCGTCCTGTAGATATCACGTTGGGGCCCGACAAGCGTCCTCGGAGTCTGAAGGGGGCGTATGGACGCAAGCCCGTACCCGAAGCCAGCAACAACAGCGGTGAGGGCAGTCCCGTGCGCAAGAAGCAGCAGAGGGCCCCGCTCAAGATCAAGGCTCGAGCACCGGAGAAGCCCAAGGCGCCAGCTCCTGCCCCGCCAGCTCAAGCTGCGCCTGCCAAGCCGAGAACGCCAGCGCCCGCCGCGCCGAGCAGGCCAAAATCGCCAGCACCGGCACCACCGGCCAAGCCGAAGACACCAGCTCCTGCTCCGCCAAGCAAGCCGAAGACGGCAGCGCCCTCTCCGCCGAGCAAGCCGAAGACCGCCGCTCCTGCTCCGCCCAGCAGCAGACCGCAGGCACCGGCACCAGTTCCGCCCAGCAAGTCTCGACCGGTTGCCCCCGCGCCGTCGCCAGCTCCGCTGGTCAAGCCTACCCCAGTTGTGCAGACTATGAAGCCCAAGGCAGTCTCTCCTCGACCGAAGGCCAGGACTCCGATCCCCACTCCTCCGGAGACGCCGAAGAGTGCGGGCGTTGTGCTCTTCCAGCCGGAGTCGTTGAAGCCCGTCGTGAAGCCGAAGGCTCCGCTGGTGGTGCTGTTCGAGCCCGAGAAGTCCCCCGTGTCGTCCCCAGTCTCCAAGAAGGCCACCGTGAACACGGCCACCCCCACGAAGCCCACATCCACCTTAGTGCTGGACGTCGAAGTGGAGAAGCCCGAGTCGGTCCCAGTTAGCAAGCCCAAGGTTGCCGGTGTCCACAAGCCTCGCCGCGCCGTCTTCAACGGCGGGCGGCGTCGCCGTTCCAGCGCAGCCGCGTTGGCGCTGATGCAGGAGGTGTCTATCAGCCTCAACACTAGCCCCGAGCCCGTGGCTGCGGCTGTGGCTCCTGCTCCTGCTCCTGTGGTGAACCCGCCCACCCCGCCGGTTCCGCCGGCCCCGCGCTCAATGGCCATCAAGAAGTCGAGCAAGAAGGTTTTCCACCAGGGTCGCCCCGTGTCCGCTGCGTGCTGAGCTGAGTGAACTGAGGCTGCAGCGATCGTGTCGCGTGTCGAGATGAAGACTCGCGGCAATGGGGAGGCTTGTAAGATATAGAGAAGAAGAAGAATGGAGGCGAGACGCAAGAGTCTTGCGTCCCGCCTCGCCTTGCCCTCGATCGAAGAGGACAGGGAGTCTCTGTCTTGAGGGCATCGAGACGCCTATAATGTCAAACAATAGACTGATGACACGTGCACTTGCACGACCTGAAACTCCCCGCATCCGTCCGTCCGTAGTAGTCGTTCTTGCACCGGCACAGGCATAATGAGCGGAGACCTTCGTCCTGAGACCGATGGCGACGCGAGTGCCGACGCGGTTTCTCGCCTCCTGGGCACCAACACGACGCTGGGAATCATTGCGGGACTGACGTTAGCGGCAACAACCCACCACCATAGCGACGAAGCCGACACTCCGGTTGCCCCGACGACGCCCATTGTGGAAACCGCTGGGCGATCGCGGCGGAAAAGTCTGATCGGAGTTCTTGGAGCGGGAACCACCTCGTTCGCTGCCTCAAGTCCGGCCAAGAAACCCCCGGGGTCTCACCCGGCCGTGTTTTCCGTGCAAGCGCCTCGAGAGACCATCGAGAGACTCCAGAACCAGAACAAGCTGCTCAAGCAGGAGCTGTCCATCGAGGCGAGGGCGGCTCGAGAAATGCTCGGCCAGGAGAAGCGCACTCGCGTCGAGCAGCTCCGATCCACCCTCGCCGTGTTTGCGCGGAAGCTGGCCAAGACCCAACGCCAAGTCGAGCGAACGGAGCAGGTCATGGCCCGAAAGACGCAAGAGCTTGCGGCTCTGAGACTCGCGCTGCAGCCCATTCCTGCTCATGAAGTAGCGGCTGCAATTGCAGGTGAAGGAGAAGCTGGCACGCCCGGGAAGCCATTGGCGGTGGCTGCGGCGGCTGCTGCTGCATCAGGAAAGCTTCGCATGGCGGAGAATCGACTGGAACTCGCGCTCGTTCGTAAGAACGAAGTGGACTCAGCAAACAAGCGCTTACTCGCTCGGGTGGAGGCTGCGAGGCGAGATCGCACGATCTTCGACGGAATCTACAAGAAGCTGGAGCGCGAGGCCAGCGTGTCCAAGTCGCGCCACGAACAAGCAAAAGCTGACTTGGCTCGAGCAACGCAAGCTCGTGACGCTCTGGCACGTGAAGTCGCACAGCTGCAGGATGCCGCCGAGCGCGAGCAGTTCGAGTACGAGCACCAGTTCCAAGAACTGAAACACAGTATCGCCCATTGGCGGCACGAGACGGGAGTGCGCATGGCTGCCAGCGAACTGCAGAGCTCGGGTGTGTCTGAGCTACTTGGAGGACTAGACGCAAGTTCGGAGCAGAACAAAGCGAAGGGTGGCGCTGGCACGTTGACTCGAGTCACGGCGCTGTCATCTTGGAAAATCGGAGTGGACCGAGCGTTGACGTCAGTGCCCGACAGTCTGGTAGCCAAGTACGACGAAGCTTTCGCCGCTATTCGCGAGAGGACAGGGCTGCAGGACGCGTCGGCACTTGCTCACGACTTGTTAGCTCGCGATGCAGCAAATTTCCAGCGCTTCAAGCGCGTCGAGGAGCTGAGTCGAGAGGAAGTGGCACTTCAAACCCAAGTGGCAGCACTTACCTCCCAAATTGAGGCCTTCAAGGCCCGTGAAGGCATCGCAAGTCGCGCCTCGCAGAAGCAGCAGTGCCGTCGAGTCGAAGCAGCTTTACGCGAGACGCAACAGGCATGTGACGAACTGGACGCTGAAATAGAAGACCGCGATGCCGTACTGGGGAGAATTAAGGCTTCAGTACACTCGGTGCACAACACGCTAGCACACGCCGCCTCTGGGGCTGCCTCAGGTGGCGGCACGACCGGGAATTCGACAGTACTCAGTCAAGGCATCACAGACGCCAACGTTATCGAATACCTGCAAGCCATCGAGATGTACACAACGGAGTTACTGCAGAGCAAAGCAAACAGCGAATCGAACGAGTCGTCGCCAGCCAAGGCGCGCCTGCCCCAAGCACAAGCAAGCGAGAATGGAACATCCCCGTTACCAGTCGGACATGGCCCTCCGACACTGCCGTCGGATCCACGCCAAAAACTGCACGTCCACGTGCCATCCTTCGGTGGCGTTGACGGGATTATCGAGCTCCCAGCTCAAGTCCTCCCGTATTCGTCTTCAATCCCCGATGCGAGTAGCAGCCCGTCCACACCGAACCCAAAGAGGCAAGGAGGTTCTTCAGTGAACAAGCAGCAGCAGCAGCAGCGCCGCCGGTTATCCTCCCGCGATTCACTGTCGCAGCGTCAGTTTGCGAGCGCACTCGCTACGGCAAACGCAGCACAGCCGTCAATCTGCGAGGAAACAGCAGCAAGCACAAAGAGAGCTGGCAATGACAAGCGAAGCGCTCAACATAGCGACGCTAGCGGAGGTGCAGGTGGGGAGGAAGACGAGGAAGATGAGCGCGCGCTCACATACGACGAGCTCAAGCGGTTTGCGGCCAAGAACACGAAAAGCAAGCGGCGTGGCACCAATACGTCGTCGAAGATGCATCACTGACCCCCAGTAGATTCACAATAATATATCACAATATACTCGAGATCCTAGATCCACTTCAACTTCAACTTTTTGACCATCACTCTGAAAGCCGTTTCTTACTGTGGGGGTTTCGCGCTAAGGCTCAACCGACGCTCACTACCAAGATCATACCAGCATTTCTCGCGTTGAGGCTGCCAGATCCCCACCATGTCCACGGTAACGAGCCCTCGCGCCCAGCGCTCTGCTTCCGCGCCCGGCAAGGGCGGCGCTGAGCTCCACGCAGGCGGCGAAGGAGCCGAAATTGCAGCCAAGAGCCGCGAAGTGATCGACGGACTCAAGAAACTCTACGCCAGCAAGCTCCGGCCGCTGGAAAAGCGCTTCGACTTTGGGGAATTCCACTCGCCGCTGCTGAGCGACGCCGACTTTGAAGCCAAACCACAGGTGCTCATGATCGGGCAGTACTCGGTGGGCAAGACCTCGTTCATCGAGTACCTGCTGGGCCGACCGTTCCCTGGACAACGTGTCGGACCGGAACCTACGACGGACCGCTTCGTTGCCGTCATGCACGGAGAGGAGGAGCGTACAGTCCCGGGCAACGCCGCGTGTGTGTCGCCTGATCTGCCCTACGGCGGGTTGTCCATGTTTGGCACAGCTTTCCTCAACAAGTTCGAGGCAGCGCAGCTCCCTGCTTCCATACTCGAGCAATTAACGATCGTAGATACTCCTGGTATCCTGAGTGGGGAGAAGCAACGCATCTCGCGCGGCTACGACTTCACGCAGGTCGCACGCTGGTTCGCAGAGCGCTCGGACCTCATCTTGCTGCTCTTTGACGCGCACAAGCTCGACATCTCGGACGAATTCCAGCGCGTGATCGAAGTGCTGCAGGGACAAAGCGACAAGGTGCGCTGTGTGCTGAACAAGGCCGACCAAATTGACCAGCAGCGCTTGCTTCGGGTCTACGGCGCTCTGATGTGGTCCCTGGGCAAGGTGCTGAAGACACCTGAGGTCATGCGTGTGTATCTGGGCTCCTTCTGGTCGCAGCCACGCCAACAGCATGGAGAAGATGGCGCTAACAGCACGCCCGAGGCGCTTTTCGACGCCGAAGAACGAGATTTACTGGACGAATTACGTGCCCTGCCGCAGCACGCAGCCGTTCGTAAAATAAACGAGCTGGTGAAGCGCGCTCGACTGGCCAAGGTGCATGCGTGCCTGCTGGGGCATTTGCGAGACAAGATGCCGTCCGTGTTCGGGATGGAGAAGAAGCAACGAGAGCTGCTCGAGAACATGGCAGAGAACTTCCGAGAGGTGCAGCGTAAGTATAACCTGCCCCCAGGCGACTTCCCGTCGATCGATGCCTTCGTCCGCCAGTGCGCCGACCGCAAGTTCACAAAGTTCCCGTCCCTCAAGTCCCGGGAGCTGCAGGACATCGACGACATGCTCACCAAGGACATTCCCGCGTTGATGGCCTCGCTACCGAAGCACACGCGCGTCGGGGTCGCCGGCGTAGAGAGCTCCGAGACAGCGAGTGCTCACAGCACCAACCCATTCGCCAGCGTCGCGCCTATCGGAAGACTTCAGTGGGAGGAGGCTCTGCTGGGCTGCAAGCCTGAGTACGATGCCATCTTCGCCACGTTAGCTGCGGATTCTTCTGGCCGCGTGTCCGGAGCAAACTGCATGGCTCCACTACAGAAGCAGGCTTCGGCGTCAGTCTCGCACGAGACGCTGCGGGCGATCTGGGACCTCGCCGACCAGTCGAATGCTGGCAGTCTGGACGCCGACCAATTCGCGGTGGCCATGCATCTCTGTGCCAGGGCCAAAGTGGGCGAACCCGTTCCCGCAGAGCTCCCCGCGTCGCTCGTGCCTCCTTCAAACGGAAAGGAGCAGCCCCACCACGTGGGCAGTTCACCGCAGACCAGCGCAATTCGCAAGCCCGCCATAGTCTAGCCGACGTCGCCTCAGTCGAAGGCTGTTGGCACCCCTGTGAGCTCTTCAATTCATGTATTCCTTGGACTTCTCGAGTTTAATTGTGAACGTCCTTTGCTGAGCTCCTGCTGTAGGAAGAGAGCAAAGCCCCAAGAGAAAAAGATCAAGTGGGAACACATGATCAAGTTGCGCAGCGAAATTGTCGACTAGCAAACAGCGGCAAGCAAGCGCAAAATGTAAATGCGCGCACGGCCTTGCATTGTTGAAGCTGTGTGGCGACGGAGTGATGGTGCGGTTGAAGTGTCCGCTGCACGAACATATCCTGAAGTTGAAGCTGTCAGCGACGCTGACCCAGCGTCAGCGTGACGCACAACACAGGAGTTTCATTGCGTCCGGCGGCCATAAGCTTTCGGGCGATACAAAACGCGCGCTGGACTTGCTGATCCCCTCGGCAGAAGAAGATCATTAGCCTTTCAATTGCTGCTGACTCACCACTGCCAACCATTTTCGAGTGAGTGCACTGCAGCCGTGGACGGCAAGATAGTGCGCTTTGAATTGCCAGGCTGTCGACGAATGCACGAATGGCGCGAAATTTTTTCGTTGTTTTAGGGTCCTGGACATGGCGATTTGATAAGCTAATGCGCGTTTTTAGGCTAAAGTTTAGGGCGCAAAGAAATCGCATGGCGGCCCTTTTCTATCTCGTTGAATCTAGGGAGTGATCCCACTCCCCTTGTCAGTGACTTCCTGGGAGCATCTGACACCCGGCCAGCGAAGACTTGGCCAAGTCACGCTCTGTGAGCACCACAGAACCCCGTACATTTGCATTTTCATCGTGTGGAACCCCGAAGCACGCACGCCATCAAAATTATACTGAGTGAGCGATTACAGCACATTGTCATATACTTAAGTACGAATCACTTCAATCGCACCAGGCGATACTGTACAGTAGATCTGAAAAATAAAAGAAATATGGTAAGCACAGGGGATATCCATCGACTTTTGTATCGTGTTATCTTCTATAGTTAAGTCCCTTTGCGCTACAATTAGAAGAAGTACGACATATATGGTATAGCCAAAGGTTCTCTCTTGAAGCTCCTATCCATATTTGCAGCCATGCGTAAAATATACTCTCTTGGTTTGTTTATCTTATTTTGCAGATTTAGCCCACCACAATGTCCAATTCGTCTCGAAACAACATACTTTAGTTCCTAAAGCAGAGGGGTTTTGATCACCCACTCGCGTTAACGCTATCTTAAGTTTTCATATACCATTTTCCTGGGTACAAGCCATAGATGCACTAAATTTGTTTTGTTTTGTCTCGTGAATAAACTATTTCAAACCGATTGATACTACCGAGCAAGTTGCTGAAACTAGCTCACCACCTGAAAGTGCAAATAGCAGGACTGCACGATGGTTTTCTACTGGTCGGTCCTGCGGAGTCTTCTTCTCATGGCTTTAATTTATCTGTAGGATTCAAGTGTCATGTACTTTTTCTTAGAAGGAAGCAGTTTTCCAGGTGTAACTTTTGACAGGTGTGCTTTCACATATGACTACCGGGTCCACAATTGACGCCAACTGCTCCCGCCACGCAAGTGTTGAGTGGAGGGCAGGGCCTGCAGCAACCCCTGCATCGAGCCTGGTGGGCGTCTTGCTGCTGTGCATGGCTGCCTTGGCTTCGGCACCGAGACGCGCCCAAGTTCAACCGGCATGAAACGAGGCGAACGCGGTGACTCCTTCAACTGTGGCGGCCCAGGTCCGCACCGCCAATCTCGAGCTCGACGGCTGCGCTGCACGCTGCACTGCACTGCACTGCACCCTGCAGCAGCGGCAGAGCTGCCGCGGGCTCCAGTAGGCTACTGAGTAGCTGCTTCGGGGAAGAGGGACCCGCTGCGTCGTTTCAGAGCTGTTCGGAGCGCGAGATGACCAACGAGAGGATCACCACCATCGCTGTGGCCAGCGGATCCGCAAAGCTTTTCAAACGCGTTGCAAACTTCCGCTGCAACCAGTGAAGCGCGCGAGCCGGAGCCATGCTACCGAGCTGCTGCCAGCAGCTCGGTAGCATGCCTGCTGGTGGCAGCATCACCAGCAGGCAGCAAGGCTGAAGCGAGGCAACTGAAGCAGCAGCAGCCCCAGCACCAGAACGAGCGTGACGGTTGCCTCGTGGACTGTGTGTCACGGCTCTGCCCGCGCGCCCCGTCCGTGCACTATCAAAAAGAGAATCAGCGCCTCCCATCCGCCACTCCGATTTGGCCGCTCTCGCCCTGGATTTGCGCAGTAATCGCACCCTCATTAACTGGAAGCGCGCACTAATTTGGCTATTTTTGGTGCGGCGGGCCCCAGACGCGGGAACAGCTCTTCTCGCTCGTCTCTTCCCATTCGTGTTCTCTCTGAAAGTATCGGCAGCTACAGCGAGCGTCAAGGTAAGCAAGCCGCCGCCGCCGCCGCCGGCACCAAGGCACCCAACCGCTCGAGCTCGAGCGCTAACTCTCCTTCTCCCTACTGTTTGACCCCCCTCGCAGCGACTTCATGGGAACGGGAGAAGCGCTGCACATCCCCCGCCCCGACCCCGGCACCATGGGCGCGTACTTGCCCCCGCAGAGCAGCGGCATGCCGTACAACCCGGCCGCAGGGAACGGGGTCTCGGCGCCCGCCGCCGGCCGCCCCGACGCGCCCCCGGGCGCCTATATGCCGCCGCCGCCCGCGCCGGGCTCGTGCATGGTGTGCTACAACCCGAGCGTGGACCTGCTGCTCGAGCCGTGCCACCACCAGTTCCACGCCGCGTGCATCGAGCGCTGGCTCAGCAAGGACAAGGTCTGCCCCACGTGCTGGACGCCCATCCAGGCGCCGCGCCGGCTCCTGACGCAGCAGCAACAGCAGCAGTACGCGGTGCAGATGCAGCAGCAGCAGCAACATCAACAGCAGCAGCAGCAGGGCGTGGGTCAGGACAACGGCGGATACCCCGTCGACAGCAAGGCGCACGTACTGGACGGCGCGGCGGCGGGAACCCCCACGGCCGCGGCTAACGGAGACGCCGGCGCGCAGCAGCAGAGCAACCCGCCCACGGCCATGCGCAAGGGCAAGTGGACGGCCGAGGAGAGCGCGTACTGCGACCGGCTGATCGAGGAGTTCAAGAAGGGCAACCTGCCGCTGGCCGAGGGCACAACGCTGCGCACGTTCCTGAGCAAACTGCTGAACTGCGACCCCATGCGCATCTCCAAGAAGTACACGGGCGACCAGTGCATCGGCAAGATCATCTTCCGCCGCCGCGAGGACGAGGTGTCCAAGGAAGACATGGAGAACATCCGCAAGGACCTGGCCGAGCTGGAGAAGACGTACCTGGAGAGGGAGCAGTACAACCAGCGGCGGCGCGAGAAGCGACTCGAGTCGGAGTTGTCGAGGGACAAAAACCGCTTCGCTGCCGCCAGATCCATCGGATACGCAGCAGCAGCGGGCAACCCGGCGGCCATGCGCCCGCCCCACCCGCAGCAGCCGCAGCCACAGCAGGGAGGGTATCCGCCTGCTGCGGTGCAGCCCATGACGAAGCAGGAGCCTCGGCCCGTTCCAGGCCCCCAGCAGATGCAGCAGCCCAACTACGGAGCTCCGGGCCGAGCGGGCAGTATGCCCGTGCAGCCCCCTCTTCACCCCCCGCAGCAGAGTAATAACGTCCCCCCTCACCTATTTAATGGCGACCACAGCAATGTGTCGATGCTCGGCATTGCTGGCGCGCAGACACAGGGCCAAAGCCAAGGCCCGGCTCCTAACCAGGGCCAGGACAACAAGCCTCCCAGCAGCTCCGGCATGGACGGCAACTCCGGCGACGCGTTCCCGCGCGTGTCGTCTATCGACAGCTTTTCGTGCCTATTCCCTCGCGTGGCCAGCATCGAGAACTTCCAGCATGCGGCGTCATCAGGCTTCGGCGGGATGAACCCCAACGGCTCGTACTCGTCGACTGAGACCCATAACACGATGACTAGCAGTGGGTTCGACACGCAGCCTGCCGGCTTGCCGAAGCCTTTGTCCATTGGCGAGGGTCTGAACGCCTATTTCCCGCGCATCCAGTCGCTGGAGCAGCTCTCGAACTTGTTGCAGGATCACGGACCGAACAGTCCGCGGGGAGGGGCAACGTCTACATCGACTCAGAACTCTCGGGATACGATCGAGAACTCAAACGACAACAGCAAGCAGCAGAACAAGGATAATTCTACACCTGGCGGAGGCATTCGGAGGAGGCTGGGCGAGACTAGCATCAAGGATGAGCAGCAGCGAGAAGCAGACGTCAACCCCCAGACAGAAACTGGCAGCGCGAATACCAGCACTAGCAACAACAACAGTAGCAGCAGTAGTGCTGTGTCGACTGCCACGAGCGTGACGACGAGCTCTACGAGCTCTGGATCTACCAAGCGCCTTAGTCCCAGTCACAATGCTCCGTCATCCTCAGGTTCAGGCAACCAGATTCAGATTCCCAAGCCGTTGAACAAGATGCCGCGCAGCTCGTCGGGTATCTTCCCGCGCGTGCCGTCCATGGACAAGATGCCTCGAGTGCCCTCGATTGACAAGCTTCCTCGCGTTGCGTCGCTCGACAAACTGCCGCGTATCCCGTCGATGGACAAGCTTCACACTATGGGCGGTGGCGAGCAGCGTATCCCGAGGGTCCCGTCCTCTGACAAGATGGCGCGCGTGCCGAGCTCGGACATGCTGTCACGCTTCGGCTCGAGCGACCACCTCAGCAGCTTCCCGTCGTTCTCGAACCTCAGCTCGCTGTCCACAAGCGCTTCGTACGATAAGCTGAGCTCTCTGGGCGGCTTCAAGTCTGGGTTCCCGCGTAATTCGTCTATTGAGGACATCTTGTCGCTAGTGGCGTCGTCCGAGTCTACGGGTATGCCGTCAAACGGCTCGACACTGCAGCTGAGTGCTCTGGCCGCAGTTGCAGGCGAGGAGTCCTCCCATATCGCCAACGAGCGGAAACGCCGGCTCGAGAGCTCGCAGCAGGACGCGCCGCTGACTAGCGACAAGAAGAGCAAGCTGTCCGCGTGAAGTTGAGGCCTCGCCCAGGACGAGCGAGCACCCTCTAGAGCGGAGGAGCGACGGCGGCAGCGTTAGAAGTTGTCGGACGCTGGTCGAGTGGGGCAAGGATGCACGCGATCGATGAATGTGGGCAGACTATTGCCGTTCCTTCCTGGCCAGCAGACACAAGAGGCGGCCAGGACTTCGGAGGAGAGGCGAGTGGTAAACTACTGGCGGTGCGTCCGCCTCCCTCGCACGAGCCATCCCATTTTTTCCTTCCTTTTTGCCGCTGGTGCTCGTGTCGAGCTATTAGTTGTAGTTAATGTAAGAGGAGCGTGCAATACGACAAAGGATATCTACTTACACTGAATTGCCTTGCTCTTGACGGCTGCTTCACTCCATCCTGGTCCTCCTACTTGGCGCTGCAGCTTCAACTGCTTCAACCGCTACGTGAGACCAGCCAGCCAGCCAGCAATCGTTTTGATCCCAAGGGATCTTCTCACTTTGGAATCCGTGCGTCACCATGAGCGCCGCCAAGACCGTGCTTATCACCGGCAGCAACCGCGGCATTGGGCTGGCCTTCACCCGCCACTACGCGGCCAACGGCTGGAAGGTCATCGCCGCCGCGCGCGACGTCGAGGGCGCCACCGACGTACGTTGACTCGAATGGTCCTTTGAAGTGTAGCCATCTGACTCCTGTACTGCATTGCTCGCTTCAGCTGAAGGAGCTGGCGGTGGCCAAGATCGTCCCGCTGGACATCAGCGACGAGGCGTCCATCGCCAAGGCGGCCGAGACGCTCCAGAGCGAGCCCATTGACCTGCTGATCAACAACGCCGGCATGGGCGGCGGCGGCGGCATCCTTGATGTCACCAAGGCCGAGATGATGAAGCTCTTCGAGGTGAACGCCGTGGGGCCCTTCCTCGTGACGCGCGCGCTGCTGCCCAACCTCAAGCTGGCCGTGGCCAAGAACGGCTCGGCAACGGTGGGGCAGATCACGTCTCGCATGGGCAGTATCGCCGACAACGGGTCCGGCGGCAGGTACAGCTACCGCGCCTCCAAGAGCGCGCTCAACATGCTCAACAAGAGTCTGTCGATCGACCTCAAGGACGACAAGATCATCGCGCTGGCGCTGCATCCCGGCTACGTCGTCACGCGCATGACGGGCCACACGGGGGAAGTCACGACGGAGGAGAGCGTCGCGGGCCTCACTAAGATCATCGCCAACGCGAAGCCCGAGGACAGCGGCAAGTACTTCCACTTCCGCGGCGACATCCTGCCGTGGTAAAAGGCCCAAAGTGCGCTGTAAGCTGCGGAAGTTGTCGTTTAACTCTGCAATAATGTCATGGAGCAGCACCCCCGAGGATGCTGCTGCTCTGCTTGTAGCCTCTCAATTGCATCGCCATTTATGCTCTATTGAGAGCCCGTCACTCCACCCACTCCACATTTCGCAAAGTCTCACGCAAGCTTCCTCTCCCCGGATCATTTTGAAGCGTTGAAGCATGAGTGGCGACAAGAACCGGCAGCAACCGCGGCATCGGTCTTAGCCTTCGCTCGCCACTACGTGGCCGACGGCTGGAACGTAATCGCTGCGGCGCGTGATGTCGAAGGCGCCACCGACGTACGGAATGCTATCACTGGAGTTGCTATGTAGTTTGTGTTGACTAACCTCGTGTCTTGTCCTGCCGTATCAAACAGTTGAAGGAGCTGGCGGTATGCAAAGTTGTTTCGCTGGATGTGACCGACGAGAACTCGATCGCCAAGGCGGCGGAGCAGCTGGAGGACGAGCCGATCGACTTGTTCGTCAACTACGCCGGCAAGAGCAGCAGTGGCAGCGGCTCTGGCCTCTCGGAGGCCACTAAGGCTGACCTGATGCAGCTCTTCGAGGTGAACGCCGTGGGGCCCTTCCTCGTGACGCGCGCGCTGCTGCCCAACCTCAAGCTGGCCGTGGCCAAGAACGGCTCGGCAACGGTGGGGCAGATCACGTCTCGCATGGGCAGTATCGCCGACAACGGGTCCGGCGGCAGGTACAGCTACCGCGCCTCCAAGAGCGCGCTCAACATGCTCAACAAGAGTCTGTCGATCGACCTCAAGGACGACAAGATCACGACGTTGGCGCTGCATCCAGGCTACGTTGTCACGCGCATGACCGGCCACAAGGGGGAGGTGACGCCCGACGAGAGCGTCGCGGGACTCACCAAGGTGATCGCCGGCGCCAAGCCCGAGGACAGCGGCCGGTACCTTGACTTCCTCGGCAACACCCTGCCATGGTAATACCGATGACAAGTACGAAGTGCAAGAGGAGAAGAGGGAGGAACACGTACAGGTAGCTCAAATACTGTGCATATACTTTTACTTACTTCTGGCTGAGCTTCAGTCCACTGGCCGTCGGTCCACAGGACACACCCGTCGATAGAGCAGCCACTGGGCAATGCATCGAGCGTGGAACACGTGACCACAGGGCAGAGCTTCCGCCCTCTCGTCCTTCCGTGCGTTCCCCCCAGCGACCACGCTCCCTTCGAGGCAAATGACGCACACGTTGGGCTCCTCGCCTTCGCTGCAACAGGGCGTCGCCTCTTTGGCTCTCTGCTCTTGGATCGCCATGATCGCTGCGGCCTCCGCCTCTCTCCGCCGCAGAAACGCCGTCATGTCGGCCACGTTCTGCTCCGCCAGACGCAACGTCGACGCCAATAGCCCCTGCTTGCCCCCTGCAGCGTTGTCCGTTTCTCGCCCGTTCCGCTGCAGCGAGAGCGCCACGACGCCCGCGATCCGCTGGGCCAGATGCGCCTTCGCTGGGGCGTCGAGCCCGAGCTGCCGGCGCGGCCGCCGTCGAGGCCTGCCGAGCTCTGTTCCCATTCCTCCTAATTCGACTGGCCCTTTTGGTGGACCCAACAAAACACAGAGGGCAGTAACGGCCACCGAGATGGCTACACTTGGACACCCAGGAGGACACTTCAATTGAAACAAAAGCGAGGTGTATTGCGAGGCTCGTTGGGCCCCTGAGGCTTAGTTATCTGCCGCCGCTTACTCTTCATCATTGGGCTTGTGCTTCTTGTGCGACTTCTTCTTCTTCTTCTTCTTCTTGTCCTTCTTGTCCTTCTTGGACGAGGACTCGCCCTCCTCGGCGTCCTCCTCGTCCGAGTCCTTGCCGCTGAGCTCCTCGTCGCTGTAGTCGCTCGACTCGCTGCCGGACTCGCCGGGGCCGAAGTCCGAGTCCTCCTCGTCCTCGTCGTCTTCGATCTCGCCCTCCTCCGGTCCCAACTCCTCTAAATACTCGTTGAAGTCGCGCTTCTTGGAGCCGGCGGGGGCGCCGGCGCCGTGCGACTCCTTGAGGTTGCGGATGCGCAGCTTCTTGGAAGTCAGGAACTGGCTCAGCTCCGGGAACTCGCGCCGGTCGATGGCCGAGAAAATGTACTCGCGCGCCGCCTCGCCGCCCACGGACTTGCAGCTCACCAGCAGGTCGAAGTTGCGACTCGCTGAGGAGCCGCTCTGGCCGGCGTAGCGCTGGAACTCGATGTAGTCGATCTCCTCGTAGCGGATGAAGGTCGTGGGCTTGTGGATGAACATGAACGACTTCTCCAGCGGGAACAGCACGCCGCTCTGGGCCTTGACGGCGCACTTGACGGCGCGGTCGCCGCTGTGCGTCTTGAACTTGCCTGACGTGTAGACCTTCTTGCCGATGATGAACTTGAACAGCGTGGCCACGATCTGGGGCAGCGCGCCAGACATGCGCTCGTGGATGTTGCCGTTGTACTTCTTGATCTCCTCGGCCGACATGTTGACGTCGATGTGCACGTCGTTCTTGCTGAGTTGCAGCACCAGGTGCGGGTAGCCCTGCTTGCCCTGGCGGATGGGCTCCTCGAGACTGATGACAAAGGCCGTGTTGAGGCCGTTGGGCAGCTCCAGCAGGAAGCAGCGGTTGATATTCGAGTACATGATCTTGTAGTCGAACGTCTTGCCGTGCATGCGCAGGAACGAGCCGTAGATCTCGACGCCGTAGCGACCGCGCGGGGTGAGGAAGGTGCCGATGGACTCGTCCAGGTCCACGATGCTCTTCCCCATGACGCTGCGGATGTTGGCCTTCTCCAGCACCTGCTGGCGGAACTCCTCGGCCGTCACCACCTCGTCCTCCCCGTCGCCGGGCGGCAGGTACAGCCGCATCTCCACGAGCGTCTCCTCGTCGCCGGCCACCGTGTCGTCCTCGTGGAACTGCAGCTCCACCTCGTTCTTACCGGGCAGTGCGCACTGCGAGATCTGCTCGAGCGGCAGCTCCATGACGCTGGCGTTGGACGTGCGGAAGTTGAGGTTGGGGCCCTCGAACTTCATGTCGCCCCAGTTGCCGCCGCCCGCCGCCACCTTCTCCTGCTCCAGCTCGCGGTCGAAGTGGCTCTCCACGTGGCTCTTGAGCTGCTGCACGTCCTGCGCCTTGAGCCCCGTGAAGCGCACGTACTTGCCGCCCTTCTGGTAGACCTTGAGGTGGTGCGTCTTGGGCCCCACGGGCGTCCACAGCAGCGTCACGATGTCGTCCTTCAGCAGCTTCTTCTGGCTCTCGGTCGTGCGGCTGCGCCACAGCAGGCCAGAGGCGGACAGCACCAGCACGCCGGCGCTGTGGCCCCAGAACACGTTGCTCAGCGTCGTGTCCGACATGGTCGAGGCAATAGGTGGTGTTCCCGCGGTTTCCAGTGACTGACTGCGCGGGTCTGAAGTAACATGGAGTGGTCCACTCACGTGTGCTTTCTTGAGACTTAAGAAAAGGCAACACCAGACAGCCAATCACAAGACGCGAGGTCGGCTTCAACTTGTTGTTGCCTTTGTCTGCACGTTTTCAAATGATTTCAATTACCTTATACAACGAGGTGGTTCTCGTACTGTATGAACTACTCAATCTAAGGCATCTGACGCTGTCTACAGTAACTACTGCCTTGTTTGAATCGCATTCCTTGCCTGTTCACTCTAGGGTCTGCGAGTACTCGCTGCTGAGCGGCAACTTCTTCACGTTGCGAGTAGCGTACTTGGTCCTCATGTGCGACGTACTCCTTCAGAATTTTTTTCCCGCCTCGCACCTTGACGTTGACCTTGTTTCTGGCGGTGCCCAAGATTTCCACAGCTTCGTACAGGCGGTGCTTCATTGGCAATGCATTGCATGCAATGAATCATTGCAATGTCGAACATCTCGCTCACAAAAGTGAAGGGGCATTTCTTGGCCAGCAGTGCAGCCTCTTTGCTCAAACCCCGAGTGGCCACCACCTTTAAGGCGGCGGGGACATCTTCGTAGTAGCACTTAGCAATGAGCAGCTCCATCACATTGGGCAGAACCCGACCGGCAGCAAACTCAAGCGCGACGACCGCCTCTTATTCATCGCACCTCGTGGCACGTAATTCTGCCTCGCGATCCAGACCGATTTCCATCGCTAGTTTCAGCGCTTGCAGTACTTTACTGTCGCCGCAGCCCGTTTGGTCCTCGTTCGATAACCCTTTGTACAATTTGACATGAACATGTCCATTGCCTTATCGTCCAAACTCTTCAGCGACAACATCATCGCTTCCTTCCACATTCCATGATCGATCGCTGACTTGTAATCTTCGGCGGCCTTGTAGGAACCACGGTTGGTCGCCACGACCATGGCTTCCTCGCGAAACCCATACTCGGCACAAGTTGCAATGGCGTCCGCTGCAAAATAATAGTGGCACTTGCTCGCCTTCAACGCTTTTATCATGAAATAGTCTTCGTTGCACTTGTTTAGGAGGATCTTAGCCTCGTTGCGGAAGTTGTATTGACTCGACAGTCGTACTAAGTAAGGCGTCAGGAACTTGAGCATCTGTGTGCTTGCTCGCTAGAGTCTCTGATTCCTTGTGCAAACGATGCTTAAGAGCGGTATTGAACGCTTGGGGAACGCTCCCAGTATCGCAGTTCTCAGCCACAATCTTCGACAAGTCGCGACGTCCGTACTTGAGGACAATCATAAGAACGTCGGCACCAATTGACACAACCCGTGTCGACCAAGATGCTGATCTCCTCATCTAGTCCATTCTCCAGAGCAATTTCCAGAGTGTGCCCAACATGAATCCCAGGGCAGGCGGAAGCCACGAGCATAGTCATCTCACGCCAGTTTTTCTTGAACGCGTCGACGATGGTGAGTTTGTTGGCTTTTGCCGCCAGAGCCATCGCTATCTCTCGCCTGTGGCATCTAACCGCCGTGTTTAGTGTCTCCCTGACGAGGTCAGCCGAGCATTTTCTCGATCACAAGCTGGATGGTGTCGGAAGCGACGGCCTTGTCCGCCGATTTGGTTGCAAGGGTGGGGGTCTCGAGCATCGATCACATGGCTAGCGCCTTGATGTCGTCAGGAATGGGGCAGCCATCACACCACGAAGAAAACCTCGGGGTGCTTGCGTTGTGAACAAGATGTCAAAGCCAAAATGACAGATCGACGCAATTCGACTTCTACGCTTGATAGATCGCCCCCCCCCCCCTGTCAATTCACATCAATCGTCCGATGCGCCGCCCAAAACTTCTTCATTACCAAATTTTAACCAACAATGGAGAAACCCCAGCTCCTTCTCGGCGTCAGGCTGACACTCGAACCACGACTACAGGGTCTTCCACACGCCATTGAACTCGTTAGCGATTTTCTTCTCCCCATGACGATCGACTCCGCCGTTTACAACGATCTACAGCGTGTTGTCCAGATCTACGGGTCTTCGCGTCAATGGACGTGCAGAGCTATGGACGGCGCTGCAGGCAAAGGGCGACTGGGCATCCTGCAACGGCTTCATGCTGAACGAAGCGAAGGATGCACCACTGATGCGCTGTTTAATGCAGCCATTAACGGCCACGTCGAAGTGATGGAATGGCTCATCAAAACGTTTTTAGAAGTCGACAACTCAACAGGAAACCCGGCTCTAGCTATTGGCACTAGACCTGGAGAAGTGGTCAACATCGCCGAAAGTCTTAGACGTCGATACGGCTCGTCACACCTGAAATCTACGGTGGAAGCAGCCGCGGCAACAAATTGTTATCACGTCATGACCCCCGCGTGATTTCAGTGTGAGCAGATAGCAGTTGCCAATGGGCACGATTGGGTGACGAATTTGCTGCTCTCGAGAACTTCCGACACAACGGACGCAACTCTGGCGATGGAGATGCCATCAACGAGCACCGTTTCTTCAGCATTCGGATGATCATGCATCGAGGAAACCCGTTCGACGCTATTCGCGTATTCCGTGCTGCAGCAGCGAATGGCTCTACTGAAATTGTTGACTTACTTATCCCTGAAAGCGACCCCGCAAGTATCAGTGCCGCAATGGCAACAGCAGTGAGCCGCGGTTTTCATGACGTCTTGGCTTTTGTACTGAGGAGAGGCCAGTCGGAGGACCCGGAATTCTGCTTGATGAAAGCCGCGCTAGAAGGTCAACGTGCGTCTATCGATGAGCTGCTCAACACCTGGGGAATCTAGCTTTTCAAAGCGAAGCGACGCAGAGTCGAGGCGCTGGTCCTTCACATGTAAGCGCCCCAGCACGCAGAGCGACCAAGCTCAGCATTAGAGGTACAATACGGATAATGCGAACATGTTATCTTCTTTCGTTTCTTCGATAAGCCGCCTACAGTGCAAGTTGGAAGCTTCCATGTGGAAGACCAGCGCCTCGACTCCGCTTCGCTTTGGAAAGTTAGATTTCCCAGGTGTTGAGCAGCTCGTTGATAGATCCGACGCTTGAAAGCGGCAACTGGCCGCACCGCGATCACGGCTAAGACCTACGAGTGGTTCGCCAACAAGGGTCTTCAAGTACCAGGAAGCGATCGGCCTCTTCTTCAGCCACCGGATCGAGTGGCCTCTCATAGGCCACGCCTGGGGATGCCGCTGAGACCGGATGCACTGCTGCCGGAGAGGCAATTTAGCCTTATCAAGTCCTGCAACGTGCGTTGATCACTGCCGCGTATTGATGTGGGATCGCCCACAAGCAACTAAGGACTCCGATTTCAAACACCGACGTTTGGTTGCAGAGTGATGGTCTCATAGTTGAAGTTGCCGTCCTCAACTTGAGGCCGCAGATCATCTGCCAAATGCCGTGCAAATTGCAGGGCAGCCGCTCGATCAAAGAGAGCCCTGCGACCTCGTGTGGTGAATCACCCACCCTGAGGTATCATACTGCGGTGTTGCCTGAGCTCCAGCTTTCGCGCAAGGGCCTCTTCGGTGGAGCTCGACCTCGACCTCAGCATACCGGGAAGCTTAGCAGAACCGCCCGACTCGCAATGCCCCGATTTGCCGTGGATGCCGGCGGGTGCAGACTGCTCAGCAGTGTACCTAGGAATCCAGGTTTCGCAGGCCGGTAGACTGCACAAAGCGCCCGAAAGCATCTGAGACGAAACCTGGCCGATGAGTCCTCGCGCGTTCTGTGCCCGGCGGTCTGGTGGCCAACCCGGCCTGTCTTTCAGCAAGCCGCCTTCCTCCCAGCCTCCCTCCGGGCGACCAGCTTCTCGGTGGTCGCTTTGTGTTGCTGCTCCACGAGCCCATGAAATGGTGCGCGACTACCGGGAGGCAGATGGCGCGTTCTCTCCAAGCAGCACTCGGCAACAACAAGAGTGGCGGCGGCGGGTTGGTTGGCTGGTCGCGCAAGACTCCGCCAGCGAAGACCATTCATCACACGATGCAAGTCAAGGCGCCGCGAAGCCAGCTGGTGAAACCCAAAGCAATCAAGCCATCTCAGCACGCGGAGAAGGGCCAAGCAAGGGCGGTTGAAGGGGAACCGTTGCGCCGGGCGACTCTGCGTGACTGCCAATTGACGCCGAACGGCAACAGCGAAGAAGCGTGCTCCAGCAGCGCAGTGGTCGACCTCGATCCATTCCTCTACGTAGCGACTTGAGCTATTATATCCACACAGCCGTCGGCTGCAGTTGCAAGCGAGGGTCATTCGGCGCAATGCTCAGCGTTGACGTGAACATCGCACACTTCCGAAAAGTAGGATACCCCCGGCCGTGACCTCTCGGCGGTTCTCGTTCCTGCAAGTCAAACGTGGCAATGGCGACTCCGAGGCCAGGCAACGCGGCGGCGGGGGGGGAGCCATGCTCGCGATCGCGCAGCCTCCCGCGCCGACTTAACAGCGAGCCGTCTGGCCGGGCGTCATGCCGCTCGTCGCGTGACGTCTAACGACGCGGTTCCATGCGGCGGCGGACACCCCGAAAGCCTCGAGGCTCGAGTGGAGCGACTTGCTCAGCTCAGCATTCACCATTGCGCACTAATGACCGCAAGGGACATGCGTGTCGAAGACGGTGCATGAAGGGCATCAACCTCCGGCTCCTGTCGCGCAGGACGGGCCAGCCCAGGCGGTGGCTGCGCTGCACAGGAGTGTTCTGTTTGAACTGCTCGCCATCCTCTCTCTCCTCTCTCTTCTCCCCATTCCCGAGTCTTCCCGCTGCCGCGCACTCGCTCGCTCCTTTATCGTCTCGGTATCGATGTGGAAGCTCGCTGTCACCGGCTCGCTGGCGCTGCTGGCGTCGCTCGCCCAGGCCCAGATCCGCGACGGCGACGAGATCTGCGTCATGAGCGACTCGAACGCGTGCGCCGTGGACGACCTCACCACGTCGGCGCTCGACAGCAGCACCGTCATCTACCCGGGCGGCGACACGCGCTGCGCCTTCGACGACTTCAGCAACTCGAGCGTCGACTTCAGCACGAACGCGACCTACTTCTTCCAGGTCTTCCCGGCCCCGGAGCAGAGCAAGAAGAAGCTCATGCTGTACTTCCAGGGCGGCGGCGCCTGCATCGACGACCTCACGTGCTCCTTCGGCCTGCAGTGCATGTACGAGACCTTCAGCCCGAACGCCAAGCCGCTGAGCACGGGCGTGCTCAACCGCTCCAACGACGAGAACCTCTTCAACGACTACAACATCGTGCACCTGCCCTACTGCACGGGCGACCTGCACATCGGCAGCCACGTCGAGACCATCGCCGACAGCGCGCTCTACTCACTGCTGAACATGCCCGAGTGCCTGGGCCACAACATGACCCTGCACCAGGTGGGCTACAACAACACCAAGGCCGTGCTGGACTGGGCCGTCGAGAACTTCCCCAACCCGGAGGAGATCATCATCAGCGGCTCCAGCGCCGGTGCTCTTGGCGCTCAGGCGCTCAGTGCGCTCGTGGCCGACACGTGGGAGGTCGAGGAGAACAACATCCGCTACTCGGTCTTCGGCGACAGCTACGTCGGCGTGCTGCCCAGCGACTACACGGCCGGCAAGCTCATCTCGTACTACGGCTCGTGCGACCTGGACCTCAAGGCGACGGCCAAGCTCTGGGACCAGTGCGAGGACAACGAGCTCACTGTGGCCGAGATGATGTCGTACATGATCGAGGACGTGCCGGCCGCGCAGTGGCTCTTCCTCAACAGCATGTACGACAAGACCCAGCGCTACTTCTACGAGCTGGTGAACCAAGGCATTCTCGGCTACCCGTTCACGGACCTCATCAGCGGCGAGGACTTCTACTCGGTGCGTTGACTGTCGGTCCTTGCTTCAATTAGTATGAGCTGCTTTAACTCACTTGTTTTTGCTTTCAATTGATTTGCTACAGAACATGACGGCGATCATCGACGTGTACAAGAACATCAGCGACCAGGTCTCGACCTTCTACGTCAACAGCACCCAGCACGTGTACCTGACCGTGAACGACTACTACCACAACGCCACTCGCAGCCCCGGTGGCGAGTACCTGGGCGACTTCCTCAAGGACTGGTTGGTGACCAACTCGTCCATTGACGCCGCCGCCTCGGCTGCTTCGCTGTCTGCCAGCGGCAGCACGGCGGGTTCGTCTACGTCGTCTTCGGAGGAGTCGGCTGCCGCGAGCCTGAACGGCGCGCTGTCGCTCACCGTGGCGGCCGTGGTCATCTCGATGCTTATCCAGTAAGGGGTCCTGAGCTCAATATCAGCAGGATCGCAGTTTTGAACACGAAAACCTTATTAGTACTAATAGACGCTAGTGCGAGTACCCATCGTCGCTTTCGATGAGCTCCTCGTATTGATGCACAACCAGGTGAAAGCCCAGCAACGAAGACCTTAACAACTTTTGAGGATCACCCGGCACATGTGTAGAAATTCAGGAACATCTATTGCTTGCTTTCTGCAACATCGCATCATCAACACCACGACGCCAACGCTGGAGGCGCTACGGAGCATAATAATAGTGTGTCGATATGTGCGCGAAGTTGATCTGCGCTCCGAAGACGCCCTGCAGCACCAGTGTCGACACGAACAGCGCGAGAATCAAGATGAGCGGCAGCAGCAGCTGCTCCGTCCGGTGCAAGAACGGAAGCGCTAACGGGGAGCAAGCAAAATACAGGAAGCGATCTCGTTAGTTTCCCTCAAAATCCAAGAGTATCAGCACAGCGATACTAGCGTACCCATATATCCGAGGAAGGTGATGTACATGTAGAATCCCCAACCAAGCGAGTACAGCAGGTTGCCGAACAGCAGACTCACGAACGAGTGCGACGCCAACATCGGAGCCAACAGGAACTACACCGTATACGAGATAAAACAACTTTAGTAAAAACAATCCAACATCCAAGCTCATCTATCTCTCCATACCTGCAACACATAGAGGAACAGGAACATGATGAAGAACGAGTTGCAGTGGATGTCGAATGCGAACTGCCACTCCACTCGCTGCTCCACATACAGCGCGTCTCCCATGCCATGGCTGCATCGAACAAAGGAATGTCGAAGCACCGTCAGCCCTCATAATAACAAAAAGTATCCAAGTCCTGACTGTACCTGTTCCTCTGCCGTAGGTGGTGGTTGGCGATCCACCAGCAGAGCGTGGAGATGACGAGGCCGAAGCCGATCCACTCGACCACCACCGCGTGGAACAGCAGCGACGCGTACTTGGCGGCGCTGTCCACGCGGAAGGCGATGGCCCAGGCGACGGTGGCGACCAGCAGGAAGGCGAACTGGATGACGGCGAAGGCCGGGTCGTCCCGCGCCCAGCGGTTCTTGGTCTGCTTGCGGTAGTACGCGCTCTTGTAGACCTTGGCGGGCTGCACGCAGAGCGTCACCATCTGGTAGAACGTGGCGTCCAGGTCCATCTGCCGGTAGTCCACCACGCGCGCGAAGTACTCGGGGAAGGCCGAGCACGAGCGGAAGACGTCGGCGCCGCTGCGCTTGCTCTTCTTCTTGTGCAGGCGCCCGCTGTCGGAGGACAGGACGTACTTCATGTCGATGCTTGTGCTGCTGGCGCTCGACGGCTGCAGGAGCCCCTCGGGCGCCGGCGTCAGGGGCGACAGCATCGCGGCGAGCAAGGGGGTCGCTTGATCGAATGCGGAATTGTAACAGGAATGTGACCGTTGTTACCCGGGTAAGTACGAGGTAGAATCTTCATTTGTCAGAGTGGTGATCGAATCGGTGCACGTTTTCAAAATCTGTGCACGTAAGTTGGGATGAAGTTGAAGTTGACTTGGCCCTCTTGCAGTTGGCTCTGACAATAATGATCGGCTCGTATTTACTATTATGTAGCTTAATGCAGTTGAAGACAGCGCATTATACTACAGCGACATGGAGAAGGCGCTGCCGTGGGCTGCAGCGACGCCCACGTAGCCTTGCAGCGTGCGCAGCTGGGCGAAGAAGTGCTCGAGGTTGAGGGCGCTGGCTGGGTCTCCTCCAGGAACGTGCACCCCCTTCGGAATGAGGAACGGGGCCACGTCGAAGGCCCGGACGCTCGCTATCTGGGCTGTAGCAGACGCGCTGACGCTCACGAGACTCAGCGCGCCGGTGTCGCGGCGCTGTAGCAACTGGTGGGCGAGATTCAAAGACGCCGCGGTCAGAGTCGAGTCGCCGTGTGCATCACACACCACGAGCTTCACGATCTGCTGGTACATGCGCGCCAGCCACGCCGAGCTCTCCACGACGTTGGCGAACTTCTGGGGCGCAGCGATCACGCGCACTCGGAGCTGCGCCGAGTTGGCGCTGGCCAGCCACTGCGCCAGTCTCGGGAAGAAGGCGGCGCACGTGGTCTCCATGTACCGGAGGCTCTTCTCCGTCACCACGAAGACAGGGCCGAGAGCAACCGCAGTGCGCAGCAACTCGATGGCTTCTTCCTCCACGGATGTCAGAGCCTGCTGCAGGTATCGGTCCTGCAGGTACAATGTCTTCGCAGCCTCCAGGCAGGACCTGGTGGGCTGCAGCCCGACGCGCTTCGCCAGGAACGACATGGGCGCCAGAACGTCCTCGAACGAGAAGACGAACGTATTCATTTGGTTGGTTTTAGTGCTGGACATGGGGCTGGGGACTGCCGACAACGGCGGGTAGCACGGGATGGTCTGCTGGGAGGGGGCGACAGCTTGCATCGTTAGTTGAGAGGAGCGGAAGTGAGCTGGAGCGAGCAAATTCAAGAATGACATGGTATTGATACTTTAGTCGGGTACAGCGTGGGAGCTGCACGACATCCGAGTAATGGCAACTGCAACTTTTCTAGCGCAGATGCACCATCATTCACCATGCGTGAAATGGCTACATTTTTTCTAGTCGCACTGCGAGTTGCAGTGCAGCTTACCTTTAACCTCATGCTAGTGCCTCGCGCAGACCCGCCATGGACTGCGCGATCGCTGCGTCGATGTCTTCGCTGTCGCTTCTATTCCGTCCTGCGTCCACACTCCTCCTCCTTCTCACGCTTGGTACTGCCTTTGGAGCAGAAGATCCCTTGTCCTCGTTACGCTGCCTTGGTGCGCACATCGCGTCTAGGCGGCGCTTATAGCGCTCTGCACCTTTTGCCGTCTCCTGTTGCCTCAGTGTGCGTACGTCACGACACACTGGACGTCGGGCGGCAAACGTCTTGGCCATTCCTGTGAGGGGCACGCCTGGTCTTGGCGCCCCCGTGAAGGCCATCCCTTTCGGAACGGAATTCGAGCGGCCCAGGTGGCCCCGCGCTCTGGACTGTAGACGGCTAGTGCTCTTTGCAGCGTCACCCACTGCACGAACAGGGTCTCTCCATCCTTCCTCGTGCACTGACGGCTTTCGGGCAATTTCGTGTAGGTCAATGGGAGGAACGAGAGGTTTGGCCGTGTCGTGGTTGGCTTCAACTTTTTGTTCAGGTTGACACGCTGCCGGGAACTGGAGTCGGAGCTTCTGCAGCTCCTCCAGCGCAAACAGAAGCTGCGCTTGACGCTCGCGCTCTCGAGCGTCCTGAAGTTGCTTCTCGATATCCTCCCGCTGCTGAGCATTACGGCCATGACCTCTAGAATTCGAGCGGACTGATGCCTCTTCCTTCTTCACGTTGTCTCCCAAAGACGTAGGGGTGCTAGGTGCAATTTTGGTGTCGATCCCGAGCGCTGTCACTTGCTGAATCATCACTCGCCGCTCTTCCTCCGTCATGTTCGTTGACTGCAGTCGATCCACGCAGTAACGGCGAATGTGAACTCGAGCAATTGAGTCCCTTAGAAGTTGCTCCACTGACGGTCGAAGCTCTGGCCTGGTACTGAGCATCGATCCAATAAGCGTCGGCAATCGAGAACTTGTGATGATCCCTCCCTTTTGGATCGGTTGATAGTCACCGTGGCAGATCTTGTTCAGCAGATGCGGAGTCGTGCTTGCCATGAACGGAGGTCTGCCGGTACACAACTCGTAGAGCACGCAGCCAAGAGCCCACACGTCCGAGCTGAAGCTGTACTCCTTGCCTTCGAGCACTTCTGGTGCCATGTACAGCGGCGTTCCGATGACAGTAGCGGCCGCGTCACCACTGGCGAGCTTTCTCGCTATCCCCAAATCGCCCAGTACCAGATATCCAGCATTCGAGAGAAATACGTTGGCCGTCTTCACATCACGGTGCAACACGCGCTGCTGATGCATGTGGTGCAGACCCAGCGCTAGCTGAACAAACCAGTACCAGATCTTGTCTTCGTCTAGGCAAAGCGGCTGCTTCCCGTCTGCCCGATAGGCCGCTTTGAGGTAGTTACGCAGGTCACCCCCTGAGCAGTATTCCATCACAATGTGCTGCTGGCGGAGCGGAGAGGGCCCCACGAATGACTTCAGCAGTCGAATGAGATTCGGATGCCTGAGCTTCTTCATCAAATCCACCTCCACACCGGACGACTTCTCTCGACCGGGAGCTGCAAATGCCTTCTTCTTAGATTGATGAACGCGATGGATTTGCTTGACGCACACAAGACGACCGCCAGGCTTCTTCTCGCGCATGAGAAACACGCGACCAAACGAGCCTTCGCCCAGCAATTTAACTCTGTTGGTGGCGGCCAGATGCACGGGTGAGACTCGAGTAGGCTAGAGAATGCCCGGTCACAAACTCACCTTGAGTAGCCATCCATGGTCTCCGTTCATTAAATTAAATACACGGCTGCAGCGCTAAACGTCACTAAGAAGCAAAATCAGGAATAGCACCTCCGTTGAAACGCGTCTCGGTTTACAGCCACACCCCACCATCGCCATCTTCCTCCATTTCTTCATCGTCAACGTCGTACTGGGCCATCGACTTCTGCTCCTTGTGCTTGGGGGTATGGCGCGGAGAGTCGTGCGAGTACGAGGTGCGTTGAACGGAAGCACGACGGTTGCGGTCGCCATTTACATGAGTTGATTGTTCGTCGCGGCCATGAAAAACCTTATGAAGCGACGACCGAAGCTGCTGCATCACACCGGTGTCTTCAATCTCGTCGGCCCCAGGATCCGACGCCACTGAAGACCTCCAGCTGGCCGGACCACTTTGCATAGATGACCGTCGCCGCTCGATCTCCAGCTCCTCTCGCACACGATCCAGCTCGCTCTGCACTTCCGCAAATTCTTGCGCTTTCTGCTTTTCCAACTTGATCGAGCGCTGCTTCGAGTGCTGCGCTGCAAGTCGTAAGCACTGCTCCATCTCTTGAACTGCAGCTCGCAACTTATCTGCTTCCTGCTTGGCCGCCTCCAACTCCGATTGCAGTTCCTCCTGCTTCTTGTCTGCCGTCGGATCGATCGCTAGAGGCTCAAACTTACGCAGGTGGTCAAGTTGCGGTAGTCCGATACGCTCGTGCAGCTCATTAATCAGTCCGATCTTCTGCGCTTCCCGCGGCGAGCCACCCTTCACGTCGACCAGAGGTGCTCGGTAGTGCTGGTACGTCTTGTAGGAGGACCCAGTGACGTTGTTCGGTCCTTCGTGCTCCCCATCCTCATCTGCGTAGTCATCAACTTCCCCCGTCACGTCGTTGAAGCCTCCACGACTGCTTCCACTGGCCTCCGACTCCTCCTCTTTTGCCTTCGCCTCCGCCGCCTTCCGGGCCCGTCGACTGCTCACGACCCTCTTCAAGCGCACTCGGATCTTGGCCAGCAGCGCCAGTTGGTTCAGCTTCTCCTTCATGTCTCGGTTGTCCTGCTGCATCTTGGTCACGAGCTCCCTCTTCTCCGTCAGCGACCTGTCGCGATTCTGCTGCGACTCGTGGTACGCCGCCGCCAGCGCCTGCTGACTCGAGTCCTTGGCCAGCACCTCGTTCGTCCACTCGGACAGCCCCTCGGCGCGCTGCAGCAGCGCCAGAGCCTTGGTCTTGACGATGTCCTGCAGGTGCGGGGCCGCCTGCCGCCGCCCGATCTCGATCAGCGTCTGCCCCGCGCGGATGTAGGCGTCGATGGCGGTGTGCGGCATCTGTCTGCGCTCGCTGTCGATGGCGTACTGGGCCACGCGCACGGCCTCCTCGTAGTCGGGGCCCAGCAGCTGCGCCGCAGTGAGACGCAGCACCTCGCCCTGCTCGGGAGACATTGGCGTCGGTTGCGCAGCTCTCGGGGGCTCCACAGACGTCGGGAACAATGCTGGAGGCTCGCAGTCGTCGGACGATGAGCGACTCATGATGGTCACGGGCGGAGCGGCCGAGAAACAGGCGGACGCGCGACGCACAGGCTCATAGTCGCTGCCGACAGCAACTGGGACGCGCTGGCGAACGGGAACTGCGCTCTGCACGGGGCTGGACGGAACTTCAGGCCACGAGAAAGACGCGGCGGGTGCTACAGGAGGAGGCGGCGCTGGTGCAGCGGCTGGAAGGCGCTTGCCCTCGCGCAGAGCCCGCAGCCGCGCCTCCAAGTCCATTCGCCCAGCGCTCATGCTGCTGGTTATGGTAGAATATCATCAAATCTCCGACCGCACTTAAGATGATAGGTATACAAATCCCCAGTCAAGTGCGGTCGGAGCATAACAGTATTACCCTACCCCTTCCCAAAGTGTTATGCATACACAGTCCAAGATAGATTAGTCGTCCCGTTTGCTCATTGGTCGGAGCCTTGGGATGGCTGGCACGGAGCGAGCGTAGCGAGCCCCCGCCTGCGGTTTGACAGTCCGTGTGCGTAGCACGCGGCTGCAAACCCAGGACCCAGCAGTGCTCTACCTAGCAAGCGGAGGCGACGCGTGCGAGCCGCAGCGGGTGTAGGGTTTTGGCCCAGCGAGCGCAGCGAGCCTTTAGGGGTTTTAGGTTCGCGCGTAGCGCGTAGCTGGGTGATAGTTAAAGGTGACCCCCCTCCTATCCGCATGTTTTGTGTACGAGTCGGAGAAAGTCGGAGGGTCGGAGGTTTTTGGGTATGGTTCTCAGGAATTGACAAGCGAAGGAAAATCCAGAGTAACCCAAAGGGGTACATTCGACGTAACCTGTAACCTGTAAAGTGCTCATTTTGATACACTTGCGAGCTAGGGGGCAAAAGACGATACAGTAAAGTGCGTCGATAAGGAACGGGCGACATTTTATATTCTACGACAAGACATGAATCCTCGCTTGTACCCATTGAGTGCCAAATGTACTGAAATAGTTATATGATTCTACCAATCATTCGGTCCCGTTTAACATTCCGCCAATCACAGTTCCGAAACCGAGCCTCAAGAGGAATCTACAGGTCACGAGAGGGAATCATGAGGATCGCTGTAAGCGCGGGAATCGCGCCAGGTACATGTCTGCGTGCCTCATTAACCAAATTTCGCTCTGCTGCTCACAACTGCATGGTGACCGCCACTTCCAGTCCGTTCCAGACGCGGCCAAGCTTCAGTCGCTGCTAATCTGTCATCACCGTCGTGATCTACCGGGTGCAACCTATGCTGAGCTGGCTGCGTGGGCTCAAGGCGAGACTTTGGTCGCGAAGTCCGACATGAACTACATATTGCAGTAAATCAGTGCATTTGCTGTCTGCATGTGACGAGTCAAACCTTTAATTCTCAATATACCTTTTTCTTTTAATGTATATCAGGCGTTCCTTATCGACGCACTTTAATGTATATTACTCAGGTTACGATTTTCTCTCTGAGGGTACTAACGGTTGTACCCCTACGTTACGGTCTTGTCGCCCACTATTAATATTTGCCTCTGCTGAAGAGCAGCATCATTGCTACAGCTGACAGTGCCCCACCTGGTGCTTCTCGGAGGCAGGTACATTGCACTGCACTGGCATGACGCGCAAAGCGTCTCTGTGCTTCTCAAATGCAACTCGCGGTAGCGGCTTCGTGAACACGTCCGTCACGTTGTCTGCGCTAGCAACCTTCTGCACTTCAATGTCGTGACTGTCTTGCTTCTCACGGATGAAGTGATGTCTGATATCTATGTGCTTGGTTCTTGAGTGAAACTCAGGATTCTTGGCTAACTTCAACGCACTCGCGTTGTCTACAAAGACATCAGTAGCCTCAGGCAAATCCTTGCTCATCTGTCTAAGATGAATGATCTCTTGCACTAGCATACTCAGCGCTATATACTCTGCCTCAGTGGTGTGCAACGCCACAGACTTTTCGGCTTGGCTGCACCACGACACTACACTCTCTCCAAGTATCGTCACGTATCCAGCGATCGAGTGTCGATCGGGGTGACTTGCAAAATCTGCGTCACTAAACGCAATCATCTTTAACTGCTAAGGGCAACCAACATGCTTGGTTTCGCCCAGCACTAGACCGTAGTCTTCTGTCTGCTTACGATATCTTAGGATAGTCTGCTCGCCAATGAGCGATGCCAGGATTTGCAAAGAACTGGCTACACTCTCGCACTGCGAAAGCAATATTGGGTCTGGTCCCGAGCATCAGCTACATTAGTGAACCAACTACAACTCTATACGGCTTGCCCCGCATGAGCTCAGCTTCATCTGGGTCATTAGCACACAGCTCTTTCGATAACAGCAGCTCTGTCTTGCTAGGAATGCGTACTCCATTACACGAACTCATACCAAATTTCTCTAGAACTTGGCTAGTGTACTTGTGCTGTGAGATTCTCATCTCTCTCTCTCTTTCTCTCTCTTTGCTCTGTTCCTTTCGATCTCCCAGCCTAGAATATAGCGGATAGGACCAAGGTCCTTCATCTTGAAGCGCGACCGAAGCATTTCTTTGAAGTCATTCACAATAGTCTTGGTGGGCGCAAACAGTATTAGGTCGTCCACGTAGATAGAGATAAAGCAAGGCGCTCCATCAATGAACTTGACTCCAACACATGCTTTGGACTTCAACATGGTGAAGCCATTTTGCTCCAGCCACTCTCGCAGCAGGTGATACCACACTCTCGGGGCTTGCCCGTAGAGTGATCGCTTGAGTCTGCAGACAAAGCTCTCTTTGCCGGGAACGACGAATCCTTCTGGTTGCTCCATAAAGAGAACTTCATCAAGCTGACCATCCAGGAAAGCAGTCGTTACATCCATTTGCTCAACTTCATAATCCATCATAGCAGAATAAGCCAGCAGGAACCGCAGAGCTTCAAAGCGAACCACAGGTGCAAACACTTCTAGCCAATCGACTCTGTACTCCTGCAAATAGTCCTTTATTACTAGCCGAGCCTTGTACCGCTCAATGGAGCCGTCTGCTCGATACTTCACTCTCAGCACCCATAGGCTCTGCAACACCTTCCTGCCTGGAGTACGTGGGACTAACTCCCAAGTCTGGTTCTCCAGCTGTGAATTGTACTCTGTACCTGTTGCCTTCTTCCACTGCATGGACTCCTCAGTCTCCATGGCATCTGCCAATGTAGCAGGCTCTTCAACCACTTTTGCGGACATCACGATGGCTTCTGAGTGCCACTTTTGCATAACACTCTTCACAAAGTCTTTCTGTGCTTCCTCTTCGCACGACTCAATCTCTTTAGCCATCAGGACGAAGTAACTCATTCACCTCGGAGGCTGGCGTCGACGTCCGCTTCTAGTGGTTGTCGAACACGGCTCAATTCGAGTCATAATGCAGTCACTTGAACTCTCATTGCCACTGTTCTTCACTTCCACTAATCCTCGCTTTCGACTGTTGACCGTGCCTTCAATGCTACTCGCCTCTGGACGAGCTGCTGCCTTTTTGTTTTCCTCCAGGTTAATTTGGTCAGTTGCCCGATCTTCATGCACTTTGTGCTGTACTGCACGATCAACTGGATGTACTGCATGATCTGCATGCTGCGCTCCGACAGCACTTGCCGTTCTTGCACGCTTTGCTGGCGGTGCTCTGCTGTCGACGCTCTGCTCTGCAGTACTTTGAATAGCCCCACCTCTTGCTAAACCCTCAGCACTTGGGTTTGAGAGCACACTGGCTCCCTACCGATGCTTCTCTTGCCTTGGATCGACCCCGTTTCTGCTATTCACGCTGATCGGGCGTGGGGTCTCAAAGCTACTTCGCCGCCATCCCGAATATGCTGGCTAGCATCTGTCATGGTGTCGGTTTGAGCTTCGACACCTTGATGCATGCTGCTCCGTGGTGCATCTTCTGCAACGGTGCAACGGTGCCTCTCCTGCTTCTCGCAGAAGTCCTCCCACAAGCCCTTGGCGTCCAGCTTGAGCTTGAGCCGGCTGTACCAACCGTTGAAGTCGCTGTTCTTGTCGTCGAGCACAGGACCGGCAAATCTCCTCTTGTTTGATCTCTTCTCCTCCGTCTTGCTGGCTGGGAAGGCTGACCGGCAGCTAGAATCTCCTTCGAGTCTTTAACCACTTGCGAGCTAGGGGGCAAAAGACGATATATTACTCAGGTTACGATTTTCTCTCTGAGGGTACTAACGGTTGTACCCCTAGGTTACGGTCTTGTCGCCCACTACTTACTTGTCTCTGCTGAAGAGCAGCATCATTGCTACAGCGTGACTATCACGCTCTCCGCAAGTGATACATCTCAGGGTCGTGGTCCACGACTCGTGGGTCGCTCTATCGGTGGTGCCTGGGACCCGACTCGAGCTGGCACCTTCCTCACTACACCAACGCCGTCGCTTTTGCCGCAGATCTTGACTGAATGCGCCGCCACCCATGCGTAGTCGTGCGTTTGCGTAGTGGACACGACTCTCCTCCACCGGACCGTATGCTCTTTCAGCGCGCTCCACAGCAGGTTGAACGCTAACTTGAACCAGTTTCTGTCAGAATCAATACGTGAGAATCAGTACGTTTACACGCTATTTAAATTGAGGATAACCGATACTTTAGCCCGCTATGTAGCAGGTACGAGGTTACATAACCCTCCCCGTACCCCCTTATCTGAGGCGTACCCGCCTCAATGAGGGCTTTCACGACTTTCGGGCATTTCAAGATTATTTTTGCCCAAAAGTCGTGTAACCTTTTTTGTGGGTGGGTGAGGCAGGACGGTTACGAGACACGGGTAACGCCGAAAGGAGGACCATGACGGCCGTGACGACCAGGGGCGGATCTTCAGTCAAAATGGGGGACGCATGCCCCCCCCCCCATTTTTTTTTGAGATTTTGACCCGATTTTGCCGATTTCAGCTGGATTGCGACCATTTACCCCAGCCCCGCCCCATATTTTTTCCTGCCATCCCTTTTTTCAAAGCCAAGATCCGCCCCTGGTGACGACCGTCGTCGAGAAGGAAGGCGCTGGCCAATGGTGACTTCTGTGGCTTCTACGCCGACGTGTGCGCGCAGCTGGAGGCCATAGGGAAACTCGTGGAGATCACGAACGCCGACGGCCAATTCTACTCGATGCTGCAGGTGAACAAAGTGGCGGGCCTATTCCCGGTGATGCGGTCCGGGGTATGACGGCCCCGAGAGGTAGTGTCCCGAGTGGGAACGGTGGCCACCGTCTCGGGCACGGTCGTGTCCGTCCTCCGATCGTCCGTCAGTCGACATGTGAACTACTTCTCGAGGATCAGCTATTCGAGAATCTTTGCATTTGACTTTGTTGTATTTCATCCGTTCCTTACCTGTCTGTACCGTCCTACTTCGTTCTCGCAACAGCAGCCGTCCCTTCCAGGGCGACTCGCGACAGTGGCGCCGTCAGTTGAAGACCCAAGGTAGGTCGTTCGTCGGTGGGAAACTGACCAGCACTGGGAGCAGGAGCAACAACTAGTTGTTTCTACGGCAAATTCACGACTGACCAAAATACCCGGCACGGAGCACTTCTCTCCGCGCTCCCTCTTGCTTCCCCTCAACTTGAGCGTCGGCACGCCGCCGCCCTTGAACCCATGGTCACCTCCTTTCACCCCTCCGCCCTTGGCTCACGTCAAGGCTCACGCCCTGGGCCACGCAGCGCTCGTGACCTCCAGCCTGTCTCCTCACGTCGCCGCCTACTCGCGGAACACGCCACTGCTTCCATCGCGACTCCTCGCTCACGCAACTAGCCCGCCGCCAGCTATTCCTCGCTAAAGTTCGATGACTGCTCAGTCAGCTCATCCTAGCAGCAGCAGCAGCCCCAAGTCGAGAGTGGATTTGGCGTCGGAGAGCGCAAGTGGGCCACTCTCGGGGGTCGGGCAGGCGACTCTCTAAGGGGGCTGGAAAGATATTTTATCTTGATTAAAGTGAGAAAACGGACGCAGGATCATGGCGAATGAAGACCAGCGTGCGCGCGACTGGAGCGGCAGCACGAGTGCCAGTAGGAACAAGACCAAGTTGGAGTGGAGACTACAAACGTGACAAGGCGACAATCAACGTGAGAAGGCAGGCTGAAGAACCGCAACACTACGACGCTCGTAGTCCCTCAAGAATCGTAAACCATGCATCGGAGCATGCATGTTGGTTCCGGGGTGGGTGCTGGATCCCAAGCGAAGCGTATGATGGAGATGTGATAGCTGGCAGGAGTGGCTGCCTGCTGGGGCAAGAACGAAGCCACGAGCAAACAAAGAGGCACAGGTGGAAACACGAGGAGGAGGAGCTGCAGAAACTGAACAGGCGTGTGGAGGAGGCCACAAAATGAACCGTAGCAAAGACGATAGCTGAGCTGCGCACGAATGCATTGCTGGAGATGCGACTGACAGATATGGCGGAGAAAGCTGCGAAACGGGCTGTAGCACGACATTTTGCTGATTTGCGCGCGAAAGCACTATTGGAGTCGCAAGGAAGGTAGAATCTCAAATGGATCGTATACAGAACGGGCCTGGTATTTTATTTGAGTTTTTGTATGCTTTTGGTAAGGTGAAAACGCATGTTCTAGCGGAAGTGAGCGGTTGCGAAGTCGCGTAGCCGCAGCAAACCCGCGCGGTATTTGCGGAGGCGGGGCCAGCGCCGAGCATTCCAGCGGGCGGACACGTTGCCGCAACTCGGAGTTAGTTTTCTTTATGCGGGTGTCTGGGGGTGCAACCCCCATAATGCCTAGCATGCATGAAACCCGACCACAGATCAGGTCCGTTCTGTATCTGACCACAACGATAGGTTACCGAGAGCTCTGCTCGGACGAACCACGAGAGAAGCAAGCTGATGCAGACGAGCTCAAGAAGAAACAAGGACTCATCGCGTGGCGTGAAATTCTGAATTACAAGAAAATCAAGGTGCGCAACATTCAGTGCGCGAATGACAAGGTGCGAGTACAATTCCATCGCAGCTACTGGGCAGCTGGGGGTCGTGGTCCTACGTCTACAAGACCTCCGCTGAGAAGCAAGGTTCTCGAAACCGAACTGCAGCAGGAACACTACTCCGGCGACTACGATGGTGAACCCGTGTGTCCAACTAAGTGGGTTGGACTACAATCATGACAAGGAACGAGCTGGCAAGACCACGAATGGCGACAACGACCCCGCGTGAGCTTTGGCGATGATGGAACTCTTCGTCTAGGTCATTGACTTACTGGTCGGATAGTTGTGTTGCATAGGTTGCATATTTTCTTTTCTTTTGGGCGCCTGCCGCGGTCTAGTATCCTAGTGGTACGAGCACCGTAGGCGGAGATGCAGCTGTGCGCGTCTCCGGGAGTAGGTGGCCGACTAAACCGCAACAAATTCAAATTCAAAAGCAACCCCAAGTCTATTTGTCCAGGCTCATTTTGCTCAGCGGACCTTCCCGAGCCCACGCGCGAGCAGAACGGTTCGTAGCTCTGACGCATCCAGTCGGCGGCGGCTAGCTGCCAGCGGGAGCTCGAGGGGGACTCACGCCTGATCAAACAAGACGAAGCACGAGTCGACCGAGTTCGTCAAAGGCAAGAGGGCGACTTCCGCTTTCTCGGTGCCCTCTTCAGGGCGGGGATGGCGGAGGCGTCGGTGCTGCCTCGCTGTGTGGAGATGCTTCTAGACATCCGAAAGAATCTCGAGTGCGACTTCGAGCTTTCGTACCCGCTAGGAAAACCCGACGAGACGAACATTGCGGCACTGTGCGAGCTCTTGGAGTCGGCTGGCAAGCGGTTGGAGTCCCACGACAAAGGCTCTCGGGTAGTCTAGTACTTCTGGGTGCTGAAGGGGGTATTCGTTGGTACTGGGACGGCCCGAGTGCCGTCTACAATTGCGGCTCGAGTCGAAACTCTGGTTGACCTGCGCTCGAAAGGATGGGACGTCAAGGAGATTGAGAAGAGAGAGGGGGGGCTTGCAGAGATTAATCAAGTTGTTGGACGAAAACGAGGGCGAACAGAAAAAGCATGGATAAGTGTTGCTTACACCATTAAACGAGGGCGAACAGAATAAGCATGGTTAATTGTTGCTGACACCATTTCCGAGTCGTTCTGCTCAAATGCTAGATTCAAAACAATCACTCGAAAAAAGGGCAGTATACACAACCCAAAATGCTCGAGTCAAAACAAGCATCTCCTTTTTCAAAACGATCACTGTACCCTATATTTGGTACACTTGTTTGCCTGCTTGCATGTCTTTCATCAGAATTGCGTCGGCGATAAACGCGAAGGTGTGATGGATGCACTTGCTGCACAGAGCAAGAGTCACAACCTCAGGGAAGATCACGTTGGCGGCGTGGAGGAGAAACGCTGAACGGTGCACTGCGATCTTTGTACCCTCGGGAACACTCAAGATACTGCTCCTGTTGGCCGCCATGTACCTCTTCACCGCCGCCTTGTACACGGAGAAGACGTTCTCAATGCCGTTGAGCATGGGTGAGTAAGGGCCTAGACGCAAGCACTCAGCCCCCGCAAACTCCGCTTCCTCACATACGTCCTCCACGTTCATGTGGCATGGAGCGTTGTCTAGCACAACAATGACATTGCTCAACGGCCCCTCGCGTAGCTTGATCGCGCAGCAGCGCGCGCACGGTTTCGTTCGCTGCCTCGCTGTCGAACGAGCCGAAGCGTCCTTCGTGGTACTCCACGCCATCGCGCGAGATGCACGCGATGACGTGGATGTTCTTGCTCTTGGACGACGTACCCATGTCCACTGCGCGCCGCCCCGCTTTGCTCCACCCCTAATTGCGGCTGATCCAGATGTTAAAGTTGGTTTCGTCGAGATAGAGAATCTTCCTCTCAGCCGCCACATACTGCAGCAGCTTCATCGCGAACTCCTGCCTCTTCACCTTGTTTACCGAAACGTTCCGGTAGTTGTTGTCTCTGTGCGTCTTCTTGGCCGTGAAGCAGCGTGCCTCTAAGTTTGCGCGCACCGTCTCGATCCCTACACGAACGCTAAATTCGTCAAACAGATGGGTACGCATCTCCTGCAAGGTTAGATTGCAGTTCTCGAGCAGTCACTCCTCTAGGAAGTCAATGTGGTGGCTCTGCAGTTTGCGATTGTAGGCCCCTCCTCTCATGTCCTTCTGCGGCATGAAGTCTCCCGTTTGCTTTGCTTGTTGAACCCACCGCCGAGCAGTCACCAGATGAACCCCATTGTGTAGGGCAATCAGCCTCCAGTTCTCCCCCTCATCGGTAGCGGCCAGAACCCGAGCGCGCTCTGCGTCCGTGTAGGTTTTCCCCATCGCACAAGTGTGACAATACGGACGTGATCGTTTAGAAAATGGTATTGATCGTTTTGAATCGAGTATTGTCTCGAATATTCTCGAAGTGTATCCATAAGTATACGTCAAGGTATACGTGTATCCTACCTGTACTTTTTTGAGTGATTCTTTTGAATCTAGCATTTGACTAGAACGACTCGGAAATGGTGTAGTTTTCTATGGTAGCTCTCATATTATTTTTCTTTTTAATACTGTAGTAGATTTGATGTTCTCGCTGGCCACGTTGAAGTCGTCCACCGGCTTCGATCCACTTCTGAAGCAGTAAAAAAAATAGGCCAGGCTACTCCGTACTACAACTTCGCCACTGAAATAGCTTCTGGGTGCTCATCTTCATTGGTCCCATGCTTGTAGAGCTTGAAAGAGTCATGAACAGCACGTTTAAGAATAGTTTTCCTACATTGTATCCATCATGGTTTCACTTCGAGACGCATCAACAGCATCGCATGAACGTTGCTATCAACTATTCTAAAATCTCGATCCCAACGTGGCACCCTGCTAAAAGAAGTTTGCGATAGTACGGTCCGTTACGATGAATCTGTGGCTGGCCTACTGGCCAAAACCTTTAGCGGTCATCCTACTGAGTTCTCACTCGCTCATTTGCGCTCTACGACGCACAACTACAAACACCAGCCGCCGCCTGCACCTCCCCAGCCAAAGCAACAGCAATCAAGATGAAGTTCTTCGCCACGATCCTCGTTGCTGCTGCCATCGCCTCGCAGGGCCTTGCGGCTGACACTACCACCACAGCCACAACGACGACGACGGCGACGACCGCGCCTGCCACAGCCACGACCACACCGGCCACGGCGACGACGACAGCTACAACCACCACTACGACCGCTGCTACTACGACGGCGCCTGCAGTGACGACTGCAGTGACGACTGCTCCTGCAGCTGCTACGACTGCTACAGCGACGGCTGCCCCGGCGGCGACGGACGCCCCGGTGGACACCCCCGCCACGACCAACTCGACCACGACGGATGAGACCGACGCGCCGGTGGACGTCACCGATACGACGGACGTCACCGACGACTCGACCGGTTTCGACGAGACGTCGGATGAGGCGGACAGCACGAGCGAGTCCGGCGTTGACGACACCACCGACGAGACGAATGAAACCAGCACCGTCGACAATGGCCCGGGCGTGTCTAGCGGGTCGAGTGCGGGCACCACCAACGTGGGGGACACGTCCAAGTCGACTGCAGGCTCGACGACCTCATCATCGGCATCGGGAAGTAGCGCTGCTATCAGCAGCCAGTCGATCACGCTGCTGTCCGTTGCGTCTGCTGTCGTTGCTACCACGGTCGCCACCCTCTTCTAACTCGCCTTGGAAAGGCTTTACTCACATACCCATTTATCCATTGATATAATGAAAAGCGCACTCTTGACGCGCCAAGTTCATTCAAACCGTTGTGTCTGTATCCAATGTGGTGTCAATGTCAGCCATTGCCCAACTGAATACCCCAATCCTTCTTTATCCATGGAGAGCTTGACGGGACCACGAAGTCGCGCGGCACGTCGCGGTGCCCATGCAGCTGCTCGAACGTGGCCAGCATCGGTTCCACACGATCTTCCCACTTCTTGGTAACTGGGGTCATCGAGTCGAATTCGATTGCTTCCAACGCGTCCATCGATCGGGCAATCTGGTCAAAGTAGGAGCCGCGGCTGCGAATATTATATACTGCAAAACCAAGCTTGTGGCCATGCGATTGCGTCGGCCAAGAGGCATCCGCAGGTACCTGAAAATACCTCGGTACTCGACAATGACCGCGTAGTTAACAAAAAGTCTCCAAAGCATGATCCTTGGCGGATCATCATAACAATAATTCCAAGTTTCAGACCCCACGACAGTCCAGGCCAGTTATCATCCTGTCCTGTGGCACCACATACGATTGCGGTACTACAATGCGCTCGCTCCACTCAGATTCATAGAAGTCCCACACAAAACCAAACTCCTTCAAACGACTCTTGTCTCGTGAAACTTGGGTGAAGAAAGCGCCTTGGCGGATTTTGCTGACAGCCTTCCCAAGGCTCAGACCCCACGACAGTCTTGGCCAGTCTTCATCGGATGGCACCACAAATGTAATTGGCACTCGACAATGGCCTTTAAGCCGATGAAAAGTCTCCAAAGCCGGCATGATGCGCTCGCTCCACTCCGATTCATGGAAGTCCCACACAAAACCAATCTCCACCAATCGAGTCTTGTCACGCGAACTCTGGGTGGAGTACGTATCGCGACAGCGAATGCCTTTAACGACTTCACCGATTTTCAGTCCCCACGACATTTTTGGCCAGCGTTCATCCGACGGCACCACGAACGCTTGCGGTACTCGGCAATGCTCATTCAGTCTGTGAAATGCCTCCAAAGCGGGCATGATTCGCTCATTCCACTTCCACTCAGAATCATTCCGCATAAGCCCCAACGCCTCGTCTGGTCTTGCCTTAATTGCCGGCACCACCTTCTCGCGATGCTTGTGATTGGATAGCGCCAGGCCAACGCTGAAATTCAGTCGCTCCAGCTCGTCCTGGTCCCCCTTCACTTGTTCACGGAAGTCTCCCCGTTGACGTATATTTTTTACCGTGCTGCCCAGATATTGATCCCACAAGTGTTCAGGCCACTCGGAGCTCCTCGCAATGCGAAACGTTGTAGGCACGTCCGTGTGCCCCTTCAACTCGTAAAACCTCCGCAGTGATGGCAGCACGAACACTTGCATTGAGTAAAGTCCCAGGCAAACTCCAGCTCGTCCAGCTCTTCCCTCTGCTTCGGGTCGATCTTTCCCTCTCTCCACCGCTTCCGCAGCCACTCGGCACGTTTCCCCAGCCGATACCCCCACGCTGCTTTCGGTCACGCCTCGTCTCCGCGAGGGACAACGAACATCACGGGCACCATCAGGTGCTTCTTGAGCTGGAGGAACGTGAGGAGCGATGGCTTCACCGCCTCCTGCCACGCCAGTGAATTGTTCACAGCTTCCACTGCGGCCTGTCATGGCCTCCCGCGTCAGAGGAGAAGAAGCGAGGCGCCTCGCAACGACGAAGGATGGGCGTGTCCTCCGCAGTCAACCGAGAGAAGCCAGCGCCCGCAACGCGGACGCCGCCCGCGCGCAGCAGGCGACCCCGCGCCACTGACACCAGCCGCAGCATTTGGTCGAGTGGTTCGCAAAGTGCTGAAACCGATTTTCGTCTAATCATAACTTACACTACTACGGTACCCCTGAGGTCGATCTATCTAAGTACCCCCTATTCTGTTCTGGTACACCCCTGCAGTGCAGGGTAGACAGTGAAGCTTGCTGATGTTCGCCCCCTCACCACGCACAGGTCACCTGTGTTCACCACCTGTCACAGGTGGTGAGCTCCGGAACTTTGGCATTTCCACCACAGCCAGCGCCATGGACGGACCGCGCAGAAGTGAAGTGCGTCTGCGTCGAGTGGGACGCTCTTCAGCCTCTCCTCGTCGCTGGGAGGGGCGTGTGAGTAGACAACGGGACAACGCTGATTTTGTGCTTCTTTGCACTCCCGTCCGAAGGCAAACCAAGACTTTTTTCATCCAGCTGCCTCGAACTAAAACTTGGGCAGGTGATGCAGTGAGTTGGGGGCTGCGAGTTGCGAAGTAGGGGCCAGAAATGCCGCTTAATGCGTCATGAGAGGTGGGGAGGTATGGCCAACTTGAAATGCCTTCCCTCTGAGCCTTATGCTACTAACTCAGGTCGGATATAGCTAAATTGGACCAACCGATCATGTAGGAGCTCCATTTTATATAAATCGGACTCCGAGATAACGTCAAATCGGGCGGCAAAATTGTTGAAAACCACAATACATGAGGGCATGCATGTATTTGATCTGTCAGCAACCACCAAAATGATAGTACCCGTGCGCAAAATGATCCAGTTCAGCTGGAGTTTCATGGCCGTCGGCCTCGGCATATGTAGCAACGTCCTTTTCCTCATCAAGGCACTCATAGTTCGTCCACTCCACCAGTTATTTACTTTGGAGTCTCCTCGCAAACAATGCCACCTAAGTTAGGACTTTATTATATGCTCTTACACAAAGTGAATGCTGCTCAATAGATCCGTACAGTAAGTACTCCAGACTCGGGAAGTCGGTGATTTTTTTGGAGGGGGGGGGGGGGTATCCGTAATAGTGTTGATTGTGATTAGACGAAAATCGGTTTCAGCACTTTGCGAACCACTCGACCAAATGCTGCGGCTGGTGTCAGTGGCGCGGGGTCGCCTGCTGCGCGCGGGCGGCGTCCGCGTTGCGGGCGCTGGCTTCTCTCGGTTGACTGCGGAGGACACGCCCATCCTTCGTCGTTGCGAGGCGCCTCGCTTCTTCTCCTCTGACGCGGGAGGCCATGACAGGCCGCAGTGGAAGCTGTGAACAATTCACTGGCGTGGCAGGAGGCGGTGAAGCCATCGCTCCTCACGTTCCTCCAGCTCAAGAAGCACCTGATGGTGCCCGTGATGTTCGTTGTCCCTCGCGGAGACGAGGCGTGACCGAAAGCAGCGTGGGGGTATCGGCTGGGGAAACGTGCCGAGTGGCTGCGGAGGCAGTGGAGGGAGGGAAAGATCGACCCGAAGCAGAGGGAAGAGCTGGACGAGCTGGAGTTTGCCTGGGACTTTACTCAATGCAAGTGTTCGTGCTGCCATCACTGCGGAGGTTTTACGGGTTGAAGGGGCACACGGACGTGCCTACAACGTTTCGCATTCCGAGGAGCTCCGAGTGGCCTGAGCACTTGTGGGACCAAGTGTTGGGCAGGTGAGAGCAGACCAGGAAGAGCTGAAGCGACTGAATTTCTGGTTCGGCTTGGCGCTATCTGGCCACACGCGTCGCGAGAAAATGGTGGTGAATGTGATACCGGACAAGGCTCACTTGGACGGGCTGGGTTCTGTGCGGAATGATCGCGAGTCAAAGTGGAGTGAGCGAATCATGCCAGCTTTTGAGGCGTTTCACCGACTAAATGGCTATTGCCGGGTGCCTAGGCCTTTTGTGGTGCCGTCGGATGAACGCTGGCCAACGCTATTGTGGGGTCTGAAGCTCGGAATAATCGTTAAAGGCATTCGAAGAGGCACTTACTCCACCCAGGTTTCACATGACAGGGCTCGATTGGTGGAGTTGGGTTTCGTATGGGATACTTACGAATTCGAGTGGAGCGAGCGTATCATGCCAGCGCTGGAGACTTTTCATCGACTGCACGGTCATTGCCGAGTGCCAGTTTCATTTGTGGTGCCACTGGATGAAAACTGGCCAAGGCTCTTACTTCACCCAAGTCGCTCGTAGCAAAACTCGTTTAGAGGAGTTGGGTTTTGTATGGGACTTTTCTTAATCCGAGTGGAGTGAGTCCATCATGCCAGCGTTGGAAACTTTTCATCGATTGCACGGCCAAACTCGTATGTGGTGCCATCGGCTGACAACTGGCCACGACTGTCGTGGAGTCTCAATCTTGGACGTGTTGTCGGCGGTATCCGTCAAGGTGCTTACGTTACCCAAGTTGCTCGTAGCAAGACTCGCTTGGAGGCGTTGGGCTTTGTATGGGACGTCCTTGGCTTTGGATGGAGCGAGCGTATCATGCCGGCCTTAAAGACTTTTTATCAAGTACACGGTCATTGCCGAGTGCCAGTGGCTTTTCAAGTACCTGCAAAGGCGCCATAGCCTACAGAATTGCATGGCCTCAAGCTAGGTTTTGCACTTGCTGGTGTTCGCCGCCGCGGCTACTACTTTGACCAGATTGCCCGATCGATGGACGCGTTGGAAGCAATCGAGTTCGACTTGATGACCCCAGTTACCAAGAAGTGGGAAGATCGTGTGGAACCGATGCTGGCCACGTTCGAGCAGCTGCATGGGCACCGCGACGTGCCGCGCGACTTCGTGGTCCCGTCAAGCTCTCCATGGATAAAGAAGGATTGGGGTATTCAGTTGGGCAATGGCTGACATTGACACCACATTGGATACAGACACAACGGTTTGAATGAACTTGGCGCGTCAAGAGTGCGCTTTTCATTATATCAATGGATAAATGGGTATGTGAGTAAAGCCTTTCCAAGTCGAGTTAGAAGAGGGTGGCGACCATGGTAGCAACGACAGCAGACGCAACGGACAGCAGCGTGATCGACTGGCTGCTGATAGCAGCGCTACTTCCCGATGCCGATGATGATGTCGTCGAGCCTGCAGTCGACTTGGACGTGTCCCCCACGTTGGTGGTGCCCGCACTCGACCCGCTAGACACGCCCGGGCCATTGTCGACGGTGCTGGTTTCATTCGTCTCGTCGGTGGTGTCGTCAACGCCGGACTCGCTCGTGCTGTCCGCCTCATCCGACGTCTCGTCGAAACCGGTCGAGTCGTCGGTGACGTCCACCGGCGCGTCGGTCTCATCCGTCGTGGTCGAGTTGGTCGTGGCGGGGGTGTCCACCGGGGCGTCCGTCGCCGCCGGGGCAGCCGTCGCTGTAGCAGTCGTAGCAGCTGCAGGAGCAGTCGTCACTGCAGTCGTCACTGCAGGCGCCGTCGTAGTAGCAGCGGTCGTAGTGGTGGTTGTAGCTGTCGTCGTCGCCGTGGCCGGTGTGGTCGTGGCTGTGGCAGGCGCGGTCGTCGCCGTCGTCGTCGTTGTGGCTGTGGTGGTAGTGTCAGCCGCAAGGCCCTGCGAGGCGATGGCAGCAGCAACGAGGATCGTGGCGAAGAACTTCATCTTGATTGCTGTTGCTTTGGCTGGGGAGGTGCAGGCGGCGGCTGGTGTTTGTAGTTGTGCGTCGTAGAGCGCAACTGAGCGAGTGAGAACTCCGGCGGGGGCTTGCTATAGAAGTTTGACCTGCAAACAAACTCATCGTAACGGACCGTACCAGCGCATTTTTCTTCTCCTGCCGTTGGTCGTTTTGCAACGGTGCGAGTGTTGATACCTTTTTCGGAGGCCTGCGATTGTGGAGGACAAACAAGAAGCACTTCCCTTCTTCTCGGTCATCGGTCATCCAAAGATAAGTTGCTGCGTGTGACTCATGTATATAGCTTTTAGCCGGAAAAAAACTAGTGCTTCGAAGGCGTGAGCGCTTAGCTTATTGAAAACTAGGTTATTAGTATAGGCGTGCGGATTGAAAAGTAAGCTTAGTTTGTTCTTCCATAGTTTTCAAAAACGTCGACAACTGCAGCAACCAAAAGACCAAGTACTAGTAAAAGATATCACAACATGCAAAACTAGCTCCACCCACAATTCGGCACAGTGATAGCATTTTCCACGGCAGAAGGGGTTCGTTCACTCCGTCCGAGCTCGCTTGTTCCGAAAAAGTTGAGCGATCTCCTTGCGCGCCTTCTCCTTCTCCATGCTATTCGCATCCCACCTATTCGCCCGAAGATCGATTACAGCTTGCACTCGACTCGCGAGCTCAGGTGGCAGGCGCGTACGGCCATTTAGTTTGCTTTTCAGCACCCAGTAGTACTTGGACACGAGCGCATCTTTGGATTGCAGCCGCTCACCGATCGACTCCGACTCCAACAGCGTGCAGAGTGCTTCCAGGTTGTCTTTGTCTGGGCCAACGTGCGGATTCAGTTGCTCCAGCTCACCAGCGATGTTCTGGCGGACGTCAAGCAGAACTTCCATGCATCTGTGCAGCGTCGATACCTCCACAATGCCACGTCGGAGCAATGCGGCGAGGAAGTGCCACGTCCCCAACTTGCGTTGCTTCACCTTCTCTGCGTCCGCTTTCCTCCTTTTCTGCTTGCTGTTGACGCCCAGCTCGCGTTGGTAGCACCTCAGGAGAACGGTTCGAACGGGGTGCCCTTCTGCTGCAGTTTCCGCTGCACCGCGGCTTGGATATGGCCCTTGTAGCACAATCTGGGGCGTCACATCGTACAAGCCGTCACATTGATCTTTCCAGATCTTGAACAACTCCCCGCCTTGGTTGAAGCACGAGTTGTAGACCAAATTTGCAGGTGCTTCGTCAAGTTCTCGATCGCGAGCTCGACGAGCTGCTTCGCTCGAACAGAATGGGCCAAAAACCAGTCGAGGTGGTGAATCTTGGATCGTCAAGTAGATCAACCCATCCCACACCTTCTAGTTAACGCCAGTGAACACTTTGCCTCCAGTTCCTCACAAACGTCAGCGTATGCATCACAAAAATGGACTTGGTTCAGTGCCCTCTCAAAAAGAGGGGCCACGGCATCCTCCAGCTCTACATTTGCCAGCGACATCTTCTCGACAGGAGGGCAATACGAAGAATGCGAAGGGTTTATTTTCTCCGGGAATCGCCAACGCAATTTCTAGGACAAGTGCGGGGATAACAACTGCCGATCTTCGTTGATGGAGACTGACTACGTAGTCGGATCACTCTTCGTTGAGGTCGGTACGAAGAGTAGTGATCCCTTCAGCCACGCGGGCACCCAACGCCTTCACCAGGTCCTGCACGCTGATGCGCAGCTTCACGGTCTCGGCACCGCCGCCGAGCCACAGGAAAGCCGGCTTGAGCGCCGCGACATCTCCCGCCACAATCACCTTCGGTACAGTAGACGTATTCAACGATTAGTCAGCCTTAACTAACACTTCTTGCTCGGTGTTAGCGATCGTACCGGAATGGGGGTCTTCATGCCGAACGTGGACACTCCATTGTGGCCAAAGCCCGTCAGCTGCTCCGACACCTGCACAAGGGGCCCAATAAAGATCAGTACCAAGGCAACATAGCAAGCCAATGACATCCGCCTCCCACCTCTCCGGGGGCGTGCTGGAAGTTGAATTTCTTGCGCGACGGACGGTCCGACTCGGGGATGCTGTCACGCACAAAACGGCGGAGCTGCTCCGCATCGAGCTTCGAGTTGTACTGCAGCACCACGCAGTAGTAGCTAGGGGCAGGAAGACAAACGATAACAACAGCGTCAGCCTCCACCTTCCTTCGCTGCCTACAGCCACTGAGTCCAGCTCACATACCGGCTGTTGAGCGGGTCCTCCACGCCGCTGTTGGTGCACGCCACGTTCTCCACGATGATGCTCTTGCACAAGTGCGGGGTCGCACAGCCCAGCAGCTCTCTGCAGGTATGTAAAGTTACCGTTAGTGTAAAAATTCTTAGTGTAAAGCGCTCAACTGCTGGTAGCTGCAGCATCGATGTGACGCACGCACCCCCTCTGGGCCAGAGTCCACTGGTAGTAGTCGCCCGGCGCCGTCTTGAGGGCGGCGCTCGCCAGCTTCTCGCGCTGCAGGTGCTGCTTCACGCGCCTCACGCCTTCGAGGTCGTCGAGCGAGCGCTCCAGCGCCTCCAGTCGCTTCTGCGCGGCCGCCAGACGCGCCGTCACCTCGTCGATGGTTGTCATTGTTGTCAGGTCAGTCGAGCTTATAAGCGAGGGGATCCGCTAGCCTAATTGAATTCTGATATGGCACCTAAACTACCTTAGTTTGGGCACATTGAAGTTGTCGGCCGAAAATAGCAATAATAGAACCTCTCGAAGAGTGTAGCCATCTCGGAGTGAAAAATAGAACCAACCTCCATCTTGCAGCGCAACGTTTGACCGTCTCAAGATTCATTCGGGCGCCGGGTCTGGACACGTTGCAGCGCTTGTTGCGTGTAGATTACTGCGACCAACATGATCGGGAAGCCCGCGCCTCGAGCCATGAGCTCCAGGACCTCGGTCGTGCAGTCGATGGCCTCGATGAGCACGGTGCGGACGGTGGATCGCGAGCGGCTGCGAGACAAGGCGCGCCAACTGCAGATGAAGGAGAATCTGCGCCTCGTCATGTGCGCCCGGCTGCAGCAGAAGCTGCGCAAGAGCCCCAAGGTGGCGGAGGAGATGGCCTCGGAGGTGCTGAGGGTCATCAAGCAGCGAGGACTCCCGGCCGCTGATCTGTCCGACGCAGCGCTGGCGGAGATTGTCAACGAGCTCTCGACGCGTCGGCAGGAGCAGCTGTCGCTGGCTGCGAACACAGCCAGAAGACCGTCGTCATACAACCAAGAGCAGCTGGAGCCGACACCGCCCACCAACCTTCGCTTAGCTCAAGATCGCGCGTCAGGGAGACGCTCTTCGAAGAGCAAGGAGCGCCCCAACAACAACTCGGTGAGGCATTCTAAAGTGGGCTCTCGTGGCCGAGGTGCGTCCACTACGGGCGCCATCACGAATCGAAGTGTGGCAGACGACGATAGATACATCACCGAGTCGCAGCTCCAGCAGAAGAGCGTGGGGTTCTCGTTGCCTCCCCGTGTTTCGCCCAAGAAGGAGCGAGGCAACGGAATCTGGGAGGAGATTGTCAAGTACAGCTCCATCGAGGAGAAGATGGACGCGGAGCGCGCGAAAGAGCGCAAGATGCGCGAGCGTCGAGACTACACGTCCAAGCTGGAGGCTCAAGTCTCGCACAAGCGCAGCACTAAGCAGCAAGAGCGCGAGAACAGCGCCGAGTTCCACCGCCAGCAGCTAGAGCGGATTCGAGAGGCTGACGACGAAGAGCGACGGAAAGAGGAGGAACGTCTCGAACGTGAGCATAACCTCATCGCAATCCAGACACAGCAGCGTCTAGCCAAGCAAGCGCAGCATGAGCGTGAGCGCGCGATCAAGAAGGCCCAGGAGCAGCAAGCGGCCGAGATGCTCGAGAAACAGCGGAAGGACGATTTGGCTCGCGAGAAGGCCCGGAGAGAGGCCGAGAAGCGCCGCGTAGAGCAAGTCTTCCAGGACAACGAGGCCCAACTGGAACAAAAGCGGCAGCACCAAGCACGCGAGCGCGGGTTGGAGCTCAAGCTGGCGGAGGAATACATCGCCATGGAGAAGAGGAAGGACGAGGCCCGCAGGAAGCAAATCGAGACGATGGCGGAGAACATCAAGAAGAAGATGAAGATCTTCGACGATACGGCTAAGGCCTCCACCGACGCCAAGGCCCGCGAGGAGGACGAGCGGGTGCAGCGGTACCAACAAGAGTACACCAAGAAGCAGGTTGAAGACGAGCGGAAGCGACGAGCCGATGCGGAGGCTCGAAGTCTCGCGCAGCAAGAATATCTGCGCCTTCAGATGCAGGAGAAACGCGAGCGCGAGGAAGCTCTCAAGCGCGATATGAACAAGCAGGCCGATCTGTGGAAGCAGGACCGAGTCGAAGCCGAGCGGCGAGAGAAGCTGGCGAGGCAGCAGCGAGCCATGAGGAACCGTTCGCAGCAAGAAGTGCTGCTCCAGCAGATGCGCGAGCGTGAGCAGCGTAGTCTCCAGGCAGACCAGACTCATCTTGAGGTGCAGTTGAACGCTCGACTGCTGCAAAAGATTCACCAACAGGCTGGCGCTGCCCAGAGCCAAGCAGAAGACGTCGTGTCCGAGACGCAGAACCGATCTCGAGAAGTAAGCCGTGCTGTACTGTGTCTATCGATTCCTGATGTAGAGATGCTAATGAATACTCCCTCTCTTGTGTGTGTGTGAACTGCAGCTACAGGAGCAGGAGCAGGCCTTGCAACATCGGCAATCGCAGCGAGCAATCAAGTTCTAGTCGTAGTCGTATCAATCAATACACGCACTAGCCCCACCTTACAATTGTTATCGTTTTTTTTAATTTCATTTTTTTTGCTGTCAGTATGCTAACTAGCGAGCGATCTCCGAAGTGAGCGTCACCCAGGACGTGCAGATGAGCAGCCACCTGAGCCCACTAAGCACTCGCTAAGAGGTGTTCAGCTCACCTGCCTACATGGAAGCCATGCAGCGTCTGCTTGGTGGTGGGTGGACGCTCCGGTCGCCGGATAATCACTTGGTGCGGGCCAGCTCCTCTACGAACTGACCCAGCTCCTCCTGCACCCGCTTCCTACTCACACTATTGTCGTTCTTGAGCTCGAGCCACTTGCTGAAAGCCTGGGGCGTCACGGCGCTCTCCTTCTTCAAGAGCTTGAGCAGCTTCTTCACTTCATCTGTAGAGTGCCAACAACAAACGTTAGGTACCATGGCCTTCAACAAGGACAAAGTACAGAAAGATGGATCCTTACCGTTGTCAGACCGCGTCTGCATGATCGCCGACACTAGCCGAACCTGCGTGTCAGTGTTGCCGCAGAAACCGGTCAGCAGCATGCACCGCTCAGCCGACGGCAGCTCGCCCTCCTTCGACAGGTTCAGGATGAACAGGCACGCGTACGAGGCGAAGAGCGGGTCGTTGAGCATTGCCTCGGGGATGTTATCCCCGATGAATTTGACAACTTCATCGTACGACGAATCTTTGCTCACACGCTCCACGAGTCCAAAGGCAGGCTCCAACGGGAACACATCCATGATATCGTACTTCTTGATCCACTCTTGCATGTCCTTGGGCGATCGCGCGTAGGAAGGCAACACGCTCAGTACCGTCACGTTGGTGGCACTGATCTCCTTCTTCGCTTTCTCCACATCGGCCGCCTTCAACAGCTTTAGGATTTCACCGAGGATAGCAGCAAGGAATCCACCGTCAACCAGCTCCTCCATCGCGTCCTTGTCCACGTTCTGCAGACAACCACCAACAATCCAATCCACCGAAACGCCCGTCAAGCTCGAATCCTTGATGAAGCGGACCACGAATTCAGCCATGTGCTCGTGAAGCTTCGGCACATCGCACCAAAGATCACCGCACAGCTCAATCGTCTTCTCAATCGCGTAGCGGATGCCAACGAACGAAACCGTCTTCGTTTCCAGACTCAGCTTGTCGAGCATTTCAACCATCTTTTCACGCGCTTCCGCCTTCGCGTCGATAGCCTCCTTCAGAACTTCAAAAGCGAAGACGCGGTTAACGTCCTCGTGGTTCTTAAACTCCTTCTGGACCTCCACAAGACACGCCTCGGCTTCCTTCAGATCAACAATCGAGACGTACTCCTCAGCGATGGATTTGGCCTTCTTTCCGATCTTCTCTTGGGCCTCGTCGTCGAGCGGCGGGATCACCTTGGCACGAGCGGGGGATTGCGGCTTCTTCGCACCAGCCGCCGGGGCACGACGGGAAGGGAAGCTAGCTGGCGATCCGCTAGGGCCACCACCGCGTGGTTGCCGAGAGCCAACCCCGAAGGCAGCAGGTCGACCTGAGGGGCCTGTCTTCACCGACTCATCACGGGCTCCAAAGCCACGCGGGAGCGTCATTTGTCTGTTGCTGTTTCCACGGCTGCTCATTGACTGCGAGTGCTGGTACACCGGCGCCATAGTTGAACGGCCACCGTTAAATCCATCGCGGGACGAGTTCGATCGGCGGTCTGACCTGAAATGGTCGCGATCTCCACGGTCGCGGCCTCCACCACTCGGCGCGCTGCTCGGAGGCGCACGTGCTTCGCGTTCTGCCTCCTTACGGATTTCGGTCAGGGTCTTCTGCTTCAATTCCTTTCGGCGCGGCTCCCATCTGTGCTGGCGCAGCTCGATCACGTCCTTGATCATGAAGGTAATACGAGATGACAGACGCTTGTCCTTCACCAGCTTGTTCTCCATGTAGTGGAAGTACGCCGGGATAAAGCCCTGGGCACCATGCTTGTCAAGGTCCTTACCCATCGTTGTCAGCAGCTTTGCCAACGACTCGATGCTCTCCTCATCCGGAGGATTGTTAGGGTGCACACACACCATCATTCCTTCACTGTTCGGGCGAACGTCCATCAGCTTCATGATACACTCGTGCATAATGCGCTCTTGGAGCATACCCTTTCGGTACAGCTCACCGATGAATCGAATGTTACCAAGCATACGCAGCTTCATGATCAGTCGTTTCTCTTCGTAGTCCGCTTCCATCTGTGGAGTGATTTTTCCTTCCTCCTTGTCCTTCTTGAAGCTCTCCTCCAGCTCCTCATAGATGTTATCCTTTTCGAACTCTTCTTGGCAGGCATTCAGCAAAATGCGCTTGAATGAGCACGTCTTGATAGCGGAGCGGCTCGCACCCTCGTGGTTTTCGAAAGGACCATTCAGTACTTGGTCCTCTCCCAGATCATCCAGGTCCTGGCCCGACCAGTAGTACTTCGGCTCCTTGGGGTCCTCTTCCACCCAAATCTTAATGAACTTGTGATCACGGACGCGGACTTCGCTCAGCTTCATGTTGGAAGGAGCAGGGACCGGTTCAAATTCATCACCACCAGCCGACTCCAAGGCGCTGCTTGCGTCGTCGAAAGGTCCGACGACTTCCGAATCCGAATCAGACATGGCCGTCCAGTAGAACATCTTGTCATCGTCATTCTGAACAATCTTCAGGAACGACCACACCTTCCAGTTGGTCTCCAGGTGCACACACAAGTCTGCGTACATGTCACAGAAATGCGGCTCGCCGACGGCCTTGTCGAAAATGATTTTGATGACCGCCTGCAGCATCTCGAGGCTTTCCATGTTGATAGCTGTCAACTGTCCAGCCAAACGGTCGAACTTCTCGCGGGTCATCTTGTTCATGATAGAGTTCACATTCTTCTTCGTCACTTCCAACGTCGAAGCATTCTTCGTAGGGATCCAGCGGTTGGCCGATCTCGTCAAAGGCTTCACAGGTCCATCCAGAAGAGGCGGATCCGGAGGACCGCCACGACCACCACGGCCGCCGCGGCCACCACGCTCTCCCCTGCCGCGCTTCGGAAGGTCCTGCGACCGTGCCCACTGGCCACCGCCCGAGCCACCGCGCGATCCTTGGCGACCCGAGCCGCCCGACTGCTTCTCACCACGCTCCCAGCCAGCTCCACGACCTCCGCGCGAACCACCACGCGACACAGCCACTTCACTGGTAATCTCCATCGACGGCCACTTGGAATCCGGGCCTGTAGCAGCAGCCGGCAGTTCCTTGTACTGTTCACGGAAGCTGTTTCATGACCAAATACAAGCATTTCGTAAGTGAAAATTGCATTCGCGTGCTCACGTCAGTCCTCTCGTAGCGTACCTCATCATAAGCTCCAGCGTGTAGGTCAGCTTGCCGCCTGCCTTCTTCTGAACGACAACGCTCACGTCCGTCGTTTTCTCGACCGCGGTAGATGCCGGCTTTTCAGTGACATCAGCCTTCTTCGCCTTCTCCTCCTTTTCCGCAGCCAGAGCCTTCTGCTGCAACGCGGATGGAGCAGCATCCTGCGCCGGGGCCTTCTTCTTCGGCGAGATGGACTTTGATTGCTTGGCAGTGGAAACCTCCTCCTTCGTCTCCTTAACAGTCTTGGTCTTCGGAGATGAGACCTCAGTACTGGTCGTAGTGGTAGTTGTGGTTGTTGTCGTCGTTGTAGTGGAGGAGCCAGTCTTGGTAGTCTCCGACTTCTTTTCTACCGTCTTTTCGACAGGTGTCTTGGTAGCAATCTTGGCTTCCTTCGACGCGGCAGGCTTCGCCTCCTTCGCTTCCTTGGGCTCCTTTGGTACCTTAGCTTCCTTCGCACCGTTGGCGACCGGCGTCGACTCCTTCGCAGGCTCAGCAGCCGGCGCTGCTGGTTTTTCACTGGCCGCCTTCTTCTTGGGAGATTTCTTGGGCGACTTCGTGGCGGACTTGGTCGATTCGTTCTGCTTCGCGTCAGTCTGGGGCGGGGCAGGGGCAGCGGGCTCTTCCTTGACGGGCGTCGCTTCCTTCTTCTGCGGGGTGCTCTGCGCTGTGGTGCTGGTGCTGGCGATCGCGGCCTTGGCGTCCTCCACCGCAGTGGACGAGCCTGCATCGCTAGGACGGTCCGACGAAGAAGAAGAGCCCTTTCCGATGACGATGGCCTTGCCCGTCTTGGGGTCGATGATCTCAAGACGCTTCCGCTCGCGCTTCGGGGGCGGCTGGTGCTGCGGCTGCGGGACTGGCATGGGCATGGGCATTCCTCCCATGGCCATGCCCATGTCCTGCATAGGGGGCATGCCGTACAAGGGGGGTCCTCCCATGTACTGTCCGGGGCCCATCATGTACGGGGGCGGCATCTGCATCTGCGGCGGGTAGTATCCCTGAGCTGCTGGGTTCATGGCGCCTCTGGGCATGTACTGCTGCTGCTGGTGCATGGCGCCGCCTCGCGGGGGCCCGCGCATCCGTGGCTGGTGGTGGTGGTGGCCTCCTCCAGGGGGGGCGCGCATCTGCTGGGGCATGCCCGGGCCGGGCGCGCCCATGGGGGGGGCGGGCGCGTAGCCCATCGGGCCGTTGTACGGCCGCGCAGTCTGCAATGCAAGAGAGCCAAGTGAGTACAATACCCTATACAAGAGGCAAAAAGATCGGGCTGCGCCACGTACGTGCTGCAGGTTGAAGCCTCCGCCCTGCTTGAAGACCGGCGCGTTGACGTCCATGCCGTCGGCTCCGGGCGGCGTCATCTGCGGGTGCGCGGGCGCGTCGTGCTGCTGCGGGCCGCCCTTGGGTCTGTACTCTGCTCAGGATCGATTGATTAATTAGTAAGGCGGTTGTGTTGTGTTGTGTTGCCTCGTCGGTTGCGAGCTGTAGCGTACCGAGGTGGTGCGGGTTGCCGCGCGGGTGCGGAGCTCCGCCGTTGGGGCCGTAGCCGCCGCGGCCGGGGGTGGAACTGGGGTGCTGCGGCTTCATGTTTCCATCCAGCAGCAGCGTCTCCTTCCTTTCCTCTAGCCTAAGTCGACCGAAAGCTCTCCCCTTGACCTCGAGAGCTTCAGAGGGGGATTGGCTCGAACAAAAGGGCCGCCAGCCAACCCGCTAGAGGTACACGTGCGCCACCGAACAGACACATCTGCACACGGACGAGGCGGCAAGTGACTTGGAGTTTGTATGCTGCGATTGTGTGTCATCTGTGTAACGGAGCTATCCCGCCAAATTATTTGCCCAAGAACGCGGCCGCAATTGCCGCGTTCTCCTGCTCCTCGTCTCGCTGGCGCCGACGCAGCTCGGCAGTAGACGGCAATGGACCCACGTCGTCGGTCTCGGCGGCGCCGATGAGCTGGGGGAATCCGCAACAGCAACAGACACGGTCAGTCAGAAACCCTCAAAAACGGATGACCATCACTCTGTACGTTGCGTACGTGGCAACGGTATCTTTTTTTAGATACTGTAGACCCGGGTTTGGGTATCGCAGGGTATCAATTGGCTTACCTCGTCCTGGGGCACCACGACGGGCGCGAACTCGTCCAGCTCCAGCTCGGCCTCTGTGTCCCAGTGGAAGCGACTGGCGAGGAGCTGCCGCAGGTGGAAGGCTCGTTGTCGGAGCTGTAATATACACGTTACAAGTGTGAGTCATCAGTATCTGCTGCTGAGGTGGACACCTTTTCGCGCGAAGGGTCCTTCTCACCTGCGGCGGACAGTCGTCGTCCTCGATCAGCTCCAGCAGCGACAGCAGGCACGGCCGCAGGAAGTTCTCGCTGGTCGTTTCGTCCTGGAAAAAGTCCTCGGGGATCTGTAGAGCGGAACGAGGGAGGTGGTGAGCATTAGGTGCAACCAAGTGGACACTTTTGATCGACCGACGCACCTGCTCCAATTGCGTCCTGAAGAGCTTGATGAACGCGAGAAACAGCGCCACGTGGGTGGAGAGTGCTCTCTCGCACGAACACAGGAGTGCAATGAACTGCGCGTCAAAGGAAGCACCAGCATCATGTATGGTTAGATCAGCTTCACTTCGGAAGGCGAAGGCCTCTCGACTGCCAACGCACCTGCTTCCATTGCTCCAGTGCAGCAAGGGACGACAGCTGCAGGAAAACAAGGAACGACAGCTGCAGCTCGCCAACGAGCTCTTTCCAGTCGCCGCCAAAATCCGTCTCAATCAATTCTTCCAGCCTCTCACTACAGTGGGCGGGAAAACAGCGTAGGTTAACAGATAGTTTCTCATCAAGGTTTCCGGTGTGTATCGCCATCACCACCCACCTCCGATCGAAATGGTATGCTGTCCGCGCTTCCGCCGACAGATCTGTCCGAGTCTTCTGCAGCGTTGTAAAGCGCACTGTTCGTGGTAGGTCTGGAAAGTATGGAATAACGCCCTCCTGCGTTTTCGTCGAGGTCGCAGCATCCTCCACCGCGTCTCCAGGGAGGAGGATTGCGCCAAACTCGACACCGCAGCGCTGCCAAGCAACATAGCAAGTCGAGGAGAAAAAACGGTTAGAATCGCTACCATTTCGCTGCATGGCCAGCATTATCAGGTGGTGACCAACCTGCAGCACTGATGGCGAAATGAAGTTGGAGAGCCGCTGCCACGTTTTCAGGTGCTGCTTCGGGTACGGCCCCAACCCGCTATCTAGCTGAAACGACAGCACGGCACCTGCACACAACAGCAGCAACAATAGTAACAAACGTCAACTTGGAACACAAACCCAACCGACTCTGTGCTCGACTCAATCGCCTTACGCTCGAGGTTCTCGGGGTTCAGGCCTGGTCGCGGCGGCCCCAGCTCCTCCTTCTCTATGCTCCACTCGCGCACAATCACCTGGGCGTGGCGCTCCACATTGACGAAGAATCCCTGGCGGATGCCGTGCTCCTGCTCCCGAGAGCGGAAGAGCACGAAGTGGATCCCCAGCGGGAGGAACTTGACGCCCTGGAACTTCGGCCCCGTGCGGAACACTTCGTAGTCCACGCCGAACTCGGTGGCTGCAGGGACGTCCAGGCACACGAGAAAGCCACCGACAGCAGCAGCACCACTGTCAGTCGCAGAGTCGCTGGCTTTGTCGTGCTCAGCGCCGCGCAGCACGCGAGAGAAGAGGTCGGCGGCGAAGTCGCCGCGTTGGTCACTGTTGGCCCCATCCATTGGTAATACGAAACGTTGATTGATTGGGTTACACAAGGGGTTACGTGTTGGGGTTACGCGCACTTCAACTTGGTACGAATGGCTACATGCTACACAGCTACGCTACGCAAGCACCAGCGCGGTACTCAGGCAGCAGATAGCAGCTACGAAGGTTTGCTGGCGTCCAGCACCCGAAGTGACGTGAGTTTGCGGCGTTTCGTCGAGTTTCGGTCCCGGAGAGAAGCGAGGCTGGTCGTCCGGAGCCACCACGTCGCCAAACGAGCCGCTGCTGCTGCCAAAGCCCGAAGACGTCGACGTCTGCGAGTCCGAGGCGAGCAGATCGTCGGAGGACGAGGAGGCAGAAGCAACACTTGAAGCGCTCGCGTCGAGGTCAGCCTCGCCGCCGCATTTCATGGCAGAGAGCTGGGCAGCCGTGAAGCTGTTGGGCACGCCTGGGTGCGTCGGGGACAGCGTCGAGGACAACGCAGTGGAGGGCGTCCAGGAGCAGCACGCATCGCCCAGCTCCTCACCGTTCGTGGCTCCATCGCCGTCTGAGTCTGCTTGACACAGCTCCGCCGTCCACTGGTGTCCGGCGGCCTCGAAAGCCTCGCCGAAAGCATTCGTCGCGCCGCCGCCGGAAGGACTCGCGTGGCCGAGTGCAGCGACACCAGACACGCCGTTGCCGTTCGGAATACGCGCCACGAACGAAGGGCGAGCGTCGGAAGACAGGAACGCCATCGAGAGAGTGCAGAGTCCCAGAGCGAGCTTCATGGTCGTTGGTCGGGGGTAGTGTCGGGAAGACAGGAAATTGGGAAGTGAGTGAGTAGCGGGGCAGCATAGAACCCCGCTGGCCATGTTAGCCGAGGCTCTAATGGTTCGGTCACTCCTGTAGAGCCATCAACACGCCGACGATGGACTTCCATCATGTCCATTGAGTCCATGGCATTGTCGACTAAGGGAAACGGCCGTTTTTGAAGCGGCGCCATTGATTCATTCGCGAAGAGAATCGTGAAGAGAAGAGACGAAGGTCCCGCGCCGATGGCGTCCTGGGTAAGGCGATGGATGGGTCTCTCGTGGCTACAGTGTAGCGTCCTGTGACTAACCTCGGGGTTGTCCGCGCAGTTGATGAAGAACGTGAAGGATGGGTCCCTCATGAAGGGCGTGAAGGACGGCTCGCGCCGGTGAGCGACGTACAACAGTGGATGCAGCGGTCATTCTTGCTGATGGTTTTGCTTCTGCGCAGCTTGAAAGACGAGATTGCCCGGTCGATGGGCGCTGGAACTGAAGGGGGCGTCGACCCGGTGCTGGAATACCGCACGCAAAGGTCAGTTTAGGCGTCGACGGCTAGACCTAGACGGGCCTGCAGGACTAACAAGCATTCGGCTGTGGCTGCAGGTTCAATCGCTACAACGATCGTCTCGAGGACCTCTCGAAGGCCATGACGCACTACACGAACGCAACGCACGCGTACGCCCAGGCCACGGCGCAGCTCATGCACGCGTTTTCGGCGTTCTTCGAGTCTCAAATGCAGGACGCGCAGGAAGGTGGGCCTTAGAGCGGCAAAGCTGTCCAGTATTTGGCTGTGATCTCACTTGATCACTGTGCAAAAACAGCATCAGCGGAAGCTCCCGAGGCTCCAGGTGTCAAGGCACTCGCTCAGAGCTCTCTCCGCGTGGAGGAGATCCAGCAGTCGCTGCAGGAGAATGTGTTCGATGTGGCTCAATCTCTCCAGTATCGCACAGTAGTGCAGCCACTTCAAGAACTGAGAGCGAGCAATGCCAGCCTGGCCCAACAGCTACGCAACCTGAAGCAAAAGGTGCAGTCAATCTTAAAGCTTCGAAGCACTACAATACCTTCTAATGACGTTGTTCTATCATTGACACAGCTCAGCGACTTTGACTCGGCCCAGCGCAATGCTGAAGCTCAGAAAAGGAGCCCTCCAGACTTTGAGAAGGCGCAACAGAAGCTCCAAGCCGCTACAGCATCGCTGTCCGCCGTTGCAGAAAGTGTCGACACCGACATGAGCATGATCGAGGCCCGACGGGATTCAACTCTCAAGAACGAGCTGCTGACGGTCGTAGCGGCCCAAGTACGTGCCTCTCTTCCCCTCGAAGCACTCCTGGCTTGCACTCGCTGATCTAACACTGTCGTTTTGCTCAGCTCTTCATTCACTCGCGCGCGAACGATCATCTGCAGCAGTTGGTGCCGCTCCTCCCTGGCGTGGCCAAGCCGCTGGTGCTGCTGCTGGCGGAGTCTGCGCGCCGTCGACGACCGGCCAACCCGGCCACGACGGACGTCATGGGCGTGATCTCGTACTCTGGCGAGTACTCTCGAGGTGTCCTGGACCAGCCAGTTCACTGCCACCGAGACAGTTTGGGGGATGTCGCCGCCGTGCACCCGATTGGGATCGCTCCGTTCAAGGTACAGTAGGCCGTGCAGTCGGTGCAGTGCAAGTGCTTGTGCCAATCTATCTAATGCGTGGAGGCTAACCTGACCGTTCTTGCCTTCACAGGACATGCACTTTGGAGAGAAGGTGGCGGTTAGCACTTACGGCCGGCGACAGCAGTGACCGAGACCCAAGGACGACACTAGCTAGCACTTCAACCTTCCGTGCTGGTGGTCCAGGCCCATAGTGAGCTCAAGTGAGCGTTGTCCGGGTGGAAGTGCCCCCGCCTCCATACAACGTCCAATACACTATATTTTCATCCAATCAAATGGGTTATAAAACTGCCCCAATACTGGAGGGATATGTGCGGCCAGAGAGACTTGAGCGACCACCTCGTGCTGCCCAGAATGCTGCCCTCCGTCGTCCGCTGCGCCCGCCGCGGCTTCGCCAGCCACGCCAAGCCCCATGTGCACATGCCCGAGACGGCCATGCTGACCAACAACGTGCGTTCCCGCGGCTGGCTTCAGCGTCTCAACAGCTATAGACGCTGACCTTGTTCTTGTATCGTGTTGTGTGATTCCGGTGTGCAGGGCACGCACGTGTTCGAGCGCAAGGGCTGGGAGTACTCTGCCTACATGGGCATGCTGGGCGGCCCCATCGTGCTCTACCTGGGACTCACCAACGTCCCGGAGACGGACTCGGAGGTCTTCGCCAGGTAAAAAAAATATGATATGAAGGCGGGCAAGGACTGAGCTCTTGAGACTGACACTTGTTTTGTCGCTGGCTGACTGTAGGGAGGAGGTGCTCGCTGCGCGCGCAGGTACGGAGGTGCTCAAGCGGCGCGACAGCGCCCCCGAGGGCGCGCGCTTCACTTTCAAGCCCAGCGAGATCGGCGAGCCGCCGGTGCTCGAGGACGACGAGTAGAGAGAGATGAAGGCTCACGCTGTTCTTGTCCTCCCCCCACCTGCGTGGGCTGCTGTTCTGCGCAGACTCGAGCGCGTAAAAGAGAGGGGCAGCCACGCACGACTGCACACACACACAAAGACACTCGGAGGCCCGAGCTGCTGGAGTCTGGATGCATGGAGTAACTAAAGCAAAAAGACGAACAAATGAGCAGGTCTCTGTTTGATGACGACGACGATGACGATCGACCTCTATGCTTATCTACGCCACAGTCTGCTGCTTCAGGAACGCCTTGATCTCGTCCGTCGTGCCGCAGCTCGTGGCCAGCACGTCGCTCTTGCCCGTTTGCTGCCGGATGAGGCCGCCCAGCACGCCGCCGACGCCCAGTTCCAGGAAGTGATCCACGCCCTGGTCCACGCAGTAGTCGACGCTGTCGCTCCAGCGCACAACGTGCACCACCTGCTGCTCCAGCACCTGCGCGATCTGCTCGGGCGTCTTGGCCGTCGCCTGCGCCTCGACGTTCCACACCACCGGCACCTTGGGCTCGCGCAGCTTGTTGTCTCCCAGTAGCTGCTGCAGGTGCTCGTGCAGCTCCAGCTTCGCAGGCTCCATCAGTGCGCAGTGGAACGGAGCGCTCACGTCCAGCAGCACTGCACGGCGCGCCTTCTTGGTGGCTTTGGCCTGGCTGATAGCGGCGTCCACCGCCTCCGCGTGGCCGCTGATGACCGTCTGCTTACTCGAGTTGTAGTTGGCCACCTGGCAGACCTTCCCGGTGCTGGCTGCGGCCTCTTGGCACAGCGCCTCGGCGTCTTCAGGACGCACGGGCATGAGCGCGGCCATGGCCCCGACCCCGGGAGCCACAGCGCGCTGCATGGCCAACCCGCGGAGATGCACCAGACGCGCCGCCTCAGCGAAGTCGATGGCGTCGGCGGCCACCAGCGCCGAGTACTCGCCCAGCGAGTGGCCCAGCGCGAAGTGCACGGGCGGCAGCTCCGTCTCGTGCTGCAGCACGCGCAGCACCGCCACCGACATGGACAGCAACGCCGGCTGGGTCACGTGCGTGGGCGTGAGCTCGTCCGCCGGCCCCTCCGTCATGCGGCGCCGCAGACTGAGCTTGGTGGCCTCGCTGGCCTCCTCCAGCACGTCGCCCACGAGGCGCGGCCACTTCTCCAGCAGGTCCTTGCCCATGCCCACGCGCTGGGAGCCCTGCCCGGGGAACACGAGCGCGAGGCGGCGCAGCGCCATGCTGAGACTTGCTACAGATACGAAGGTCTCCGGTAGATTTGATTTGTGGCGCGTGCACGAGACGGTCGCGAGGTCGGATCGAGTTGAAGCTGTTGCTTCTTGTTGCTGCTGATGTTGTTGTGTCGCTTATCTACTCAGTTCTCATTGCCTACTGCCATTGATTGATGAATACGGCCACCTCTGTCGCTGCTCGTCCAGGTGGTATCTACAGCCTTAGTCAAGTCTACCGGCGACCTCCACGGTTGTCGTTGCGATCGCGTCGACGGCCGCCGCCGTTGCCACCGTTGCCGCCACGCTCGTCATGGCCCCCGCGCCGGTCGCTGTTGCCGTTGCGGCCACCGCGGTCTTGGCGTCCACGCCTGAACAATGTCAAACACACACACATTAGCTCTCGTAGCCATATCACAACATACATAGCACCACCTTGACAGTTCACTCACATTTGGTCGCGCTGCTGCTGGTTGCCGTTGTTGCCATCGCCGCCACCGCCGCCTCCGCCTCCGCCTCTGTTCTTGCGCTTGCGCTTGTCATCGTGTCCACCGCGCTTGGGCTCACCCCCGCCGTTGCCTCCATTGCCATTGCCATTACCGTTGCCGCCTCCACCGCCGCCGCCATCTCGACGTCGCTTGCCTTCTGGTGCGCTGTTAGTGGGCGGATCGCTGTCGGTCGCTGGCTCACGCTCACGCTTGCGAGACGAGGACACCAGCGATACGATCTTCCGTGCGCCCCCAGTCGGAGTTCCGGCGCCCGTAGGTGACGCCTTCCCGGCGGGGGATGCCGCCGCTGCCGACGGAAGAGGAGGTCGCATGCGGTCACGAGCCACTGGCCGTGAGCGATCTCCTGCCTGCTGCTCCTTCGCCTTGGCCTCCTTCTCAGCGGTGAGCTGGCGACGCAGCGCAGCTTCCGATTGCTCCGCCGGTCGCGCCCTCTTACGCCCAACTTCCGGAGCAGGCGACTCGGTTTTCACGGCCTCGCGCTCTGCCTTCATCCCCCGGTTCGGCTTCGCGGGTTCAGACTCGCGATCAGGCTTCGGTGAAGAAGTCGGCTTTACAGACTCCTCGTTCCGAGCAGGACTAGGCTTGGAGACCTCCGGTTTCCTGGATGCGTTATCCGACTCGCCGTCCTCGCGCCCGTGCATTGAACCGCGGTTTCTCTGGTTGCGTTCATGACGGTCGTGGCTGCGACTGCGGCTACTTTGGTGCGAGTTCGTATCGCGATCACCACGTCCTCTATGATCCCCCTCACCTCGTCCACCTCGGTTAGCCTGCCCTCTCTCGCGTCCCCGTTCACGAGAAGATCGGCGGCTGTCACTATTGTTGCCACGGTCGTCAGCGCGGTCTCCAGAGCGACTGCGTCGTGGGGCTGGCGATCTCTCGTGTTTCCGGGAAGCCGACCCACTGCGCTCACGAGTATCACGCGCCTCATTCGCTCGGCTGTTGGCTGAATTGCTCCGTCCGGCAGCCTTGGTGGCCGAAGGAGACGCCTCGCGGTCTCGGTGCTCCCGACGACCACGTCTTTCTTCGCCCAAACGACGATCACGAGGAGCATCGGCTGAGCTGTCTCGGCGTTCTTCAGGCTCTCCACGCTCTCCACGATTCCGACGGTCGTGAGGAGGATCTGCCGAACCACCCCGTCCTCCACGGCCATTACGCTCACGTTCGGCACCTCGACCGCGTACCGAGTCTAGTTGCTTATTCCGTGCCGGTGTGCTGTCGTTGTTACTGTTGGTCTTCCCCATGACGATCTCGCCGCTCTCAAGTTCTTGGCTCTCGACACGGCTCAGCACTGGCTTACTTGAAGTTTCGCGTTTGGCGTCGTTACTCTTGCCGTCCTCGTTGCGGCTCTTGCTTTCTTCGTCGGCAGCATCCGTCGTATCCTTCTTCTCGTTACTGGACGACCCAGCAGTGGGTGACTTTGCTGGAGCGCTGCGTGTGCGCAAGAGCCTGTCATCGATGAGAGATGCCTTCCGCTTCGTCAGAAGAGCGAAATATCGCTTGGCCATGATTTTGATGTCTTCTCGGTCCTCGTTCGTAAGCTTCTCCACAATACCCAAAATCACTCCAGCAGTCCCACGACCCGCAGGGAACACATCAATCAGCTTTGTGAGCACCACAAGCGTATTGCGGATAGGCATGTACTCGCCACTCGACAGTGCCGTAGTGTACACCCGCTCCAACTGTTTATGCCAATTAGCATACGCCGACTTGAATTGTCGGTGCGCGAGACATTTCTTGTCGTCTGTCAAGTCGAGGCTCATGCCGATCTTGCCGTGGATAGCTTCGTCGTCGTACGTCGCGCCATTCTGGTACCAGCGCAAGGTAATTCCCAGCGTTTCTTTCATGAAAATGCCGAAGTTGCTCGCCTCTCGCTCCGTCGCGCACAACACGATCGCCGACACCTTCATGTTCACCTTGTGGATGTACTGGAGAGTACTGAGCTGCGGAGTCGAAAACGTGTGCAAACGTTCCATGAACTTAGCGGCGAACAAAGCGTCCTCAGGAGATATCAGCGAGCGAGGGATGACACACTTCTGCAGCAGCTCGTCGATCGCTGTCTGGTGATCCTTCGGTTCCATCTTGAAGAACTTGTCCTTCATCTCCTCCAACCGCTCGTACACTCGTTTCCGATGAGCCACCTGGTCCTTCTGCTCTGTAGTCAGCACATCGATCATCTGCGTAGTTTTCTCCTTCAGTTTCTTCCGCTCACTCGCGCTTAACGAAGCGTTCGCACCCGAAGTGACCGAGTTACGCAGACGCAGAATCTCCGACTCGTACTGCTGGAACGGGATATGGATATCGTAGAGCTTCAAACCCCAGAACGTCGCGTACAGCTCCGGCGTTAAGCCTACAAACGGGTCTTCAGGCTTGGCATCGGCTCCATTATCGGTACGAAGCGCGTTCTGGATATCCTTCAGGAATTCGGGGTTGTACATGAACCAGCTCTTTTCTCCGGTGGACTTACCGTTCGCTGCGGATCCATTAGTAGAAACTCCATTGCTAGCCGTGTTCGTACCGCCAGTCGCGTGGACACCTCGCGGCGCGGTTTGCAGCACTGGGTCATCACTTCGCATTGCCGGACGGCAAAGAGCCATTGCCTGCTCGGCAGGTACATTGTACTCGTGTACTAATGTCGTAATTGAGGGAAGCATCTTCCGGTATACCAGTGGGTCAACCACGCCGCCAAGAAACTGCAGAAGCTGGCTGAGAGTGAGTTGGCAGGTATCATACACCCGCCCGAGGAGCTTCAGGTGTGGGAGCTCCCTGTCCTCATGATACTCAATGCGACTGCGCATCTGGCAAATGAGAATACACAATGGCAGCGCCAGATCCCGCTTGATCAGAGCATCGCGCAGTCGCGGGATGGCACGCCGGTTCTGGAACTTCGGGTCCGTCGGCTCGTACCAAAGGTGCGGACCGCCAGCCTGAGCTTCTAACTGACTCACCGAGATATCTTCCAAACTCAGACACGATCCCATCTTAGTCAGCAGTTCACTCAGTACGATCAGATCCACAGACGCCCAGTTCTGAAGGCGCTGGATGAGATACTGGAGAAGACCCGCCAATTCCACGTTCGGATACTTGCGATAAAAGCTACCGGAAAAGTTTGCAAGCGACGTCAGCCAGAGCGAAACGTGGGTGCCGTCCGACTTCATCGACTTCTGCGGTCTCGACAGTTCACTGACGAGAACGAAAGACAGCACATCCATTCCCAGCGGCGTAACAAACTTGAATGACTCCACCACGGGCTGGATCAGGTTGTCGTACGACTGGATCTGACGCAGCATCGTGCGGAACACAATCAGAGGATTCGAATGCGCCACGTGAGTCAGGCTGCGAGCCGATAGTTTAGCTCGGTCAGCCGTAAGCCGTCGCATAATACCACGAGTGCCCTGAACCACCTCGGCCTCCTTCAGTCGTAACTCCGGATACTTGTCATAAGCTTCGAGCCAGTGCAGGTACATTCGGTATCGCTCGTCACACGGCAAGCCCTTAATCAGGTCCCACATCAAGAACGCCGTGCTTGGGTTGCACTTCTGCAGAGACGTTGCCGGCAGGAACGCGTTCACCAACAGGGACTTCACCTTGCCTAGAAGCGCAGCATCCTTGTCGTCCTTGTCTGCAGAAGCGCTGGCCTTCTTGGAGTGCTCGTCAACCAACTTCCCAACGATCCGCAGCAACTTCACAAAAAGAAATTGGTCGTGGTACAGTTGCGGCCCAATCATCTCCACAATAGGGAATACCTCCGTCACACATTCTTCAAGACTACTCACGCGACGGATGTAGTGGTTGCTGGTGCTCGCTTGAGGTGTTGCCTTCGTCGAGACACCAAAAGGTGCCTTAGTTCCAGCGCTTCTGCCATCGATAAGCTGCAGACTGCGCGATGACAGCACCACGAATACTTCTTCGATCATCACATTTACCACGGCGCAGAGCTCCGAGGTCAGCGGCGTGAACGTAAGAGGATTCACACCTCGCTTCTGGAACCAAGAAATCATCTCGAACGCGCGGTCGCGCGCGCCAATCTCGAGAAGTCCAATGATCAAGCCGTAGACCTGGTTGTGCTCCACCTCCTTCTTGCGCTTCTCTTCCGCTGCAGCCTCGTCCTCGCCTCCAGCCTTGTCAGCATCCTTCTTGGCAGCGAGGCTGATCTGGCCGAAGGAGCCTGCCTTCTTGATCAGCTCCTTTTCATGCTCCGCAGCAGCTTTCACGATCTCTTCACGGGACGGAGCCAAGTGTGGCAGCAGAGCGTCCAACTCAATGAGACCCTTGTTCAGCAGCGTCGCAGCGAGACGATACAGAGAGCGTGGCGTCGTAACACCTTCAACAGCAGGCGGGTCGCGCTTGTAGAACTGGAACTTGAAGCCCATGACGTGGGGCAGGCTCTCGCGCTTGAAGATCTCGAGCAGTTGGGCGAAGCAGTCGTTCCTCGGGTGCATCTCGTAGGCGTCCAGCACGAGGTCCAGGACGCGGTTGGCGTCGAGGTCGAAGAAGCCGATGAGCGCCATCAGGTCGGTGCGCGTGGCCTCCATCTGGCTCTTGGCCACGCCCGTGTGCAGCAGACACAGCACCTTGGAGAAGCCCTCCGTCTCCTCGCGCAGCAGGTTGTACTTGGTCTGCGTGTAGAGCGTCTTGGTGTTGATGCGCACCATCTTCTTGACCAGCAGCTGCGGTTCCGGCGTCAGCTCGGCGTCGTGCAGAAGGTCGAACTCAAGCGCGCCCTTGAGGTGCGTGAGCGTCAGCAGCTTCTCGTCCGCCACGGCCTTCACGATCGCGCAGAGGCTGCGCCACTCCTTGGACGTGTGGCGCTCATGGCCGCGCTCGCTGGCCTCCACCTCGTTGCCGATGACCCACAGCAGGTCCGTCAGCAGGTCGCAGGCCGTGGCTCTCTTCGTCTGGCAGCCATAACAGCGTCAAAACGACCTGATCAGCACGGTAAAAGCCCCACAGAAGGATGAACAGTAGTGCGCGTACCAGCTCCGCCTCCTTCAGCAGCCCCAGCACCTCGTGCTTGGTCAGTTTGGCGTGCAGCACGATCCACACGAGCTCGTACAGCAGCCGCGGCAGGTCTAAGGCGATACAGACCAATACCGCTTAGAATCAGCAGCTAGAGCAGTACCAATAACACTTTAATACGCACCGGAGTCCGCCTCGTGGCCCGAGAAATCGCTCAAAGCGCGCGTCAACTGCGCCAGTCTGCGGAGGGAATAACATCACAATTAATTGGTCAGTCTGTGAGGAGAGGGTCGCAGCGCAGGCCCAGGGGCGGCCACGCACACGTCGGGTCGGCCGCTGTCCGCCCAGTGGTGCAGCGTCCGCTCGCCGATGAGCGTCACGCCCGTGCGCGCGCGCTCCATGCTCGCCTCGATCTCGCGGCTCTCTACACCACCAGGGCTCCGCAATGTGAGACTGGGCCGGTTTTGGAAGGGGGAGATCGATCTGGACCCGCTCAGATTGGGGCACGGTTCCAAAATACATTTGGACGGGAATAAAGTATGCGGGTGACTGGAAATGATGGCGCCGCGCTATGTTACAGCTCGACTAAAACCTATTTATTGTGCCTTTCAGAAACTTTGGCCAATCTGACCTCAAAAAGGTGGTCTTAAGAGGGAGAGGGTAGGGTTAAACCTAGGATTTGCTGCTGGCCCTGCATCGGATTACGGAAGTCCTACGTAGGAGCTCCGTCTTCATCTAAAGAGAACCTTTTTGAAAATACGGACCGAATGGCCATGTTAAGCTGGCCATTCGGGCCTTCGTAGGACTAACGAGCCCTTCGTAGGACTAGATCACGTCAGTGTGCCTGACAGCATCTGTGGCAAATGCATAGTTTGGCCACACTAGTACAGGCGGAGACTCAGGCAGCACCGCAGCTAGGTCACCATGCCAGCGTGGAGCTACGTACGGGTACATGTGCTTCAGGTATAACGGTACTGTGCACAATTTGTTGGCCTCCCTTCGCAAGCAAATCGCTCAGTTTACATTCAATTATTGTTTATGCACGGTTTTACTGGCCTTGGTACTAACTTTTATGAGGTCTTACGTAGGAGAAAGAGTCCTACGTAGGACCTCAAATCGGAGGGCGTTGTGGCAGAAAGGCACAATAAATACCTTCATTTTGAACGTGTTTGGATAGTAGTAAAATAGTTGTAGTCATCTTATATATTAGTAATTATTTTAGTAATGACCCACCATACTCAAAGTAAGTCTGTGCTGGGACTAGAGGGGACGAGCAAGTAGCGTACTCCCAATACACTAACTGTAGAGTCAGCTGTACGTGTAAACTAGGTCGTCTGCGACTTAGCTGGGAACACTTATGAGAAGAAGTGCTGTATTTGGCAGTGGTAGATGTTGCAGTGCCAAGTTGAAGTGCATATCCGTCTTAAGGCCTTTCGCGATTAAGATGAAGTCCAAAGCACTATATTGTAATTGATATAGCGATTGATTCCTCTAGAGCAGCCAGCCTTTCCACTTGCGTCTGCGATTGATCGATCAATTTCAATATTTTCTTCTCGAAAGTGGCTGTGTGTTTCTTTCAAAACCGAAAGCCATTGAAAAATACTTGCACTCGTGTGGTGTAGTTGCACGCACAAAATCGTCAGACGTGACACCCTAGCTACAAACACAACAACAGCCGAGCTAGTCGGCCCTTGTTGGCCTGCGCTGAGATGTCCCCCAGCGGTTCGGCCCCTTCGGGACAGTGATGTCTCGTCCTCGCCGAGACCAAGTACCCCAAGCCAGTCAATCACGGAAGCCAGCTGAGTTACCTGACTCCGGAATTAGAAATCCCGTGCCCTCCGCCAAAGGACGGACGACGGCCCTCGCGGGCTTTTACGGGTCACCGAGAGCAAAGGCTTCTCGACTCAGCAATCAGTGCCCGGGACGTACGGGAACACCGGCTCGCAGCGGTGGCGAGACTTTTCCTTCGCGCTTGGCGAGACACGCGCCTAACCCGGGCCGACCTTAATCTCTTGGCGCTACCAGTCAACACCCTACAAGCTATGCCTCTCGGGTGCTGACAGCAGACATAATCCGGCCCGTGCAGGGGCTTACTGGAAGCGCGTGCACGTGTTGTGGACCTAGCAAATTCTGCTCTGTTTGGTTGTTATCTCTGTCGGGCGCCCTGAAGGGGCGCCTCCACTATTCCTAAGCTCCTATACAAATACCAAATGAAAGTGGGCGGTTTTGGATCTCGGCCGACCCTTCGCTGAGCGCAGCGACGCTTGAGCTCGGCTGGTCCGGATAAGGCGTCCGGATAACTCTTCGAACTCGGGTGAGACGGATAAAGTGTCTGGAGAAGCCGGTGAACTCGGCTGAGCCGGATAACCCAGTGAACTCGGCGGAGCGACCCGCGAACTCGGCGGAGCGACCCGTGAACTCGACTGCGCGACTCCCGGACTCAATTGAGCCTGGTTACCGTATCGGACGGTACATGGTACCGTTTAGCCGAGCTCGGCGGCTTGAACTCGCCATGATCTCGGCTGAGTGTGTCCAGTGCCTTCCTGAACTCGGGTGGGTCTTCATCACTGGGCCTGCCACGTGTCACCAGGTCGAAGCCGGTGTGCCTTGAGTTTCTGACACCATCAGCCGAGTTCAGCGGTCGTCCACCAGCGCATTCTTGCCCACTGAGCTCGTCATCCCGCCGAGTAGTACTTGGCTCCTGGTACGTTGTTCCACTGCGGCCGTGGAGTGTGACACAAAACTTGATGTTCCCTACACTACAACTCCCTCATTCTTCGGGTGTTCTCTCAGCATAGCTGAGAGCTACTGGGGTCTGACGTTGAAGTACCGAGCTTAAAAACGATTACCGCTCGGTATTTCTGAAAAAGGGGGCTCAAGTGCAAGCAGAGAGGTGTGGCGCAGTTGGTGCAGGGGCCTTGATTGCGTTTCATTATGCTCTGAACTCACATAGGACACTTTTAGATTTTTTGAAAAGCTCAAACGTAGGTCCCAACTTCATCGTTCAAGTATACAAATGAAGCCATTTACTTCGTGTACCCTGGTGAAAAGTCACGGTAATTGCCCGGCTTAAGTTAATGGCTAAGAAAAGAAATGCTAGGCAACAGTCTAAACCGGTGTAAACCGGTGCTAACCCAAAACTTGATCGCAGCTCAACGGTACGTTATTGTGTGCGATTAAGTGTCGATTTGTATACCAACGACTAGTCGCAGAGCTATTTATGCAGATAAGGTGCTTTCTTTTACACCAATGAGAGTCAATCAATCACAAAATATGGGGCAAGGCACCCGACTTCGTTTTACTATCCAATTAGAAACGATAGAAATAGAAAAGCAATGATGGATAGTTAACGCATATTGTATACTTTCATAAGATATATAGGTATTAACTCATCGTCAGCAGGGTCGCACGTGGCTTGCCTGATGGCGTCCAGGAAGTGCTGCAATTGAGATCATGTATCGCGCGGCTACACGTCGACCCAGCTGCGAGTCGTAGCCAAGTCTGCCTCCAACCGAGCTGCAAGAGCGCTTCGACTGTCGCGGATGGGGTCACTTGGTGCTTATCGACGTGTCAGCAGCCTCTCGTACCCCCAGACGCCCGTCTGCACCCGCAGTCACTGCCATCGGCCTTTGAGGTGCGTAGTATTCGTACGGAATATCACTGCCGGTTCAGTAGCAGCTCATTCTCAGCCACTACGGACCCGATATACACCGACTGTACTGACGTGTTGCGCATTGTGCCGTTGTTGTTGCTGTTGTTGTTGTGCAGAGCGGTCTGTGCAGTTTTCACCGCCGGCCACGATCAAACTCTATACTAATGCCAGCGAGCTAGCCTAGGTCTACCCAGCGTAGAATGGTGCGTGGCCAATGCTCCAAGCTCCACGCTGCCCTCATGGCCCTATCACGCTATGTAGCAGCAGCGTCGCTCGGCGTGTGGCGGTACCAGCTCCGCCTGAAGCACGTAGCCAACCACAGGCACAACCTGCAGCGAGATTTCGCGTGCGCCTCATCAAGCCTACGCTGGCAGCTGACGCGTGCTACGCGGGCTGTACGTGCGCCAAAGAGGTGTCCAACCCGGAGCAGACAAACTTTGGCACATGTACGGGCGGCGTTTTTAAGAGGTCGACCGTGAGGGCGGGCTTTCGTCTCAAAGACGCGGAAGCTGTCGCTCAAGATGTTAGACCACGTGCACGATCAGAACAAGCAGAACCCGATTCCAATTCTTTCAGTAGCAGTAGTAAGCCTCGGATATGAAGCTAGTAATCGTCGTATTGGCATGTTTTGTGGGGCTCTGCTATGATATTGGCAGCAGTCGACAAAATTAGTTATACATTTGTACAGAGTTGAACTGTACATACTAAGAAGCGGATGAAAGAGATCTCGCATGTCCTCGGGAGCTCACTTCTCTACGTTGTGCTTCTTTACGATACAAAGTATACACACTGACGTAACTTTGTGTAGGCACCAGATGCAGCGGCTTATTGGGTTTATCGAGCTACCGCCCTACGCACTCGATGGAGAAACATCAGCGTTTGAGCAATGGAAGGGCAAGCAAAAGTTAACGCTTTAATTTTAACAATATAATAAATAGATAGCTATATTATACAGCGATAGCAACATTACCATTTGTGAGCTACCTAACGTTCAATTCGCCGACTCCTAAAGTTCTCGCCCGAATATAAGCCCCCTCCCGAATATAAGCCTGTCGCAACAAATACCGGTAGTTAACGGTTTGTACATATACATACAAAATCCAAGATATTTTTTAGAGCTGATATAATATCTGATAATTTCAAGCTTTTAGGCCTGTACTATAAAATAAAGTCCGGACTTTAATAGGGCGAGTATGTTAATTATGAGCGAGACGCTCTTTCACTAAGAAGAAATTCCATATTAGTGACAAGATCGTACTGCTCGCGTAGTACATCTAAGACCTCGCGCACGAAGCGTGCTACTGTTCCCAGTATAACAGTTTGTTAGTGTCTACTGGATACCTTTTGCTCACGTATTTTACGGATTCTGCTGCCTCCTTGAGTTTCGTAAATTGTAAAATTGCGACACTTTTTGCCCACGTATATTCAACTAGGTACGAATATCAATCTTCGACAGGGAATTGAGGCCAGCAGCGTGGTTGCGGGCTTTCCAGCTCTAGTTGATGGCCCCTGGCGCTAGGATCAAGCGTTTACACTATAGCTGGAGTCGTCCGAGGTGGCGAGAGGAAGTCGGGTTGGTGCTGCTCTCGTCCTGAGTGTTCGCAGCGTTTTCCCGCAAAACCTCAAAAACATAAAAGTAAAAACCTTTAGTATTGACACCGGGGAGCCTCGAACTACGCGTACATCGGACAGATGAAGAAACTCTCGTGGATGTTCCAGCGTTGACACTGGGTCCAGGACCAGCTCCATCTACCCGAAATGGGTCTTTCGTCACGCGTTCTAAGAAGGTGAGGGTCTTGAACCCTCTCGTCTATACACAAGCACCGACTTATAGCAACACGCGGCCACACGGCGGGGTGCATTGGCATCGTGGCGCGGTGGCCGCATCGGAATGGCCCGGGGTATCAAAGTGTGTGTAGCCGTCTTGTCATTGGCTCAAAATGTATCTGGAGATGGATACTTAGCGAACGAACTATGTCCATCTCTAGTACACCGCGAACAGGCTCTAATGCGCACTGGGAAGTAACGCGTCTAACGTATTGCACCATAAAACTCGCCAAAACTAAGGCAAGATGTCATTTAAGCCTGCTATACTTTGTATTAAAACTTGTGTAAATAAGTGGATTTGGGTTTTTGATGCAAAATATTAGATTTATAAGACCCTTATACTTGAAATTTGTATTGGTTCAGTACCTACTTTTTATGTGGACCACATATTCGAAGCCTCGAATTATTAATAATTCCTATTGGGCTTCTCGTACTACAGCGTCTAAAACCTAAATGCCGCCATCACTACACGCCTCCAGCGTAGAGCAGATACTGCGAGCAGAAGAAGATGCTGAACTGCCGCGAGATGAAGGCGAAGACGTGCAGCAGCAGCACGCAGGCGTAGACGGCCACGATTGCCACAAGCGTTATCGCGTCCAGCTCGTGGCTCGGGCTCAGCGAGTGGCCGTTGATGCTGCTCGCGTCCGGCTGCGAGTCGCCGCCGAGCTGCAGCGCCAGCGCCACGACGTTCTGCAGCGCCCAGACGAACATGACGGCGGCGATGGCGCCCGGCACGCCCGTGCACAGCAGCTTGAGGCCGCCCAGGTAGAGCTGCGCGTAGATGCCGTAGAGCCCCCTCTCCTGCTGCTGCATGTGGACGGACGGCGCGTAGACCATGACGCGCTCGCCGCGCGGCGCCACGAAGTTGAACAGCGCGCAGTCCAAGTGCAGCAGATGCCGCAGCGTCCGCGTCTCCAAGCGGCGGAAACTGACAACGCACGGGGCGGCGATGGACATGGGCAGTTTGGCGGCGTACAGCGCGGCGATGGCGACGCACGCGGCCAGTGAGAAGAAGAAGTTGGCGGCGTGGAACAGCAGCGTCTTGTACGTGGCGACTTGGAAGGGCGCGGACAGCAGCAGCCACAGGAAGACGCACTCCTCCGAGCACATGAAGCACGCGCGCTCGCAGAGACTCGGGCCGGGCTTGCGGCCGCCGCCCAGCGCGTCGAACTCCGGGTCCACCTCGATCATGGACACCTCGAAGGTGCCGTACTCGTCGCTCACTACGGATGCCAGGCCGCCGGCGTGTACGTCCGTCGAGATCTCGATGAGCCCCGGGTCGGACGTCTCGTGGTCCGTCAGCGCAGCCATCTTTCAATAGTACAAGTGCACCAGCAATGGGGTTGTGTGCTACCGACGCTCCTCGTGCTGCTGAGCAAAGGCAGCGGTCGGCATCGCCCCGCCGCCGCTGAGACCTTCAAGCGCGCCTCTCTCCCTCCCGCTCGCGCCAGGTGGCGGCTGGGGTCCGTGGCGCGCATGTATCAGCGGCGCATTGGCCTCGTGACCAGGAGACTTTCCCTATGGGTGCGTGCGTGGCCGGCTGGGCCAATCGCAGCCAAGCTGAACCGGAATCCCCTCGAACAGCATCGATCATGCCGCTGCACAGGGGGCTGAGCGTCGTGAGCCGAGTCAAGCGGCATTTCAGCTCATGGCGAGTGCGAGCGACGACTACGAGGGCGTGTGGGCCAAGTACTTCGACTCGAAGGAGGAACTGGCGCTGCCTAATGGAGACGTGAGTGTGTGGCGCTCGTGTGTCTCAATGTGTGGCTGCGTACTGACGCCGCTGTCTGTCTGCAGACGTTCCGCGTGTATCGCGCAGGCTCGCAGGGCCCGCACGTCGTGCTGCTGCACGGCGGAGGCTACACGTCCATGACCTGGTGCCTCGTGACGGTAAGCGCAGTGTGTATTGTACTCTCGGAAGGGTTGAGACTGATGGCGCGGCTCTCCTCTCTACTGCCTGCCACCAGGCTCTGCTCAAGGAGACGTGCACGGTGCACGCCTTCGACCTCCGCGGCCACGGCCAGACCCACACGACCCAGGACGACGACTTGTCCATCGAGACGCTGGTGCAGGACACGCTCAACGTGCTGGACCACGTGATCCCGCCCACCGTCCCGAAGACGGACGACGCGCCGGAGCCGGAGAGCCCGCAGACGATCATCGTTGGCCACAGGTACAAAAGAGTGCGGCTCAATGCAGTAGTGGGCGTTTTGAGTTTTGACTTAACGGTACTATTGTTGTTTGTGGCTGCAGTTTGGGTGGTGCACTCGCAGTGCGCGTTGCTGCCACGGGCAAGGTGCCGTCTCTGGTGGGCGTCATGGTGATTGACGTGGTGGAGGGCACGGCCATGGCCTCGCTCAAGCACATGGGCGCCATCCTCGAAAAGCGCCCGTCCCGCTTCCGCTCCTACAAGGACGCCATCCACTGGGCCCTGCACAGCGGCACGGTTCACAACCCGGAAGCTGTTGAGGTGTCGATCCCATCCCAGCTGAAGAAACTCGAGGACGGCTCGCTGGTATGGAAGACGGACTTGGCGAGTAGTGCCAAGTACTGGCGAGGTACGTCCCGTCCTCCAAGTATATCGGATCGGATGTGGTGTGGTTATCTAACACGTGACTGCTTGCAGACTGGTTTATTGGTCTCTCCAAGCAGTTTTTGTCGTTGAAGGAAGCCAAGATGTTGGTGCTGGCAGGTACAGTACAGCATTGGGATGTTCGTCATCTAAAGCCTAGCGAAAGTTAGCGCGCGCTAACGAGTCTGTTGCTCTATTTACCAACACCAGGCTCTGACCGCCTGGACACGGAGCTCATGCGAGGCCAGATGATGGGTAAATTCGAAATGCGGCTCATGTATTCGTCAGGACACGCGATCCAGGAAGATTGTCCGCACGAAGTGGCAAACGCTGTCGTTGAGTTTGGTAGTCGCTGCGCACGAGTTCTAAGCGGGAACATCTTTGGACCAAACGGAGCCCCCAAACAACCACCTAACAACCTGTTGGCGGAGCGTCTCGCTAAGGCGCGTGCAATGATTCCGAAGGAGGGTGTGCATCACGCTGCTCACCACGGGTAAGAAGAAAGACTCGACAAGGAAAACTGTGTAATTGTTGCCTCGGCGAGGCTTACAAGTATGGTAGGCAGGTAGCAATTGAAGAAGCCCCATCTAACTCTAAACGCACAATACGTTAAATGTCTGCACGGACCGCGCCACAAAGTGTCGGCCGCCGGAGTGCATCACCTGCGAGTGTTTCGTGTCGATGGCGATCTCGTGCGCGACGACCTCCGTCGTAGATCGCCGCTCCTTTTTCGCGACGGGCTTGATGGCGAACCGGCTGTCGCCGTAGACGAAGACGGACCCGACCACGAGGAACACGCCGCAGTAGAAGGAGAACGTGGCCGTCTGGTCGAACATGTAGTTGGAGATGATGCACGACAGGATGAGCGAGAAGGACGTGCCGAAGTTCTTGACGATGTTGTCCGAGTAGCGCACGACTGCCGCGATGGTGAGTCCGCCCACGGCCTGCAGGAAGATGACGGCGAAGACGGACGGGTGGAAGCCGTAGAAGAAGCCGTTCGTCCACACCTCGCCCAGGTTGCGGATCAGGTCGACGAACGTGACGGCCACCGAGATGGCGGACAGCTGCAGGTTGCGCGTCCAGAGCGGGTCGAGCGTCTGCTGCGTGGCGACGGCCTTGTGCGACTTCATGACGCGCTCGAAGTAGGCGGCCGCGAGCCCCGAGTTGACCGCCAGCCCGACCATGACGCAGATGCCGATGAACCGCTTGCTGGCCGCCGCTTCATCCACGTGTGTGTCGCTCGCAGGCAGCCGCGAGTAGGAGCAGATGGCGACGCCGGCCATGAGCGCGAGCATGGCGCACCACTGCACGACGCTGAAGCGGCGGTGCAGCAGCACGAGCATGAACACGGCGGTGGTGATGATCTTGAGCTGGTACACGATCTGGTACGTGGCCACGTCCACGTAGTCGTAGGCCACGAGCGCGAACATGTTCTGCAGCGCGTAGAGGAAGGCGAGCACCGCCATCTTCGTGAGCCCCTTCTTGTCGGCGAACACCTCGATCTGCAGCGTGCGCAGCGACGCGCTGACGTTGCCCCGCTTGGTGTGCAGCAGCATGAGGTAGCACAGCAGGAACTTGAGCATCTCCACGAGCAGCACCACGGAGCTGGGGCGGTACTTGGGCCCGGCGGTCGCGCGCGAGTACTTGGACACGATGGACAGCGCCGTGTTCTGCAGCACCAGCATCACGAAGCTCACGTGCTTGAGCGAGACCCCCGCCATGGCTGCTGCAGTCTCGGGGAAGGGAGGGAAGGACGAACACTGAGCTGAGCGCACGCGTGCCCCCCAAGCCCGATACTTCCGCCGTTACCGCACTCGAAACTGACTCCGTTCGAACGACTGACGTTTGTGACGGACCGCATTAAGTGGTGCAGTCGAGGCCGGTCATGCAAGGTTGTTGTAGGAGGCCGTCGAACGCACAGGCTATTGCGGGGCAGAGTGAACCAATCAGCGCCGAGTACGTCTCGTCTCTGGGTGGTACATCGTACCGTCGTGAATCGTACCTTAGCGGAGCGAGTGGATCCATGTTGAGTTTGAAGCTCATCATCGCTGACCGAGAAGAAGAAGACGATGGCGTCGGGCTTCGGCGAGGTCGGTCGTGGCCACTGCGTGAGCACGTGAAGAGCGCCTTCTAAACGCGAATTGCTTGTCTATTGGTGGTGCTACTGCTGTAGCTGGTGCTCGTGGTGGGGGACCACCACATCCCGAACCGCGCCTCGGAGATCCCCGACAAGTTCCAGAAGATGCTGGTACAGTCTCCTGCAATGCACTGTATGCCGACGTGCCTTGGTGCTGATGCTGCTGTGCTTGCCAGGTACCGAACAAGATGCAGCACGTCCTATGCACGGGCAATCTGGTGACGAAGGAGCAGTTCGACGAGCTGCGCAACCTCTCGCCCAACGTCCACGTCGTGGCTGGCGATTGCGACCAGGTGCGGTCGGTCGGTGTCCAGACGCAGCGTTTCATGCTGGTATCTGATACTCATGCTGCTGTCCACTTGGCTGTTGATCCGTCGCAGGAAGGAGCGTACCCCGAGACGAAGGTCATCACTATTGGCCAGTTCCGGATCGGCCTCTGTCACGGCCACCAGGTTGTGCCGTGGGGCGACCAGCACAGTCTTGCAGCTCTGCAGCGAAAGGTCTCTTAACACTGTAGTGTAGTGCGGGGTGCCGCGGTACTGAACTGTGTTGCGATTTGTGCAGATGAACGTGGACATTCTGGTCACTGGGCACACCCACATGTGAGTTTTCGTACTGATTCTGACCGCCAGCAATGGCTTTCTTGTGTTAGCTCACCACCACCTTTGCCATTGTTCACTGCAGGTCTCATATTCGAACTGAAAATGGCAAGTGGTTCGTGAATCCTGGATCCATCACGGGCGCGTTCAGTAGTTCCGCGAGCGAGGTGATCCCGAGTTTCATGCTGATGGCGCTGCAGGGACCCAAGGTTGTCGCCTTCCTGTACGAGCTCAAGGGCGACAACGTCGTCGTTTCCAAAAGTGAGTTCACTAAAGAAACGTGATTCAGATTGAATGTTGAGGGTCTGCATGAGGCAACACTGTCGGCGTTACTTTACCGGTGGCGTACACTGGTGCTTGTTTGTTATTTCTCCGTGTTGTGTGAGGGTGTCATGCTGCAAAATGGCTATCTGGGTTGCATCCTGGGCTGCTGCTACTATGCTACTACGTGAGTATTGCTGGGAAAGGGGTACTTCGTGCTAGTCTCGGTCTCAAACTTTGAATCGTGGTCGCCTGCAGCTAGGACTGGCCGAGTTCTTCTTCAAGATCTTCGAAGAACACCTTTGGGTCTAAGATGACAGGGTTTGTCACCCGAGGCAGCACGTTCACATTGCAGGACTCGTAACGCCGCCACATTTCAAAGCCGCGCAGCGTATGCTCCATCTCCTTCAGCAAGTGCTTGCGCATAGCGGCGTCCTTGCTGCTATTGCTGTTCAGGTTGCTATTCGGGTCGATCGGCGGGGTTAAGCCATTCTCGCGAGACTCAGGCGAGCGGCCTGGAGTGAACAGTTCCGAATAGAACGACTGCAGTTTACGGTGCTGAAGCCGGTACACCGTCAGGTGTACTACAGACGCCATCTTGCATCCAAGCGCCGCCAGCCGCATGCTGCCAGCACTCTGGAATGCGCGGATCGTGCTCTCAATTAGCGATGACGTCTGTGAGAGGGTAGTGATGCAATTGTCGCCGAACGAGTGTGCATGCTGGGCGTCATTCTTCTCCTGGTACGCCACTTTAATTTCCTGGAGCTTCAGCGCGTACTCGAAGAATTTAGCGCCTGACAGCAAGTAGTATTTGCCCTGTGTCAGCTGTCCTTCAGTGCCCCGTTCGCTGGCACCGCGCCGGTTTCCCTCGTGCTTAAGCTTTCGTGCCTCATCCATCAGCTTCGCAGACTCAAGGCGCAACTTCTGTACATCACTTCCAGGTTTACACGTAATCGTGAAAAACCCGGCAGGAACCGGAGGTGAAGTGGTGACTTGCGTAGGCTCCTTCTTCACCTCTTCCGATGTTTGCTTCACGTCTTCTGCCTTCACATTTTTCTCCTTTTTCACAGGTTTCTCCGGATCCTCCTCCTTCGGTGTTTCACCACTTAATTTTTTCTTGCATACTTCACACATCGCCGGTGCGCTCGGAGCAACGGGAGCTTGGGGTTGCGTCGGGGGCGTAAGATTCTCCGCAGAACCGTTCATCTTAATGTCGGAGTCGTTAGAGTTTGACGACAGCGACTTGCTCTTGCTGCTGCTTTTGCTGGACTTGCTTGACTTACTGTGTTTGCTTGATTTGCTCGATTTACTGGACTTGGTTTGTTTGCTGGGTTTGGTGGGCTTGGTGGGCTCCTCCTCAGTTGGCTGATTTTCCCGTGTTTCGCTTGACTCGACAGAAGGAGGTTCCTTCCAGGTCACGCGCTCTACGTCGCCCGCGGCAAGTCTCCGTCGGAACTCGTCGTGTCGCGGTGACGATTCTTCTTTAAATGCGTCCACAGGTGCGTCGTTATTACCTTGCCGTACGCTGAGTAAGCAGTCTCGTACGTACGTGGACATTTGCTTGTAGTACTCCGAGTCCGGGCGATGCCGTTTCCGCGCGCGAGCGGCTTTAATCGGGTAGGAAGGAGTGTCCACACTTCTGATTTTATGGTCATGAGTTGCTGGCGAAGACTCGATGTGAACTGGCGGCGTGGCAACCGCAGGCTCTTCCTCAACCTCCATGGCAGTGGCTGCGCGGTCTTCATCGTCGTCGTCGGTGTCTCCAACAGACAACAAACTCTCGTCATCTGAGTCGTCAGCGTCGGACGCGGCGCCGCCTTCAGTGGGCAGCACTTTGCCGCGCGAGATGGCGGTCGGGAAGCGCAGCTGCTTTCCGCGTCCCACGCTGGCAGGCATGACCTCCACGGCCATCGGCTGCGGCGCGACGTCTTGACTAGTGTTCAAAGCGTCATCGTCGTGCTCGTCTTCAGATGACAGCGGCGTGGATGATCCCACGTCCGACGAGGCCACGGAGTCGCCCGAGTCGGACTCCGCGCCGTCTCCGCCAGCAGTCCGGCCGTGCAGCGCCGCCTCCTTGCTGGAGATGGCGCGACTCGGCGCGTTCTTCTTGGACGAGACAAACTTCCGCTTGGCCATCTGCACAGACACACACGGGCACGACAAGAGGGTCCCGGCAGCCAGTCAGCACGCATCCACCCCAGGACTTTAAGGCACCGGGGACGCACCTTTTTCCTAGCTAATTAACGGCCTCCAGGCGTCTATTTCGGGTGATCGGCTGGTCTCCAGAGCGGTCAGCGCTGCGTCCTGCGCGTCGTCACTGCGGCTCTGGGATCGGAGCGCGTCTCGGGCGGCGTCTGGAGCGAGGGGGGAGGCTGCTGGCTGGCGAGGGAGCGGGGACACGAGGCGACGCTGGCCCTCGCTCGCTCGCTTGGGCGGTCCCGAAGGCTGGCGCGTGCAGCTGCTGGGCGCCGGTCGCTTTACAGAGCGCGAGAGACTCAGACAGAGAGAAGCGCGCAAGGCGTCCGCGGGACGTCGGCCTGCTGCTGGTCCTTCCCGCCGCCGTTGGCCTGGGAAGAGAGGGAGCTTGTTCCTACTGCCGCGCGATGCCAGCAACAAGGAGTGGGCTCGGTAAACGCAGCGCTCCCCTCGGGGGTACACCACTGGTACAGTCCTGTGTGCCACATCATATCTTCTGTAGGCGTGGTCCACATGTGTGGTGTGGTGCACGCGAGTGTACCACTGTACCGGTAAGTTCTTGTGGTGTCGGCTTTTGTCCCGCAACACGGCTGTCAAAGGTCAAACCGCTTCTAACCGCCGAGTCGCTGCATCGCTGGGGCGCACCTGCCAATCCTCGGGAGCCAACCAACGTCGCGATGGATATCGTGACCACCTCCAACTTCCACGCCACGCTGCTGCCAGGTGCGGCGCAACCGACGCGACCCACAGACCACATGGACGTCGACTAACGGCCTGTTCGCGTGTTGCAGGCCTCGTCAGCGTCGTGTTCGTGCCGGCCGAGCACATCCGCCACGGCAGCTGGCCGCTGCTCAAGTGCGTGAGCTTCTGAATGTGCGCGTCCGATCGGAGACACACAAACGGCAACGCAGACTGCGACTGCGTCGATCTCGACGACTGACGTGTGGCCTCTTGTGTTGGGTGACTTGCTTTGCGTTGCTACGTGTAGCCTGCTGCTGTACAGCGGCTGCAGCTTCGACGAGAATGAGGGTGGCTGTGTGCGCACGGAGAACCACGTGTGCCGCTCCATGCAGACCGAGATCTTCTCCATCGTGTCGGACCGCGAGGGCGCCACGCTATTCATGGATCCCGCTGGCGTCGACATGTTCAAGCGCGCGGTGCGTTGTCGGTGCCGATTTGGCTGCAGCAAACGCAGCGGTTTTGAATCAGATAACCTGATAGACGGTTCTCGTTTTGATGATTGCAGGGTATGGGCGAGTTGATCACCATTGCGCCGCAGTCGTGGCGGGCCATTCAGGTAGGAACCGCGACTGGAGAAAGCTGAGAAGACTAGCAGCGAAACGTGCAGACGGGCGTAATGAACTTATTGTGGTTGCGATGTCATTTCGTGCAGATCCACTTGGGGCCTATGGTAGCCGAATTCCCCGGCGTCGTCAGCTTCCTGTCTAAGCTACTCGCGGATGACCACATCAGTATCCTCAATATGAGCACGTACGATACGGATGTCATTTTCGTCCAAGAAATGGACCTGGAAGCTGCCATCTCGTGTCTCCAGTTGAAGCTATCGCGTGGACTACATGGCTTGAAAGAGGTGCGGGTTATAGTTTGCAGCTTTACAACTTCGTGATAAACTAATGTTGTGTAAATTCGGTCGCAGGCTAAGGAAGCTGAGAACGCTCTGTCCGACCGTGAGCCGTCGTCACCAACCGATTCTGGTGAAGTTAACGAAGACCTCCCTTCTCGTGTAGGTGACGGCCAGTACCTGACAGGTTCGTGACTTGCTCTTCTATCCGTCGCCTGAAGTAAGTATACTAACGGGAAGAGTGTTGTGCAGTGTATCCGGAGTCGCTTGTGCTCGTGAGACTGCGGAAAGATGCGCTTCGCGCCAGTGCCTATGGGCTAACTCAGCTCGTCCTGCTATCAACTGGGGCAGCATCAACCGAGAATGAAGGCGAACCGGTGGGAGACTCAGGCGAGATGTCGTTTTGGTGCTGCTGCGAGACAGCCGAGGAAGTCAGCCTGATTATGGATGAGCGCTGTTTGTCGTCATTCGAGGAGGACTCGCTGATCGTATCACCGGATCGATGGCGCGCGATTAAGCTTAGCGGGCGCGCGTACGGCTTCGACGAGACTGGTGTCGTAGCTGCGATGTCGGGCTGCACGACGGACACGCAGGTTCTCAACGTGAGCTGCTTCGGCTCCAACGTCGCTTTTGTGCTCGATGACATGCTGGACGATGCAATCGATACCCTGTGCTCTTCATTGGCTATCTCTCGGGTGGAGAGATGAAGACCGTATCAAGGACAATTCAGGAAGAACCATTTGCACGTTGGTGCTTGGTGGTGGAGATCAGGTATACAATAGGAACTTCGTACGAAGCGGCTAAGGGTGCATTGCGATCGATGAAGCTCGTTATCGCGTTTTGTGAGGACCTGCCGAGCTTTATAAGAAGAAAAATATCAGGGAAAGTCACACTTTTGTTCAACAAGTATTACGTGTCAGATTGACAACCAACCGTTGCATGCTCCGCTAGCAACGATCACTCACGGGGTCCTCGGGCGCCCGCATCATCGTACACGAGGGCTCCTTGCGAAAGCCTCTAAAGCTCCACACCTTCCTGCTTCCGCTTCTCGGCGAGCAGCATAGTCCGTCTCTCCTTCAATGCGCCAAGTTCACTTCTGATGTCGTTCCTTCGGGCATTAATCTTGCGTAGAGCGTCGCCCTCCGGTTTTTGCGCCAAACTCTTAGACACGGAAGCTTGCTCTTCCTTCAGTTTCTTAATCTTCGCGTCCACTTCACTCAATGCCGTCTCCATCTGAAGTGATAAATACACACAGTGCGTTAGAATGCCTTCAAGAGGGCGCAATACCATCACCACTCACCTTCTGCTTGGACTTGAACTTCAGGTCAGCCTTCTTCTCTACCACTTGGTTAAATAGTGCCTTGCTCTCCTCCTCGACAACGAGACGGTGCTGGCGCACTGCTTCCAGTTTGGCATGCAGTTGTCGCACCCTGTCCATTTCGTTCTTCAGATCCCTTGCAACAGGATCCTGCGAGTCAACGTTCGCTTGAGCCTTGTGTTGCTCCAGTCGCTTTTTCGCATCCTCCACCGCCGCGGCAAGCTGCTTGTTGTCGCGTTTGTAACGCATACGTGCAGTCGCGAGAGCTTTTGCCTTCTCTTCAAGGGCCTGATTTTGCGCTGCTGTCTCTGCATTAAGTGCTCGTTGTTCTTCATTCTGCATACCACAACAACAGCAAATATGAAGTAAGAAAACTGTGCGCGTTTCACATAAAAAGAGTACATGATGCGTACCGCCAGCATATCTTTTTCAGTCTGTCACAGAACAAAACACACACATAAGAGCATTGATAAGCAACGCTCCAAAGCCCATTTAGCCAAGCATTTAAGCCTGGAACGTACCGCCTCCTTGCGCAGTTCTTCTACTGTACCACGATGCTTCGAGACGCTGGCCTGGAGTGTTTCGTTCTCAGCTTGAATCTTTCTGTACTGTGTCACGAGGGCATCGAATTTCTTCTGTTGCAAGGTAAGCTCCCTTGTCTGCTTGTCGTGCTGCGCACGGAGGTCCTTCTCCAGATTTTTCGATCGAAGCGTGGCTTCTTTAATTTGTTCCTCGAGGTTGGCCGTCTTTTCTCGCATCAGTTCGTCTGTAGGTGCATTGGTCACGTCATGCGCATTCACTAGCCACATAACGTCCGTCAGACTAATACTTTGGTAGTCCTTGGTGTTGTCTTTCTTTCCACGATGGGCAAAGCCAACATTCACACGGAATCCTGTCTGGGTCTTCTGAGCAGTGCGCATGAATGGGTCGTCGTTGTCATCGAGCACAAAATCGTTTCCTTGTCCATTTGATGAATCAGCCCAGTTGTTCGAGGTCGCCGATGAAGATAATGACTTGTTTCCTCCTACCGAGTCCGTAGGAGACTGCGGGGTGTTTTCATCCACAAGTTGGCGATATCGGATCCATCGACGACGACGCACTGCATCGGTGGGGTGACGAGACGCGTGACTGAGATCATCACCGAGCAAACGCACAATCTCCACGAAATCTGCTGCATACGTCCAACCATCACGATCCACGGCTGTGTAGTTCTGATCGATCTCCCAGTCAGTCACCCACTCGTAGCCAGCAGGAAGGTCGCCCTCAGGCTTCTCATCCTGCCCTGCACCGGGTGCCGCGTGGCGGTCACTGAAACGTTTCGGGTCCATGGGCTGTAGCTTGCCTTCCAGCCGCTCGTTCTCAAAGATCTCCACAATCACTTGGCCGTCTCGATCAACGTCCTGCGACCCCGACCCTCTCGACTGCGTGCCTGCCTTGCCTGCCGGGGCGCCCGTGGTGGCCTGCAGCGACGTCTGCAGACTCCTGTTGGCCTGGTTGACGAGCGCCACCATGCGTGAGACGCCGAAGAAGCCTCCGCCCGCCGCTTTCGCATTGTTGGGGGTGTCCAGACCTGCACAATCACCACGAACACAGCCATAGAATAAGTCAGAATGCGGACCACGTGGAGAGAGAGCCCCCTGTTGACGGGCGATAGACCGAGGCTTCTGTCTGTCTTCACATGCAAGCCCCTACGCTTGGTGTCCGCCTCCGTGGGGCGGTCCCACTGGGTTTGGCCCGAGGCGATGTGCAGATAGTAGTCCCTCCCGGAATTCCGGCTGCTAACCAGTCGCCATCCCGGGGGCACATCTTCTGAACTAGACGAGGAGGAGGAAATACCTGCTGCAGCTCCGGCGGCGCCGGCGGAGTTGGAGCTGGCCGCGTGGTTGGCGGCGGCTGTAGCTGCCGCGCTCTCCACGCTGCTGTTGCCCGGGAGGAGGCTGCCGCCGCCGCTGATGCTGCTCATGGCGGACGCGGCGGCGCCGAAGATGCTGGCGCTGGCGCTGGTCCCGCCATTGTTGTTGTTGCCCCCGGAGGCGCCCAGGCGCAGGCGCGAGATCATCCTGCCGGTCGGGACGGGGGACGAGGGGGGGAGGACGCTCGGGGCACGGAGAAGGGGTGCGCGGCGCCGAGACGGAGAGGCGAGCGAGCAAGCGAGCACTTCCTCCTTCCTCGCTTGGCCTTCCTGCGATGGATGCCTACGTCTGGGGATTTGTATACTGCAAGAGTGATGGTCTCAATTTCTCCCTACCCTAGCCCTATGATAGATGTAGCACGAAGGTGAACCCAGTGCACGGCATGGCTACATCGTCTTCAACTGCGGTTTTACCGGTGTTGCAGTGCCCTGGTGGTAGCGGTGACATCAATGTATTCATACTGTATAAGGAATGACAGCAACAAGTTTCCCACCTTAAGCGGCTGTCTAGTGGACGCGATGACGACAAGCGCAATGTGATCACTTGTGCGTCTGGTTGTTGTTGTTGTTGTTGTTGTTGTTGTTGTTGAGTGACGACCCTATTTCTCTTGCGTTGGCGCGTGCACTCTCCAAGTCCTCCGACTCGCCCGGTAACATCGAGTACTGGGATTTCTTCAGCTGCAGTGTACGCATGGACCTCGGCGCCATCGACGATAGTGATCCGCCGTTGCTGGAGGCGGTCGACGACGAGTCCGTGTCATCGTCATCGTCGTCCTCATCGTTTTCTTGCTGCTTGAGTTTGGCCATTCGCTTCTTCTCACTGCGCTCGGTGATCCTGCTGGCTGGCTCGTGCTTCTCGGAACAGGAGCCCGAAGAGCGGCGCAACTTGACGGCGTCTTCGGTTGGTGGACTCGCGCCGACGTGCGCCAGCGGGTGGTGATAAATGTACATGGAAATGACGAGCACCGTGAGGCCGCAGCCGAACTCGAGCGACGGCGAGAAGGAGAAGAAGAGCATCGAAAAGAGCATCGTCAGCATCATGGCCATGGAGTGCGAGTAGACGCACGCGATGTTGTCTAGGTACTTCAATATGAAGCCCATGCCGATTCCACCGATGCTGTTTACCGCCACCACCGCCAGAGTCCAGCCGTTGTAGCCGTGGAAGAACCCCTTCGAGGAGATCGTTTCGCCCTCGACCAGCAGGACCCCGGCGGCATTGAAAATGATGCCGAACACGTACATCTGGATGTTCTGCCACAGGAACGGGCAGCTCGACTTTCGCTTGAACGTCCACTCAGTGAACACGCTGGCACAAGACGATATGGTCACCGCCACCAGCACCAGCAGCACGCCGACAATCAGGTCCTGCGCGCTCTTCTCCGCGGCAGCTTCTTCCTCCGACATCTCCGTCCCGCTGCTACTGCTGCCGCTGCCCTTGCTGGTCATCGACTCCTCCATCTGCCGCAAGTGGTTCGACTGACTCGTGAACACGCCCACCACCAGCAGCACGATGGCGATCTTGCGCAGCTCCGAGAGCGGGTGCTTGAGCACGAAGCGGAAGAGCACGGCGGTGATGACGATCTTGAGGTTCCAGAGCACGGAGAGCGTCGCTGCGTCCATGTAGCGCAGGATGATGTAGTTCAGGTTGTTGTCGATGGTGTAGAGGAAGGAGGGCACCGCGTAGTAGAAGGCCTCGACCGGCACGAACCGCGCGGGCGCCGGCGTGCCGCTCACGGCGATCGCAGTCAGCATCACCGCCAGCTTGAGCACTTCGATGAGCAGCGTGACGGTCGTGCTGCTGTACGGGATCTTGCCGTCCTGCTTGGACGCGCTGATGCACAGGTTGCCCGAGCACATGAGCGTGGCCACCACCAGCATGCCCGCGAGCATTCGCACCACCTTCATCTCGCCCGAGAGTCTGTAGCAGAGGAGCTGTGCAGGAGGCAGGCAAAAGGCAAGTCTCTACGTGGTGACGTCAGTTTTAATCCACGGTTTTACGCGCCGTTTTACTACGGCGTTTCATAAAACGCGGCGTAAAAAGCCGCAGACAACTTCAAGATCTGGGAGGCGATGGAGGTCTACGGGGCGTACGGCGACGGCGTGGCGCGCATCCGCGAGGCGGTGCTGGAGAACCAGGTGCGCATCTGCTCGGATATAACGGAGGTATTGCATGTATGCGTTTGTGCTGGGCCCTGATGTGTTTTGTGCGCTTTTAGCTGCAAATGCGGCAGGTGGAGCAGTCGCTGCTGGGCTTCCAGAGGGGGCTCCTGGGCGTGGAGAGGGAGATGCTGCCGGTCTACAAGCTCACGGAGCAGCTGCGAGGCACGCAGAAGAACATCGACCTCAGCGTGCAGCAGCTGCGGCAGATCAACGAGAACTTCGTGGCGGCGCACGAGGTGCAGGCCTTCTGGCGAATACCTTGACATGTTGTAGCTGATCGCTGTGCTGTTGCTGTACAGCTTGCCCCCGTGCTGATGAACGGCTCCAAGTTCGACCAGGACGAGTACGTGAGGGCTCTGCAGAAGCTGCTGGTTGCTATCACCTTCCTCGAGGGCCATCGCTCGTACGAAGGCTCGGTGAAGGCGCTGGACCAAGCCAAAGAGCTGCTCGTGCAAGTGCGACGCAAGTGCATGGCAGACTTCGTCAGCGTCGTGAGTGTGCTGTCCAGAGGAGAGCGAGGCGACGACGAGGGGTTGAAATGGGTCGAGCCCAGCAAGCACGACGTTTCCAGAGCTGCACAGCTTCTGGACTGTCTCGTGATATCTGGTGTCGACCTGAAGGAGCTGCTCCGAGAGTATGGCAAGCAGCGTTTTGATGTGATAAGGATGTTCCTAGGCGAGGACCCCTCCGGAAGCTCCTTGGGGTTTGACTTGACCACTCCGGTCACGGCACTGGTAAGGTGTCTGAAGGACATTGAAGTGACGATTGAGGCGGAGAAAGTTTTGGCTGGGCTCATTTTCTCCAATGAAGAGCTGGCCAATGGAGCGTTCCGGTATTCTGCGCACCAGGTGTTGGAGTCGTGGAAGAAGGACATCGACTTATCCCTGCGTTCACCAAAGCAGCTCGACGCTGTTAAGCTATTACTTATCCATGATTTGTTACTAGCGCGGGTGGACGCGCTTGAGGCAGCAGTCCTGCCGCCGTTACTACTGCGTGACCGCGAAGGAAGAGGACTAGAGGATCCGTGGGTGCTGTCTAAGGCTATGAGTGGGATTATAACGGACCTCGCAGCGACTGCCAAGCAAAGGCTCTTCACTTTTCACCCTGGCTTGGTCGAGGCCTCGGGAGATCGAACAGTTACCAGAGACGGCAACGTGCACCCGATTTCCAGTCACGTACGTACGAATGTTTGTGCGCGGGCGACGTTGACATTGTGAGCTCAAACGTTGAATATTTGCGCCCCAGACCCTCAATTTTCTTCGAAAGGTGTGTGACCAGGCGAAACCACTGAAGGTTTTGCTAGATAAAGACTCGAACGTGTCTCCTGTTTCATTCGTTGACACAGTCATCATGCAGCTAATCGAAGCGCTAACAGCAAAGGCGGACCAGCTGAAAGGAAAGGAATGTCTGAAGCAGCTCTTCCTCGTGAACAACTTCGGTTACGTGACCAATTCGCTGCCTCATTGCATGCAACCCGACGACGCTGACCTGGAAAAACACATTCACAGCACCATCAAGCCACGTGTGGAAGCAATGCGAAATGATGCCCTCGGGGCCTTTATCCAGTTCAGCTACATATCTTTCAAGGAGAATCTAAACGCGCCTACAGAGACGCTGCAGTACGCGAAAGGTGGCAACGTGCTGACCCTGGAGAGCGGAAGACTCCTGAAAGAGAAGTTTTCGGTAAGAAACCATGACTCGAAAATCACAATGAACTGCTTGCTGAGTGTAGTTGTGTCTGTCACGTTCTGCAGAAGTTCAACGATCAATTGGAAGAGTTACACAAGACGCAGAGAGCATACGTGGTCGCTGAGGTCCCCATCCGCCAGCACCTCGTCCGAACGGCGGTCGACACCATCATTCCAGCATACAAGGCTTTTTACGAAAAGTACGTCGTTGTCCTTGAAGTTTTGGTATGCTTGCCTTGGGTTCATTCTCTGTGTATTTTGTCATTATAAAACAGATACTCGGTCATCCAGTTCTCGAGGAAACACGCTTCCAAGTATCTAAAGTACACCCCTCAAGCGGCCCAAGGTCTTCTGAAGGAGTTGTTTTCGGGTGAGGCTTCTCCGGGCGACAAGCACAGCGAAGTCAGCTCGTCATAACCACCATCACCGAAGTGGGAGTCGATGAATCGAGTTGGTGGATGCTTCCGTGACTATTAAATAGCTTTCGTCGGCGCTACAAGCCAGGTATACGACACAAACGTGAGCGATCGAACCCAAACAATGGTACCTACCGTCCTTGCGGCGCACCTTAGACAGACTCCGGTGATTTCTGTCCCTGGGATCTCCATAGTTTGCTTCAAAATACCGTCTGAACCAATAGTGGAGACTTTCCCGTTGCTAGTACTGCCTCCTACACACACCAACGCGTCAGCTCACTTGTTGTTTTGTGTACAACACTCTCACGCGCGATCCCCCTACCTGAAAAATCGTAGTGACCGACATACAGAGTGCCATCCGCAGCACAAGCCACACCGGACGGACCCATCCCGCCAGAGAACTGGTAAAAGACGCTTGCGTGGTAGGCGTTGCTGGGTCGCTGCTGCAGGATCAACACTCGGTTCTGCATGGTCTCCGCCACGAACAGCGCGCCAGTATCCGGCGAGACGGCGATGCCCCACGGGTGCGCCAGGCACTCCATCACGAGAGGACGCAGCACTTGGCCGCCGCTGGGGCTGGACGCGATGCAGAAGACGCTGCCCCGCGGCTTCTCGAGCGTCGTTTCGCCCAGCGACCCGCTGTCTGTGAAGAAGAGAGTGTCGTCCTGGGCGAACGCGATGCCGTTCGGGCCTCGGAACGCCCGGTCCTCGTACGCCTTGACCATCACGCCAGGCTGCGCGGCGTCGTCCACCCGGAGGATGGCTGCATGGGCGCAGTCAGCCACGTGCAGACGTCCGCGGTGGTCGAACTGGGCTCCGAACGGCTCGCCGCCAGAGAAGACGACGGCCGTGTGCGCGTCCGGCGGCTGGAGCTGGAATACCTCGCCTGTCTCGGCCGACACGTAGTAGATGGCGTCGCTGCCGGCCTCGTCCCGGGCCACGAACGGGCTGCAGACCTTGCCGCCGCGGCACGGGATGACGTCCATCGTTTCGACTGCGACCGTTGAAGATCGGCTATACGGCGCTTTGATATGGGGCCGGATTGGGAGTTCTGATTGGCGGAAATCATGACCGCGCATTTTGACTGGCATCAAGCCATTTCGCTCAGACGACGCAGCCATGAGCGGCAACAAGAACCCGACCAACAAGAAGCTGGAGGAGCTCGTGGAGCGCGCCGGCGTGAGCAAGCTCGTGCTGGAGGACCCGGACCAGGTGGTGTGCGACGATGAGTGGACGGAGGAGCGAGAGCGCCTGGCGCGGGAGCACCTGAGCCAGGACAGGTCCTCGATCCCCGAGTTCTGGCAGAGTGCGTGCAGACTGTGTGCGTGCGCCTTGTGCTATTATAGAGACGCTGACGGTGCTGCGTTTGTATGGGTTGGCGACACACATACACAGAGAAGTACGAGAAGGAGGCAGCCAAGAGTTGGGACAAGTTCTACAAGCGCAACTCCACCAACTTCTACAAGGACAGGTACTACAGCACATCAGATGGAGCTGGGAAGGCTGTCTGTGCGTGCAATGCGCTAATGGGGCTATGTGGACTGTTGCGTTACTCTGCTGCAGACACTACCTGCATCTGGTGTTCAAGGACCTCGGCGTCGTACCCGAGAACGGCGAGACGCGGACTCTCCTGGAGGTCGGCAGTGGAGTCGGCAACGCTGCGCTACCTCTGCTTGAGGTCAATCCGGCGCTTAACATTGTGGCCATCGACTTTGCCGACTCGGCTATTGATCTGCTCAAGGTACGGGCTGCCGGTGTCTTTGCAGCACTATCTCCATTCTAAATCACCTTTGTGGGATGTGACTATGCAGAAACAACCGCTTTACGACGAAGCTCGCGTCGCAGCCTCCGTGTGTGACATCACGAACGACGCACTGCCCGATGCCGCATTCGCCAACGGTGGCGTGGATTTCGCGCTCTTCCTCTTTTGCCTGTCAGCTCTGCACCCGGACAGGATGAAGGACGCGGTGAAGAAGGTGGTGGCGGCCATCAAACCCGGCGGCAAGCTCTTCTTCCGTGACTACGGCCGTTACGACCAGGCGCAGCTTCGTTTCCGCCCTGGCTGCAAGCTGCAGGAGAATTTCTATGTGCGTCAGGACAACACGCGCGCCTACTACTTCACGACCGAGGAGGTGGAGGAAATCTTCACTGAGGCCGGCCTCGTCCCGGTCGAGAACGAGTACATCCGACGCCAGTACGCCAACAGACAGCAGAACGTGGTGCGCTTTCGAGTTTGGGTCCACGCCATCTTTGAGAAGCCTCTTACTACCCCGCAAGCGTAAGCGAAAAAGTGATATGGTAGCAGTACTGTATTGCACGACGCACTCCTACCGAACAAAATACATGTTCTAGACGCAGTTTCCGCGACGGATTGATTGAATCACGTGGCGTTTCAGGCCGCTAGTTGGTGTAGCAAGTCCACGAAGACGCGAGTGTCAATCTCGGTTACGAAAGTCACATTGGCTTTCTCGGGCGGGGAATCGTTGTCCCAGATGCAGGCACCGCGCTTCTCGTCAGGGGCCAAGTGGATGCGGCCCTTCAATGCAGGCGCAGTCTTGATGTACTCCGGGTGCAGGAGGATGACGATGGCGTAGGCGTCGCACGGTAGGAACCCTTCGTGCTTGCAGAACGACCGCGTGAACTTCCAGATCTTCTTGATGTACTCGCCATGAGCGTTCACCTCCTCGAGTGGGTCACGCCGGCAGTTTTTTATTTTCATAATTTCTTACCGTAATTTACCTCCGAGAACGGTGCTAGAACGATCTTTGTGGATAGTCGTCCGTTTCACCTACACGACCTCTCAACCACCTTAGAGCTCGAGGAGGCGTCCGTTAGCCAGCGACCAGACGCGCGACCCTGTAGTCGTGCAGGATCGCACATGCGAGGGTAAGATGAAGCTCCCAATAATTACTGGCACATTACGACGTCATTTTCAGAATTAATATTTTTCTCAAAAAAATTAAGAGGCTATGTATATAGATACCCACACATAGAACATGACGATCGAACTATCTTTCGGAAAATACAAAGGTCAATCCATTGAGGATGTATTCAAGATTGATCCTGGATACTGTCGTCGGATTCACAACCAACCCAGTCTCAACATTAGCGAGGAAATGAAAATCTTTCTTCACTCAAGATTCCTAAATAACGATAACTCCTATATGATGACGTGGGGTAAGTATCGAGGCAAATCTTTACAGCAGATCAGTAAATTGGATCCAGGCTATCTCGATTGGCTAAGAAAAAGTCAATTCGTGATTGACAAGTGTCCAAAGCTACTCAAGGAACTGAACTAAAAAATATCTCTTTTTTTTACTTACGCTGTAGTGAAGTCTAGAACCTCTCCGGTTAGTCTATCGAACGTTAGTCCTGTTCGCTAATTACGAGGATCAGCCTATTCACACCTTGGCATCCGGCGTTCGTACCTTGGATCTGAATAGCCTGAGGTACATCGCGCTCAGTCAGGCGACTGACATCGGCAATAAGCATGCGGTTTGTGAGCGACCACGTCTGATAGTCAAGTAGACCATTTACGAACTCAGGGGTTAGATCTCCGTTAATCGCTGAAATCTTAGCAATTTCGTTGGTAAAGTGGTGGAAATCATAGTCATGACTGATATCGAACACCTGAGTCGAGCCAATACGAACGTTAAAGTTGCGAATCGACGACCCGGGCTGAAGCGTGTATGGAGAGCTATCGAAGGGGCTCTGGAACCGCTGAACAGTAGCAGAAGCAAAGTTGTTTGTCTGTTCCGCGAATGGTAAAAGCACAACATATTTCGCGTTTTTAACACTTGCCGATAGCTGTAGATCGAAAGAAGCATTTAGTTGAGTCGAGGACTTACCAATACCAGCACGCTGGTAAAACCACTGTGCGTAGCAATCATTGTAGCGAACCTTCTTAACCGGCTTAGAGATAATAGCTTGAGGGTTCTCAAGATGAACGAAAGGGACATACAAACGAGCAGTAGTAAAAGGCATGTATGTACCATCGATGGTAGGTTCAAGAGCATTTACAACCGCTCCCCAAGCAACACTAAAGCCAGCAGATGCGGCAAGCACACCATTCATCGGATTACCGGTAGCAGAAGCGGCAATCATGACCGGACAACTATTACCAGACGATAGAGTAGTAGAGGTTAGCGACATACCCTTTGAAGCATCTACCGCGACTACAGACGTTCCCTGATTCACACGGAAACGCAGGCGAATTTGAGGGTTAGCCATCAAGTCAAGCTCACGGAAGATAGGATGCAGATCGGTGAGCTTAATCTTAAGCATGTAGTTCCACGTTCCCATGATTGCGTTAGCAGCAGTACCACCAGCTACGAAAGCTCCACGCGAGGTCTGGTTAGAAATGGTAGTCGATGCAGCAGCACCACCTACCGACGGCCACGAGCTGGAGAAGTCAGCGCCAGCCGTAGGAGGATTTGATAGAAGGCACTTAACGAAACCATCATTAGGAATAGTTGCACCACCAGGAGGAGCCGAGACAGCAAAGGAAGACGAGAATGCCATGGTGTTTGAATATCCATCACCACTGGTAGATGCGGATCCAGAACTGTATGATACCGACTGAGCAGCGTCAGGGTACAAGAACGATTCAGCTCCGTGCTTTTCAACGTACCGAGGGCTGTAGCCAGTATGAGCACGAACGTTGTTCCAAAAGAGCTTGTAGTCAGCCATAGAGACGATAGTCTTTCCGTGTAGTTCCAGACTCAGACTATCAATAACGTCCCAATTTCCGTATTTCAGAGTAGCACATAGACGATTGGCAGCGGCAGCTTGAGCAGTGCCACCATTCTTCATTGAGACCTTGTAGGGAAGCATAATGTAGGCATCACGAAGGCTTGCGAAGCCCTCGGAACCGTTAAGCTGAGCCGTAGCATCGATAGTGATGACACCATTCTGGTACGAACCCTGATTTAGGTCAATAACGTGCGGTACACGCTTGCTCGAAGATACCTTGATCTCCGGGTCGCTCTTAAGCGAGCTGTGGTACAAGTACTGATCGGATAGTTGAGTTTCGCTCATCGTTGAATCTATATGGATCCTAATATAGTTTGATAAAATTAAATATTATGTCGCACCTCATCAAGCCAATCACCTCAGATCATGATCTCATCGAACTCGCTGAGAAAATGAACGTTCAACTCGATGATATATTCGAATCAAATGAGATAAAGTCCCTTCTCCCCAAGAAAGGGTCATTTCTGATTCTACTTCGCCTACCTCAAGATTAGGACACTGGACGGCGGTTCATAATGGTGAATACTTTGATAGTGTGGCAGAGGGGGCTCTGACGCGGTATGGGATCCAACGATACAATACCAAGCAATACCAGGGGACGTACGATGATTACTGTGGAATATGGAGCTTACTTTGGCTATATTGCAAGCAAAAAAAAAAGAATGGATCTGCTAGATCGATTTAAAGACTTAAATATTGTTGTTCTCTAGCCAAGCCTGATGTTTAGTGGTTCGACAGTGCTTAAGCCTATTCACATGGGTATATCTACCCCCACATTCACATTGATGTTTGGTATTTAATCTTGCGGTGATAGATGCTTTGTTCGCTTCATAGTGCTGCTTTTTGTATAGTTTTTTTTATTTGAAATGGGTTCACTTTATTTACGCAAGCCAGTTTTGAAATCCACAGTGATTCGTATGCTTCTAGGTGCTTACGTTCAACAACATCATAAGTTTTGATAGGAATGAGTTTGAACTTATTGATTCCATGCTCTTGAAAGTAAGGGTAGATCTCACATTTACCACGCTTATCGTTGACCCATTCATGATAGTGCTGCTTATGTTTTTGCCATCTCTTAAGCGGCTCATTTAACGTCGAGCCGACGTATTGAACGTCGCTTTCCAAATGGATAACACGATAGATATGGCCGATCATGATACAAATGTACTATTATTATATATCTATTATAATATTTATCAGAATAGTATGCGTTATTTAATCCAACGTATATAGCAATCATGTATCGTGAATTAACAATCTCCAGTGATATTCCTGAGCGGAAGCTTACCAAAGCTTTCAAGACTGGTAAGCTCAGCCTCACCTCAAGCGAACTAAAGGGTAGTGGTTCAGTCATCCATCTCCACCCTGCTTCGTTTGAAAAGGCGCTCAAGGCTCGTAAAGCTGGACGTGGTGTCAGACTTGACATTACGAAGCATGAGATCAAAAAGGGGTACAAGAAGGCTCAAGGTGGAAGTATATTCAGTAAAGTTTGGGATACAATAAAAAAAGGATACAAAATCGCTAAGGATTCGGGACTACTATCCAGAGCCGTTGATGCGGCGGTTCCTGCTTTAGCTACTTATGCTGGTCAGCCGACGGCTGCTGTTCCAGCCAGAGCTGCAATCAAGTCCCTAACCGGCATTGGTATTTATGATTCCGATAGCGACAAGGAAGGAGGTCGCGTATCAATGGCTGACGTAAAGAAGGCTGCAAAGAATGCTCTTGCATACAGGAAGCGCAAGGGGGTCATCACCGACGCGGTCGATGCTGGAGAGATGTTCCTACTATCAAAAGCTACCAAGCCGGAACATGAGGATCTAATCAGATCTGTGCGAAAGGAGGTTCGTCGCCGTTATGGTGTAGGCGTAGCAAAGAAACGTCCAGCGAAGGGTTCGCCAGAGATGAAGGCTTAGATGGCTGCGCTTAGGGCACGCCATAAGTCTGGCGGTTCATTTACGTTATAGACGTCATAAAAATTAGCTTGGATGGCTTAGGTTTTGGACGAATCAGAAGCATGATGGATACCGACGTATCTCTGAAAATCACTTTTTTTATCATTTTGGTTATAGATACTGAGTGTAATACTAGCTCGAGCGCCATTGTGACAGTTCATCCACGCATACTGGCTCGGTTTGTATGAAATGACCTTTCCAATAGCGACATCACCTCTATCAAAAGCGCTGACAATATCACCAGAAGCCACGTATTCGTTTTTGATCAGATCGCAACGAACGATGTAAGAACTGGTCGGGTGAATCTGAGGAACGATGTTCGATAGCTGAGCCCTTCCAACAGTAGCTGATGTGGAGGGGTATGTACCCGCTGTGAGACCAACTACTTTACCGAATTCAGCATTATCGATGATCAGTTGAGGAACGCGAGTAGTAGTCGGCAATCCAGTACCACCAGAGGAGTATAAACCGGAGGTAGGTCTGGTCCATGTTCCACCGGTAGTTGGTAGAGTTGTAGGCGTAGGAGAGAAATCAAGCTGACAAGCGTAATAGACACTGTTAGCACTCATTTTGATATAGAATACGTTATTCCCCGACGGATCGATTAGATACGCCCCAGCATTGACAAGAGCAGTCTGAATGCTTCGGTTGATATCGTCATACGAATAAATACCATCAGGGAGGGATACACTGATTGTGGATGAAGTTGCAGCGGTAGGTACTTCGATTTTGAACGTTGTGTTCTGGAATTGCATTGAATCAATGTTATACTCGCTGTTATACATCGAAATCGATTGAATGACACATACTACATCGCGGAAGTCAGCCGCCGATCCGGGAAAGGAGTATTTCCAGGTTGAATTGGTTCCATCTTGTACCAGATTGGTGCTGTCGAGTTTGATAAAGCTGGACATATTGATTATATGTTTGTAGGCATATTTTTGTTTGATAAATTGGAATTAGTCCTCGATACGAATCGGTCTATCGAAGTTATACCTGATCTGACCCTTGACCGAATCAATGAAGAGCATTTGACCCTTTCGCTCCGTGGCTTTGTTGTGATAATAGACGATTGAACGCTCATCTCAGCCAGCGGAATTCTACCTCAACGGATCCACCCCAATCTTCGAGGGCACGAGACGAGGAGAGTTTGCGCCGATCGGGCTCGGGCATACTTTAATCAAGTGACAATCAATTCGTCAATGGATTCCTGTTTGAAGGAAATTGCGAGTGATGTACCATAGGCAAGGCTCTTCAAAGACCAAGTTGTGGCTAGAGCGATTCACGAGAAGAGCCCGATATCGTTGCGGAAAGTCTCTCAGCCGGCAGTCGGCATCTGCGGCACACACTCGTGTCAACAGTTCATGGCTAACGTTTGTGAACGAGCCCAAATAAGTGCCGTTGAGAACGAGCACGGTGGAGTCTATTATCTCAAAGCTTTGACGCTCTGCCGAACCCAGACTGGTTTGCGGGCTTTGGCCCGCGGTGTTCGCAGTTCGGTCTTTTTTTTACTGTATTCCAAAACCTGCACAGTCGAAACTTTATTTACTACTAGTAGTACTATGTAGTAGCGCTATGCTTGCCGCAGAAGAGCGTTGCATGAAGACGTTCTTGAATTTTAGCGCTTGCTCTTATTTTTGTACTGTGAGATATCATGCGTCAATTTGCTGGATGGCTTACGCTGCTCGATCTGCCGTGGCGGATCTACGTGAACTCACACTATTGGGCTGCTACCGCGGGAGTCCCCGTATGCGGCGCTGCAGCAGTGCGCGGCGACGGGCGTAGTCAGCCGTCATAACCGCAAATTTCATTTCATTGCATGAACTCACACTAGCGTTACTGCTATTCATGGTACATACTGCACAGCTTCAAGCTGCCAGACTGAGCTTCGGTTCATGTTGAATGTATAATGTGTTTATTTTCTAGGGTTATTCGGGCTATATGTATAATTTTGACGCCTGCAACTTGATTTTGTAGAATTGCTATACTGATTTCAATGCCGTTTAGGTCTCCTCACTTCAAAGTCGACTCTCAACAAACAGTCTGCACCACGACCATTAATCAATAGCGATAATTTTGTTTACTCAGCGACGGTTTATAGTTGTTGCTGCTGTGGCGTCCGACATGTACACAAATTACATTGATTGACTGATCACCCCTCTTTATTATTGCTGCTGCCTGGTTAGCTTGTCGCCGAAAGCATGCTTTGAGCTGTAATGAATCGGAGTTTGCGCTGCTATGCTGTAATACAATTGCTGTACAACTGTCATTGCTGTTGTTTCAAATAGCTCTTTAACCGATAATGCAACATAAAACCTTATGTTGCATTATCTCAAACATCCGCAGGGGCGCAAACGACAGTTCTTACGAACTGCGGACATCCGAGACGTAGCCCAGGCACTACATGTAGCTGCCACGTTCAACCCCACGCAAGCCCTCGACGCCGCTGCCACAGCCTTCTACGCCAACCTCCCGATGGAAGCCATGCGCTGCGATGTGGATGCGACCAAGCTCGCACGGGTGTTTGACTCGCGCCACGGCCTCAAGTTGTCGAAGTGGGGCACTCCCTAAGATCAGCCCCCACTACGCTTTTTGACAAAACTTTAGTCCGACACAAATTACATATTAAGTGCACCCATGTATCAGTTTGCGTTGCGCGCGTACTCGTGTGAACCCGAGGAGCGCCCCCACTTTTCGCGCCCACGGCGATGCCGCCACAACACAAACACTATCACTTTCGAAAAAGAGCCCCCGCCCCAAGACACGCAACGCACCATGGCCCCAGCCAAGAAATCATCCTCGAAGACGACTCCGCGCTCTACACGCGCGCCACGCAAGCGCGCATCACGGACGGAGCGCGTGCGCGCATCCAGAGCGCCGCCCAACACCGCGCCCAAGGAGCCCGTCGTGTACAACTCGCCGTACGCGTACGCGGTGGCGGATCCGGCGGTGTCCCCGTTCACGTTCGACAACATAATGGCGGCGACCACGAGCGAGGACACCGCCGTGAGCTTCCTAATGCGTCACGGCCTCCTCGCCTCCTCTAAGACATGCGAGTACTCATGAACCTGTGCGTCTACAAACGCGGCACGGAGGACGAGGACCGCCGCTGGCGATGCCGCCGTAGCGGCCACCCGGACAAGGAGCTCAGCCTGAAGAAAGGCTCCTTCTTCGACGGCACCAAGCTAGCGTACCGCACTGTGCTGCGCCTGATGTTCTTCTGGGCGTCGGACATCCCCGTCGGAACCGCGGAGCAGTTCCTGGGCATCTCCGACGTCACGGCGATCGACTGGTACGGCTTCTGCCGCGACATCTGCTCCGCCGAGATGCTGCAGTGCAGCATGATGGTATGTACACCTAATATTCGACTACAATATGTGGCATATGTGCTAACTATGTTTATACAGATCGGGCGTGGGCCACACCGTCGAGATCGACGAGACGAGCCTAAAGAAGAAGTCCAAGTTCGGGCGCGGCAAGCAGCACGAGGACTATTGGCTCTTCGACGGTGTCGATCGGGCCACGGGGCGGTGGTTCGGCATCGTCACCGGCCCCGACCGCAAAAAGAAGACGCTGTCTCCTCTCATCGGCAAGCATATCATGGCCGGGTCGACCATCATCTCCGACCAGTTCTCCTCGTATGTTTCTGTCAACGGGAAGCATACGTTGGAGAACAACAAGTGGCTAAAGGGCAAGAACTACACCCACAAGTGGGTCAACCACGGCAAGTTCTTCGTGGACCCCAAGACGGGGGCCCATACGAACCGCATTGAAGGGACGTGGGAAGTGCGCGTGAAGCGCTACATCAAGGCTATGCGCGGCGTCCCCAAGGAGCGCCTGGACCAGTACCTGGACATGTACCTGTGGAAGTCCTGGTACTTCAACGGCACTGTCCCGAAGTGCCAGTACCTTGACGGCCTCGTGCAGGGCATCCGCAAACACTACCCAGTTTAGGTCAAAATTGTAATTCACAAAAGTAAATTTGTGTCGGACTAAAGTTTTGTCAAAAAGCGTAGTGGGGGCTGATCTTAGGGAGTGCCCGAAGTGGCTCACAAGATATTGAGGTCGCACGAGCACCATGTTGCAGTAATCGGTGGCGTGAGGCCGTTGGGGCGTGCATGTTGCAGGAGAGAGAAGACAAAGGACGTGAGGAGCCGCTAGGCAGTCGCAAATAGTGGTCGAAGGACCGAAGCAAGTCGAAGCATTGTAAAGGACCACGTGAGGGCCGAAGCCTCACCAGTGGTGCTTGAATACACTAAGTGAGCTCTAACAGGACTGGTATAGCTGGGGGTTGCTACTCGGGTGGGGAGTCTGACCTGAAGACGAAGCCAGGCACACTCGACGCGACATGAAGACGAAGCCAGGCGTGTCCCGTAGCCCACTCCCGTGGTGAAGAGCCCGGAGATCAGTCCAGTGTCCTTGTGTCAACAGGAGGACGCTTATTGATTCTTGAAGGTGATCGCGACAGCTCATTCAGCAGCTCTTCGAGTTGCAATCTGGTTGTTGTTAGTCCTGCTAAAATCGCCCTATTTTGGTCGTTTGCTGACGAGGAAGCGGCAGTGCGCAAAGCCACCAACGTGACTCGTCAAGAAGGCGCAGCGCAAGAGCAAGCGTGAAGCAATTACATGGGATATGAAGCCAGGCGTCGGGAAGAAGAGCTGAGATATATCTCGGCGGAGTAGGTAGGAAATCACTGGAAGACGAATCATATGCCTTGCACCCTGTCTATTGATTCATCAAATCGGCCTAGGTTGTGGCAAGTTATCCCTCCCGGGGTAATCTTCCCCGCTCTAGCTTGCCCAGCTGGATATCCCAATCCTTCTCGTCCCAGGGATAGCGTGACGGGACCACGAAGTCGCGCGGCACGTCGCGATGTCCGTGCAGCTCCTCGATCGTGGCCAGCATCGGTTCCACGCGCTTTTCCCACTTCCTTGTAACTGAGCCCCTCGAGTCAAATTCGATTGCTTCTAACAAGTCCATCGATCGGGCAATCTGGTCGAAGTACTTGCCGCACCTGCGAATATTCCTTACCACAATACCCAGCTTGAAACCGTGCCATTTTTCAGGCCAGGATGTCTCCGCCGGTACATTGAAAGCCATCGGCACTCGGCAATGACCGTGTAGTCGATAAAAAGTCTCCAAAGCGGGCAAGATTCGCTCCCTCCACTCAGATTCAAGGACGTTCCACACAAAATCCAACTCCTCTAAACGAGCCTTACTATGAGTGAATTGGGTGAAGTAAGAGCCGTGGCGGATCTTGTTTACAATAACTCCAAGGTCCAGGTCCCACGACAGTCTTGGCCAGTCCTCATGCGATGGTACCACGTACTTTCTCGGCACTAGGCAATGCCCATTCAATCGACGAAAAGTCTCCAACGCTGGCATGATACGCTCGCTCCACTCGAATTCGTAAGTATCCCACACAAATCCCAGCTCGTCCAGTCGAGCCTTATCACGCGCAACCTGGGCGGAATAACCGCCTAGGCTACGAATTCTGTTGACTGTTGTTCCGAGGTTGAGACCCCACGACAGTCTCGGCCAGTCCTCATGCGATGGTACCACGTACGCCTGTGGCACTTGACAATGCCCATTCAGTCTGTGACAAGTCTCCAAAGATGGCATGATTCGCTCGCGCCACTTTGACTCACGATCATTCCGAATAACCCCCAACTCCATGTCTGGACTTGTCTTATGCGCCGGCACCACCTTCTCCCGACTCTTGCGACCGGATAGCGCCAAGCCAAAGTCAAAATTCAGTCGTTTCATCTCCTCCTGGTCCGCTTTCACCTGCTCGATGAAGTGCCCCCGTCGGCGAATATTGTCCACCTTAATGCCCAAATATTGGTCCCACAAGTGCTCAGGCCAGTCGGGACTCCCTCCCGGAATGCGAAAGTATTTTGGCACGCCCGTGTGCTCCTTCAACTCGTAAAACCTGCGGAGTGGCGGCAGGACGAAGCGGTCCCACTTGTATTGCACAATATCCCAGGCGAAGTCCATCTCGTCCAGCTCTTCCCTCTGCTTCGGGTCGATTTTGCGTCCTCCGTCCCTGTACTGCTCCCGCAGCCTCTCGGCGTGTTTCCCCCCCACGCTGATTTGGGCCAGGCCTCGTCCCCATGAGGGACGACGAATGCAATTGGCACCATCAGGTGCTTCTTGAGCTTGAGAAACGCGAGGAGCGAAGGCTTTACCGCCTCCTGCCACGCCACTGGACTGTTCACAGCCAGAGTCGTCCATGGCAGCCTGTCACGACCTTCCGCGTCCGAGGAGGAGAAGAAGCGAAGCAACTCGCAGGGGCGATGGAAGGGGTCGATGCTCCCAGCTAAGCGAGGAGATATAGGGGTTACGCCGACGGCAGCAACGCGGACGACCCCCGCGCGCAGCAGGCGACTCCGCGCGGATGACGCCAGCCGCAGCATTTGGTTGAGTGATTCGCAAAGTGCTAAATCCGATTTTTGTCCAATCATAACTTGAGCTACAACAGTACCCTAGATTTGAAGTTTACGAGGAGGAGAAGCTGACTAAAGCCATTGTGACAAGTAATGCTGAGGAGGTGACACAAGTAATGCCGAGGAGGTGACGATACAGGAACACAATCCACTCACAAACCAAGAGCGGGTTGACTCGATCTTGAACGAGGCGCTGGTGACGGGTCAAAAGGTGTTTTTCCTGTGTGAAGGTTCGCCACCAGATTTGATACGTCAGGATTGGCGTGGGGTCGTGTTCACCAGTCCGAAAGTCGATCTACTTACCCCCTACATGTATTTTGTCTGATCCACTACCAGTGAAGGCTCCTGATCTCCGCTCCCTATCAGTTGCTCCGCAGGTTCCTGAGCTCCGAAACTTTGGCATTTCACCGCAGCCAGCGCCTGTGCATCTTCGTCGACTGGAACGCTCCTCACTCTCTCGTACAACGCCGGTCTGTCTGAAGTTCTCCGTCAGACGTTCTCCGTCCAGTTGCCGCCATGCCCTCACTAGTACCAGGGTTGCCGAATATTGTATTTTTATCTATTGCGACTAGAGCAGACCAATAGATAATCATATTGGTAGAGAAAATCAGGTAAATAAATTATTATTTGCCCTTTCTCTGGTGACTAATTACAAGTGCACTTGACTTTTGTATGAGAGAATCGAACCGAGAAATAGATTATTGATACGGGTCTTGAAAATCAGGTCAATAAATATATTGGAAATATGTATTGCAATTATTTCAGCATCAATCTATTTTTCGGCATCCCTGTGGGGTAGTGAGTCACTACCCCACAGCGAGGGCATGGCGGCAACTGGATGGAGAATGTCTTGGCTTCGGCCCCATGGTCCTAGCAGACCCTAGCAACTACAAAAATGATTGTAGAAGCAGCCAGAAAAGCAAATGTGTGCGTGTCGAGCTCCGAGCTCCAGCTGGAGCGGCGGTCCCGAAATTTCTGCCCATCAGGTGACCAAGTGCATTCGCAATATACACACTCACTCCAAAAGCCACTCACGTCGAAGTCTCCGCTGCGAGCGCTTTGGCAGTCTGCGCTACGAATGTGACGCCAGTACGAGTGCAAGCTGTACGAATTGCAGCACTGGGTACCGCCGGCCGTCTTGCAAAAGCGTAAGCTTTTCACGTTCTACTTGGGAAAATGTTCGGCAAAGGCAGCGTGTTCTCTCGCATCAGCAAGACGGCACACATCCACGGGGAGTGTCTGCACGTGCGAGTGCATTCGACACATGATGGGCCCTCCTGTCAAAGCGGTTCAATGGGCGGAGTTCTGAGTGCGTCTCTGCTACGGCTACGATGCTATCGGCTCCCCGGCAAGAAGAGGAAACCCATTCGCGATCTCTACAAAAACATTTGTGCAGCAGATCCACGTTGTGCTGTGAGAACAGGAACAACCTCGTCGTATGAAGCAGAACCCGAGGTCGCGGAGCTTGCTGAAAAGAAGCCGCTCGGCTTCAACGCAGTCTCCCGAGTTCAGCTCCAAGAACCACGTCACCTGGCGAGCACACACGTCAGCACCAGCGAAGTCGCCGCCGTTCGCGATTCGAAAACGCGCCGTCAAAACCCACCGCGAATGCAGACTTCGCGCCACCATGCTAGAGATAGAGTCCGGTCTAGCCCTGCGCTGGCATTGCGTCGTAGATTACCCGGGGATTCCGTGTGGCGGCCGACAGTCTTGTCTCCCTGAACCTGTTGCGTAGCAGAGAAGAACGCATCCGCCGTTGAGGAACTTTGACACGGGGCTCTTCCTGTAGCCAATGCACTCGCTGCCATCGTTGCTCTTCTGCAGCAGTTCCGGTTCCAAGCCCGGTCGACTGCAGACGTCATCGGCGGGGACGGGGCTGTCAGCTTTCTGCTCAGGATGCCGGTCGAGCCGACGACCGGCTCGGCCGGGCTCGTTTATTTGTGGAATTACTTGTGGCCCGCTCAATTCCTTTTTTGTGGCGGGTTTTTGCCACAAACCGGGCAAAACCGGGCCGGGCCGCGAAGTTTCCCCCCAAACCCGCGAAACTTTTTTCCGATACATTTAAACAGGAAAACGCTTATTTATGGCGGGTTTGTGGCGCCAAACGGGACAAGTTTTGACCGAACCCGCGAAACTTTTTACGCCACAAACAAGCGACCCACATCGGACCGCCACTTTTACACGCGACATAGCAGGCCTGCCACATCGGACCACCATTTTCGGACGCCACAAAGCAGTGGCAGTGCCACAATCGGACGCCACACGTTGAAGCCACAACCAGGCCTAGTTGTGGCGCATTTTCCGCGCCAAAACGGTTTGAATCATTTTGTTGCCGCAGGATGGCCGACGACGTCGCCGCGGCTCCTTCTGCGGCTCCTGCGGCGCCCCGCGCCTCGGCGGCCCGCGCGCTGGCGGCGCAGCTGCGCGCCAGCGTGAGCTCGCTCAAGAGCGACGTGCGCGCGTCCTTCCGCCTGTGCGGGCGCGACTTCGGCGTGCTGGGCGCCGAGCTGGTGGCGGCGCTGGAGGGCGGCCGGCGGCGGGAGCGCGCGGCCGCGGACGCCCTGGCGCACGAGCGCGCCGCGCGCGGGCAGCTGGAGACGCGCCTGGCCGAGCTGCAGGGCAACATCCGCGTGCTGTGCCGCGTGCGGCCGCTGCCCGCCGCCGCCACGGGCTCCAGCGGCGAGGAGAGCGACGCGGCCAGCCCGGACAAACGGCGCAAGCGCGTGCAGGTCGAGTCGGCGCAGGAGCTGAGCGTCTTCTCGCCCGTGGACGGCGCGCTGTACAAGAGCTTCTCGTTCGCGCGCGTGTTCCACGAGCAGCACTCGCAGCCCACGGTCTTCAGGGAGGTGGCGCCGCTCGTGCGCGCGGCCGTGGCGGGCCACCACGCCTGCGTTTTCGCCTACGGCCAGACGGGCGCGGGCAAGACGCACACCATGCAGGGCGCGGACGGCGACCGCGGGCTGGTCTACCGCGCGGCGGAGCTCATCTACAGCTCGGTGGCGCAGCAGCAGCACGTCTACGAGTTCCACGTGACGGTGCAGGTCGTGGAGGTGTACAACGAGGAGATCTACGACCTGCTGGCGGCGCCTGCCACCGGTAGCAGCGGTAGTAACAGCAGCAGCAGCAGCAGCAACAGCGCTGGAGGAGCATCCACTGCAGGAGGCTCGGCGGCTGCGGGCAGCGCAGACAGGGGCTCGCCCTCCAGTCTGGCCAAAATGGGCTGCCACGTCGGCGCCACGAGCATGTGCGGCAACCAGCCCTCGAGCTCCTCGGCGACGCTGGAGATCCGCCACGGAGAGAATGGGGTCTACCTCAAGAACGTGGAGGCGGTGGCCGCACCCAGCGCCAAGGAGCTCCACGACGCCATCGCGCGCAGCAAGGCCAGCAGGGCCAAGAACGACCGCAGCAACCGCGCCCACACCGTCGTGATGATCGACATCCGGCGCACCAGCAAGGCGAACGGCGAGGAAGACGCGGGAAGGCTGGCGCTCGTGGACTTGGCGGGCTCGGAAAGGCTGTCCAAGACGGCGGACACGCCCGCCATCACCGTCCGTGAATCGCAGCACATCAACAAGTCGCTGGCGGCTGTAGGAGACGTCCTGGCGGCGCTGCTGGCCAAGGAGAAGCACATCCCGTTCCGCAACACCAAGCTCACCCACTTGCTGCAGGACTCGCTCAGCGGCAGCACCAATCGCACGCTGCTCATTGTCCACGTGAGCCCGAGAAGCGCCGACGTGAACGAGACCATCAACTCGCTCAAGTTCGCGTCGCGCGTCAGCCACATCCAGACGGGCAAGTCGCAACGCACAGAGCGTGCCGAGATCTCTCGCCTGAACGGAGTGGTGAGGATTGATTGTTTTCTGTTTGTTAGTAGCTGGTGGCATGAAGCTGACGTATTCTGTGTTTTTCCCTGCAGGTTGCCAACCAAGTCTCACAGATCCAGGCGCTCCAAGAGAAGCTGGCAGCCGAGCTAGAGCTACGCAAGAAGTACGAGAAGCGGCTGGAAGAGTACCGTCAGGAGGAGCATCGCCGCAGGTCGAAGGGCGATGAGAGAAGAGCTTTGCAGCAGATGAGGACCCCGTCACCAGAACTGCCACCCCCAATCTCATCGCGCAGGTGGAGTTTGTATGCACGAAAGTACGCAGATCGGCGTGTCGTGGCGCTCAACGCTTGCCACTCGATTGGAGCAAGGGCTAACTCGATCTATATTCTTGACAGGGAGAAGCTTGCCAATGCCCAGGGGCTCAATGGCATCGAAAACGTTGCTGAAAACATTCTCCGAGGCAACGAGTCTTCACCCGAAACTGCAGAGATTAGGACGACGAGTAGTGGCAAACCGAGCGGCATCTCTCCTCCCACAAACTTCTCGCGACGACTCAGTTTGTCTGCTCTGGATCAAAAGGCTAGGCCTCCAAGTCGAGCTGCGCAGACAGGGAAGAGGAAGAGAACAGCTGCGTCCGATAAAGTTCGCAGGTAAGGAAGGAAGGAAGTGTGATGGTTGTGCAGTATGGCAATTATCTACTGACCGCGAATTGTTCGGCGTGCTTAGCATTCTCAAGAAGCAGCGTGGCGACGACGAAGTTGTCGACTTGACGGCGATCGATAGCGACAACAACGTAGCAGCATCCAAGCAAGTCTCATTTGACTTGTCGCTCGCAACCATCGGCACATCGGCTTTGCCTTCTCGTGAGCTGACCGCCACACCCAGCGCCCCTCGGGTGTAAGTGCTGCATACTTAAACCAAAACCAGCCTCGATCACGATCTCACTGATTCTGTGCGTGCAGCTCTGTAGGTGGAGCGGTGCGAGTTCTTGCCGCGACCAGGACGGCGACGCCGGCGAGAAGGGTTACATCGGCTTCTAGCAAACGTGTCAAGCCTAAATGGAACGGATGGCGGTGAAGTGCGACAGCTTTTCGACGACCAAACACTCAAGACAGACCAAGAAGACGCGAGGCCATCGTTGCATCAAACCACACGCGAACCCGTGAAGAAACCCCACAGTAACGTTACGTATAATATGATCAACACAACAGTAAGCTGGCCTCTGGCCAAGCTCAGTATCGATTTCCCGGGCAACGTTCCCCATTCATTAGTTTTCGTTGGAATGTCGTGTGTCGAGCGCGCGTTCGGTCTGCGATCGCTCCAGAATCGGACGCGACACCTTCAAAGTTGTTCCGTTGCTCGGCTTGGCTGGGGCCTCATGCTGTTCGACCGGCGCATCTTCAAGCGCTCTGCCCGCTGCGCAGCTTCGTCCGCAGCGTCGACCTCATTCCGTGCGCATTGGAACATCTGAGCACAAGCACAACCTTCGTCAGCTTTCCTTCACTTTGTAACAAATAGGACCCAAGGACAACTCACCGTGCAAAATGACGCCAGTGTTGTGAAGAATTCCGTCGGGTTTCGCTTCGGGTCTTCACCAAAGTAGTCGAGCACACTTGACACCTCCCTTGCTCGGTCGATCCCTTCTTTCAGCGCCTTCATCTGTGCCTCGATTTCGGAGGCGGCAGTCTGCATCGACTTGATCGTGACCTCCAGCCCCAGGCTCTCGACCGCTTGCTGCTCGACACAGTGATAAGCGTGAGTCAGATCCCACTACAACTCATTGCAAAACAAAAAATTGAACCAGTGCCAAACCTTTTCCAGAAGTGCCAGCTCGTTGTTGAGACTCGTGAGCCCCCTCTCCAGCTTCTTGTACTCTTCGTCAACAGTGTCGAAGGATTCGCGCGCTGCGAAAGGGACACTTCGCAGCTCGGCCTGGAAGTCGAGCACCTGGGGATGGTTTTTCTTCACGAGCCGGACGAGGTAGTGAAGCACCGTCGTCTTCTGGTTCACAGCCTTCGTGTGCCCCAATCGCAGCAGCGAGTCCACCGTGAATCCCTTGATCCCGTTGTCTTCGCCGCTGCCGTTCAGGGTGTTGCCCAGCTTGAGCACCATAGCCAGCAAAATCTTGAGCAATCGACTCCCCTTGACCTCCTCGCCTGCTTTCTGTAGATGGGATAACGAGGCCGAGAGCTCCGCACTACGTGAAGTGAAGGACAACTTGTACACCAGACTCTCCATGCGAGGCGCATACCGCTTAACCTTTGAGATTTCAAGGATGAACTTCTCAGCCTGGTACATAGCATGATAACAAGAACTGTAAGCCAACAATGGAGGAACTCGCGCACAAAATACAATCAGCACGTACCTCTCCTAGCATCTCCTTATGTCCAGCATACCCCGACACTAGTTTTCGTCGGAATGCTGCGCAGTAAGCTCACCAGGAAGGCTTGGCAAACAAACATTGAGCCATTTTGCAGCTCGTGTTGGTAATTTGTCTGTCGAGAAATACGCGGAGCAAGGTTCGGGGGGATCAAAGTTCGCATCCAGATGTAGCGGATGAACGACTGTTGCTATGGTACTGAATGTGGGAGCGCTTGCAAACAATAGCAATTCCAAAAGTAGGCAAAAAAAATTCAGGATGCATGTTTGAAGCTGTAACTTGGATATTCAATTTTGCACCGCTTGAACGATTGATGCCTTGCTGCGCAACCTCGTACCATCGTAGCTAAACCAGAATCCTACCAGGCGTGAATTCCAGCTCGCTTATTCCTCTCACCCATGTATTTCCTGCCTCTGTAGCTCCATGTCGTCACAAGAAATGGCATCATACGCGGCTTCCAAAGTGTCAACAGAGCACGTGATAGGCGTTCCTTCTGTCGTCTCAAGCGTCTTTCGTGTCGACTTCTTTTCCTCGAAAGGGCGGTACTCACCCTGCAGGAAAACCACCGCGATGACCTGGCGATAATGCTCCTCTTTCGAAATGAATGGCTTGGGCTTGGGTTCATCAGTTTTGCGCGGTACCACATAGCAGAGCTCTACCGAGAGAATCTCCATCCACTTGCACGCGTGCAAGATATTGAAGAAGTCACAGAATGCCTTGGCGGCGAAACTGTGCTTGGATGCTCTTGTCACCTGGACAAAGCGAACGAAACCTTCCGCCTTGTCCAAGAAGACGATGTCGTAACCACTTTGGTTCCACTTAAACGGCACAAGCCACTGTTTCGTGGATAAGGCTTGCAGTTTCAGCTGCAGCTGCGCGATGTCGAAGTGAACCAGAGGATATTGTTTCCACTCAACGTTTCCCCCGCTAGCCAATTGCTTGAGTATCAGCGGACCATGTGCTAGACACCCGATGACCCATCCCTCAAAGATGAATCCATCCATCGACGGGTTCATCTGAAGTAAGCTCACTGCTTTCAGAATATCAGGGCCAAGTTTAATACTGAGTTCTCGAACAGCGTACGAGCTTACAATTCGCTGTTGAATCTTGTTCATCCCGTCACGATACAGAGCCAGAAGTCGATTAACTAGACCGCCAGACAGCACCCCGGTATCAAATTCAGCGAAGGATTTTAGCGAACCCACGCTCATAAGGGCTATGTCAAGCGAGGCCATGGCCCTGCTCGTCATGACAGCGAACATCATTCGCGCACTGCCGCCGGCGACGTAGAATTTTTTCTCCACCAACGCCACTCGATCTTCACAGGGGGGTGTTAGCCGCTCCAATCGCCGTAGCACCATCACGCAGGGCGTGTTCAACACTGTCGAAAAAGTTGTCTTCTCTTACGGCAGTGCGGTACTCATCAAGTGTCCACGACAGCAACTCGAACACGTGAACATTGAACACCTCCGTTGCTGCGTCTGTCTCCATACCTTCTGGAATAGCGCAGCCTTTCTCTTCGGAATCACCATCCATATCACGCATCTCACTTTCAAGTAGCACTTGGTCAGGCACACTGCGCTCGGCTGGAGTGGCCAGTTTATCCAAAGCATCGAGCCAGGGATTGACCTTCTCTCCAGGTATCTCAACGTGAGGCTTAATGGGTTGGTAAGTTTCCGGCCGGTCTTCTTTGCCCAGCGAGACCATCGACGTCACTATTACAAGGCGCCGAGAGAGATCCTTCCGAGAACGCCACTTCCGGCACTCCAGCAATACCGAGTCGCACGCAGGGTCGTAAAATACAATCGCCCTTTTATCCTGTAACTTCGACGAAAACAGCAAGTTGTTGAGGTGACGATCGTTCCAAGCTTCTGCTGCCCACAACTCCTTACCCTTCACCATATAACAGAGGAACCTGCTCAGTGCTATCGATCGAAGTGAATCCACACGACGTCCCACAAATCGCGATCTACGGTACCAAACGCGAAGGCGAAAGCTGCGCATGTCTTGCCTGTTCCAGGTGCTCCACAAATGATCACCTGTGCGTAGGTGTCAACGGCGTTGCATTGGATTTTGCGCCATTCATCCACAGTTTCTGGACGGCAGTACAGCTGTAGGTCGTGGCCTTCTTTAAGGATGGTCGCCCCTGAAATCTTCAGTAGCTCCCAAAGAATGCGGACTAGCCTCTTCTCTGCGTCAAGAGAAGGCGTCGGGCAGTCGCTATCCACGAGCGTCCACTGGGCTCCTGCACTGCTGCCTTCAGAACTGTTGTGTTCTGTCTTCTGCCGCTTCAGATAGTTCTTGGGAAGCTCCACCAGCAGGTGATCCAGATAAAGCTTGATAAATCCACCAGCACGTGAATCCGTCCGGGTCCCTGCTCGTAAACCCATGACACTGGTTGTGATGGCCATATCTTTGGAAACTCCATTTTACCGGATTCGTTCTTCGCGGCCCGAGCGATAAGAATTCGTCTAAGTTTTCGTTAGCTTTAACCCATTGGCCCTTCTCCCCCTTGGTCTTCGCCTTGTAGAGGGTTATTTCAGCAGGAGGAATGTCCAGTATTCCACTCAGCGTATCCCGCACCACATCCACATCAGCGTCGAGGCTCGTCTCAATCGTATGCACTCGCGCAATATGGTACAATCCACAGAACAGCTTGATCTTCGGCGCCGGCAAGAAGAAAGAGTGTACCATGCGAGGAGACTTCAATTGGCAGCAATTTAGCAAACTACAAATTAGATCCTATCAACAAGCGGACGAAGTCGTCCCCCACCTATCACCAGAACACAAGTACAGTAACGTTACGTATAATATGACCAACATAACAGTAAGTTGGCCTCTCCATTCATTAGTTTTCGTTGGAATGTCGCGTGTCGAGCGAGCGTTCGGTCTGTGATCGCTCTAGAATTGGACGCGACACCTTCAACGTCGGTCCGTTGCTCGGCTTGGGCTGGGGTCTCATGCTGTTCGCCCGACGCATCTTCAAGCGCTCTGCCCGCTGCGCAGCTTCGTCCGCAGCGTCGACCTCATTCCGTGCGTGTTGGAACATCTGAGCACAAGCACAACCTTCGTCAGCTTTCCTTCACTTGCAATAGTTAGGAACCAGGGAGAACGCACCGTGCAAAACGAAGCCAGCGTTGTGAAGAACTCCGTCGGGTTTCGCTTCGGGTCTTCTCCAAAGTAGTCCAGCACGCTTGACACCTCCTCCCTTGCTCGGCCGATCCCTTCTTTCAGCGCCTTCATCTGTGCCTCGATTTCGGAGGCGGCAGTCTGCATCGACTTGATCGTGACCTCCAGCCCCAGGCTCTCGACCGCTTGCTGCTCGACACAGTGATAAGCGTGAGTCAGATCCCACTACAACTCATTGCAAAACAAAAAATTGAACCAGTGCCAAACCTTTTCCAGAAGTGCCAGCTCGTTGTTGAGACTCGTGAGCCCCCTCTCCAGCTTCTTGTACTCTTCGTCAACAGTGTCGAAGGATTCGCGCGCTGCGAAAGGGACACTTCGCAGCTCGGCCTGGAAGTCGAGCACCTGGGGATGGTTTTTCTTCACGAGCCGGACGAGGTAGTGAAGCACCGTCGTCTTCTGGTTCACTGCCTTCGTGTGCCCCAATCGCAGCAGCGAGTCCACCGTGAATCCCTTGATCCCGTTGTCTTCGCCGCTGCCGTTCAGGGTGTTGCCCAGCTTGAGCACCATAGCCAGCAAAATCTTGAGCAATCGACTCCCCTTGACCTCCTCGCCTGCTTTCTGTAGATGGGATAACGAGGCCGAGAGCTCCGCACTACGTGAAGTGAAGGACAACTTGTACACCAGACTCTCCATGCGAGGCGCATACCGCTTAACCTTTGAGATTTCAAGGATGAACTTCTCAGCCTGGTACATAGCATGATAACAAGAACTGTAAGCCAACAATGGAGGAACTCGCGCACAAAATACAATCAGCACGTACCTCTCCTAGCATCTCCTTGTCTCCAGCATACCCTGACACTAATGCAGCTTCCTCAGACGTGGGCAGGAACTCGTTGATCCCCACAAGCTGCTGGAGCGTCAGACCGTTCGGGTCGAACTTGATCACAGCTTGTGCGATCTCGCTGTAAGAAAGTTTGACCCGCGCCAACGAGATCGCAGCGTTCATGGCGCGCTTCCCGTCAATTAAAGTCACGGATTGTTTCCGCTTCAGAGCCTTACTCTGACCACGGGACGAGCTCTTCTTGCCACTGCCCGTGTTCTGGTTCGCGAAGAAAAGCGCCTCCAGCTCGTCCATGTCCATGTCAAAGTCCACATCATCATCTTCATCTTCCCAAATCGTCTGCTGGTTGAGGTTGCTCAGTCGGTCCTCCGAAATGGGCTGCCAGTGCAGCTTCTTTCGTGGACGCTTTGGCTTCACTGCTGCGGCTCTTTCCTTCGTCTCACCGCCAGACGTCAGTTGAGTAACAGTGGCGTCCGGTCCGAGCTCCAAGGCACGCACATCAGCATTTTCCGTCACCATTTTCTGCTTGACTGCGCCCTCAGGAAGCCCCATTTTCAGCATCTTAAAGTACTTGGAGTAAACAGGGTCGTCTTGAAGCTTGACGTCGTTATTCGAAGGAGTTAACTCTGACACGAAAGCATCTCCACCCAAATCAAGAGCACGCTCGTCTACGCCTTCAGTCTTCATTTTCTGGCGAACCGCTCCTTCCGGAAGCCCCATCTTCAGCATCTTGAAGTATTTGGCGTACGTTGGATCGTCCTGGAGCTTGACATCATTTCCACCAGACCCCCCTGCCAGCTGCGACACCATCGCATCACCGCCAAGCTCCAAAGCTCGGTCATCCACGCCATCAGCCTTCATCTTTTGCCTCACTGCACCCTCGGGTAGCCCCATCTGCAGCATCTTGAAATACTTGGCGAACTTTGGATCATCCTTGAGCTTCATGTCGTTCTTGGGGTCAACCGAGACTTCTTTCTCTGCAGGTTTCGGCAGCTTCGAGAAGGGCGCGTCTCCACCCAAGTCCAAAGCACGCTCATCAACTTCGTCTGCTTTCATTTTCTGCCGCACAGCACCCTCGGGCAGTCCCATCTTGAGCATCTTGAAGTACTTCGCGTAGACTTCATGGTCCTTCAGTAAAACTTCCGAATGAGAATCTTTCTCGCTGCTACTTGTAGGCGAGTTCACACATTTAATGTCGTCCTGAAGCTTCGACACACTCTGCGTAGCGACAATGCGGTCCTTCACCTCGTCGTAGACGGCATCCGGTCCCAAATCCAGGATTATTGGGTCGACTCCGTCCATCATTAATTTTTGTTTCACTGCTTCCTTCGGACACCCCATCCGCAGCATTCGGAAGTAGCTGCTATACTCTTCCATATCCTTCAGCCTTGTTTTCTGAGCATCGGCCACTTCAACTGCATCACCTTCATCCGCCGGGGCCTTCTCAACTGGAGAGAGGGGCTTCAAGGTCGAGGGATCAACGCCGTCCTTCTGCATGCAATTTTGAACAGCTTCAAACGGCACACCGTGCTTCAGCATCAACGTGTACTTGGTGTTTCCACTGCTCGCAGCTGACGTCTCGCTAGGCTTTCTCGCAGTTTTGAGCTCACTGAGCAACGCAGCTTTCGTATCCACTTTAGACGGTGCAGGTGCTGTAGAGGTTGCGGCCGCGAGAGTGTTCGCTAAAGAAATCGCAACCGCGGCGCTCGTGGTACCTGTACTGGTAGCAGCTTTCATCAGGTCCTCAATCGATAGTCCATTTGTTGCCAAAAACTCCTTCAGCTGATTGAACTCTTCTGGTGGTTTCACATCGGGTACATCCACAGTGACAGACAAATTATCAGGAGCATGTCCAGCATCAGCAACATCTTGCGGGTTTCCAGGCTCTCCACCAACCCACGATGACGGTACCAACTTCATGTTCGCGGGGATTTCTCCATTAGGCAGGCTGGCAGTCAAGACCGGAGACAGTTTTGGGGCACAAGCGTCGCACTCCCAAGCGCTGAAAAACTTCTTCACGTACACAGCATGATTGGTGCGATCGCTCATAGTCGTCAACCCGAAGGGGATCTTTCGCAGCCCCACGCACGTCGTATGATAATACTTTCCACACCGCCCAGCACAGCGAACAATCTGCGGGCGCATCATGTAGTCGTCTTCCTTGCAGGTGTCGCACAACGACGAGTCCACTGCTGTCGGGATCGAGTACCGCGAGCGTTGCGACTGCATTGCAGCGATTTCCGCTGTTGTCTGTCGACGCAGCAGCGGCTGTCGGTCACTTTCTGTAGGGGAGTCAGGCTTCTGGTTGTCCTTGGCCGCTTCCTCTTGCTCCTTCTTGGCCGCGATCTCCGCTGCTTCCTGTGCAAAGCAGGCCGACAAACCTTTCGAGTGCAGGAGGTCCAGCGCCACATTGGGCGCGTTCTGAGAGCACTGCAGCGCGAACGTCGTGGGCGTTTCGCAGAAGCCCATGCGGATGAAGTTCGAGTGCATGGCTGGGTCGGGCAGAACCACGTGGTGCTTGGTGATCTCCACGAGTCCCTGCCGGATCGCGCTGTTGCCCGTGTAGTCCATGCGCACGGAGTTCCGCGGCTTTCGCGCGTTGCTCTCATGCAGCACCAAGTCCACCGAGAACTGGTCCTCGTCGAACCCGTGCTCGTACTGCTTCATCAGGTCCAGATCGTGTTTCTTGAGCGTCACCAGCCCCGGCAGCAGGAACAGCGTCGAGTCCGCGTAGCGGAAGAGCACCCTCGAGGACGCGTCCACGTCGTCGGCGTTGTCGTAGTCCTCTCCGAAGGAGCACAAGATGGAGAAGCCTCCGTCCAGCTCGACGCCGTTCTCCCATAGGATGGCGAAGAAGCCGTCCTCCTCGTTCCAGTCCAGCACGGGCGTCTCTCCTCCTGCTGCAGCTCCTGCCACGCCCTCCCCGCTGTGCAGCGCGTCCGTGCAGAACACGAGCTTGTAGTCGTCCCAGATCTGCACGCAGGGCTGCAGCTCCACGGGCAGCTGGCGGAAGATGATGGCCTTGAGCAGCAGCGGCTTGTCGTTGGGCGCCTTGTGCTCTGTGAGCAGCTCGTGGAAGCCCGCGAGGAAGCGCTGGATGGACGGCGGCGTCTTGTTGCGCAGCGCCTGCGGCGTGAGCGACTTCATGTCCCAGCGCTTGCGGTAGAACTCGACGAAGGCGTCGGTCGGGTCGTCCGCCAGGCGCGCGAAGAGCAGGTAGCAGGCCACGACGACGCCGCTGCGGGTCTTGCCCGTCTGGCAGTTGACGAGCGCCACGTGCTGCGGGTCCAGCGAGAGCCACGCGTCCAGCGCGTAGCAGATGCGGAAGATCAGGTCCAGCGGCGGCGTGTGCGCCTTCATGCCGTCGCGCTCCCAGTTGAACTCGAGCAGCTGCTCGTGCAGCGCCTCGGCCACGCTCTGCGCGTCCGCGGCAGCGACAGCGCCCGAGCTGTCGCCCCCGACGGCTGCCGCGTCCTCGAGCGCGTTGAGGTTGAAGAGCATGAAGTGGCCGCGGTGGTTCGCGTCCAGGAACTGCGCCAGCTCCTCGGCGTTCACCGTGTTCTGCTTCTTGTCGGTCGCGCCGCAGCTCGGGACGCCCGCCACGACGAGCCGCTCCGTCATGAACGTCAGCTCCAGCGACCGAGCGTCGGGAGGCCGCACGTCGCCCATGCTGGCGCGACGCACGAGGCGCACGGGGCCCGCGTCGAACACGGAGCTCGTCAGCCGCCGCAGGGACTCCATCGCACTGATTGACTTTTGGGCGGTTGTTGTGTGAGAGTGTAGCCATGTCAGCCTCTTCCGACGTCTCTTTTTTGTGCCAAAGAGACGAAACCACTTCAACTTCGGCCAACTTATGCATTTTGGTTCCTTTTTGGAGATACTGTACCAACAGCATCGTGATGATCCGGTTTTGAGCTTGCGGTGACCCTCCTCTCGGTTCGCGTTCTTCCGGCCTGTCGCTGCGTTGTCTGCCAGCAGCAGCGCGCCATGCACGGGTCGCACCAGAAGATAGTACACCCCCGCCACGCTCGGACCGCGAGCGGAATAGTCGACGGCGTTGTAGACGTTGGTAGGGATTTCGAGGTCGTTGGCCATGTCGCTCCAGCTGGACTGGTACGTTGGCTTGCGTGACTGCATCCATGATCATCTTGGCGGTTGCTAGAAGGTCTGCTAGAACCATGGAGCCACTACGGACCAACGGAAGTGTGGGAACTTAACGTACAAGCCACTCGTGTACTGTATTCGCCGCTCAAGTATTCATCGCGGCAACTCGATGTAGAACGCCCGTGGACCTCAATGTAAAGAAGCACAGGGCCATAAATGCCATAGTTCCAGAGCTTACCCGCCTGCGGCTTCACTGTCAACTATTAACTGATAACTAACTACAGTAATGCTTGCAATACAGGGGTGAACCATAACAAAATAGGGGTGAGTAGATTGACTGGGTACTGTTATAGTGCAAGTTATGATAGGACGAAAATCTGTTTTGACACTTTGCGAGTCAATCGAGCAGATGCTGCGGCTGGCGTCATACGCGCGGAGTCGCCTGCTGCGCGCGGGGGTCGTCCTCGTTGCTGCCGTCGGCGTAACCCCTATATCTCCTCGCTTAGCTGGAAGCAGTGCCCCCTTCCATCGCCCTTGCGAGTTGCTTCGCTTCTTCTCCTCCTCGGACGCGGATAGCCATGACAGACCCCAGCGGAGGCCTCTGGCTGTGAACAACCCAGTAGCGTGGCAGGAGGCGGTGAAGCCTTCGCTCCTCACGTACTTCAAGCTCAAGAAGCACCTGATGGTGCCAATTGCCTTCGTCGTCCCTCATGGGGACGAGGCCTGGCCCAAATCAGCGTGGGGGTATCCGCTCGGGAAACATGCCGAGTGGCTGCGGAAGCGGTGGAGGGAGGGAGGGAGGGCGCAAAATCGACCCGGCGCAGAGGGAGGGGCTGGACGAGATAGGCTTCGCCTGGGACATTACGCAGTACAAGTGGGACCGCTTCGTCCTGCCATCACTGCGGAGGTTTTACGAGTTGAACGGACACCTTGGCGTGCCTAGTTCTTATCGTGTTCCGAGGGGGAGTCCCGACTGGCCCAAACACTTGGGCAGCAAGGTGAACAATATTCTTCAACGGGGGGACTTCATTGAGCAGGTGAAAGCGGATCAGGACGAGCTGGAACGACTGAATTTCGATGTTGGCCTAGCGCTATCCAGTCACAAGAGTCGGGAGAAGGTGGTGCCGGCGCATACGACAAGTCCAGACATGGAGTTGGGGGTTATTCGGAATGATCCTGAGTGGAAGTGGAGTGAGCGAATCATGCCAGCTTTTGAGGCGTTTCACAGACTACATGGGCATTGCCGGGTGCCTACACGCTTTGTGGTGCCATCAGATGAGCGCTGGCCAAAACTGTCCTGGGGTCTAAAACTCGGCATCGTTGTTGACAACATTCGTAACCGCGGCACTTACTCCACCCAGATTTCGCGTGACAAGACTCGATTGGTGGAGATGGGATTTGTGTGGGACCTCTATGAATCGGAGTGGAGTGAGCGCATTATGCCAGCGTTGGAGACGTTTTATCGGCTTCAAGGGCATTGTCGAGTGCCACAATCATTTGTGGTGCCATCGGATGGAAGCTGGCCAAGACTGTCGTGGGGTCTGAATCTTGGCACTGTTGTCAACAGCATCCGCCAAGGCGCTTACTTCACCCAAGTTTTACGTGACAAGACTCGTGTGAAAGAGTTGGGTTTTGTGTGGGACTTCTATGAAGCTGAGTGGAGTGAGCGCATTGTGCCACGTTCCGCCGACTAAATGGACATTGCCGAGTACCACAATCATATGTAGTGCCGGCGGCCTTTGCGGTACCTGCAGAGGCACCTTGGCCTGAAAAAATTCACGGTCTCAAGCTGGGTTTTGCAGTAAAGAATATATGCGGCCGCGTCACCTACTTTGACCAGATTGCCAGATCGATGGACTCGTTGGCGGCGATCAAATTCGACTCGATGACCCCAGTTAACAGGAAGTGGGAAGAGCGCGTGGAGCCGATGCTGGCCACGTTCGAGCAGCTGCATGGACATCGCGACGTGCCGCGCGACTTCGTGGTCCCGTCACGATCTCCGTGGGACGAGAAGGATTGGGGTATCCAACTGGGCAAGCTAGAGCTGGAAGAATCTCTCCATCGACAAGGGTAACATGCAACAATATCGAGCCATTTGATGAATCAATAAGGCAAAAGGTTTCGTTTTCCGTCTATTGGCTTCCTATCTACTCCACCAAAATGTATCTCAGCTCTTCTTCCCGACGCCTGGCCTCATTGCCCACGCCAAAGAACCGCCTAATTGCCTCACGCTTGCTCTTGCGCTGCGCCTTCTTGACGAGTCGATCGTAGGCCACGTTGGTGGCTTTGCGCACTGCTGCTTCCTCTTCAGCAGACGACCAGAAGAGGGCGATTTTAGCAGGACTGACAACAACCAGACTGCAAGACGAAGAGCTGCTGGATGAGCTGTCGCGACCACCTTCAATAATCCCCAGCGCCAACTCAACCCCATCGTACTGACGAGTTGGCCTTGCGTCGCATGTTGATTCTGCCCGGTTTCCCCGGATGAAGAACATTGGTGCGCGGTCTCCTCCGAACCGGAGGGGCTTGTACGGCACAAAGCCCTTGCTCTCATCGTATCTCGGTTGGATGGAGACGTAGGCTGGGAGCGACAGTTTGAGGCCGTGGCGCGAGTCAAACACCCGTGCGAGCTTGGTCGCATCCACGTCGCAGCGCATGGCTTCCATCGGGAGGTTGGCGTAGAAGGCTGTGACAGCGGATTCGAGGGCTTGCGTGGGGTTGAACGTGGTGGCTAACGTCTGGGCTTTCTCTCGGATGTCTGGTGTCAGCAGAGCCCCAAAGCTCGAGGCAAGAGTCTCCACTGTGCACGTTCTCCAGTCGATCAACGGTAGACTTACTTGGGCTCGATCACAAACATTAGCCATGAACTGTTGGCACGAGTGTGTGCCACACATGCCGATGGGTTTGCCAGCCGAGAGACTTTCCGCAACGATATCGGGCTCACCCCAGTGGATCACTCCAGCCACAGCTTGCTCTTGGAAGAGCCTTGCATACGGTAAATCGCTGGGGATTTCCAGCACATTTTCAGACTGGTAAAGCGCTCGCTGCTTGTTCCCGACTTCCCGAGTCTGGAAAACGATTCTCACCTGTTGCTTAGCAGCAGCAGCGTCCACTTTCTGCAATAACTCATCCAAAGTACCAGACGACATTGCTCGCGTGGAGACTCCGAAGTAAATGACTGGTGGAGTGGGCGCCTGGAATGCGAACTCGGTGAGTGCACTGGGCCACTTGAAGCGCTTATTCTCCTTCTGGCGCTTCCTGCGTTTCCGTCGACTGATTCCAGCGGTGAGGCCTAGTGTCACATGACCAACCACTGACAGCTCCGCTCCCCAGTCCAATGGCTTCGGCATCAGCGCAGGGTTCCAGAGGTAAATGTGAGGAACTTCCCACCGCACCAGCGGATCAGGGCGGTCGCAACGCTTCTGGAGGCCGATGAAGGCGCGAAACTGGGTCAACACTTCAGCCACGCCACCACGCCAAAACGTCGTGTCCACGATTCCGTAGGTGAGCAGGTTGCTTTGGCACAGCGTCATGATAGTTGAGTCGAGGCCAGTGATCGAGCTCAAAGGATGGGGGGAATAGCACGTCGGTGAGAGGGGTTCCAAGCTGGCGCACTGGAGGGGGATGCCAAGTCGTTCGGCAACATGAACATGCCCGAGCAGTAGTGGGTGCCACAACAGCGCATCCGCCCGAAAGTGCACTCCAGGGATATTTGTGCCCCCGCCATGCGGGTCGAATCCGTATGCAGCGGGCCACAACGAGTACATGAGCTCCTTGAACGCTTGAATAGCACCAGCGCCCAGTCGACCTGGCGCTGCAGTTTGAGCTGCGCTTTGGCTGTCGTACACGAACTTTGCAAAGTCCTGGATACTCTCGGGGCCGCCAGCGAGGGGGTAGAATTCGAGACCTCGGGTCATGATCTCGGTTCGGAACCGCTCATTGGCGGCCACGCGTACTCGATGTCCCTGCTCCTTGAGCTTGATCCCGATTGCGACGAACTGCTTCACGCCGTTATTCCAGGTGCCAATCGGGGCGAGGCAGATATTCATGGTTGGTACCGGGGGCGCTGTCTGCCCAGGCGTTTGATGCTGGCAAGTCGAATACGCTTCCCATTCCTTAATCGTTGACGGGTCAACCATGTCAGCACACTCATCGGCAAAATTGAGGGTAATTTCCACTGCCCCACTTGGTGTAAGCGGGGCTGTTTGCAGCGTAATTCGCGGTTCTGGGTGACCAATCGCCTCCACGCTCTCGACTACAGTGCTCGTGTTGCTGAGATTGCTGATAGTGTCAGCCTCCAGAAGAGTGATATCGTCACTTGGGTGTGACTGCCTTCTCGAGCTTAAGATGTCGTGAGCCCCGGTGGTCTTGGCCTTTTGAGCCTTCAGGAGCGCTTCATAGCGACCACGGTAGCGGTGCTTCTCATCTCGTCGCAATCGCTTCAGCATTTTCTTCCGGTCTTCCCTTCGCACGAAAATCACAATGTCAACAGCGTTTGGACGCAGTGCGGAGGAAAAGGTGCCAGCCAAGCCATCTTCTGCTCCCAAGGCGGCCATCAGGTGGCGGTCGAACACGCTGTTCAGCTTCCGGTGGCCCTCCTCTCGGTTCGCGTTCTTCCGGCCTGTAGCTGCGTTGTCTGCCAGCAGCAGCGCACCATGCACGGGTCGCACCAGAAGATAGTACACCCCCGCTACGGTCCCCTTGGCAGCTCCGATGACGCCTCCTTTCATCAAGCCTTTGGCTGGTTGGGATAGAACTCCAGTGATCGCCCCAGTCAACTCATGAGCGAAGACGACGACCCCCGTGGCCACTCCAGTGAGCAGTGAGCCCGGACCGCGAGCGGAATAGTCGACGGCGTTGTAGCGCAGCAGCTTCTTGTGCCTGTTACCCGGTCGCTCCTTGAGGACGAAGGCGCAGCGGTCGCAGAGTTTGATCTTGTCGTGGTCACTCCACTGGGTGGCGATGCGCTGGTGGTCCAGGTCGCACCACATATCGTGCGCTGGTAGATGCCGGTAGAAGCTGCGTACAGCCTCTTCGGCGCCGTCCTCCTGCGGCATGAGGTCTCGCAAGGCCTCGGCCCTAGTGCGTAGCTCTGGGTTCTGAAGATCCACGAAAGCCTTGCGCAGTACCTCAGTTGTCAGTTGGGCGATGGGGCAAGGCGCCACCCCCACGCGGGCACTGACGACGGCTTGGCCCCAGAAGGGTTGATCTCCGAAGAAGGGGACGATGAAGGTGGGCTTGCCAGCGAGTAGACCAGCGGCTGTGGTGCCTGCTCCACCATGGTGAACGACGGCTGACACTCGGGGCATGAGCCAGTCGTGCGGACAGTTGCCAAGGAAGAAGACGTTGCTAGGGATTTCGAGGTCGCCGGCCATGTCGCTCCAGCTGGACTGGATCAGCACGCGGACATTGGCCTGAGTGGCTGCTTCAACGATCATCTTGGTGGTTGCTAGCGGGTCGGCCAGCACCATGGAGCCGAATCCAACGAAGATAGGTCCTCCGTCGTCGCCGAGAAATGCCTCGAGCTCTGGGGATGGGGAGTAGACGGATGCAGCCTCCTTCAGGGACACTGTACCGATGACGTCGTAAAGATGCCCCCAGTCCGCTGGCTTCGGCACAAGCTGCGGACTCCACATGAACGCGTGGGGTATTTCCAGATCCAGAAGCAGCTCCGACCCAAGGTCTCCGTTGCGGATGGGGCGTAGCTTCAGTACTTCCTTTCGGAACTCGTTGATCATCCCTTCCGTGCCATGCCACATGATGAGGTCCACGAGCTTGTAGGACAGGTAGTTCTTCTTCTGAAGTTTGCCAGTGTAGGCTAGATTCGACAGCGGATGGGGGAACGCCATTGTGGGCACCCACGGCTGCGGGAACATGATGTGCAGCGGCACTCCGAGGCGTTCGGCCACGTGGATATGCCCATAAGACACGGGGTTGGCGATGATTGCTTGGGCTCGGAACGGTGGACCGGGCACGCCGGGGCCTCCACCGTCGGGGTCCGCGTCCGATACGGCTGGCCACGTGGAGAGCACGATCTCGTTGATCATCGTCCTGTTGCGTGGCACGTCCTTGGTGAGCGTCTCGATCTTGGTGGGGATGAGGTGGCCGCCCGTCTTGACCATGTAGGCGGCCAGCTCTTTCGGGTCGCCCCCTAGAGGGTAGAACTCGACGCCGTGGCTCATGACAAAGTCTCTGTAGACGGCGTGAGTGGCGAGGCGAACGCGGTGGCCGTCGCGTTGAAGGCGCTGAGCAATGGCCAGGAACGGCTGAACGTCTCCGCGCGTGCCCACGATGAGGATGCAGATGCTCATGAGCGGCGGGACTGGAACCAGGTCGTCGTCGATTTTAGTCGCCTGTGGCTTCTTGCTATCGACGTCCTGCCCCCGGGTAGCGGACGATTGGTTCGAACTGTCGGGGGCTTCGACTCGCGGTGTCTGCAGGTCGATGGCGTCCTCGGCGGGGAAGTCGAGCTGAATGTGGCCATCAGGTCGCTGAAGTGCGAGGACGGCACTGATCTTGTGGAACTTGCCACTCGCGAAGGACCTTGTGCGCGACGGGACGTTGTCGATGGTCTCGACCTTGGCGCCGCGGTGCATCCTCGCTCTGGGCGAGAACTGCGCGAGTCGGGGAATGGCGTTGGGGCTCGAAAGCCATGCATCACCAAAGTTAGCGAAAGGAGACTCGGTAATCATAGAGTAGATTGTCAGTCAGTCCAACAATAGCGTCATGTTGCGAGCTGCCTGTACTGGGTATACAAAATCCACACTTTCAGGGATAATCGTAAATTTGTTTACTGTCTGTTTGGTTCCTATGACGCATTTTGCAGCCTTAGTTGCCAGCGTTGTTATTGCTGTTGGCCTTCTCCTTCTTCATGAGGTCGTGGATTTTCCGCAGCTCGGTCATCCGCTCCAGGATCTCTCGCTCGACGGGCGCTGCCTTGTCGGGTCTCCCCAGAGCGACCATCTCGGCCATGAAGCTCTTACGTGACTCCACTTCTTTCATCACCGCATCGTAGAGCTCCTCCAGCTGGGCCATGCGATCTTTCGGGTGCTTTCCACTGCGCAATGCAGCAGCATGCGAGAGTTCTCGGTCGAGGAGGTCTGTTCAACAACATTCAGCACTTCCCCCCATACTCGCAAGAAGCAGAAAGTATCTTGTGCACGTACCAGCTCCTGGCAACAGCTCGCGAGGTAGAATTGTGCCTGCAGTGTACGAGAAAACCTGCTGGAGCTTTTCCTTCTCCTGATTCGGCGCTCGCCTGGAGCATAATCAACAACGCGTCAGTCACCACTATAATATGGCGAGCAGGACACAGATCGGAGGGCTCAGTACGTGACGCAGCTCAGGCGGCAGGCTTCCATCTGCCGCTTGATCTCGTTCATCTCCTTCTCGATCTCGCTCAGGGGCTTCTTGTGCGTCGACAGATACTCGATCGGATGCATCTAGGCAGTTTTTCACCGAATGTAAGTGTCACCACAGCTTAAATATTTTACTTTCATCTACTGCTTCTCACCTCAGGGCCCGATCCCTTGGACTTGGAGAACGCTGGCGCTTTAATGGCTCGACTCGACGTGTTCGCCACCAACCGATGCGTTCTCGCGTCTGCGCCCGCGACTCCGCCTCCAGGGATGAACGGTGCCGTGGTCTCTCGCGGCTTTGTCTTCAGCTCTACAACAAGCATCAGAACCAATGAGACCAGATCATCTTGGCTACACTGACAGTATACTTCGTTCTCTTGTTCGTGCAGAGACGTACTCGGGTACGACACCTTGGGCTTGGCAGTCCCGCAGTAGAGTTTCTTGAGCAGTCTCCCCGCCTCCGAGTCCCCGCCGAACGCCCTACCGTAAGAAATGTTAGCAACCAACCACTACGTCTCCACTGAATACTGGGTCAATTGCATAGCAGGCGCACTTCCACGCCTCCGCCGTCCGATCCGCAGCGCCACCCTCCATCACACCTCGGCAATTGTTGAACACTTGTCGTTTCGCAGCACAGAAAGTTTGCCTACACTTTCGCACACAACCGTCAAAGATATAAACGGTAACTAACGAAGTTTTGTGGGTTCCAGAGCAGCATCAAGGAAGGGTAAAAGCGGCAGTTTGTTAATGTGTCGAAGAGCTTCGCCAGGTCACGGTACATACACCACGTCGAGAACGTGAAGATGTTGAACGGGTTCCTGTCGAAGTTAGCTTAACGTGGTCCCATTGGAATCCTGCACTTTATTGCTTGAAGGGAAGGGTGTCAAACGAATCAAACATACGCATCTTACTACAGCAGCACCGACGACAGTTTTGTGACCAGCAGCGAGCTTCTTCTTGTAAGGACGGAAGCTTCGACACGAGCACGTCTAGTATCTTCACCTGGGTGTCGAGGAAAAAAAATGCTGAAGCGGTTGACAAGTTGAGAAGCGCCGCTACCGTGGTCGCTATGAAGCCATCTTGAAGGCTGAAAAGGCCAAAACTGCGAGTGACCAGTCCAAAGTGCATCCTTCGAGGCACTCGAACCCCAGTGACGACACCACGCTTCTGGAAGCTGACGCTGTCAGCAACCTCGGGATCAAGCTCAAGGAGCAGGACGTGTTGCCGCTAATTACGCGAGGTCTTGAATTCTACCCCCTCGCTGGAGCCCCTGAGAGTATCCAGGACTTCGCAAAGTTCGTGTACGACAGCCAAAGCGCAGCTTGAGCGGCGGTGCTAGGCCGAATGGGTGCTGCAGCTATTCAAGCGTTCAAGGAGCTCATGTACTCGTTGTGGCCCGCTGCATACGGATTCGACCCGCATGGCGGGGGCACAAATATCCCTGGAGTGCACTTTCGGGCGGATGCGCTGTTGTGGCACCCACTACTGCTCGGGCATGTTCATGTTGCCGAACGACTTGGCATCCCCCTCCAGTGCGCCAGCTTGGAACCCCTCTCACCGACGTGCTATTCCCCCCATCCTTTGAGCTCGATCACTGGCCTCGACTCAACTATCATGACGCTGTGCCAAAGCAACCTGCTCACCTACGGAATCGTGGACACGACGTTTTGGCGTGGTGGCGTGGCTGAAGTGTTGACCCAGTTTCGCGCCTTCATCGGCCTCCAGAAGCGTTGCGACCGCCCTGATCCGCTGGTGCGGTGGGAAGTTCCTCACATTTACCTCTGGAACCCTGCGCTGATGCCGAAGCCATTGGACTGGGGAGCGGAGCTGTCAGTGGTTGGTCATGTGACACTAGGCCTCACCGCTGGAATCAGTCGACGGAAACGCAGGAAGCGCCAGAAGGAGAATAAGCGCTTCAAGTGGCCCAGTGCACTCACCGAGTTCGCATTCCAGGCGCCCACTCCACCAGTCATTTACTTCGGAGTCTCCACGCGAGCAATGTCGTCTGGTACTTTGGATGAGTTATTGCAGAAAGTGGACGCTGCTGCTGCTAAGCAACAGGTGAGAATCGTTTTCCAGACTCGGGAAGTCGGGAACAAGCAGCGAGCGCTTTACCAGTCTGAAAATGTGCTGGAAATCCCCAGCGATTTACCGTATGCAAGGCTCTTCCAAGAGCAAGCTGTGGCTGGAGTGATCCACTGGGGTGAGCCCGATATCGTTGCGGAAAGTCTCTCGGCTGGCAAACCCATCGGCATGTGTGGCACACACTCGTGCCAACAGTTCATGGCTAATGTTTGTGATCGAGCCCAAGTAAGTCTACCGTTGATCGACTGGAGAACGTGCACAGTGGAGACTCTTGCCTCGAGCTTTGGGGCTCTGCTGACACCAGACATCCGAGAGAAAGCCCAGACGTTAGCCACCACGTTCAACCCCACGCAAGCCCTCGAATCCGCTGTCACAGCCTTCTACGCCAACCTCCCGATGGAAGCCATGCGCTGCGACGTGGATGCGACCAAGCTCGCACGGGTGTTTGACTCGCGCGACAACCTCATATTGTCGCTCCCAGCCTACGTCTCCACCCAACCGAGGTACGATGAGAGCAAGCGCTTTGTGCCGTACAAGTCCCTCTGATTCGGAGGAGTCCACGCACCAACGTTCTTCATCTGGGGAAACCCCAGACAATCAGCACTCGTCACCAAGCCAGCTCGTCAGTATGATGGAGTTGAGCTAGCGCTGGGGGGTTCTTGAAGGTGATCGCGACAGGTTATCCAGCAGCTCTTCGTCTTGCAGTCTGGTTGTTGTCACTCCTGCTAAAATCGCCCTCTTCTGGTCGTCTGCTGAAGAAGAAGCAGCAGTGCGCAAAGCCACCAACGTGGCCTACGATCGACTCGTCAAGAAGGCGCAGCGCAAGAGCAAGCGTGAAGCAATTAGGCGGTTGTTTGGCATGGGTAATGGGGCCAGACGTCGGGAAGAAAGCTGGGAAATATCTCAGTGGAATAGTTAGGAATTCAATAGACACAAAACCCTTTTGCCTTGCAGCTATTCTATTGATTCATCAAATGAATCTAGGTTACCCCTCCCGGAGTAATTCTTCCCTCTCTAGCTTGCCTAACTGGATACCCCAATCCTTCTCGTCCCACGGAGATCGTGACGGGACCACGAAGTCGCACGGCACGTTGCGATGGTCCGTGCAGCTGCTTGAACGTGGCCAGCATCGGCTCCACACGCTCTTCCCACTTCCTTGTAACTGTCATCGAGTCGAATTTGATTGCTTCCAACAAGTCCATCGTTCTGACGATCTGGTCAAAGTAGGAGCCGCGACGGCGGATATTACTTACCGCAATGCCCAGCTTGAGGCCGTGAATTTTTTCAGGCCAAGGTGCCTCTGCAGGTACCGCAAAGGCCGCCGGCACTCGGCAATGACCGTGCAGTCGATGAAAAGTCTCCAAAGCTGGCATGATGCGCTCCCTCCACTCATATTCATAGAAGTCCCATACAAAACCCAACTGCTACAAACGAATTTTGCTACGAGCGACGTGGGTGAAGTAAGAGCCTTGGCGGATACTGTTGACAACAGTGCCAAGATTCAGACCCCACGACAGTTTTGGCCAGTCCTCATGCGATAGTACCACGTACACTTGTGGCGCTCGACAATGTCCATGTAGTCAGTGAAACGCCTCCATGATCATTCCGGCAGGGGTCAGAAACCTCTATTTATGTTAACTAATGCCGTGCTTTACACGGGGAAGCTCTGGGTTTTCTTCAGCTTTTGTTATGCTTGTTTACTATGTTGGTGCACTTGACCAGTATTTTTTTTCAATGTAGCTATTTCGTGAAAAAAGGAAAGTAAAAGTAAGTCCGATCGTTCGCATCACGCCCGAGGCGCACCAGTCGCTTGCGTCAGCTGCTGCTATCTAAACCTTTATGCAAAGATATTGAATACACAGTCTGCTTCGGACGACATTCACCCGAATAACTTATTTTTGGCCTGTTCTCTAGTCAGGAGCGATTGGAATCCCTGGTAGTATGTTTTATCAGTAAAGTAACTCCTGCCTAACATGTTTCTTCAACTATATCGACAAACGAATGTTCAGATACAAAGAGAAGGTTGTTTTGTTTTTTAGTTTTTGAATTGAGGTGCATTCTTGTCACTTAGTTCTTCCTAACGACTACAACGACCGGTCCCGCAGATGCTAACCCGTCATGAGAAGAGAGAAGGTGAGACTGCAGTACACTTCAGATATATACCCCGACTGCAGTGATAGTTTGGATGGATGTTACCTGTAGCAGCAGTTGTGTGGACTACCCTAAAAAGCAAAAAGCCACATTCGAGTGACCTGAATCGATAAATTTGGCTTTCCGATCAGAATGTAACAATATACTAGTATAGCAGCATCCTCACAGCGAATACTCGCACCGGTGGCTAGAGGGGGCATTGCTTCGGCAAATATAGTATCTTACCTTTTCTACAGACAGAAGTTGAGTTTCTACAGAAGCGCGTGAGGGCTCGGGCTACTCTTTTCTTACCTAATTCGATTTGTGAAACCATATGGAACCATAACGACTTTGCAAGGGAACCCTAATAATCTGACCGTGTTACCAATAACTCGGTCGAATTACCGTGTTACCATAACACGGTAGCTCTCGCCTGGGCTATCTTGCCGCCCTACGACCATTGCCAGGCGCCACACCAGACGAGGAAGCACATAGGATAGCAACGCATAACGGTGATCGATTCGCTGTAGCAGTTCCGTTCATCGGAGCGTCTGGAGCACTGGATTCGGTAGCCTCCGGCAGTCTGCCCCAACTGAATTAGCGCGTTATGCGGGTGCGTCTTCGATATCTGCGGCGAGGCTCAAAATTGCGGCGCGCTGCGGCTCCCGTCGACAGAACTCGCGGTGGAACTCACGATTGCGGCGCGCTGCGGTCCTGTACATAAACTTCGTGCTGTACATGTCGGTGCCCGTGCCCACGAACATTGCGCTGTACATCTTGCCCATGATCATCGTTCTGCGTATCTCGCTGCAACCCATGGCCACGAGTGTTCAATGGTCAACCGTGGCAATATCAAGACCACTTATAATGGTTTGGATTCGAATGCTTATTTTCTACTGTAGCATGGAGACCAGCTTTAAGCAAAATGCAATATATTGAATAGACTTTCCTACTCGCCAATTAATAATGGTGCCATTTTCCTATTTTCCCACACTACTGTAGCCACCACTCAAGCTACCCACCTTAGCCAAGTGATGGCAACCTAATGAGCAAAAATACGAAATCAACGCTCAAGTGGTTGATTTACCTCGGCTACCTAGCAGCTATCCACTATTATCAATACCATGGTAAGTACATGAACTAGATGACAAAGCCGTGCTTTGCACGGGGAAGCTCTGGATTTTTTTAGTTTTTCAAATTTTATATTTTAAATTTATGTGATGGTAAAACTAGCTGTGTGGTAATCCAAATATGGCAGTCTCCTGGAAACAATCAGAAGATGGTAAGGTCTTCTGCCAGTTTCGTGCCGTCCTTCGAACTTGCGGACTTGCTGTGGCATAACTTTTCATTGAATTGTCCATTCTGAAATCTGATTGCACCCGCTAAATCTGCGCGATTGGGCTGAATTTATGTACTTCACGCTGATCCGTGTAAATTTTGCAGAACTTCTTGTTATTGTTTTGAAAAGCTTGTTGATTTGGAGTGAGCTGCCAGTTTCCTGCCTCTTTTTGATAGCATTTTTGTATGCTATGCAAATCCTAGGAGGCTCATCACCGGAAATTGCATGTGACGCTGGAAAAATCTACCAATAGACTACGAGAGTTTAACAAGGAGAAGATGCTAATTGGCTAAAACAAGTAGGCACGGAACTGGTTGTAGGCACGCAACTGGCACCTTACCTTAATCAAAAATTGGCAGTCTTCTTGGAAACAATCAGAAGATGGTTTGTCGTTGTCCTGAGCCTTCGCGTGCTTCTATCGGAAGAGGCTTGGTTTCGGCCCGGTGTGATTCATGTCTGAAACGTGCGGCAGCAGACCGTCGGCGAGTTCGAACGGAGAAGAGACGAGCTACAGTATTGGGTCTGGGAAGGACCGCAAGCGCAAGCATTGCGCTGCTAAAGGACTGGTATCGATAGTGCGGCACTACAAAGGGCTGAAAACGTTCCCGATGGTGGTGATGATTACGACGCTGGAAATGTTGCCGGTGAACCTGAGCAGAGCACATGGAGTGTGGGTAAGGCGCCTAGTGGTCTCACTGATCGTGCGTTCGAACGTTGTACTGAGATGTTGTCAAGTGACTACATGGAAGAAAGGATTTGCTGTGCTTGTGACGGTCTGTATCCTTTTCGCAATATGGTCGTCAAGACACTTTCGAGGTGTAAGGAGTTGGTTAAGTCTATGCAGCAGCGATTGAAAGGACCCGAAGATCTTCCTGTTGAACTTCGCAAATATTATAGCGCTTCGCACTTGTCGCCTGTATTGGATGGACTGTTGCTTTCTCCCGGCGGGATACGCGTTGATGATGAGGTGGTCAAAATGCAGCTCTGTCGGTCATGTGCAGATTCATTACAAAAGAAGACTGCGACGAAGTGTCGTAAGTTTGCGATTGCCAACGGACTCTATATGGGTAAAATGCCAGACAAGTTCGTGGACACAACGATGACAGAACATGCAATGTTAAATCGAGTGCAACCAATGCGATATTTAGCTGTCGTTCGTGGAGGGAAACATTCCAGTCTACGGTCTCATGCTTATATGTTTCGCGCAAACCCCGATTGTCCAGCCCAGCTACTTTTTCGCCGAGTGATATCGGAGGGAATTGCTCGTGTTGTTCTTATTGGAGCGATGACGTCGAACCAAACAGCCCGCATGCGAAAAAAGTTTGAGGTGAGAAGTGACCGTCTTCGTCGCCAGCTGCGTTGGTATCGCAAGCATAACTCAAAATTCAAGGGAGCCGATCCAGTTGATTCAAGTTGGACTGGAGTTCAGACGGCTGTAGTAATTGATCGTTCTGTAGCGATCGAAGATGCTGTTTCGCGCGACGCTAGCGGGTTATCGATTGATGCGGAAGTGGCCAGCGTTTTAGATGCAGCTACCGAACGCTTTAACGCTCCTGTCCCGGTCATGAAAATGCTGTGAATGCTGACGATAAAATTGCTGAGCAACAGGCTGTTGGCATTATGACGGATTTTGAACATGAACATGAAATTGAGGGAGCGCTCCGTTTGCTACGAGGGGATACTGTAATCACTCGGCGATCTAGCGATATAATGTCGGATTTCTCTAAAGAGTACTGGGCTTTGGCATTTTGTGAGCTCTTTCCGTATGGCCGTGGTGCATACGAAGAGGATAGACCAAACCCGAACAGCCTGATCAACTATATACAGCACTGTCTTCGATTGTCAACACGCAAACACAGTCAGCATCACGGGTTTTTGCTAACAGCATTGGATGTTATCGCTCGGCATAAAGCACTGGACGCTGTATATCTTCGAGCAAAACTTGCTCCTCATACTGCATAAATGCGGCTATGGTAACACGCGAAGAACTTTCGGCTCATTTGGAGATAACGAAGGAACACCTGACGTCTCGGCGCGCAAATGGCTCTGGGGCTGCAAGCGAACAAAGCTCTGCAATGAGTGCAAAAGTAAGTGAACTTTTCTCATCTGTATCTACGGGTTTGAGAGCTCACTGGGGATCTAATGAGGAGCGGATAGCAGGCCGGACAAATTTGCTGTCAATGCCGCTTGCACTTGGCCAACCGGCGGGTTTTTTACCATATCGCCAAGTAGCAGTACGACGTATCGTATTGCTAACTTAGCTGGTGTGATCCCGCGAGACTTGTTGGATTTGATGGAGACGGAAGTTGCGGAGCATTTAGAATATACCCGTGCTAAGCTTGGAATGGTTGCTACGGCAAACCCCGTTTCGTGCGCGAAATAAGTGGCCTGAATAATGCATAGACTTGTGATGCGTACTAAACGTATGTGTTATATGGCTATGGTAGGTATTTTGATCATGTGATGAATGTTGTGATCAGTGTACTGTTGAACTGGGATCGTGACACCAACGCACCAAAGCCTGGATGTGGCATTTTTGGAGAAGTAACTGCTTTTTATGGCTCCACCGAATCGCAGTCATCAACAGGCGATTTACACTGTCACATGATGGTGTGGGTCGCTGGGTTCCCTAAGACAGTGACTGAGTATATTAACATGTGCAAGTCAGCCGCATTCAAGCAAAAGCTGATTGACTATGTGAACTCCGTTGTGACGACCGATGTACCGGTTCAATACGATGAAACGTGTCCGGAATGTGGTTGCAATGGACTGGAAGCTGTTGAATTTGATCAACGAGCGTATCAAGAAGTAAAAAAAGAGATGGCCCCTGTTCAACCTGCCGGTGTAGCTTGTGTGGACAGCAATTCGGTGGAAATGAAGTTATCACTGACTGTGTAGAGCGCGAGATCAGCAGACTTGACTTTCCGGCTGGTGCGGTGTCCGAAGGCGCTGCGTTTACTCGCACAGCGAGCTCAAAACCTTTTGTACTTTCTGGGGAGCGGTCGAACAGTGATGATATTCTCCATACACGCTCGCTGCTTTCATTTCAAAGTCACCATTGGTATCATTCCGGTGGGTGCTTTAAACATACCAAGCGAACTCCCACCGCCAAAGTATGCCGGATGTATTTCCCCAAGGTGATTTGTGATGAGATAAAGTGGACACCCTCGGATTGCGTCGAGCTAGCAAGAAAGTTGTGGAACGAATACATCAATGCGCACGTGCCAGTGATCAGTAAGACTCTGAAATGCAATCATGATGTGAAACTATTGGCGGCAGGAGAAGGTATGTTTGCCATACATCTTTTTTTCCGGCTGTACACTAACACTCGGGGGTGGTTGCTTTGTGAATTAGGCCTGCATAAAAGTTTCTACATGATGAAGTGCTGTGCTAAACCCCAAAGAGATATAGAGAACCCAGCCGCTCTTCGGTTACATGCGTATGACAAGGCTGAAATGAACGCTTAGGGTCTGGCAGACGCATTTACTGCGGGGCGAAAGGATTCAATCTATGTGTTGCACCCTCTCGAATGGCCAAAAAGTTGCGGCTCCTTTGGCAGCGTTATATTTGCTGCGAGAAACTCCATTCTATGCTTCGCACGAGTTTGTGTCCCTTCATCTGGATTCGATTGTGAATGTGCTTTTTTCATGGTGAGGAAGATACCGTGGTTCTCGAACAAGTTCGGAAAGGAGCATACAAGCCGGCCAGCGTTCTAACCGATTACTGTTGCAGACCTTTAGCAATGGAAAGTATCTGTTTGATGGAGTTTAAACGGCACTGGGAGAAACGAAAGAATACAGCGGGGATATTGTTTCAAGAGATCCATCCGCAGTATTCGAGTCACTCTATTCACCATCGCTCGACTGAAGCTCTTGTTACAGTCTTTAGTTCAAGACTGCCTGACATACGCAGACATGATGAACAAGTCAAGTTAAATTACTGCACCTAGCTTTGTTTATGCCGTTTCGACTCCCCAGCACCTTTGTCGATGCCGATGAAAGTGTAACGATGATGTTTGATACGTGGTGGACAACCTCGGCAGCGGATTTAGCTCGTCGCTATGCTGCTTACAGTGAAGATTACTATGTGGCACGTGATGTGGCGGATGCTAGAGCCGATGATGACTTAGTTCACTACGAGAAATGTGCAACGTCTGATCCAAGGAATATGGAGGTCGTTGACCCCAGTTTAAATGAAGCCAGCGATAATGAATGCGGCCCGTCGAGTATGTTAGATGGTATAGAATGGAATGGAGGCAATGTTGAGTACGTTGAAGCATTGCCGAAAGGAATTGAAGCGACAAAGCATGTAGCTTCAGCGATGCTGTGTACCGAGAGCGTTGAATGTAGTATGAACATGACGGAGCTCGACGAGGAAATTCAGAAGCGAGAAGTGCTTGCGCAGCGTACGCAGAGAAGCCTAATGCACGAGACAGTTCGGGAATGCTGCGAGATCAGCCAGACGTTCCAACCCGAATAGAAGTATTGAGCGCTGTCGATGGGTCAGAACATTGGGAGCCCTCAGTTGATCAACCAAGCACAGATCTACCCGAGCGACCTACGTTGATGGAGATTTCCAGATTTTTCAAGCTCAATGAGAAACAGCATAAAATGTTCGTGACAGCGGGTATATACTTTTGGAGGCGCTGGCTCTGGATGACAGTGAAGTTTCAAGAGAATCGCTTGTCTCGTTTTTAGGTGGCCAGCCTGGCGCCGGGAAAAGTCAAGTGATTAGAGCACTCCAAGAGCTCGCGGCTTCCTGGAATAGCTCTGATGTTGTCGGTACGGTTTCCTTTCAAGGTGTTGCTGCTCAATCGGTGAACGGCGAGACTATACACAAGTTTTTCGGGTGGGGCTTACGCGGGTTTTCCAAGACACAACCTGTTTCGTTGGAGTTGCGAGAAAAAATAATTAAGCTCCGCCTTCTAATTGTTGACGAAGTTTCTACTACCGATGTGAAGTTCATTGGTATGATCGACAGTTGCCTTCGACACATTCGAAATAAACCCGACCTCCTATTCGGCGGAGTCGATGTATTGTTTGTTGGCGATTGGCTGCAACAGTTGCCAGTTGCTGGTGTACCCGCCTACGTCGAAGAACCTCCCTTTCGGGCTCGACGATCTCGCGGTGAACATGGAGAATATTTCTTTCGCTCACGTGGTATCCAAGCATATCGTCAAATAAGTAATGTTGTGATGTTAACAGAGAATATGCGCCATCGTGACGATCCAGAGTGGCGCGATATTCTGGGTCGCTGGCGAACAGGCAATTACACGGAAGCTGACATTGTCAAAATAAATGCTGCGGGCCATGATGCGATCTGGGAAGATCGGAATTCGGAACAAACTTCGTTTTACTCCATCATCGTCACATCTAATGCGCTACGCTGCCAGTTCAATTCTCAATCGTTGCGAGCCTACTGTGAAACTCATGTAGTGGTGCTTCATCGGTTCTTAGCAAAACTCTCGTCTTTTCGAAAGAAAAAGGTGCTGGAGGTGGACTTACAAAAGCGCCTTCGAAACATTCGTGACGATAAGACCGGGAACATGCCCATCGTCCTTGAAATTGCATTAGGGACTCCCGTCCAATGCACAAAGAATGCATCAAGAGCTCTCAAACTGGCGAATGGAAGTATCGGTGTTGTAGCTGGGTTCGTGGTGAGCGACACTGACGCAACAAACTCGATTACGCACGAAACCTACGAGGAGGTCATGCATTCAGCACCACCCGAGGCGGTGTTTGTGAAACTACGAGGGTATGAGCACGTGCAGTTTGTGTCATTTCTTCCTGTTGGAGTTGCACCAGTGCGGTTGAGACTTGAAAAGTCCGTGAATGTGGTGCTACCACATCGTTCGTTCAATATTTGTATTAGCCAAGTCCCATTGACGCCTGCTTTTTCGATCACTACGGAAAAGTGCCAAGGTATGACTCTGGAAAAGATGATTTTGGCTCCTCTTCAGCACTGTACAAGGCGTTCTCCGCAGAAGTCTTCGTTCTATGTGGCGACAACACGTGTGAAGTCTCTTCGGCAGCTCTATCTGATGGAGGAGCTATCTTTAAATAAACTAAAGTATTTCTCACCCGTTCCTGCCTCAATGAAGGAAACACAGCGGTTAGAGCGTCTTGAGGCGGAGTAAGGTAACGTAACACAACTTCAGTACATACAATAAAATCTACACCGAAGATTGTTTTTTTTGTTGAAATACCCAAGCACTCGACAACATCGTCATCTCATACAGCCACCGCGATGCATGTAGGGCATGAACGGCGACTCGTACATTAGATTCAACTACAGGATGTTTGACTCCGTCTCTGTGGATTGCATAATTAAAGAGGTGGTAGCAGTCGCTGGAAACACGAAGCTGCCATAGCGTTGACCATATTAAGACAAGCACAAAAATAATTGACAATTAACAACACCAGTAAATGTTTTCATTTGACGTACACGACAGCAAAAGGTGTACGTTCCGTGCACTAAACGTAAACATGATGCAGCTACCTTCATGATAGCACTGCGGGGAGGGGGAGGGGCTTAATCTCGGAGCCGCTCAATATCCTCGTAGTGGCAAACGCCGCCCAAAATGCCGTGCCAGATACTGATGTCGCGAATATCGCGCAGACGAAGCTTCGCACCCACCACAAACTTAGGATCGCCCAACGAAGCGCCCCATACCGTCATGCGAAAGACAACACTTTTGCTGATCGCTGTGTGTCAAGCTTTGGAGTTCCTTGCTCGACGCGGCGAACTCAGCGGGCGAGCAGTTGTCGAACACTGTCAGGTGCACTCCATGCGCGAACAACGCCTTCCCATAAAGACGCATCGTAGCTCGAACTGGAGTATGATTCCCCTCCACGGGATTTGTCGCTTGAGCACGAAGCTGTTCGACAGTCGTGCAGTCACGTGCTTGGTCCTCCTGCGCGCGGAGCTCTCGGATGCGTTGAAGCATCGTCACAGCGGTAAGATTAGGCCTTGTCCTGCCGCTAAATCGAAAGTGAGCAAGTTCCCGTTGGATCGGAGAGAAGCATGATCCCGTCCCGTTAGCTCCGCGTGCTATCGTTGCACCAAACTAACTTCAATACCTGATTACAACTGTGATTTAGAAAACACAGTAAGCGCTTGTAGCCTTTAGTAGAAGTGCGTTAGTTGTAGCAAAAGTAGACTTACAAACTTCAACTTGTGTCTACACGATACGTGCCGCGCAAAAACCTCTGCAGAACCCCTGCCATAGTATGATTAGTGTATCCTGCTTGATGCAGCGGGGCTGCCGTAGCTTTGCGTCAGAGGAAGCTTAACAGACTCACAGAGTCTCAGCTTAAGATAGCCCGTTCTAATACCAGAACGTACGAGTCCGTACACCTTACGGACTCCAAGAGTCAACCCTTAACTCTTAACTGTGTGAATCTCAAACTGAATGTATTTCCCTTTATTGCGGCAAAGCCGCCTACGGTGTAAATGTATCCGGTTCACTATCTAGCATAGTGAATCCTAGTCATATGCATAATCAGTGGCTCTGAAGCCATGTACTGATTCTCCTACTGGTTTAGGTTATACAGTGTGTACCCACTTCATAACCCTTCGGGTAACTCTCGTGTAACCCCGTTACACCCTCCCCCACCAAACCGTGGACACGGGTGTTCACGCTTAACGGTCAACCTCCGAGTCTTGTTCCGTCAAGCCTCCTGCTCAAACGAGTCAATCCACATCGCGTGGAGTTCTCTGAGAACTTCTCGGCGCAACGCGCCCTCACATGACTTCAAGTCATAAAGCCTTTTGGTCTTTCGACCGCAGACAGCCTTTCGCGAGATCCGCCTCGGAGCCTCGCTCCTCTCGTACTGCTGCACTGCGTGCCTCCGCACCTCCGCGAACGCCAGCGCCCGCGCGCACGCCCTCGACGCCTTCCAGGCTCTCGGTGTCCGAGTACTTCGCGGCGCAACGCCTGAAGCGCAGCTCGCAGCGCGCAAGCCCCAGCTCTCCTCGAGCACCAACCCATCAGATCATAAATCCTAGGGAACTCTTTGGTGAAGAGGGCGAGGTGGACGAGTCCATAGAGGGTTCTCCGAACCGAGGAGATGCGTCCCCACTCACGCGACGCTCCCCGAGCCGCGGCGACGCTTCGCCCACACCGTCGACAAGCCGTGAAGAAGGCTCGCCGGCCCCAGTTGGCTCTCCAAGCCGTCGCGACCAAGGGCGCTCCGCGCACACGTCTCCTGTGCGCTCCCCGAGCCGTCTCGCCACTGAGCGCACTGCGCCATCGAGGGAGGAGCCACGGCCACCGCTGCGCACTCCGAAGCCGTTCCCCAAACGCTCTTCCGGCCTCTACGAGCTGCGCGCGCTCACGGAGCCACGGTATTCGCCACCTCGTGGTGAGGGTGTGCCCCTGGGCCCCGTCATCTCCAACCCTTTGGACGAAGCTTGCGGCGCAGATGGCTCCCACGCGCTCCCAGCGCCCCGAACTGCGGCCTCTGCTGAACCCCAGCACTGCCGACTACGGCTTCCGGCCTCGCGACCCCGCGGAGGCTTGTCGCCAGGCGTTCCAGCAGTCTCTCGCGCTGCACACCATTGGGCCCGCGGCCCGTACTCCGGAGGAGCTCGCACTGCGTACCTCTCTGCGAGAGCGGCTCCTCACTCCACAGTCTATGCCTGTCGCGGAGTATCGCGAGAGGCTGCGGCTGCAAGCCCAGCAGAAGTCCGTGCCCGCCATGCGGACGTACCCGGTGGTACTTAGCCCGGGGGAAGACTCAATTGAGTACGAAGCTCAGTTCGAGTCTTGGGCCGAGCACAGCCGAAAGCTCAGCTCCATGGACGCTCTCCGAGCCAGCTTCAGTGAAGTGGATTTTCGCATTGAACGCAAGCTCCGCTTCGATTTCGCGAAGGTCCGAGCCAAGCGCAGCCTCTCGGCACTCGCCCTGCCGCAGACCCAGTTTAGCGCTGCGCGCTTCGCTCCTTCGAGCACTCCAGCCGCTCCTTCGCGCGAGGGAGTGAGCGCTGGGGCTCAGGGTCAGCCTCGGAGCAATATGGCTGACCCAGCAGCTCCCCAGCTTATTGCCGGGAAGCGCGGGACGGCCGGCGTGCCGGCCTTGAGCCCTCGAGGCGCTGGTGATCAAGCTGATCAAAAGCGTCCACGAAGTCTGGGCAGTCGTGGCGGAGGGGCACCTCAAACTCCCATGAGTTCTCGGAGTGAGGGTACCCTCGCCATTTCACCAGATACTGGTTTTGACCCCGGCACCGCCGCTTCGCCAGGAGGCGCTCCACATGGTAATGTAGATTCCCATGCTCATCGAGCAGGGCCGGTGGAGGCCGCTGTGAGGCCCTTTGCGACTCAAGATGAGCTCTTGGAGGTGCGGCAGCAGGCGGGTCGCCTTCGGGATCATATCCATGACGTTGATGCGCGTCTGGGCCGGACTGCCACCGAACTCGACGAGCTCGCCAAGCGGACGCGATGGATCGAGGTGCCTCGAGCGGTCTGGGACCGCCTTGGGGCCCTGGAGGACTGGGTGCGATACTATCGCGATCGCGATGAGCAACGTGGCCGGGAGCTCGGGGAGCTACAGCGTCAGCAGGCTGTGCTTCAGGGTCAGCTCGACCTCCTGACCCGCATGCAGGCCCCGACTGCCGCGCCTCCTGCGCCTGTGGCTCTCGCTGTGGCCGCGGCACCTCCGGCGCCGATTTTTCCGCCTGTGCCTGCGGTGCCCGCGTGAATGGTCGCGTCCTCGACGCCTGCGACTGCGTCCTCGACGACCACGACCTCCGCGCCTGTGACCTCTTCACCCTCGGTGCCTCCATCTGCACCTGCATCGGGTCCTGGTACGGCTTGAGCAAGCCCACGTAGAAGACGGGGTGCGACCGCATCTTCTTCGGAAGATTGAGCGCGTACGCAAGGCCCTTCTTGGCCACAACCTTGAAAGGTCCGATGAAGCGCGGGCGCAACTTCGTCTTGAAGACGGCAGACACTGCATGTGTGGTAGGTTCTTAGCATTAAGCAGCACCAGGTCCCCGACCTCATAACTTTCAACATTGCCTCTGCCCCTGGCATCTGCATGTTCCTTTTGCTTGTCTTGGCTCTCAGCCATTGCGTCACGCACATGTCGTAAGACACTCAGACGCGTCGACAAGAAAGCGTCAACCTGTTTACGAACAGTAGCCGGACTGACATCGGCTAGCCGATCAGCTAAATCGGCTTCTCCTCCCCCACCAAGCCCGAGGCCACCACGTGGCGGCGTCAGCGGGACGCGGGGATGAGACAAGCTGTTCATGTAGAACGGCGTGTAGCCTGTCGAGGCGTGCACGGCGTTGTTCAACGCAAACTCAACGAGTGGCAGCATGGCGCTCCAGCGCTTCGGCGTCTCGGCGCAAATGCTGCGGAGCACGTCCTCGACGACGCGATTTACGCGCTCGGTCTGACCCTCGGTCTGCGGATGGTCCACCGTGGACATGTCCAGCTTGGTGCCAAGCAGCGCAAAGACCGCGCTCCAGAAGTTACCCGTGAAGCGGGGGTCTCGGTCCGAGACAATCGACTCAGGGAGTCCGTGTTGTCGAAACACTCGGTCCAAGAACAGCGTTGCTGTACCTTTACCATCGATGGTGTCCGGCACAGCCGCAATGTGAGCCATCTTGCTCAGTCGATCCACGAAGACCACGACTCCTGTGCCCGCCGCGTCCACCGGCAGGCCAAACACAAAGTCCATACTCATGGATTGCCAGCAGCTCGACGGGACACGCAAACTCGCCAACGGCGCTGCGGCATGAGGTGACGACTTCACTCTCTGACACGTCTCGCACGTGCGCACATAAGTGCTCGTCCACTTCTACAGCTTCGGCCACCAGTAGTGGGTGCTCACCGAGCTGCAGGTCTTCTCACGGCCAAGATGGCCGGCCAGCGGCGTGTCATGTGCCTCATAGAGGATGCGGTACTTCAGATCCTCATCATGAGGGATGACCACGCGGGGCGTATCCTCGGGGCCAGTGTTGTAGAACAGCAGGCCTCCATCGAGGGAATAACGATGTAGCCGCGGATGCAGCCGCGCTAACAATTCCATGTCCGAGTCTTGAAACTCCTTGCTCCCCAGAGCCTTTAGCAACGCGACACAAGTGTCGTCCTTGGCATAAGCCGTTCGGATCAAATCCGGTAATGACGAAGTCACGGTCGTTACATGAGCCAGCTCATAATCCGGTCTGCGCGACAGCGCGTCCGCAAGGACATTCTGCCTGCCAGGTTTGTGCTTCACCTCGAAGTTGTACTCCGCGAAGAAGGACAGCCAACGGGCCATCCTTTGCGAGAGGTGAGGCGACTGAGTCGCAGTGCGTAACGACGCATGATCCGTGTAAATCACGAACGGCTGAGAGCCCAACAGGTGCACCCTGAACTTGACGAGCGCATACTTCATCGCAAGTAGCTCTTTGTCATGGACAGGATAGTTCTTCTCCGCAGCCTTCAGCTGGCGAGATTCGAACGCCACCACGCGCTCGCGCCCCTCGGCGTCTGCTTGCAGCAGTGCACAGCCGATGGCAAAGTCCGAGGCGTCACAGACGACACTAAACGGACGAGCGGGGTCTGGCAAAGCCAGAATAGGCGCATGAAGGAGACTGTCCTTAATTGCCGCAAACACATCTTGATGCTCGGTGTCCCAACACCACTCCGCATCCTTCTTCAGGAGATTGGAGAGTGGCCGAGCCATCTCAGCGTAGTTCTCGCTGTACTTGTGCAAGTAATTGGCCATGCCAAGCCACTTGCGAAGATCCTTCTGGTTCTTGGGAACCGGCCAGTCAACAATGGCCTTGACCTTGACCGGGTCGGCCCTCAGGCCACGCTTCCCGATGAAGCACCCTAAGAAGGGGATCTCTTCCGCTCCGAAGATGCATTTGTCAATGTTGGCGTACAACTTGTTTTGACGCATGCATTCGAGCACAGCACGCAGGTGCTCCACATGGTTCTCCATATCAGTCTTT